AAGTCAAGACACCTCTAGCTCCTGTTTACTTCTGTGAGGCTTGAGCAGGAGAATCTCCTGGCAGATCCTGCCCTGTGATCTTTTGCTGTTCTGCCAGCCTTAATGGCACCCAAGATGCATCTGAGATGCTTTGCCTTACCTCACAAGAGCACTATTTTTTAAAAAGAAAGCGGAAAGCCCATCGGCTATCTCAAAAAAGGACCGCTATCTATGCTGCACACACCCCAATGTCCTGAACAGTGGGAATCAAATGGCTAAGAAGTGAGACCAGCTGCAAGAAAGAAAAATGTTGACATATTCTGAACAATACAGTTGTCACAATGGAAAGGGAGGCACGCTACTATGAAAGGGGTTGGGGGGACACGAGACATATGGCAGTTGCAGTTTGCTTTGGATAAAAGGCGGTTTTTAAATTCCACACAGAATTCCACGCCGTCGAAGCCTGATTGTAGAAAGGATGCAGTCAGAAATCAAACCACCTTGCCAGAGTCTTACCTTGGACTTGACTCGTGAGGGAACTGCACACTGTTCGCATAAACTTCGATGATCTGGACAATATTGGGATGTGTCGCACACATCATGTGCAGCCGGACCTGATGGAGAAGAGAAGACAAGTTAAAATGCAGCCATGCTCATCCGCCTTAGCAACTGTCTCTTTGCTTCTCCCCCACCCCATTTTTATACCCCTCTGCCTGCGGGCAGAATTAAGGTCAGCTTGAGGAGCACTGCCCCTCCTGAAGTTCTTACCTCTAATTCTTAAGCGCATGAGAATCAACTTAGTTTAGCAATGAGGGAAGCACATCAGCCACATGCTCAGTTATTTTTCCAGTTTATACTGGCTGCCTGGCATGTTCTTGATCAGCCTTCCCCAACCTGCTGCCCTCCAGATGTTTTGGACAAGAGCTCCCATCCTGGCTGGGACTGAAGGGAGTTATACTCCGTAACATCAGGAGGGCAGCAGGCTGGGGGAAGGCTGCCCTTGCATGTGCGCCGGTATTTTTAAAGCCAAGATAAGCCCATGCTTAGCCTGAGCCTTGGGGTATAGGGTAGAATCAGGCAAGAGGCAAAGGAGCACGATTGTGCCGAGGAACAACAAGGCAATCAAGGCTGGTTGGCGGAATGAAAGACACACGTGGGTGCTGGCTGGCCAAGTCTACAGAAGACGTTAGGCAGGCAAAAACAAGGAGGATTACAAACAGGCAAGCAAAGTAGATACAGCAAAGCAATGTTTGCCAAGAGGTCCATCTGCTCTGGGAAGTATGTGGAGCAGCCTGCTAAGCAGCCTCCCCTGCTTCCTTCTGGTGAGGTGCTCAAAAGCTGGGCTCAAGGAAGCTGATCCCAACTGCAGGCGTTTCAAGGGTCAACAGGGCAAGGTTGAATAACTTTCTTGACGCAGCAGAGTTAGCGAAGGGGAATTGAAGAAATAAAGAAATGCCTCTGAGTAACTCACCACGAGCACCCATGTGTGGGTTCGTCAGAAATCTGGGACCACCTCCAAAATTTCACCCACATTCCAGCAACGAGTAACAGTCTATGGGGGAAACCGTGAGACAGGAGCAGCCCCGACCCCGTAAGCTGGATATCACTGCCTGCTCCACTTCCAGATCTGAGTGGGGGGTTGATTTTCAGCTCAGCCCAGCCAGAACCACCACTAACATCAGTACGGGTGGAGAGCAATTTCATCAAGCTTCCTCCTGTGTGGAATCTTACTGCCATAAAGGCAGAACCAGAGCAAACCTCAGGTGTGGAGTGAGGGATTCTGGGGCATAAGGCACACATAGGCACCACAATTTTAAGAAGGGTGATAAAGGGTCTGGAACGGTTATGAGGAACGGTTCAGGGAGCTGGGTATGCTTAGCCTAGAAAAGAACAGACTGAGAGGAGATATGATAGCCATCTTCAAATATCTAAAGGGCAGTCACATGGAAGATGGAGCAAGCTTGTCCCTTGCCAAAGTCACCGACAGATAAAAATGTCTTCAAATTGTGCCCAACATCACCAAGGAAGTGAAATGCCCACAGGGTAATAGTTATATATATATATATTTTTTAAAAAATTACGCATTATGCTTTATTTTACATTGTAAGCCACGCTGGTTTTATTTGACATGGAAAATAGACAGAAAATTATTAGACAATTAGGAAATCACAGTGGCTCTAAATAAAACAGCAACCGTCCACATATATTTAATGGGGTGTGTTAAGGAGTGCTTCTTACTGCTATAAATTGTTTTAGGATAACTGAGTGGGCAGGGGAAGAACACACAAGTGGAGCAACAGATCTATAGAACATTTTTCAAGAAGAGTGGACTATACCTCATTTCTAGCTTTAGGGCGATCGAGAAGGATCTTCAGTGCAAACCGTTCTTGAGACGATTTTTTCATGCAGACTCTGTCCAGATAGCAGCAAAATCATTTGGTTAGTGGGGAAGTTATAAAGAAGCTACCGACATATGAATGAATTCCTCATTTGAAGACAGAGAGAGAAAGAGAGAGAGAGTCTAAAGCCTTCCCAATCTAGACTCCTGCATTATTTCTACATTAATGTTTGGACATAGTGTGTTGGGAAACATCCCTTGAACAGGGCACAACATCCTGCCTGGAAGCCACGGCATCTCTCCACACCTGATGAACATAGGAAAAGTCATTTGATTGGTCAGAACCCAAATATAACCCCTGCCTGATCAGGCCCATTCATGCTTCCTAAAATGAAAAAGAGCTACTGGGGCCACAACTAGCTTACTTAAGTAGCTGGATTAAAAGGTGGTTTATGCTCCTACGCATGAGCACAAAAGCAGTCCAAAACAATTTGGAGGTGTGTGTGACCATGTCTGAAAGTCACATTTTGCTGTCATTAAACACATATGAGAATGGCATGTTACTGCATTTATTTTTAAAAAAAACATTGTAAAGGAGTCCTGTGAACTGCTGGAGTTATGTATGTGCAAATTGAGGATGGGAACCTTATGCAATAGTGGGACAGAAGCCTAATAAATAAAAGCATTAAAGATGTGTTACAAAATAACTTTGTTTTGACACAAACCGAATAAGAAATGAGCGAAGGAATATCCATTTCTGCTCACAGCACAATTAAAGCATTCAGTATTTCATTATTATCCAGAGAGTTTAATCACAGCAACAAAATGCATCTTCTTACCTTACTGGACCACTGATACCAGCTCCCAGCTTCTGAGTCCAGTTAATATGGTATTCTTCTAAAATAGAAGTTTCCTGTTTCAAAAGGGAAAAGAAGAAACATTTAACTACAGCATCATCTTTGGAGAGCTCAGGCAGAGCCCTATGTGATGCCAGCTGCAAATCCTATATAGTGTAATATAGTACCGAATTGTATTGTAATTATATAAAGAGCATATCCACAAATCTACAATACCAATTTGTTCTGTTCAGTTTATATGCTGGATCTTATTTAGCTGTAACTCTAGCATTTTGCTGTTTATGAGACATGTACAATAAATGTGGATATATAATAATTAATTGGGAAGGGGGAGGCAGCAGGAGAGAAGGGCAGCAACACAGGCAGGCAGCATTATGTCTTTTTGCTGCCAAGTGATGACCTTTGTCATGGACTGGTTGGATGCAGAGAAGTGGAAGGAAGGCCCAGCTGGGGAACAAAGCGCCCAGGGATTGGGGGTGGGACAACGAGTGGCCAGAGGGAGGTGGGAAGAGGAGGTGCCAGAAGCTGAAGATGCAACTGGGAGAATCTAGTTACAATTGGTCTGCCGTAGTCAAAACAAAATTTAAAAAATTCCTTCCAGTAGCACCTTAGAGACCAACTAAGTCTGTTATTGGTATGAGCTTTCGTGTGCATGCACACTTCTTCAGATACCAAGAGTTTGTGACAGAGAGAAGTCCAGAATCAGAAGCTGCAGCAGACGAGTGGGAGAAGGGAGGCCAAGATGAGTCAGGCTGGTGAAGAGTCACAGGTGTCTCCCCCTACTGCTGCAATAGCTCCCCTCCTCCCAAAACCAGAAGAGGGCTGAAATGGGCGGAGCAGCAGCAGGCTTCACGCAGGCACAGTTTCCGACTGCGTAGAAAAAGCCCTGGAGGAGACTTAAGATGGCTATGGGGAGGCAGGGGCTTTCGGTCTTGACAACTGATTCATGGGGTAAGTCCTACCGGGGATGTGCTCATTAGACCTGACATCAGCCAAGTTTGTACAGTTCATGTTTTTACTAAGACTTAATTCCAACTTTGAATGGTGTGATTGACAGCCAGCTTGCTCTTAGACACCTTTATACACTCACAGGCATTTTAGAATCTCTGGCATTTAGATCCTGATCTTCTGTTTCAGTTAGATGCCAATGCTGTTGTAGACCCCCTGGTCTTTAATACATAACTTCTTTACATTTTTATTGATATTTTCTATTTCTAAAGCCATCCAACTACAATAGGTGTTGGGGAAATTTCACCCTCTGGATGTTGCTGAACTACAACTCCTATCAACCGTGGCAATTGGCAATGCTAACTGAGGTTGATGGAAGTTGCAGTTCAGCAACGTCTGGAGGGGCAAAGGTTAACCACACCTGGGGCTATAAAGAGGGGTACAAATTTAGTGTATGTGTACAGCAACACCCACATATTCTTACCTCAATAAACATTTCCTTCCTGCTCCTCTACAGCAGTGATGGGCCCCCCCAGCTGTTTTTGGGACTACAATTCCCATCATCCCTGACCACTGGTCCTGTTAGCTAGGGATGATGCGAGTTGTAGTCCCAAAACAGCTGGAGGGCCAAGTTTGGCCATGCCTGCTCTACAGTCTCCCTTGTGCAGGCATACATGTGTATGTTATCACAAGCATCTTGGGGCAGAGACTTCTCTTCCCATTGAACACTGAATACTTAATTAAATATGTTGAACCCAAATAATCAAACATTTTCCTATTTGCCCCTGCCTCCTCCCTCTGCTGTCTCCCCAATATCCAATTTTAGATCGTAAGCACTTGAGGCAGAGACCTGTCATCTTATATTGATGGAAATATATCTTGCATATAATAAATAGTTAAGAACATGGCCACGCTGCAGTTTGTGTGGCCACCCACAGGGGGCACTGCAAACTACAGTACAATGACAAATTGGGCCCTCAGAGCTGCTGGGCCATCACTGCAGTTTCAAAGGGTGAGAAGGAGGGAACAAGAGATGAAGCAAACAAGTGGGCGGGTGGCCTGGGAGGTGGCCCAGTCCTACAAGCACAGTGGTAGGTGGGGTTGGCAAGTGAAGCGAGCTGGGCCACAGACCCTAGTAAATTTACAAAATCAATAATAAGAATCATTGTTTGGGAATGCTGTGCATGTGAATGGAGCTATAATACTAACACCATAGTAACAAAGAAGTGTTCTTTCATTCTCTGCTAAGTGCTGTGTATATATAAAGGGCTCTACACTACTACTACTACTACTACTACTACTACTACTCAGTGACAGAGTATGCAAAAAATCCTGGGTTCAATCCCTAGGATCTCAGATAGGGCTGGGAGACTCCTATCGGAGATCCTGGAGCATCACTGTCAGCTAGATGGACCACTGGTCAGATACGGTATAAGGCAGCTTCTTTTGCCTGAATTAATCCTCATATTCCTAACAGAGAACAAAACTTGTAAGCACTGGAACACATTTCTGCTTAATAATTCACTATTCTCTGAGTCACTGTACTCCACAAGCCCAGACCTGTGGGACATGTGACTTATTGGCCATGAATCATGGCAAGGGGGAGATCAACCTGGCCCCAACCATTCTCCATTGAAGTAGCAGCTGCTTCAACACTTGCTTTCTTCTTTCCTCTGTACCCTTCTTTCGTTTTGCATTGTGTCCACTAAGATTGTAAGCCAGTGAGCAGTGACTGTCTCATATTTGTAAGTATAAGTATAGTGATTAGAAAACTCTAGCTGCTTTGTAGGTATTATATATGAATAATGGGTGCTCTGTCAAATGAAGTGAGACCCTTGAAGTCCCTTCTAACTCTACAATTCTACAGTTCTAAGTAACCATCAAGAAGAGGGTCTTTTTCATAGAGGCACCCTGGTTGTAGAACAAATTTCCCAGGAAAGCTAGCCTGAGAAAAGACCATAATTTCAGCACCAATGGAAAAGCATTCACTTCGCACAGGCTTTTAAAATAAAGTACAACATGTGGCCCTCCGTTTTTAAATCCATTTAACTTTGCAGCTGCAGAGTTTTGTTTTTGTTGTATCTGTGTCTATTTTTGATGCCTATTTGTGTTTAAGCTTACCTATTATAAGCCACCCAGGGAAATTTATGTCGCAAAGCAACCTACAAATGCCATTAAGTCAGTCTTCCCCCAGTGTATAGCCTCCAGGTGTAGTTGAGACTACAGCTCCCATCATTCCTGACCACTACTGCCCTGGGTTTATGAGAGCCCAACATCATCTGGTTAGAAGGGAAGGTTGCCATAAATAAATAAAAAATATAAGAGATGCACGATTGCCAAGGTCCAGGATAAGAACGTAAGAAAGAGCCTGCTGAATCAAGGCACAAGGAGCCCATCTAGCTCAGCATCCTGTTCCCATAGCAGCCAAACAGATGCCTATTGTGGGAAACCCGTAAGCAGGACCCAAAACCAAGAGCCCTCTCGGCTCCTGTGGTTCCCAGCAACTGTTAATCCTGAGCATTTACTGCCTCTGACTGTGGAGGCAGTGCATAGTAGCCACCGACAGCCTAATAATAATAATAATAATAATTTATTATTTATACCCCGCCCATCTGGCTGGGTTATCTGCCACGGCTCCTCTTCTCAAGCCATCCAAGTTGATGGCCATCACTGGCTCCCGCGAGTTCCGCGGTTCAGCCAAGCGCTGCACGGACAAACACTTTCTCGTATCTGTTTTGAATCTGCCAAGAGGCCGGGGGTGCAGGCCCTGCTGCCGTCCGAACTCTGCACACGCTCAGAGGCACTGCGCCCAGGCTTCAAGTAGAACAATTAAGCGGCCTCCTCTTCCTCCTCGCCCACCCCTCCGCGCGTCGTCCATGAAGGCCGCCCCGCAGGCCCCGCTACCTTGATCATCTTGTCCGCGTCAGGCTCCTCCGACATCCTCCGCCGCTTCAGGCCCGGCGAGGGGAGCCTGTGGGGAAGGAGGGGGAGCGGGGCCGGGCTAGGCGGGGGGCCGCCCCTCCAAGTCGGTGTCGTCGGTGTCGTTGTTGTCGCCGCCCGCGCCGCTGCCGGCGCTGCTGCTGCCGCTGCCGCTGCCCCCTCCGCCACCGCCTCCTCCGCCGGGCTGCCGCCTCATCCCCACCCAGCCAGGGAAGGAAAGCGAAGAGGGCGCGAGAGGCCTTTCCTCACGGCCGGGAGGCTGAGGTAAATGAGGGGATGGAGGAAATTAGTGCCGCCGCCGCCGCCTTCTCCTCAGCTTTCCCTAATCCGGGCTCCGCCTCAGGCGCCGAGGCTCGACTCCGGCTAAGGAGCCACCAGCCATTGCCACAGCTTCGCCCCCGCCGAGGGCAGCCGCGCCTGATCTGCCGAGCAACTCCAGCGGGGTCGCGTTCGGAGCCGGGGCCTGCCTAGCTCCCTCTCTTTCCCGCCGTCTCTCTCGCGCGAGCAGCGATCCCAAATGGGCCTCTTTCGCGGCGGGGGGAAACTTATCAGGCGAGTGAAATAGGCAGCGTCAAGCATCACGAGCTGCACATCGGCGACGCGACGTCGTAGGTGAAAGGCCCTTCCGCCTTTCTTCACAGATGTATTTAGGGTGTGTGGGGGTTTTTATTATTATTATGGCCCGGGGACCTTCCTCTCTTTCGCGTCGCTTTTTGATGGCGCTTCGGTGCGGGGTTACCTGAGGGTAGGAATAAAAGCGGGGAGGGAATTTGATGCCGGCAGAGGGGAGGGGTTTCCTAGGCACGACTTCGCCCCGCCCCCTTTCGAACACGCCCCTTTGTGGGTTGACGGGGCGGTTTGGGTCACTCGCCGCTTTTCGAGGCGAAGTCTCGCGATGTTTGGAGATCGTCAAGCTCCCGGAGAGAAGCGAAGAAAGAAGGAAGCGAGGCTGGCGGCCATTTTGGCTGCGGAGCTCTATCCGTAGTTAAAACCTATGTAAACTAATCAAATGTAACCCCGCTGTTCTTAACCATACTGAAGGGACAGAATACCCAAATCCTGTCTGTGAAATCACCCCAGGCTTCAATAATCAACCAGGCCTCAAAACTCCTTTCGTCTTCTAAAAAAATCCAAAACAGCTTTTCTCTGCTCTTCTCACAAGATGCTGTGGCAAAAGGCAAAATGTTACTTTTAAAGGCTAATGAATAGGCTCTGTTCATAGCAGGCCTGGGAAATGAATCTTATCTCATTCAGTTGCAACTTCTTAGACATGCTGAACTGTTCTGATTCCCCTTTCCTGCCAAGAGTCCCAATAGTCCCAAGACAGCTTTCTGTTCATGCTCAGAGGAACTCATGGGGCAGGACTCCTGGGAAAGGAGGAGGGAACTGGAAAGGGGTATATATGCTTGTGCACATGACTGTGAACTTCGTGCATGCTTTTTGTGAACTATCACACTTGTTCCTTCTACCAGTTCATGGATGGTAGAAATAAAAGCCTTTTCTCCGAAACTATTCCTTGAGTGTCTGTTGACTCCCATTTTCCCTTTCCCGGGCGCAATATTTTCCCCACCCGAGGGCAAAGCCTCATAAGGCTACATTTCTATACACACGCACCCACAATGACATAATAAAAACGTTGTTTTTGAGCACGTCTTTACACGAACATAACCGTGTATCATTTCCTTTCACACGTTTGTGCCTGTGGATTGCAGCATTTTAACTACCCCTGTATCAGTGAATAGGTACCAAATAAAAAAGGGTTTTATCCTCAGTAAAGGGTGGGGGAGATAAGAAATGCCAGTGTTTGCCCTCTGGATTTTTTTTTCAGACTGCTTTGAGGCACATTTGGCTTCCACAGTGTGGGTGGGGACTTCTGGTGCCAATTTTAAGGGAGAAAAGTTAAAAGCCCAATGGGCTGTGGTAGGCTCTTAGGTACCAACTTTCAGGTCTCTAACGTCATTTGTTTATTTAAGCATATTACCAAACTACCTGGTGGTGCATTCAACATACATAAGCAGCAAAGGTACTTTTAATTTTGATACCATCTCAGGAAGTGTGGCCCAAATTCTCTGCGCATACAAAAAAAGGATAAAGGGTTTCCTTGCAAAACTGTGTTCCACACCTTTACCTGCATATAAAATACAAATAAGACCAGCACCAAAATGCTATAGTGTGCAGTGCTCCTGTTGAGCCAGCCATGACCTTTATGGCAATATGCCATTTTATTCCCCTCCCAGATTCTGTTACTTCTTCTCCCAGTTCAGCATCATGTAGCCAGTCATACTTTTTGCTCTGTCCCCATTTGGCCAAGCTGTGTGTTGTCCCTATGGTTCACTTCCTGAAAGTATTTATTTCCCCCCATACTTCTGCAAACCTTGATGATGCCCCAACCCTGGTGCTAGCTCCTTTTTGTAGGTGATGGAGTTTTAGCTATGCAAGTTTAAGCAGCTAGAGAACGAGTTCAAGCTAAAGGCAAAAGTGCTCAAGGTAAAATGTATGTGACTATTACCCTTGGACATTACGCTACATTCCAGCCATGCATGTCAGTGGTTTCTTTTATCTCTCTTCCACCTCCTCCATCCATGCAAAGAAGCAAAAGGGATCAGTGCATCAGGAAAGGACACATCCAGCCACACAAAAGCACTCAAGGAGCCTGATGGGAGTCCTGAGGGCCATGTAGAGAGGCTGGAAGGGCCACATTCAGTCCCTGTGCCTGATGTTCCTCACCTTGATATAAAGGATATGAAACATGCTGCCACATAATGTGGCAACACAGATTATTTTGCTCCGTGAATTTGTTTAATCGGTGGATATATGAAACTTTGCATTGCTTGCATGCCTGGCTTGCGGACTTCCAGAAAGCCATAGGGTCGGCTAACAGTGGTTCTTGAAGTCTTGTGTGCAGCAGCCAACTCCTCTTGCTGCTAAATTACACACTCACTTTAATAATGTCCCTCTCAGCCAATTGCATTCTGTATGGGAAAGACTGTCAGTCACCATATTGTCTACACAACAATCTCCCTACTTTCAAAGCATTCAGAGTATTAAAATTAAGGTTCCTTGGTTGCAAATGACTTGCAGCAGGTCCTATATCCATGGACAGTTGACAACCCAAAATAAACCAAATCCCGAAGAAAGTGGCTGCTGAGGGAGCATGGAATTTGAACCCTATGTTTTTCACTTGACTAGTGAAGAACTCTAAGGCTGCATTCACACCAGGCATTGAAAGTACTATGATACCACCTTAAACTCATGGTTTCCCCCAAAGAATCCTGGGAGTTGAGTTGCCATTTTTTAAGGGTGCTGCGAATTGTTAGGAGATCCCCTATCACCCCCTCCATGTAGTTAGAATTCTCAGAGTGGTTTAAACGGGGGACTCTGGGAACTGTAGCTCTCTGGGGGGAATAGGGGTGTCCTAAAACTCTCAGCACCCATCACAAACTACAGCTCCCATAATTCTTTAGGGAAAGGCATGACTATTTATAGTAGTAGCATGGTGCTTTAAATGTATGGTTTGAATGTGGCTCAAAACACTCATCCATCTTTCTTGTTTCCATTGTAATCACTAGAAAAAGTCTTGGCATGTTGAGAATTCAAAAGAAGAAGAAGAAAACCACCAAAGAGCGTCCCTTCCTCTATTATACAAATCCTTTTCTCTCTATTTCATCTTACCCCATTTGCACGAAGAGAAAAGGGTAACCGTTTTAACCAAAAATGGTCAGCAACTGAACAAACGCATGTCAACTATGAAATTTTCTTTATGTATTTGATATAAGATCAGGGGGGGAAATCACAGCCTGCGCTGGCTTCACAGCATTGATTGTCAAAATAAGCAGACAGTTTTAGAGCTCTCGTATATAAAAGGGGCAGTTTCTGTTTAGGTTACACACTGAGAAAGGACGGAAGTTCTCATTACTTAGATATTTGCTCCTATAAACAAACCTCAAGATACGTTCCAGATTACCATAAATGGGTACCATATAATCAGTTTGAAAAACCAGTTTGAGAAATTATTCTTAAAGTTCAAATGGATATCTGCATCCATTAGTGTAACATTAAGATATAGGGGTGCCTGGTACAGAAAAAAAGTGAAGTAAAATATAAGCAGGTAAATAAAGATTTTTCTTAAAATATATGAAATAAATGATCTTAGGTTGCTTGTAGAGGTGAAGGCTTTCTTCATGAAGGAGGTTCCTCTACTTCAATCCTGCTTAAATGCTGCTATCAAGAGGAATGGCAGCTTATACCGACGGTTTCAGATATACAGCTGATGTCCTTTAAGAATTCTTCTGTGGAACTTTGATGGTTACCTAGAAAGAATATGATTCATTAGACTTGGCCAACTTTGCATCTCTCACTCTACAAGACAATCAGTCCCAAGATGACACCCATGTCAACCCTGTTAATGTAATTCAGTTTCAAACAGTTTAGCAGAAACTTAGGAAGCTGTTAGGACCTTTTGCATGCACAGCACATCCTCTACCATTGAGCTTCAGCCCTTCCTCAAAACAGGATGCAGTCTACATAATATTGTGCTGGATTAATCAAACCCTACAGTTTCCCATTTACAACAGAATTGGCTGGAGGCTTCCACTAGCATTGGACAGAGCAATACTCAAATTTCACTGCTTTCAAGACTATAGCCCGGTGCCTGATCCACTTGGCTTATTGAAGTAGCACTGTATACGTCTCCTAATTCTGTTGCTCAAGTTGTGGGATACTGGGACAACTGCTTGCCACTTCAACTCTTTAAATTGAGTCTAAGGTGGGTATCAATTCTTCAAAAGTAGAAGAATTCCAGTGCTTTCTTTACATAATAAGAAATGCTTCCATGCAGGTACTTAAAAGGTGCCTAAACATTTTCGTTATGATCCAAGGTAGGAATTCTACAATAACCTAGCATACCAAAGCATTAGCTCAATGTTACCCTACAAACAACACTTAAAGACAGTAATGTTTGGAGCCTATTTGTTCAAGAGGTACTGCTCTTGTCCTGTCCAGTTGTAATTTTACTTGCATACAGATGCAGCCACCATTAGGTATGGAAGCCCAGTTTTCTGTTCACAACTAAAAGGTTGCCATCAGCAAAAAATGATTTATTGAAAATAGGAACACGGTTTAGACATATTGCCAAGCCATGATTTGTCATGAGGCCTGACCCAGCACCATCTGAACCACAATGGCCACCAAACCATAATCTGCTGTTAGGTTTTGAAGGTGGCTTGCCACCTAGGTCAGGCAAACAGTGGTTTAGTGTTACGCCTGAACTATGGTTTGGGAATTCCTCTCCCCTTTGAGGATGTCATCAAGGGATTCTCTGGGAATATTGGGAAAGAAGATCAGACAAACCATGGTTTGCAGTCTAAGCCAGAGTTAGTGAAAGACATGCTTTCATGTTATGTCTACAAAACCAGTGTTCGGTGGACTAAGGAGAGCAACATTTGACAAATCTTTATTCTGCTCTGTACCAAGTGAAATACCGTCAATTCTCCCATAAGCAAGACAAGTTTTATTTACTACTTGGAAGTCCTTGCCATTCTCTACTGGAAGATGCAAAATAAAAGCTTCAGTTTTCAAAATACTTAAAAACCAAACTAGGACGAGAGTTTCAGATCCTCACCGTTTTTACTTCCATGTATGGCGTGAGACCATATTCTCCCCCTTCCCGTCCTTGTCCAGATGCTTTGTACCCACCAAACGGTGTCTGGCTGCCAAAGACGTTGTAGCAGTTAATCCTGCAGGAGACATTGGGGGTTAGGAGTTATTTCTGGAGCATTTAGGTAACAGAAGACTACAGTGGTACCTCGGCTTAAGAACTTAATTCATTCTGGAGGTCCGTTCTTAATCTGAAACTGTTCTTAACCTAAGATACCACTTTAGCTAATGGGGCCTCCCGCTGCGCCCCCCCCCCCCGTGATTTCTGTTCTCATCCTGAAGCAAAGTTCTTAACCCGAGGTACTATTTCTGGGTTAGCGGAGGCTGTAACCTGAAGCATCTGTAACCTGAATCTTCTGTAACCCGAGGTACCACTGTACAGTGGTGCCTCGCAAGACGAATGCCTCGCAAGACAAAAAACGCGCAAGACGAAAGAGTTTTCCGTTTTTTTAGTCGTTCCGCAAGACGAATTTCCCTATGGGCTTGCTTCGCAAGACGAAACGTCTTGCGAGTTCTTGCGAGTTTGTTTCCTTTTTCTTAAAGCTGCTAAGCCGTTAATAGCCGCTAAGCCGCTAATAGCCGTGCTTCGCAAGACAAAAAAACCGCAAGACGAAGAGACTCGCGGAACGGATTAATTTCATCTTGCAAGGCACCACTGTAATCTCATTTCTTGTCCCCCTGATACCAAGTCTAACACTGCAGGCCTTGTCCAAGGCACTTATAAATTTGGAGAACAGGCACTAATTTGTTTGTGAGGTTTGAATACAGAAGATGAGATGTAAACTTCCAGCATTTCACATTTGAGGAGGAGAGGAAGGGAACTTTTGTTAAACCGGCAGACTCATGAACAGAATAATAAACGAAGTAATACATTCACTGCCTGTTATTTCTCCATTTGATAAATGTAACCAATGACAAAAAGAATGGATACTGAAACGTAAAATTCTGAATTGTTACTGGTTTAAATATTTGCCTGTGTTCACCAATCTAAACATCACAATGCAATCGCACATCATAATGTAAATATAATTACTCTGACATTCATCCTCTCTCATATATCTCAGTTTACAAGTTAAAAATGACATTATTTTGATTGTTTTATTTAATTGTTTAATTAAGTTATATGCTTATATGCAACAAAATGTGTACATTTATGCAAATGTATTTATATTTTTTGATTTTATTTTTTACTTTTTTAAAATAAAAAAACCAAAGGAAATAATACAGCCTTGTGTCCATGTGGGTTCTCACTCATCTGACATCTCTGGTCAGCCACAAAGACTAGCAAATTGTTTCCCAAAAAAAGGGTAGAAAAGTTAAACCAGCTAGGAAGTTAAATTCTGAAGAATGTCATACAGTTGGCAATACATAACAGTTTCGAAAGTTCATTGAAAAGAGGAACATAGAAAGCTAATTCATAGCCCCTTGGTGCCTCTAGCTCAGGAATAGCCAAACTCGGCCCTCCAGGTGTTTTTGGCCTACAACTCCCATGATCCCTAGCTAGCAGGACCAGTGGTCAGGGATGATGGGAACTGTAGTCTCAAAACATCTGGAGGGCCGAGTTTGCCTATGCCTGCTCTAGCTCAATATTGTTACCATGACTGACAGCAGTTCTCCAGATTTCAAGTCAGGAGCTCCTGGCATACCAGAAGATGCCAGGGACAGAACCTATAACCTTCTGCCTGCCAAGCAGGTGCTCCTCCTACAGCATTTCCTAAAGCATTTGGTGACTGCTCCCCAACGTTTAGCCCCTTACCAGACGGTTCCAGCACGCAGACCCTGGGAAATGTAATTTGCTTTGTCAATGTCCTTGGTGAAAACTGCTGCCGCGAGGCCATATTTGGTGTCGTTTGCTCTGTGGATGACTTCCTCTATGGTTTTAAATTTCAGTATCTGCATGACTGGCCCAAATATCTGTAAGACAGAGCAGGATGCATATGGAAACAGATAGGTTTGGCAGACAGGATCCTATAAATCCCTAAGCAACTTGGGACCTGGTTACCTGAAGGAATGCCCTCCCTCATATAGTCCTGCCTGGTTGTAGGGATTAGGAGGAGGAGGAGGAGGAGGAGAAGAAGAAGAAGAGGAGGAGGAGGAGGAGGAGTTTGGATTTGATATCCCGCTTTATCACTACCCTAAGTAGTCTCAAAGCGGCTAACAACCTCCTTTCCCTTCGTCCCCCACAACAAACACTCTGTGAGGTGAGTGAGGCTGAGAGACTTCAGAGAAGTGTGACTAGCCCAAGGCATAGCTGTCAACCTTCCCTTTTTTTGTGGGAAATTCCCTTATTCCAGTGCCGTTTCCCGCTGCTATCCTGGATTGTTATATATCCCGTACACTGTTCCCGGGACAGGTGAGGCTGTTGATCCCTTATTTTCGAGGTTGCTGATCCCTTATTTTCAAATCTGAAAGTTAACAGCTATGGCCCAAGGTCACCCAGCAGCTGCATGTGGAGGAGCGGGGAAGTGAACCCGGTTCACCAGATTACGAGTCCATAGCTCTTAGCCACTACACCATGCTGGCCATCTGGTAGCAAGCAGGGGAAAGGCCTTTTCTGTCCTTGCACCCAGCATATAGAATAATCTCCCCCCCACAAAATAAGGCAAGTACAAACCCTGCAGTTTTTTGTGCCTCCTATTCACTCCGGCCTTTGCTGGTCATCGATACCAATCAAACCACTGAGAAGTGTCTGAGACTGTACTAAATGATTCAATTGCATTTTAATAGATTGTTCTTGTTCTTACAGTACTGATATTTGTGTTGGCATTTGTGCTGTAAACAGTCTTGGGATTAGAAATATCTTATTTTATTATCTCCACAAGATTTATATACTGCTTGATTAGTCTAAAACCCCAAGGTTGCTTACAAAGCAAATAAAACAATGACATTTTCAGTAAAAACCAAAATTGCAATTTGCATTCTCTGCGCTAACAGCACTCAAAGTGAGACGGGGCGCTACAATAAAAATCATAACAGGTAATTTTAAGTAAATCATAAGTGAATGTACAGATAAAAGAGGATGGTTGGTCGGTTCTGGAGGCCACCATTGTAGCTCTGAGACACAGACCAATACAACAGGAGAGAAAAAGAGAGGGATCGCGTAGACCCCTCTAACCACAGCACTGTTATTCAGAGACTAACAAGTACAGGAAAACATTTTGCTGCTGACCTCCTCTTTTGCAATGGTCATGTTGTCCTGCACATCTCCAAAGATGGTTGGCTGGATAAAATAACCTCTGTCTGCAGCTGGACTGCCACCACAGAGCAATTTGGCACCTTCCTTTTGCCCAGTACCAATGTATCCAAGGATCTTCTTATACTGAGTCTCATCCACCTAGAAGACAAAAAAGCATGGTATGGCAGGTCAGTTCAATCCTTCTCAGAATACAGAAAAAAATACACTTTTAACACAACATCATGTGTACATGCCCATACGCAAACAGCGATTCTACAGGCAGAATGAAAGACATCAACTTTTTGTTGATGAGGTTATGAAGATCCTCTGACAATGTCATCTGTCAGGGCTGGGGAAGCCATGGTGCTCTCATTGTACGCATTCCTTGATCCTTGATTAAGCCGGCTGGGGCTGACGAGAGTTGAGAGACCAATAACATCTGGAAGGGACTGCTGGATCCCCATCCCTATTTTAAATCAACTGCCTTTGGGATTGGGTAGACAACAAGCTTTAAAATATTTTATTTGTTGAATATATACGTTGACAATTCCCATCATCCCTAGCTAGCAAGGCCAGTGGTCAGGGATGATGGGAATTGTAGTCCCAAAACAGCTGGAGACCCAAGTTTGGGAAACATTGCTCTAGATCAGTGGTTTTCAACCAGTGAGCCGTGGCCCCCTGGGGAGCCTTACGTTGTGGGTGGACTGTGTCCCTTCGCCCCCAGTCTCTTGGCTACAGCAAATGCTTTCCCCCCCCTCTCTCTCCTTTCCTTTCCTCCCCATCCTTGCCTCCAGATTGGCTGTGAACACACATGTACAGCCATCATTTGCGTTATCATGGTAATAATAGCCATCTGGGTAGTATTAAAAATGAATTAAATATACATAAACTGAAAGCTCTTTTGGGGGCCATTTGCCAGGGCGAAATTCCTTCCGGTCTAGGATGTCTCACAGTTCTTCCAATCCAGAATGTGTTTTATAAGGGCAAACTGGAATCACCTGAGGGCCCTGCTCCGTTTTGTGGTCAAATGGGTTTCCAACCACTCTGGATTTGGCCCTCTCCACGCTTCGCTCCACAAACTCGTGATATATATCTTCTTGGACGTACGTGCGGGACCCAGCACAACAGCACTGCCCTTGGTTGAAGAACAAGGCAGAATGAGCCTGCTCAACAGCCCAGTCCACTGGAGGAGAGAAGGAAGCCACAAGTCAGGAGATCTGGAAAGATATTATCTCAGCCATCAAGAGCATTAAGAATTACCAACACATCACCCCAGCTAAGATATGTTGCATGAATCCACCGTGGGGTAGCCTTGTTCTGTGGTACATGTGTAATAATAGGTCAGAATGTTTCAGGAGACTGCAGCCACTGTTAACCAGGTTATTTGTCTTGTCCCTTCTCTCGTTATCTCCTGAAAACAATAATGGCTTCATTTACAAAGAACTACTCTTGTAATTAAAGGGACACACGTGGCGCTGTGGGTTAAACCACAGAACCTAGGACTTGCTGATCAGAAGGTCGGTGGTTCGAATCTCCGCGACGGGGTGAGCTCCCGTTGCTCGGTCCCTGCTCCTGCCAACCTAGCAGTTCAAAAGCATGTCAAAGTGCAAGTAGATAAATAGGTACCGCTCTGGCGGGAAGGTAAACGGCGTTTCCGTGCGCTGCTCTGGTTTGCCAGAAGCGGCTTAGTCATGCTGGCCACATGACCCGGAAGCTGTACGGTGGCTCCCTTGGCCAATAAAGCGAGATGAGCACCGCAACCCCAGAGTTGGCCACGACTGGACTTATAATGGTCAGGGGTTCCTTTACCTTTACCCTTGTAACTGATAGCCGCTACTTGGCTAAAGCTAACCTATCAGTGGAAGTCCTCTACGAAGTTCTCATGGCAGGGATGGTGGTTCAAAATCTGGCTTCTTGCTAGCTGAAAATATGCACAAATACCTAACGTTATGAGGGGTGGATGTAAGTGGCCATTTAGAGATGAGAAGTACAATCACCACTTCTCCAGAAAACTTTCTGATTAGAGTCATTATTGAGATACTTCCCAGACTAAGCAGTTCCTGAGGCCCAGTGGACACATTTTGTGTCTTTCGGAAAGTTATCTTTTAGTTTGTTCTAAATCGTTGCGTGCTGTATTGTTACGTTAAAGTGTAGCTATGTAACGTATTATGTTGTGATGTCATGGATTTATAAATAAAACTATCTTAAACACTAAAGAATTATTAAGAGTCGCACTCCTGGTGAAGGAAGGCCCAGAGTGTCACCAGCCAATCCCGCGCTCCGCAGGGGCAAACCCACTCCTGTCAAGAGGGAAATGTCTCTTACTCTCGGCATCCGACATGATGATGTTTGGGCTCTTTCCACCAAGCTCCAGGGTCACCCTCTTCAGATTACTCTCTGCTGCAGCCTTCTGGATCAGGTGCCCAACCTAGAAATCGAAAGACAGGCAAGCTTGTTGTTTGGTATAAAAATAGGCTTGGCTTAAGGAACCACCACGGTGTGGCAGGCTTAGCTCTAGATTGGAGGGCTGGGGAACGGGTGGGGAGTCTCCTCTAGTGGACCTCCTCAATCGGTGTCAGAGACCAGGCTGGGGAGTACAACTCTGATGAGGAATGGCAGGAGCCTCCCCCTCCCCCTGCTCGTGGCCAGGATACTGAAACTCCACAGGAGCAGTGGAGTAGTGTTGATTTGGAACAATGGTTTGCTGAGGGGCACAGTTTGGAAGACAATAGCTGGGCGAAACCGGGAGGTGAACAGCAAGAAGAAGAACAGGAAGAGAGTGAGCTAGCAGACTCTCTCTCACTGGAAGATGTGCAGCTTCTCAGTCCCTAGGCTAAAAGCTTAGTTAAGGTGGCTTCACAAAAGGCTCAATAATAATAATAATAATTTATTATTTATACCCCGCCCATCTGGCTGGGTTTTCCTAGCCACTCTGGGTGGCTTCCAATAAAATATTAAAATACAATAGTTCGTCAAACATTAAAAAGCTTCCCTAAATAGGGCTGCCTTCAGATGTCTACTATAAAAGTCTGGTAGTTGTTTTTTCCTTTGACATCTGGTGGGAGGGCGTTCCACAGGGCGGGTGCCACTACCGAAAAGGCCCTCTGTCTGGTTCCCTGTAACCTCGCTTCTCGCAGTGAGGGAATCACCAGAAGGCCCTTGGTGCTGGACCTCAGTGTCCGGGCAGAACAATGGGGGTGGAGACGCTCCTTCAGGTACACTGGGCCAAGGCCGTTTAGGGCTTTAAAGGTAAGCACCAACACTTTGAATTGTGCTCAGAAATGTACTGGGAGCCAATGTAGGTCTTTCAAGACCAGTGCTCAACAACTTTGGCTCATCTTCCCAAATGGGTAGATCACTGCCAGTTTATTTATAGAGGGAGTAGGTTGCAATCTCTTGGAAGTTGGACGTGCTTATATTATTGCAACATAGCCTCCAAGTGGTGTTAAGATCACAAAAATACAAGAGAGATAAAATCAGTTTAAATTCACCATAAAAATAAGAAAATGTAATAAAAGCACAGAAACAAAAATATATTCACCATTTATGGATCCTTTCTGGGCCCGCCTTCCTCTGGTTTCTCCCCCCTTGAGAGAGTTCAATCCAAACTCCTTAGAGCTCTCCTACAAGTCCCCAGATGCGTTTCAAACGCATGGGTTAGACTGGAAACGGGGATGATGAGAGTGGAGGCTTATATCCACCTAACAGCAATCTATAAATGGCTGACACTGAATCTGCTCCCCCGAGGAATAGCCCCACTGATCCTCTGTGACCAATTCCAGTCAGGCTGGCAGACAGCAGTCCTGAACCCCCCTTCAGAAACTGGGTTTTGCCCCTTAAGCCCTTCTAAGTCTGGGGTTGGGCCAGGCAAAAGCTATGGTCAGGCAAAGAATCATAGACACTGAGAGACAATGGGAGTGCTCAAGGCGCCCTGACTATAAAATTGGAGAAATCGATATATATATAGCCGCACCTGCAGCATATCTCTTTTTTTATCCAAAAATACACTCGCCAGAAGCTCGGCTCTGCCCTCAACAGTCCTGGAAGGATCCTTTAAAAAAATCCCATATGCTCACAGACTCTGTGCCTGTTCATTGGGGGAGATAGGAAGCCCAGAGCACTTGTTCTTTAGATGTCCCCTTTTATGAAGAGGCACGTAGTGAGACCATTGATCCCCTGCTGGTGAGGCTTGCTGACCTCCCAGAAAAGCAAAAAATTGACCTTTTCCTGTTAGGCAAAGATCATAAGACAACCCGGATGGTCGCCAGATTCTGTGTACAGATCTGTAGGCACAGACCATCCCCCGACCCAAACTAGTTCGTTAAGAAAATCCCCAAACTCGGTTCCATGGGTGACTCTGGGTCTTCTCTCTGCAGTAGCTTATCTTAAAGTTTTAAGTGTCTATACGCTTATCGCATTTATAAATTTTAAATTTATTGTTGTACATTGTTTTAAATGTTTGTTTTCCTTCTGGGATTGTACCCCCAAGTGTGTTTTATAAGCAGGTCTCCGACCGTAATAAATTATCTATCACCATAATTTTCAGGGTATGCTTTTTTATTTGCGATTCTTTTTCTTATCAGCAGCTTGGTTATTAAATGCGATCTGCCACTATGCCTACGTAAACCAACTGATCTGTGAAATTCTAAAATCATAGGAACACAGGGTTGTTACTGGCTTCACTGCACTCCAAAAGAGCCTGTGGCAGCTTGTAGCAGCCTTTCTGTGTTCTGATTATGTATTGTACCAATGGTTTAACTGTATGTTGCTAGGTTAATATTAAGGGACGAGGGTGGCACAGAGCCTAGGACTTGCCGATCGGAAGGTCGGCGGTTCGAATCCCCGCGACGGGGTGAGATCCCGTTGCTCCGTCCCTGCTCCTGCCAACCTAGCAGTTCGAAAGCACATCAAAGTGCAAGTAGATCAATAGGTACCACTCCAGCGGGAAGGTAAATGGCGTTTCCGTGCGCTGCTCTGGTTCGCCAGAAGCGGCTTAGTCATGCTGGCCACATGACCCGGAAGCTGTACGCCGGCTCCCTCGGCCAATAAAGCGAGATGAGCGCCGCAACCCCAGAGTCAGTCACGACTGGACCTAATGGTCAGGGGTCCCTTTACCTTTACCTTAGGTTAATATTACACTGGATATAACTGTATCTCGTGGTTTCATTTGCACAAACCGTTCTGTGATTTTCAACAAAAGAACAGTTTAGAAGAACATCGGAAGAGCCTGCTGGATGAGGCCACTGGCCCATCTAGTCCAACATCCTGTTCTCATGCTGGCCAAGAAGATGCCCCACTGGGAATGGCAGATGCCCACAAACAGGATCTGAGCACAAGAGCACCTTCCTTCTCCTGTGGTTTCTTACAATGCAAATTTAGGAACTATTAGACTTGAAGGTCATTTTACCTACATAAAGTATGATTTGGGCATATTTCAAAGTATAATACAGTCGTACCTTGGTTCTCGAACAGAATGTGTTCCGGGAGTCCGTTCGACTCCCGGAACCGTTCGAAAACCAAGGTACGGCTTCCGATTGGCTGTAGGAGCGTCCACGCTGGACATCTGGCTTCCGAAAATCGTTCGAAAACCGGAACATTCACTTCCGGGCTTCAATAGTTTGGAAGCCGATCTGTTCGGGAGGCCAAGGCGTTTGAGATCCAAGGTACGACTGTAATTTTATTTTTTAAAAAAGAAAGAAATCAGTAAAAGTCTTAAGTCCAAAACAAGTGGCACCTCGGGTTACATACGTTTCAGGTTACATACACTTCAGATTACAGACTCCACTAACCCAGAAATAGTACCTCGGGTTAAGAACTTTGCTTCAGGATAAGAACAGAAATCGTGCAGCGGCGGCGCAGCGGCAGCAGGAGGCCCCATTAGCTAAAATGGTCTTCAGGTTAAGAACAGTTTCAGGTTAAGAATGGACCTCCAGAACGAATTAAGTTCTTAACCCGAGGTACCACTGTATGCACTTTGAAATGAAACTGCACATTAAAATACAGTGGTGCCTCACAAGACGAAATTAATCCGTTCCGCGAGTGTCTTCGTCTAGCGGTTTTTTCGTCTTGCGAAGCAACCCTATTAGCGGCTTAACGGATTAGCGCTATTAGCGGTTTAGCGGCTATTAAAGGCTTAGCGCCTTAGCTGCTAAAAGGCTATTAAAGGCTTAGCGGCTTAGATAAAGGGGGGGAAAGCGAAAAAAAAATCTCAAGACTCGCAAGACATTTTCGTCTTGCGAAGCAAGCCCATAGGGAAATTCGTCCTGCGAAGCAACTCAAAAACGGAAAACCCTTTCGTCTAGCGGGTTTTCCGTCTTGCGAGGCATTCGTCTTGCGGGGCACCACTGTAATTGTCTACTTTACAGATCTGGCACAGGGTGTGACCTATCCTACACCTTTCAGAAGGGAGGGAGAAAAGGGAAAGATTCGTACATGCAGATATTCCTCACCTCTGTGGAGCCAGTGAAGGCGACTTTATCCACTTCCATGTGGGAGGAAATGGCCGCCCCTGCAGTGTGCCCGTAGCCAGTTATCACATTCACAACGCCTGGTGGGAATCCAGCCTGCAGGTTTATAAAGACAAGTGAAAATCTTCACAATAGTCTTGTCCATTCCAAAAATCAAAGGTTTGCCAGGGTGCTCAGAACTCAGCAATGTCTTCTGAGCACCCAGGCAAGGAAAAGAAGGGGAAAGGGTTTGTTTGGAGCTCACGCATCGTCCGAGTCAGCGAGCAGGACAAGGAAGGGTGAAGAACGAAGCAGAGAGTGGCAGCCCTAGAGACCTCTCTCTTAACATTTAAATTTATATTTATTAAATTTTCATACTACATAAAAGGGTGAGATACCATTCCAATACAAAAGAAAAAACACACTGTCATAAACATATATAAACCTATATCCTCCCCCCCCCTCGTGAATTCCCATCACCCCACCCTATCACTCCCCTCCACCACACCTCGAATTAACTTTTAATTTCAGTACTCTCATTGCAATCTTTATGTTACTGAATTTTAATCTCCTTACCGCATCCTAACTGGTTTTATCCTTTCCACTTTACTCCTTTAGTCTAAGCATATCAACACGTTCTGTTTTGAACAGTGTTTATTCCTATAGTCACCCCAGAGACCTCTCTCACCTCTTTGACCAGGCTGGCCATGTACAGGCCAGTCAGAGGCGTTTGCTCAGCCAATTTCATCACCACCACGTTCCCTGTGGCCAAGGCGGGCCCCAACTTCCAAGCCTGCATCAGCAGCGGGAAGTTCCACTGCAATAAAGAGAAAGGGACCAGATCAACATCGAGGAAACACAGGAAGAGGGAATCTGGGAGGGGACAGACGGACGGACGGACACACGTTTTATTTTGTTTTTAACTCATAAACTGTGGACCTCTTTGGATAACTGGGTTATTTGAGAGGCAATACCTCTAATCTGGAACGTGTCCAGAGGAGGGCAACCAAAATGGTCAGAGGCCTGGAAACGATGCCTTATGAGGAACGGCTAAGGGAGCTGGGCATGTTTAGAAGAGGAGGTTAAGGGGTGATATGATAGCCATGTTCAAATATATTAAAGGATGTCACATAGAGGAGGGAGAAAGGTTGTTTTCTGCTGCTCCAGAGAAGCGGACACGGAGCAATGGATCCAAACTACAAGAAAGAAGATTCCACCTAAACATTAGGAAGCACTTCCTGACAGTAAGAGCTGTTCGACAGTGGAATTTGCTGCCAAGGAGTGTGGTGGAGTCTCCTTCTTTGGAGGTCTTTAAGCAGAGGCTTGACAACCATATGTCAGGAGTGCTCTGATGGTGTTTCCTGCTTGGCAGGGGGTTGGACTTGATGGCCCTTGTGGTCTCTTCCAACTCTATGATTCTAATTTCCTGGAAGATATGCTCAACCGTTCTTGCAATTAGAGTTAATTGGGTGCTCTCCCTACTAGTTATTCCTTCCTCTCTGAGGAGCACAGGATCAGCTTGCCCCATTGCTGGATCCAGTTCCACGCTCTCACCTTGAATACTCTCCCCACACTCACAATCATCTTCAAGAGGAGAAAACCGGTTTTTTGTTGGAACTGTAAAAGCAGATTTGTTAAAAAAGTCCTCTATTTTAGATTGTTTGGGAACCGGTGAGACAGCTACATCCTCTGGGTCCCTGTGGCGTTTACTAGCAGGCATAGCGTCACCGTGGGGAGTAAACAAGGAGAGGTTTCCCCAACCAAAAAAGAGAGAAAAGAATAGAAAGTGCTCAGTTTGTTCAATTTAAGAGCTTCTCTGTGTGGAGGCTGCCAGGAGTTTCAGAAACAAGGTATAGAAGGGAGTTGGTGGTTAATAGCTAGCAGCTGGTGGCCTGCCCAGGATGCTTCACAGAACTTGCCCAGGATGTTTCTCATAGCATAGACAAGAAGGTGCTGTTAGACTCTCAGTAAGTTAAAAAGTAGAGAAGTAAAAAAGGAAAAACTACTTCCCTGGGTGGCAGTCAACGCCAACTACAGTCCTGTTATCTGCGGAGCTCCGAAGCCTGCCTGCCAAGCCGTCGCCATCTTGGACTCCCCCAATAAGTGCGTTTTATTTATGTACAGTGAGAAAGAGTGAGTAGGTGGCACAAGGGATCTGAGGGCGCTCCCCGAGAAACACAGAGCTGAGTGGGTAAAGTCCCTGAGAGTACAGTCATACCTCGCGTTACAGCCGCTTCAGGTTGTGTTTTTTTGGGTTGTGGACCACTGAAACCCGGAAGTACAAGAACGGGTTACTTCCGGGTTTCAGCGCATGCATAGAAGCGCTAAATCACGCTTTGTGCATGCACACCGAATCACAACTTGCGCGTGCGAGGTTGAGATCGCTGCGGGTTGTGAACGTGCATCCCGCACGGATCACATTCGCAACCCGAGTGTCCCACTGTACATGCCTGCATACATCGTTTTATTTATTATGCCTCCTTTCCATGGTTAAAACCATGCTCAAGGTGGCTTACAGCATGGAAAAAATACAGCATAAAATAATAATAATAATGACAAACCTAACAAAGTACAGTGGTACCTCGGTTTTCGAGCATCTCAGAAGCCGAATGTTTCGGTTTTCGAATGCCAAAAATCCAGAAGTAATTGCATCCGTTTTCGAACGTGCCTTGCTTCTGCTGCGTGTTTTTCCATTTTTCCAATTGAACTTGCAGCCAGCCCTCTGCGCCTCGGTTTTCGAACGTTTCGGAAGTCGAACGGTCTCCCGGAACGGATTACGTTCGAGAACCGAGGTACCCCTGTAGTTACATCTGGGGCAAATACTGAAGGAGGAAAGTGGTTTTTTTAAAGTCTTCTAAAAACTCCTCCTTCCTCTTTTCCCACTGACAGGAGCTTGTGTGTGGGAGGAGAGTGGCATGACAGGGTGGGCATGCTAGGCATGGTGCCCAAACCTAGAGAAGGCAGCGAGCAGAACATAAAAAGCTTCTGGCTTCCCCGGCTCTGGGGGCAGACCTGCTTCCATCTTCCAGCAGTGCCCTTACTTACCGGAATGATCTGTCCGCAGATCCCCACTGGCTCATGACGGGTATAGGTGAAGAAGTCCCCATCGAGAGGAATGGTCTTCCCTTGGATTTTGTCAGCCCAGCCGGCATAGTACCTGATGGAGAACAATTAATAATAATTATAAATTTTATTTATACCCCACCCTCCCCAGCCAAGGCCGGGCTCAGAGCGGCTAACACCTGATATAAAAACAAATTGATTGAAATACAGCTTAAAAACAAGATTAAAAGACAACATTAAAACATCAAAATATAAAAATACAGCCTCATTTCAATGGAAACTCAAATCCAAAACTTTTTATGGCGGGATGAAAACGTCAAGTCTTCACCAAGGCTAACTTGCCAGACTGGTCCTATATGGGCCAGAAAAAAGCCAGGGAAGTCCCCAAATAGGAGTTCCATCACAGAAGGAGAAAGGAAAAGAAAGAGGGGGAATCAAATTGACGCCGGGTGGAACAACTCTGTCTTACAGGCCCTGCAGAAAGAAATCAGATCCTGCAGGGCCCTGGTCTCATGAGACAGAGTGTTCCACCAGGCCGGAGCCAGTGTTGAAAAGGCCCTGGCTCTGGTTGAGGCTAATCTGACTTCCTTAGGGCCCGGGACCTCTAGGGTGTTACTATTTATGGACCTTAAGGTCCTCCGTGGGGCTGTCACATCAGTTTGACACACACACACACACACACACACACACACACACATTCCATAGACATCAGCGCAGGGCATAGTTAAACGATGGAACGCCCTTCTGCAGGAAGAAGTGATGGCCACCAACTTGGATGGCTTTGAAAGAGGATTGGGTCAACTCATGAAGGAAAAGAAAGCTATCGATGGCTACTAGCCCAGTTGGCTAAGCTCTGCCTCCACAGTCAGAGGCAGGAAGGGTTGCTAGAAATTGCAGGAGAGAGAGCACTCTTGTGTTCGGGTCCTGCTTGCCCACAGCTGTCAACTTTTCCCTTTTCTTGCGAGGAATCCTATTCGGAATAAGGGAATTTCCCTTCAAAAAAGGGAAACATTGACAGCTATGCGCTTGCCAGTTTCCCATTGGGGCATCTGGTTGGACACTGTGAGAACAGGATGCTGGTCTAGATGGGCCCCGCTTGGCCTGATCCAGCCGGCTCTTCACAAGTTGTTACGAAATTGACAGGCCTATTGTTTTAATTCTTTGTGTAATGTTCTTATACCCCACCCAGCTAACCATACTAAAACACAATAAAATCGCATAAAGCAATTAGAACAATGTATAATTCAAAAACAGGGACGCGGGTGGCGCTGTGGCTTAAACCACAGAGCCTAGGACTTGCTGATCAGAAGGTTGGCGGTTTGAATCCCCGGCAACAGGGTGAGCTCCCGTTGCTCGGTCCCTGCTCCTGCCAACCTAGCAGTTCAAAAGCACGTCAAAGTGCAAGTAGATAAATAGGTACCGCTCTGGTGGGAAGGTAAACTGCGTTTCCGTGCGCTGCTCTGGTTCGCCAGAAGGGGCTTAGTCATGCTGGCCACATGACCCAGAAGCTGTACGCCGGCTCCCTCGGCCAGTAAAGCGAGATGAGCGCCGCAACCCCAGAGTCATCTGCGACTGGACCTAATGGTCAGGGGTCCTTTGACCTTTACCTCTATAATTCAATAACAATTCACAAAGACAATACTATTCCTGTAAAAGTGTTCAGATAACTACCAAAGGCTTGGCAAAATAAATAACATTTAAGGCGATGCCCAAACATCAACGGCATGGAGGACCATCGAATCTCAGTCAGGAGAAGTTCCTATGTGGAGAGGCACTACGGAGAAGACCCTGCAAGTGTCCCCAGTGCCCCCTCCCCATTCCTCGCTCACTTATGGCACCGCTAGCAGAGCCTCCCTGACGATCTTAAAACTCAGGACAGAAAGTATTGGGGGAGCACTGACAATTCCCTAAGAATGGATGAATGAAAAAGAGCAACAGCAAATAAATTAAGACTGAAGTGATTGAAATCATTGGGCTTTTTTAAAAAAAAATAAGAGCGTGGCGCGCACGCATGCACACAGCGTTTCAGATGATTTTGGTAAAGCCTGGAGACCATTCATTGAATTTTATAATACAGAACAAAATAAATACAGCTGTTGCGTTCCATATTGCCTTATTAATTTTCTTTTCTTCTGATCCGTGAATAGGCATCTGTGCTTACACTGGTTTTTTCCATAGTGCAGTTATTGACTTTTATTGCTCTTATCTGTCAACAGGCATATATACTTAACTTTGTTTTCAATGAGCCAGTATAAATGCATAAAGATCAGACTCATCCCATGTGAGTGACTGTTTGCAACCAAGAGTCTGCTGAAATCAAGAGCTGAGCTGGTCTATAGCACCGGTTCTTAGGGAAAGCACTAAGGAATAACAGCTATTCACAGCTACACCAGGAGTCTATTTCTTAGCTAACCTCCAAACTATCTCCAGAACCTATATAAAACTGTGAGCAATGCAGCTGAGCGCACACACCACACCAGGAACGGCTCCTGTGCGATTCCTCTTTACTTCCATGAGGTTTGTGCAGGACAGACACGCCAAACTCCAATGCTCTCATGTTCCTCCCATGCCTGTTTAACGGTCAGGGCTATATAGAATCACATAATGGTATAGCTGAAAGAGGCCCCAAAGTGTCATTGAATCTAACCCCCTACAATGCATGATTACAACTCCTTACCGCAGGTGTTTGACAACCATGTCTAAATCCACCAGATAGGCGATCGAGTACGGCTTGCCATTGTCCAAAGTTTCCAGGGCCTGCGAACAAACGAAAATCAGCGTTACAACTTTGATAGCTTTCAAGGAGGGTACAGATAATTTTGGGGAGGATAAGGCTATCGATGGCTACTAGTCATGATGGTGTCAGTTTGCATTTCTTAGTACAGACAGTATTGATCGGATGTATAGAGAGCTTTCATATTCTACTTAATTCCAGAGGGTTCTGGAAGCTTCTCTGTGTGAAAAAAACAAGCAGAGACTTCATGTTGTTTGGGTTATTCCTCCAGAGAAGCTGAGTACAGCTGGTTTAAATTGGTTCTGTTATCTCTTTCTGTCAATGTCATGCTGACTATAATAGTAGGGCCAGAAGGAGCATGGGTTTTACACTTTCTCGTTCTATCACTTTTCTGTCTGGTGTGGTGTTCTGTACATAGTGCTAAGGTTTAGTCTTATTATAAATTATTGTGAGCTTTAAGTTAAGTCTGCTGCAACTGGATTTCTTATTGGACAGTGCCAATCCTGAATGTATTGGATTTGTGACCATTATGCTCATTTGCCTTCAGTAGCAGTAAAGCTCTGCTGGATGAAATATAATTGCCTCTGGTCTGTTTTATGGGAATCCTGCAACGCGTTTAAGTTGTTACTCTGCTAAATATACATTGGAATCTACTCTGGATGAATACTGAGTAGAATTTCAATGTCAGATGGCTACAACCTACTTTGAGGATCGGAAGCAGCAGACCTCTAAATACCAATTTCTGGGGCACGCGGATGAGGGGAGAGCGTTCTTGCACGCAGGCACCTCGTAGGTCATTGTGAGACTTGCTGAAATAGATTGGCCTCTTGTCTGATTCTTCCCACCCCACTGCCTGTTCCTGTTTTGAGGAACCAGATGCTACTAGGCACTTCCAAAAGTGAGACCTTCAGGTGTAGGTCAGTATATAAACTCAATGAAGAAGAAGAAGAGAAAGGATCCAAAAGAGGAAAAGAGGAGAATGCACCTGGGGGAAAAAAGTTCAAAACATACCGCCAGGTATGCACGGTCCCTCTCAACCAGATCAGCGAGGCGGTGCAAGAGTTTGCCCCGGTGGGCGGCGTCCATCCGCCTCCAGGGAGATCCAAATTTGAACGCCTCTTTGGCTGCCTGAACAGCTTTGTCTACGTCGGCCTGGAAGAGAATCAAGGTGGGACACAATGAGCAGGCAAATCCGCAAGCAGATCTGAGACTCTGGAGAACTGCTCATTCAGACACCAAGCTAGTCTACAGCATCTTCCCATTCTTCCATGGTGAGGGCATCAAGTCTAGGTTTCAGGAAAGCAAGAGATCCGCCGAGGCAGTGTCTCTGTGAGAGGGTGCAGGGAGCCTGTGGTCTTCCAGATGTTGCTGGACTACAACTCCCATCACCCCTGACTCCTGCACACACTGCGTAGTGGTAATGGGAGGTGGAGTCCAACAGCCTCTCAGGTTCCCCATCCCTGCTCTTTGGTATCGAACGACAGAACCATTTACCCACTAAGGAAAATTACGTCTCTCAGAAGAATGTTTCCTACCATCTTATCTACAAGATCCAACAACTCTAAAATGTAAGAGAGCTTTTTTTATATACCGTGGTACCTCTGGTTACGTACTTAATTCTTTGCGGAGGTCCTTTCTTAACCTGAATCCGTTCTTAACCTGAGGTACCACTTTAGCTAATGGGGCCTCCCGCTGCCACTGCACGATTTTTGTTCTCATCCTGAGGTAAAGTCCTTAACCCGAGGTACTACTTCCGGGTTAGCGGAGTCTGTAACCCAAAGTGTTTTTAACCCGAGGTACCACTGTAACAATTTTTCACCCAGTGAGCTTCACAGCCGAACAGGCATTTGAACCCTGGACTCCCAGGTCCTAGTCCAACACCAACTGCTACTATATGGACTTGTCAGTATTGATGCAATGGTTCTTGCATTGCTCTTCTACTTTGTTATCATCTCAGTACAGTGGTACCTCGGGTTAAGAACTTAATTCGTTCCGGAGGTCCATTCTTAACCTGAAACTGTTCTTAACCTGAAGCACCACTTTAGCTAATGGGGCCTCCTGCTGCTGCCACGCCGCCAGAGCACAATTTCTGTTCTCATCCTGAAGCAAAGTTCTTAACCTGAAGCAATATTTCTGGGTTAGCGGAGTCTGTAACCTGAAGCGTATGTAACCTGAAGCGTATGTAACCCAAGGTACCACTGTAAATTTTCCTCCCAGCGGACTGAAACAACCTGATGTCAGAAAAGTCCACTGAACCTGTAGCAGCTGCCGTTAAACCGAGGACCTCTGAGCCTTGTTTTAAGTGGATTTGTTGTTTTTTGTGTTTTAAACCGTTTTTAATCATTTCATGTGCAAATTTCCTAGAAATGGTAGTTTAGAAGGTGAGATAATAAATAGTAGTAGTAGTAGTAATAATAATAATAATAATAATAATAATAATAATAATAGAGAATTGCCTGCAAATAAGATGTGTGGGCAAGATTGCAGACAAAAATGTGTGTGTTAGGAGAAATGCAAACTAAAACACTGACAAACTTTCACAAGACCTTTTTCTTTCTTAACTGAGGCTGGTGCAGATATGTGGTTCATGGCACCTAAGTTTAGGAAAACGAGAACCTGAGAGAAACCCCGACTGACAGATCTCCCCACTCTTCCTGCTTGCTCGCTCTTCCTGGCCAGATACTACACAGTTAATTATTCCTCCTTGGGTGCTGTACAGTTTTTGCTGTGTCATTCCTGTTTGCTAACCCAGCTTCTGCCCAGATATAACATTACCATGTGAAAAGGAACAGCCACATGTTTGCTGCCAAAACGCAGCCGTATAAAGGCCGGTGCTCTGGTAAAACAAGGAAATGTTTACTCTGTGTGTGGCCGTCTGCCAGGAGCAGCCTGTTTGTTTCACAATCTCTGATTAAGGCCAGACAATCAGACGATTTCTATGTTGCTGGAAAGTTAGGTTTGGTGTAATCGAGAGGCAGAGAGGCAGAACCTGTAGAAAGCGGCAAGCCCTAAGGTGGTAAATTACTGCTCTACCTGTTCCTATAGGCTCACGGAAGCTTAAAATACAGGAATAGATACACTGATATGACCCCAAATGCCATTGTAGGCTAGTATCTTTATTAAGGGCACACACCCCTTGCAAAAAGAAGGGTCGCCAAGTTGCAACAAGCTCCTGAATCTGCCAGAACTTGCCAAGGCTCCATTTAAGCAAAAGCAAGCAGAGGACAAATCAAAGCCCTCAAAAGTACCAAGAACCATAAAACTTAAAGGTGCCACGTGACTCTTTGAGTCCATGCTACCTGGGAGATTGTATCTCCTCATAAAAACCTGCCTGAGGGCTAAGATCTTCTAGTGAGCGTCAACATCAGAGGAACGGCTGGTGGCGGCACGAGAGATTTTCCCGTGGCTGCTCCCAGATTGTGGGATTTCTTCCCAAGAGAGGTCTGAGTGGCAGGCTGAGACATTCCTGCCCAGACAGGTCCTTGGAAACTGAGGCGCAGGTGCTGCTAACCACTGCTGTCAGGGAAAACTGGGTTTTAATTGCTGGTCCAAAATGTGTTTTATTTCAACTACTGTTTTTAACTACAGTGGTACCTCGGGTTACATACGCTTCAGGTTACAGACGCTTCAGGTTACAGACTCTGCTAACCTAGAAATATTACCTTGGGTTAAGAACTTTGCTTCAGGATGAGAACAGAAATCGTGCCCCGGCGGCGTGGCAGCAACGGGAGGCCCCATTAGCTAAAGTGGTACCTCATGTTAAGAACAGTTTCAGGTTAAGAACGGACCTCCGGAATGAATTAAGTACTTTACCCGAGGGACCACTGTACTTGGTATTTTATAATGATGTTCTTAACTGTGGGAAGCCGCTTTGAATCCCAGCTTGGGAGAAAGGCAGGATCTAAATAATAAATAATAGTAAATACCGTAACAGTCAGTTTTGCAACAAAACTTGTGATATTATTCTTACCACGTGCCAGGGGCGAGGCTGAAATGCAGAGTTACAATCCAGTACTACAAGGATGTCCAACAGGTCGATCACGATCTACTGGTGGATCCCCGTGAGGTTTTGGTAGATCTCTGGCTCCCTTTCCGTAGCATCGCTAAAACTGACTCCTGCCCTGCCCTCCATGGTTGTATGTTCTCTGGAAGACGGAGCTTTCTCTGTGCAATCTTTTAGTGAGTGACTTTACCCCTTTTCCCCATGCCTTTAACCCCCCCCCCAAAATGGAAATCCCCCCAAAAGCTTATTTTTTAACCTCCCCAAAAACGGGGCTCTTCTCCTTCCCTAAAAAAGCTCAGCAACTTTGAGCTGAACCCCCCAAAATGGGTCTTTCATTCCCAAAAAAAGTTCAACAACTTTGAGCTGAACCCCCCCAAAATGGGGGTAATCACTGCCAGTTTATAATTCTGAAAGTAGATTGCAGTCTCTTGAGAGTTGGCCACCCCTGAGTGTACTAGATGGTCTGATTCCATTTAAAGGCAGCTGCTATTGTTCCAACTTGCTAACCCTTGCCAACCCGTACTTTTCAAAACATCTGGAGGAGACTGGGTTGGCAAAGGCGACACGAAGCATAAACAAACTAGGACAGGCATTTCCCCTGACCCCACTGATGTGGTACCTTGTCTCCTTCTGCAACCTGGCAGATAACCTCCCCTGTGGACGGGTTGACGGTCGGGAATGTTTTCTTGCTGGCTGCATCGTGCCATTCATTGTTGATGAAGATCTGCAAATGAAAACGTGGACTGTAAGCTTTTGGGATGCAACGCTTCACAGCGAGATTGATGCTTCAGGAACCAACACACAGCTAGGCGAAACCTTAGTGTTGAAAGGCAGATTTTGGAGTGCCATTCCCCTCCTGAAGTAATCCCATAAAAGGTAAAGGGACCCCTAACCATTAGGTCCAGTCATGGCCGACTCTGGGGTTGCGGTGCTCATCTCACTTTATTGGCCGAGGGAGCCGGCATACAGCTTCTGGGTCATGTGGCTAGCATGACTAAGCTGCTTCTGGCGAACCAGAGCAGCGCATGGAAACGCTGTTTACCTTTCCGCCAGAGTGGTACCTATTTATCTACTTGCCCTTTGACATCCTTTTGAACTGCTAGGTGAGCTCACCCCGTTGCAGGGATTTGAACCACCGACCTTCTGATCGGCAAGCCTTAGGCTCTGTGGTTTAACCCACAGTACCACCCGCGTCCCCATTGTAAACCCATTTTAAACCCCATTGTAAACGAAGACCCACAGATGCTCAAATACCGAAGTGGACCCTCAAGCACTACCCTGAACGAAAGAAATTTCAAGAAGTGGCCTGAACAGCATCTTAATCATTACAAGAAAGCAAGAGAGCAAGAAATACTGGCCTATTCAAAACAGCTGCTGCCCTAGGTGTTAATATTCTTTAGCCATTTATGAAAAACCTTTGATACATATAGCAACTGTTGACTCAGAAACTGCCGCCCAGCTCATTTACCCAGCACAAACAGAGATAAGCACCAGATAAGCACTTATCAGAGAGTAGCAAAAGGGACAATACCCTCTTCCAAAACAAGTAACTGATTCTAGAAGAAATAAGAAGTGGCCCAAGCATGCCTGACAGCTTGCAACACAAAAAAATGCCTAAGATGTTTGCCAGTAAAAATAAATACAACCCGCCATTTACAGCAAAGGTAATTGCTGCCCCGATGTGCCCGGTTATTTGGGGGAGAGAATGCACCCACAGGCAGTCTTTGTGGCCCCTTTTCAAATGCCAGCACCTGTCCCATAGTGCTAGTTATAATACAATTTGACCCAGATATTGCAATAATAGTAATAATAATAAAAAAATAATAATAATGTATTTATACCCCGCCCTCCCTGGCCAGAGCCGGGCTCAGGGCAGCTAACACCAATAAAATTACAATAAAACATAATGGGGGGGACGACAAACAAACAAACAAACACCCAGTTTATTAAAATACGGGTTAAAATACAATTTAAAATGCAGCCTCATTTTAATAGTAGCTTTAGTAGTAGTTTTAATCAAAACCACAAGGGGAGGGAAACATAAGGGTCAGACTGCGTCCAAACCAAAGGCCGAACAGCTCTGTCTTGCAGGCTCTGCGGAAAGATGTGAAGTCCCGCAGGGCCCTAGTCTCTTGTGACAGAGCGTTCCACCAAGTCGGGGCCACTACTGAAAAGGCCCTGGCCCTAGTTGAGACCAATCTAACCACCTTGAGGCTTGGGACCTCCAAAGTGTTGTTATTTGTGGACCTTAAGGTCCTAAGCGGGGCATACCAGGAGAGGCGGTCCCGTATTGTGTGTCCTCGGTTCATTTTGACAGCAGCTCCGAACAGCTGACAAAATTATACACATACAGGAAGCATTTGTTTGTAATAATATGAGATATCTGGTCTGCATTCTTAACTGAACCAACTCACTTTGCACCTTGTGTATTAATACACGGACCTCTTAACCTTTTAGACTTTGCATTTCTCTGAATTGGGCAATAAAGTTCCGGTTTCAAAATGCATTCAAAATGTGTATTTCATGATAAAATACAATCAGAACTGCATGCTTTGAATACTATGCATATTAAATATGGATTATGTGATAAAATACATATTTAAGGACATATTTGAAGAAAAATGTGCGTATGAATTTTCATACAGATTTAAAAAGAAATCTCAGACTAATGCAGAAACTAGACCAAATGTCCTAGTGAACAAACACAGACCTACAATTTCCAGAGTGGTTTAACAAGCAATCCCTCCTCCCAGGGAACTCTGGGAATTGAAACACTGCAAGGGGAATCAGGGCCCTCCTGACCACTCTCAGCACTGTGACTCTTTAAAGTGGCATCACAGTGCTTTAAAGGTACCATGCAGATAGGGTCTGAGTTAATGCAGTCGTGGGGAGATGGCAACCAGCGTTTTCCAAAACGGTTTGTCAGCTGCTTGGTTTCAAAAGTGAGACGAAAAGGAAGGTGGAAGTTTTGGGAAGGGAAGACACAAGATCTACCTACTCTGGAAGAATGGCAGATGAAGGTGATTGACTACATGGAATTGGCGGAAATGACTGGCAGAATCCGAGACCAGGGAGAAGAGTCGGTGAAAGAAGACTGGAAGAAATTTAAAGACTATTTACAGAAATATTGTAAAATTAATGAATCTTAGAAGGATGTTGGATAGAAACTAAGTGGTTTCCAGCTGTAATGCCTTAAGAGATACGAAAAAGGTTCACAAATGGGTAAAAGCTTAATGGTAAGGATTTGCTGAACTAACAAACTGAACTGGAATACAAAAAGGGAGGTACGAGGAGGTCCGGGGAAATAAGTGTAAGGAAGATATGCTATGGAAAATTAACGTGTTTTTAACTGTTTTTATTTTGTATGTTTCTTTTTATTTTTCATTTCTTTGTTATATCTTAAAAACTTTATTCTTTTTTCTGTATTTTGCATTTTCTTGTATTTTTATTTTTTGTTTTTGTGTAATTCTTGTATTTTTTGAAACTTTAATAAATATCATTTAAAAAAAAAAAAAAGGAAGTTTTGGGGAGAAGCTAGCTCCTGCTCCCAGCCGCGGAAGAGTTCAAAAGCCAAACTTTTACTGTAAACTGAGAGGTCCGGGTACCTTGCCAAGTGCTGCGTAACTCACACAAAAAAATTCCAGATCAACATTTTCTCTACAATGAACAAGGATGAAGTCTGATTGTTTGTTTTGTAGAAGGCAGATTACGGAGGACACATGATAAGAGTGCATATCTACTTACGCAACCTTCCTAATCTGGGAACTGAAGAAATGAACCTATGCTGCCAATTCTCGTAGTAAACCAGTATAAAGTAAACAGCACATAAGCAGCACACAAAACCCTACCAAATCATTCTGCGTTCTAAATCTTATATTAATAATCCAAAAATTGAGAGAGCTATGTACCAGATCTACTCTTGACTTGAGCATTTATTCATTTACTTAGCCTATGAAGTTGAATGTATGTAAATACACCAAAATCTTGAGAGAGAATTTCCTGAAGAAATAAATTACCGTATTTTTTGCTCTATAAGACTCACTTTTTCCCTCCTAAAAAGTAAGGGGAAATGTGTATGTGTCTTATGGAGCGAGTGCAGGCTGTGCGGCTATCCCAGAAGCCAGAACAGCAAGAGGGATTGCTGCTTTCACTGCGCAGCAATTCCTCTTGCTGTTCTGGCTTCTGAGATTCAGAATATTTTTTTTCTTGTTTTCCTCCTCCAAAAACTAGGTGCGTCTTGTGGTCTGGTGTGTCTTATAGAGCGAAAAATACGGTAAATATTGTAGCTTAATCTAAGAGGAAATGTAACATTTGGACTTGAATGTTTATAAATATATCAGAACCGTGAGAGAGAACTTACTAAAGAAGCCCAAGACTCTTCATGGGTGAAACAGGTGACAAACGCCAGCAACCTGTCTAACTCTTGCACGTAACATCACCGACACTTAATTTGATCAAACTTATCCTTGTTGATATCTAACCCTTAAGCGCAACATCCCTGACACTTCGTTTGATCAAACTTACTTTTGTTGATATCTACAGAAGCCTGGCTAAAGGAACTTTAAAGACTGAATCTTCCTTTTGGACACAATTTGAAGGAGTTTTCTGTTTGTGGCTTCTGTAGTAAATCTTGTACATAGCTCTCTCAATTTTTGGATTATTAATATAAGACTTAGAACATAGAATGGTTTAGTAGCGTTTTGTGTGCCGCTTATGTGCTGATTACTTTATACCAGACCCAGAAGGAAGGCACATGTGCCATTCTACTGGGCCCACACTACTTGCAATATTATATGTCTCCATCATGTTTTCCCCAAAGTCTTTTTGGGCTGATGGCCTTGGGCACCATGGAGATCAGATAAATTAATTTAGAGTAAGAGGGTGAGAGGATAGAAGTTTATAAAAACATACATGCAGAAATCAGACAAAGAGAAGTTTTCTTATACAGAATTCCTATCAGATCTCAGCCCTCAAGCATTTCTCTTCTATTTCTAACTTATTCATGGCAATTTTCTGAGTCTGTTGCTGGAAATGATAGGACAGGCATCCCCAAGCTCGGACCTCCAGATGTTTTGGGACTACAACTCCCATCATTCCTAGCGAACAGGACCAGTGCTCAGGGATGATGGGAATTGTAGTCACTAAACATCTGGAGGGCTGAGTTTGGGGGTGCCTGCCATAGGAGAACAGAGTGTTCTGGTGCTCAGGTCCTGCTTGTGGCCTGATCCAGCAGGCTCTAATAAATAATAATAATAATAATAATAATAATAATAATAAAATTTATTATTTATACCCTGCCCATCTGACTGGGCTTCCCCAGCCACTCTGGGCGGCTTCCAACAAAATATTAAAATACAGTAATGCATGAAACATTGAAAGCTTCCCTAAACAGGGCTGCCTTAAGATGTCTTCTAAAAGTTTGGTAGTTGTTGTTCTCTTTGACATCTGGTAGGAGGGCGTTCCACAGGGCGGGTGCCACTACCGAGAAGGCCCTCTGCCTGGTTCCCTGTAACTTGGCTTCTTGCAGTGAGGGAACCGCCAGAAGGCCCTCGGTGCTGGACCTCAGTGTCTGGGTAGAACGATGGGGGTGGAGACGCTCCTTCAGGTATACTGGACCGAGGCCGTTTAAGGCTTTAAAGGTCAGCACCAACACTTTGAATTGTGCTCGGAATTGAATTATGTTCTTACAGCCTCCCATCAACCTCTAGACCAGGGGTGAGAATCTCAGGTCTGGGAGACAAATGCGATGTCCTCTTATCACAACACTCAGAAAGAGCAAAATATACAGTGGTTGATATTCAGAAGGGCCCACTGAGAGCTGATATCTTTCCCTTTTTCTGCCCCCACAGTCACCAATCTGCCAGGCACACTCCGTTCCCGAATGGATGCAAGAATTACAATGACCACCCCTCCGCCAGCAAAAGTAACAAGCTTGCACTGCTGTGGGGTTTTTTTCTTTTATCAGGGAAGTGTTGGGCAAGGATCAGAGTGCCCACAACTTTCTCTAAAGCACCCCGTCAGCAATCCCTAAGGCAACACACAAAAGTCACCGTGCAGGAAAATCTGGTTGCCTTTCTAGTTCTCTCTTGCTAACGGCATGGCACATCACCAAGAACTGTTAACAAAAATCTGTTTAGAATAAAATGACCAAAGAAGTTGAGACCACACCCGCGACAGTCTACCAGCAGCTCAAAAAAGAAAGGGGCGGGGAGAAAGGGAAGAAAAGGTGGATTATTTGTAGATGATAAATCATGTTATATAAGCAGTAACAGGTAAAGGTACCCCTGCCCGTACGGGCCAGTCTTGACAGACTCTAGGGTTGTGCACTCATCTCACTCTAGAGGCCGGGAGCTGGCGCTGTCCGCAGACACTTCCGGGTCACATGGCCAGTGTGACATTGCTGCTCTGGCGAGCCTGCACCAGCGCAGCACACGGAACGCCGTTTACCTTCCCGCTATAAAGCGGTACCTATTTATCTACTTGCACTTTTTAAGGGTGCTTTCGAACTGCTAGGTGGGCAGGAGCAGGGACTGAGCAACGGGAGCTCACCCCGCCGCGGGGATTCGAACCGCCGACCATACGATTGGCAAGTCCTAGGCACTGTGGTTTTACCCACAGCGCCACCCGCGTCCTATATAAGCAGTACACACATTCAAAGTCTTAACTAGCTTGTCTTACATCTCCTCCGAGATGCTCTAAGTGCCATCCACCTTCGGCTTGGGACCCTCCAGACTACAACTTCCATCAGCCCCAGCTAGCACAGCTCCACGATGGTGGAAGCACAAATGCGCTGGCTGATGGGAGTTGTAGTCCAAAACATCACAGCATACATTTAAAGTGCTATTGATACCATTTTGAATAATCATGCATTTCCCCCCAAGAGCTGTAGTTTGTAAAGGATGCTGAGAGTTGCTAGGAGACACTATTCCCCTCCCAGAGGGACAATTCCCAGGTTGGCTTAACAACCAATTCCTCTTTCCAGGGAACACTCAGAATTGTCGCTCTGGGAAGAGACTGGGGAAGGATTTCCTAACAACTCTCAAGCACCCCTCACAAACTACAACTCCCAGAATTCTGTGGGGCAAGCCAGGACTGTTTAAAGTGGTATTATACTGCTTGAAAAGTACAAATGGCCTTAGACAGGAAAATTGGCTGCAAAACATCATCATCATCATCATCATTATTATTATTATTATTATTATTATATTTACTTATTTATTTATACCCCGCCCATCTGACTGGGTTTCCCCAGCCAGGAAACCGCCAGAAGGCCCTCAGAGCTGGGCCTCAGTATCCCGGCAGAATGATGGAGGTGGAGACGCTTCTTCAGGTATACTGGGCCGAGGCCATTTAGGGCTTTAAAGGTCAGCACCAACACTTTAAATTGTGCTCAGAAATGTACTGGGAGCCACTGTAGGTTTTTCAGGACCAGTGTTATGTGGTCTTGGCGGCCGCTCCCAGTCACCAGTCTAGCTGCCGCATTCTGGATTAGTTGTAGTTTCCGGGTCCCCTTCAAAGGTAGCCCCACATAGAGCTCTTTGGGGAAATTGTGGCTGACAAACGACGTCTATCAATGATTTGGGACAGGATCCTCCAATCACTCTTGCTGGAGGATTAGGGAGTCGGAGAAGGAAGGAACCTCCAAGGTAAGGAAGTTTCAGAGAAAACAGAAGCAACAGCCTAAGCAAGTGGCAAGGAGGCTTCTGGCCCAAAATTAAGTTTCTAGACAGTAGCTAGCTATTCTCTCCATTTGCAAAACCCAGGATTGAATGTGGATCATGGGTAGGCAAACTAAGACCCGGGGGCCAGATCCGGCCCAATCACCTTCTAAATCCGGCCCACGGACAGTCTGGGAATCAGCATGTTTTTACATGAGTAGAATGTGTGTTTTTATTTAAAATACATCTCTGGGTTATTTGTGGGGCTTGCCTGGTGTTTTTACATGAGTAGAATGTGTGCTTTTATTGAAAATGCATCTCTGGGTTATTTGTGGGGCATAGGAATTTGTTCATATATTTTTTTCAAAATATGGTCTGGCCCGCCACAAGGTCTGAGGGACAGTGGACCGGCCCCCTGCTGAAAAAGTTTGCTGACCCCTGGTGTGGATCCCCACACAGCTAAAAACTACACCATCCAGACAGAGGAGAGGAGGACCGGCAGGCTTGCAGAAGTGCAAACCTTTTGGGGAGGACAAGCGATGTTAATGGGACACCGGTGGCGCTGTGGGTTAAACCACAGAGCCTAGGACTTGCCGATCAGAAGGTCGGCAGTTCGAATCCCTGCGACGGGGTGAGCTGCCGTTGCTCAGTCCCAGCTCCTGCCAACCTAGCAGTTTGAAAGCCCGTCAAAGTGCAAGTAGATAAATAGGTACCGCTCTGGCGGGAAGGTAAACGGCGTTTCCATGCGCTGCTCTGGTTTGCCAGAAGCAGCTTTGTCATGCTGGCCACATGACCCGGAAGCTGTACGCCGGCTCCCTCCGCCAATAAAGCGAGATGAGCGCCACAACCCCAGTGTCAGCCACGACTGGGCATAATGGTCAGGGGTCCCTTTACCTTTACTAAGTGATATTAAAGGGGGGGTGGAACCGGAAGCAGCCAAACGAGGACTGAGCATGGACCTCAAGGCTGGCTGACTGTTGTGGGGGCAATGCAAAAATCAGAAAAGGGGATGTCATGGTGTGTCGTCTTGGAACAGGGTATGGCTGCAGCACTCCATACTGCAACATGTTGTTGCAGGTGCCACTTTAAAAAAGGGTATGTTTCCAGAGCCGGCGTTGCACGTGCAAAAGTGCAGTTGTTCAGCACAACAGCAGCAAGAATACTTATTGCAAAGTATTGGAAGACACAAGATCTACCCACTCTGGAAGAATGGCAGATGAAGGTGATGGACTACATGGAACTGGCGGAAATGACTGGCAGAATCCGAGACCAGGGAGAAGAGTCGGTGGAAGAAGATTGGAAGAAATTTAAAGACTATTTACAGAAATATTGCAAAATTAATGAATGTTAGAATGATGTCAGAATGAAGTTAAGTGGTTTTAGCAGCAATGTCATAAAGGTGTATGTAAAAATGGATTGTTAATAGGTGAGAATCTAAAGCTATAATATATTAAGTTAAAGGACTAAGACAAAAACAAAGAGGGAAAGGAATTGCTGAATTAACCAATTGAACTGGAATACAAAAAAGGGAGGTGAGAGGAGGTCAGGGAAGCAAGGAAATGAAATGTAAGATACGGAAGGATTAATTTGTTTTTAAGTGTTTTTTTGGGGTTTTTTTCTGTACTTTGTATTTTGTATGTTTTTTCTCTTTTTTATTTTTTCCCTTGTTTCTTTTCTCTTTAACTATGTAATTTTTTGTTTCTGAAATTTTAATAACTATCATTTTTTTTAAAAAAGTGCAGTTGTTCAGGAAGCTTTGTGTACGCTCCCACTCCTTTATCACAATTTCAGCATTCCTCAGGAGGGAGTGCGGGTGTGTGGTCAGTAGAAATCTGGAACCTCCACCGTTATTTCCACCTGCAGCCAACCTTAAAAAAAAAAGTGGCAGACGTTTCCAGGAGACAAACTATGGATTGCCAAACCCGAGTTTTCCTCTCTTTAAATGACTGCCTAATTAAGAGGGAATGAGAGACAGGGGCGTTCCTTCCTTTTTTTCTTCCTTTCCCTGCGAACGCTACATTTTATGTTTCTTAATACAGTATCTAGCAGAAGAGGGAAAGGCCAGGGCAAAAGAGAGAAACTTCTCATCTGGCTAGAAATCAGGGCTTTTCACACTAAGGAGATCTTGGAGGGGGAGGCCAGAATTTGATCTGAAATCCAAACCCCCGGCCATTTCCTTTGCAACTTGAACACTTTCTCCTCCCAGATATATCCCGGAGTCATGGAGGCTGCAGAGTTCAGTGTTCAGCAAAATAAGCTGCGATAGAAGAATGGCAGATGAAGATGATGGATTTTTCAGAGCTAGCCGACCTAACCAGAAGAGTCCGCGACCAGAAGGAGGAGGAGTATCAGGAAGAATGGACAAAATTTAATGACTATTTAGTTAAATATGTTAAGTTAAATTAATTGAAAACAGCTTGCAGATACTTAATTGGCTTAGGATTTTATTTATGTTACGTGATGAATTCATATGTTTAATTTCATAATGCGAAGATCTAAGGATGTTAAGGTTTAAGTTAAATTTTATAAGAACTGCGATTTGGAAAACCGTGAAAAGGACATGCAATGAAATCCAACCAAGGGGAAGCGAGGAAGTCACTTAACAATGTTAATAAGTGTAATTTTCAAGAAGGCTATGCTTTGTGTTGGTTTGTCTTATGTGTTTGTTTGTTTGTTTATAATGTGAAAACCAATAAAGAAATTTTTTTTGGGGGGGGAAGAAAAGATAAGTCCTCTCTGCAGGTGCGGAAGATCCGGATGAAGACCCCCTCCTCCTTTTTCCCCCCAGCTGGGGGAGGGTCCGGGTCGGAGAAACGGGTTGCTTGCGGGTAGCGAGGGAGAGCCGGCCCTCTGCACGCGCTCCAGGAACCTCTTGCCGGCCGAGGGAAGCAAGGCTGGGGGGCGGGCAGGAGGCGCGGCTGCTTCCCCCGGGAAGAAGCCGGGGCCGCTCCGGCCTGCTCCTTACCTGCGTGTAGGCGATCTCCGGGCGCGGGTTGGGCGCGGGGACGGCGGCGGCGGACCAGGCTCTGGCGGCCAGGCGCACGGGGGCCGCCCGAAGGCGCAGAGGGCCGGAGCGCAGCGCCAGCGTTCGCAACATGCTCGCCTCCTCCTGCGAAACGGAGCGCGCGCTCCCGCCGCCTGGGCTGCACCCCGAGGCTCCGCCCGGCCGGGGGAGGGACGGCGAGTCGGCCTCTCCCGCCTCCAGGCAGCCAATGGCAAGCGGTTTGGCGAGGGCCCCGCCCCCGCGGCGCTCAGCTGCGCCCTGCGTGTCGGAGTCGGGAGGATTCACACGTTACGCGTGTCACGAACGGAAACGGCGTCCGCGGGTGACACGCGCGCGGCCTGCTTTCTCCACGGGACGGATGAGGGCACAGCCGCCCTCGTGGCTCGTTCGCACGCGCGAAAAATAACAACCAAACCCTGTAGACTGCGGGCTTCAAAGCACGTGTGAAGCAGCCTGTGTTGCGGGCAGGGCAGGAGCTCGGGCTAGGTCATTGCTTGCTAAAGTTGCCAACGTGACTACACTCCCAGGTGAAGCCGCCCCAGGCCCCGCACATTCTTCAGGTTTTCGTTTTCTCTGCAGCCTAAAGCCGCTGCAAAAGCAAATCCTGTCCCAAAAAAATGCTTTGTGGGCATGTGCCACTCCTGTGCCAAGCATGGGAGCCTGGGGCCTTCCAGACACTGCTGCACTCCAACTGCTCTCAGCCCCCTCTGACTGGCCCAAGGTCAACCAAATGAGCTCCATGGCTTTAACGGAGTTTCCTGGAATGCAGGGGGTTGGACTAGATGACCCCTGGGGGTGCCTTCCAACTCTACAATTCTATGATTCTATGGCCAAATGGGGATTTGAACCCTGGTGTCTCCCAGGTTCTAGTCCAGCACTCTACGCCACACTGAAATATTGCTCAATGTATTTATACACTGTCAAGGTAAAAAGAGAGTAGGTCTGGGGAACCTTCTATGTTGTTTAGGCTTGCTATACATTCGGATTTCCCCAGACTTTACTGGGATTTCAAAGGCGGAAGTGATGTCTGGGGGGAATTTCTGGAAGGAGGCGATTTGGATCTTCGGCAAGTAAACCGAAAGATCACATTTTTCTGGTGTGTTTTTTTGGGGGGGACAGGAGCTCAAGAATGTTGGGGTTTGTCTAAGCTCAACAATTTTGGGGTCTTCCTAAAAAATGCTCCTGGTTTTTACTTTCTGAAATATGGCCACACTCAGTTGGGACTCCAGATCCCATCAGCCCAGACCCAACGGCGGAAGAGGTGCTACATAATACTTGTCCCACCCTTTTAAAGGTAAAGGTAAAGGGACCCCTGACCATTAGGTCCAGTCATGAGCAACTCTGGGGTTGCGGCGCTCATCTCGCTTCATTGGCCGAGGGAGCCGGCGTACAGCTTCCGGGTCATGTGGCCAGCATGACTAAGCCGCTTCTGGCGAACCAGAGCAGCGCACGGAAACGCTGTTTACCTTCCCGCCGGAGGGTACCTATTTACCGTATTTTTCGCTCTATAGGACGCACTTTTTCCCCTCCAAAAATGAAGGGGAAATGTGTGTGCGTCCTATGGAGCGAATGCAGGCTCCTTGGCTTCGCGGCAACGCGCCTGTCCTGGAAGCCGGAGGAGGAACAGAAGGGTCTCCTTCTGTTCCTTCTCCAGCTTCGCTGAAGGACGCTGCACCTTCTCCCTCTCTGCGCAGCACCTTTCCTGTGAAGGAGGGGCGCTGCACAGAGAGAGAGAAGGCGCAGTGCCCCTTCAGTGACGCGTCTGTCCTGGCTTCTGCTTTAGCCCTGCGCAGCCTCTTTGGGCAGGGGAAACCTTCATCCTGCTGCCCTGAGGAGGCTTGGCGCGGTTACCCCAGAAGCCAGAACAGCCACACGGTATCCCAGAAGCCAGATCCCTCTTGCTGTTCTGGCTTCTGGGGTTCAGAATAATTTTTTCTTGTTTTCCGCCTCCCAAAACTAGGTGCGCCCTATGGTCCGGTGCGCCCTATGGTGCGAAAAATACGGTATCTACTTGCACTTTGACGTGCTTTCGAACTGCTAGGTGGGCAGGAGCTGGGACCGAGCAACAGGAGCTCACCCCATCGCGGGGATTCAAACCGCCGACCTTCTGATCGGCAAGTCCTAGGCTCTGTGGCTTAACCCACAGCACCACCCTCATCCCTAATCCCACCCTTTTATGTTATCCATGTTTCAGTGTGGCAACACCTACACTTTGGAACTCTCTGCCTATTGACCTTGTGTTCATCATCCGAGGCCCTTCTTCATGTGCCTTTTCGACATGAGGTCTGGAGGGTGGCAACAACCAGCTTCTGCCTAGAAGCACCCCATAAGCACCTCGTTTGCACCCGTTCCCACCCAAGTACGTCTTTCGTTTAGCGAGTTTCAGCTTTGGTTCCATTTCGTCTGAAATTTCGTTTCATTCCCATGCTTAGCAGCCAAGGAGAATACAGGCAAGCAGTACGAAAAGGCAAGGCCAGCCCCTCCCAGCTGTAAGAATCCTGGTGCAAAACTTAGGTTTCGTAACTGCATTCTGGAAAAGAAAACGGCAGAGTCGGTGTGTTCATTCTCCTTTTAATGCAACCGTTCCCTGGGACACTTGCAGAATCCCTATTTCTCCTGTGATTTCGATCTTCCCCACAATTCCCTCAGTGAATTACAGTACGTATATAATCAAAGTGCATATCCTCACCCCCTGCCAAGGCACGGAAAACTCTGAAAGGCAGCTGGTTAGAGGCTTCTCTGCTAGAATCCATGAAGGGATGTCTCTATATTTTCTCCACCATACTACTAAATATCCTGCGGTGGATCCGAGGCAGCGCTTTCCCATACACGAGTGAGCCGATATTCTTCATAAGGGTAGCTTTCCAATATCCATTGCCCATCACAGTCGCCCACCATATGAAGGAAGTTCATCGCTTTTGTGGATCTCTGAATGCACCCATGTAGATTCTTCAGCAGAGATCCCGAGAGGTCACAACTAGGAATCTGCGTTGCCTTCTCAGCCCACGGCTGAGTCCTTCGCTAGCTGCCGGCCGGCCCCTGTGATTCTTTGTGCGTTCTGTAATCAGCTCAATAATTATTGCAGTGGCCCAAGGAAGCCAGCACAGACACCGGATTTCCAATAAACAAGCCACATCCATATAGCCTCCCCAGCACCACACCTTGCCAGTCCCCAGAGCTGCAGACCGAGTGCCCTTTTCCCAACTCTGGCTTGCTGGGGGTTTGTGTGGCTGCCTGGACGGGGCTCCGTTAGCGCTTGAGCTCCATTTTAGCGATAGCTGCCCGGTGGACTTCGTCGGGTCCATCGGCGAGGCGGAGAGCCCGTGCCCAGGCGAAGAACTGCGCCAGTGGTTGGTCGTTGCTAAGCCCAGCTGCCCCAAAAGCCTGTAAGCCAGGCGAGGGGAAGGAGAAAGAAGCAAGGGAGCAGAGAGGAAACACAGTGTTATTTTTATTTATTTATTTATTTAATGTGCAGGATGCACTGTATTGAAAGTATCTGCATAATGCATTAGATTTCAAAGAGGCTTGGCCAAGTAACAAGGGATGAAGGAGTATATTCACTGAACCCCTTTTTTTACTGAGAACAACCTGCTGGTCGTTTCCTGAGTGGGTGAGGCTCATTTGACCACGAGAAACTGAGCCTTTAGTGTCATTAGCCCAATCCTGTGGAACTCTCTGCCACTGGAGATTCAGTGGGTGCCTTCTATGCAAACTTTTAAACGCCTGCACTTTTCTAGTCCGCCAGGCCTATGCAGGCAATCAAGAAGACATCCTTTCACAATGGTTTACTGATGCTTGGGGTTTTGTTTTTAACTTTTTAACATTGGGGAAAAAATGCTTCTGCTGTATGTTTTTATTGGTGTAAACTACTTTGATATATTTTTAATGAAACAGTGGTATCCAAATATTTTTTAAAAAAATAATTAAATAATCCAGACAGAAATGGCGACGGAGGTAGCAGCCTAGCCAGAACCTCCCGCCCTCAATTCAACTTTTAATTAGGTTGTAGCCATTTTCTGACCCTATGTTTATATTTTTAGTTGTCATTTTGTTTTCTTTGCTTTTAGCCTACTGGTTTATTTTATTGTTTTATTACCTATTGTTTTATGGGTGCTTATTTATTGCATTTCCATCCCACCCTTTCCTCCAAGTTGCTCAAGGTGGGGTACACAATTCTCCCTCTCCACATTCTCCCTCTCCACATTTGATCCCAACAACCCTGGGTGGTAGCTTAGGCTGACAGTGAGCCCAAGGTGAGCTTCACGACTGAAGGCCGATTCTTGAACCTTGGTCTCCCAGCTCCTAGTCTGATACTCTAACCACTACACCACGCTGCCTCTCACCAGAGTTGGAGCCTTGCAACATCTGGAGGATGCCTGTTAGCTAGGCCTGGCTCAATACAGTGCAAATTATCTTGCCTTTGAATTGTGATGAGACCCTTGTACCCATCAATATACTGTTTGAGTTCAACTCCCATCAGCCCCAGACAATGGTCAAGGCATCCGAAAACACCTGGACTCCCACAGCTTCCCTGCCCCTCCTCTAGCATGAAAAACACTCGCCTGGATCGCTCGGTCGACAACGCGCAGAGCCATCCTTGGGGCCACCACCTTGATCATGGCGATCTCAAGAGCCGCTTCCTAGGAGGTGAGACAAAATGTCGGTCAGCTCTTCCTCAGGACTCCCCCCACATACATAACCTGCCTTCATTCCCACCGAAGCCCTTTGATGCCACCTCTTGTAAACTGACCAGAAGCAGAGCACAGGATGGGGAGAGCCTCTACTCCTACCTTCACAGGGCCCAATCCGGCCACTGGGCAGAGCCATGAACACAGTGCCAAAGGGAGAAATGAGTGGCAGGTGAAGAGGCAAAAAAGCCAGCCCAGAACTTTCTCAAATTCAGCAACGGTGTAGATCAAGGGAGAGGAACGTGGGGCCTTCTAGATGTTGCTGGACTTCAATTCCCATCATCCCTGACCATTGGCCGTGCTGGCCAGGGCTGATGGGAGCTGGAGTTCCACAACATCTGGAGGCCCACAGGTTCCCCGTTCCTTGATTTTGCCCTTCAGGCCTCAAGCCACTCCAGCTCCACATCTCTGACCACTTCAGTCTGAGGTCTGCATCGTTCCTCAGTGCTACAGTTCTGATTCACAGAACCATAGAACTGTAGAGTTGGAAGGAACGCAAGGGTCATCTAGTCCAACCCCCTGAAATGCGGGGATCATTTGCCCTCTTGTGCACCTGTGGCAAGGGAAGGGCCACAAAGCCTAGCACTAGAACTTGTGGCCATCCAATGAAGTTGAATGTTGGAAGGTTCAGGAGAGATGAAGTCCTCCTTCACCACAGTGCATAGCTGAACTGTGGAACTCACTGCCACCAACTCGGAGGGCTTTAAACTATGGAACTCACCCCCATCATTCAGCCTGGACACTGAGGTCCAGCTCTGAGGGCCTTCTGGTGGTTCCCTCAGTGCGAGAAGTGAGGTTACAGGGAACCAGGCAGAGGGCCTTCTCAGTGGTGGCACCCACCCTGTGGAATGCCCTCCCATCAGATGTCAAGGAAATAAACAACTACCTGAATTTAGAAGACATCTGAAAGCAAGCCTGTTAGGGAAGTTTTAAATATTTGATGTTTTATTGTGTTTTTAATATTCTGTTGGGAGCTGGGGGAACTCAGCCAGATGGGCAAGGTACAAATAAAAATTTGTTGTTGTTGTTGTTGTTGTTGTTGACAAATCCATGGATAAGGCCATCAATGGCTACTTGCCACAACTGGCCTGGATCCAGAAGGCTCTTCCTGCATTCACATCCCCGCTGTGAGCTGGTGGTGGGAATGATAGGGTTGAAAACTTTCCTTTCCCTTTGTGATCATGGTATCTCCCCTGCCAAGTAAGTATGTTCCATTTAACATTTGTTAAAAAACCCGAGGCATTATTGTTGGGGATTGTAGGGAAAGCCCTGCCAAAAAAGTTGAAAAAAAATTTCATGTATGCGACAACGGCCGCGAGAGTTCTGGTAGCACAAGGATGGAAGACTGAAGAAACCCCAACTGAAGAATCATGGCAAGAAAAATTGATGGACTCTGCAGAGCTGGCAAAACTGACATATAAGCTACGGGACAAGGATAACTGTGACTTTAAGGATGAATGGGAACCCTTTACAAAGTATCTGAAGACGCAACAAAGCGAACTGGACTCCTTGGCAGGTTTTGAATAAACATTCACAAACTTTTTATTGATAATAATCAGCTAAATAGTTTGAGGATCTATACAACTGTGTAATATGCAGAAAACAGCATTTATAGAGAAATCAAAGACTGGAACTGAGGGAAGTCAGTGGGTGGGGTGGGTGGGTTTTAAGGGGGGGGAGGAAAAATGGGGGGGCGGAAACAAGGATGATATGTTTTTGGATAATATGTCTTGTTATAATTTTGAATAAAAAGAAAAAAGAAAACTTCCCTTTCCCCACAGCCACAGTTCTCCCTGGTTCGCAGACCCCTGAAAGTCTTTGAGTACGTACCTTATTCCCAACAGTGTCCATCAAGTGCGCTGCCTTGAGGACCAGGAGACGGGCTTGCTCAATCTCAACACGGGACTCGGCGATTTCTGCCCTGATGGTGCCCTGCTCTGCCAAGGGCTTCCCAAAGGCCACGCGAGAAGCCACCTGCCAAGGAAGGTACACCTAGCTGAGGGTTTCACTCTGGCCTAGCCAAAGACTGTTTGGCCGCTGTAGCAACATCAGTTGGTTCACAGGACTTCAGGCCGACTACTGACCAGGGCCAGTTCTAGGGGGTATCCTTACTCCCAATTTAAAGACAGCTTCACTGAAGAAAACCATCCATGAAGATGGTTCGGATTAAAAATAGATAAATGATTCTATATTTATTGTGAGCTGCCAGGAGGGTTATCACAAAAAAAGATAAATATTTAGAAGGTTTAAATGTGGTACAGCCAAATCTGTTCCAAAAAGTAACTTAAAATTCAAGGTACACTGGAGGACAAACCAAAAAAGAAAGAAAGAAAAGGTTTGCTTTCAACTGCATGGCAACTATTTTATTTCATATATTAGTGGTGATATCAATGTTCAAATGACTCCTACAGTATTTGGAATTCTTTCAGCTTTGAGAAGATCGTAAGACCTCAAGCACAATACCTTGGTCCCATATAAATGGTCCCCTTTTAAAAATGTTATTACCCCCCTCCTCCTGCCCAATGCTAATAATGGTAATCAGGATTATTTTCCAGGGAGTATGAATGAGACAATCCAAATTTGTACTGTGTGCGTATGTTTACTTTAGTTTTCAGTCAGTTCCATTGCTTTTTCCTTTTTTAATTCGTGCATGTTATTGAAGTGTAATGTCCTTGTTTTAATATATATTTTTTAAAGGTTTTGAAGGCTAGCAGGTTACTTCCAGGCACATTTCAGAGGTGCTCGTGGTGACTTATGAAGCTTTATGTGACAAGGAACCAAAAGTCCCTGTTTTAGCATACAGGGCTGTCTGGGTTTTAAAACTCTCCAGAGAGGCCCTTGGTGGAAACCTGAGACAGGGTCTTCTTGGTGGCTGCTTCTCCCAGGTGCTAGAACTCCTTGTGAAAGGAGACCCACTCAGCCCCTTTTGGACGCACAGTATATTCTCTGCCAGTGAGCCATGGCCCAGTGATCCTGTGACAGATAAGGCCCTAGACAGGGCTAGGATAGACCACTGCCTGAAACCTTGAAGAGCTGCCACTCATCAGTGTAGACAAGACTGAGCTGAAAGGATCAGGGATCTGACATGGCAAGGCAGCCTCCTACGACCTTCTGCAGGCAAAGAGGGTTTTATTCAGACAGGTCTTCACCCTGATAAGCCGACTTGTCATGGCCGCAGTAAATAAGCTGCAATGCAGAAAAAGGTAAAGGACTCCTGACAATTAAGTCCAGTTGCGAACGACTCTGGGGTGGCAGCGCTCATTTCACTTTATTGGCCAAGGGAGCTGACGTTTGTCTGCAGTTTTTCCGGGTCATGTGGCCAGCATGACTAAGCCGCTTCTGGCGAACCAGAGCAGCGCACGGAAACGCCGTTTACCTTCCCGCCGGAGCAGTACCTATTTATCTACTTGCACTTTGAGGTGCTTTCGAACTGCTAGGTTGGCAGGAGTTGGGACCGAGCAACGGGAGCTCACCCCGTAGCGGGGATTCGAACCGCCGACCTTCTGATCGGCAAGCCTTAGGCTCTGTGGTTTAACCCACAGCACCACCCGCGTCCCTGCATGGGCAGGGTAGAAATAACAAATTGAATTGAACTGAAAGGCATGGATAAGATAATCAGGGGGAGTGTTTTCAAAAGTGCACCAAGTAACTGCTATCTAGAATCAATCCGGATTGAAAACAGCATGCGGATGGCTACGAGATGCTCTGGATTGAAAGTTCATTTTAGCGCTCCAAACGGGGTCAGCGTGTATCCAAACGGGAGCACACCCCGTCGCAGGGATTTGAACCGCCGACCTTCCGATCTGCAAACCCAGAGGCTCAGTGGTTTACACCACAGCGCCACTCGCATCCCTATGCACGTGCTGCAATGCAAAGGTCTCCCCAAACCGCATAGTGCTTGGGGAAGATGGAGGGAGGGAGTCAGCCCAGAATGAGATTGTGCTGGATAAAGGAGCCCAGTGACAGGCAGACATGACCCAAAGTGCTGAGGAGAGGTGCTCCATGAGAACCCTCAAGCCCACGCACCATGCTGTGTCGCTTACCCTCTCCTTCATGAGGTCCAGCGCCCTTTCCGCAAAGCCGATCAGCCTCATGCAGTGGTGTATCCGTCCTGGGCCCAGCCTCCCCTGGGCTATCTCAAAGCCTCGGCCAGGGCCCAGCAAGAGATTCTCTTGGGGGACACGGACGTTGTCAAAGGCTATCTCTCCATGGCCAGCTGGAAAGAGAAGAAAGTGGGAATTTCCTGGCAGAGGGAACCCCCTGCCACTCCCTGGCTGCTGTTACACAACACCCCCATCACAACTTGGGGGGTAACTCTGCCTAAGTAACTTGGGTTAATATTGAAGCCTTATTAACACTAACTCCTAAGTGCAGACGCGGATCACAAATGTTCGAGCTCTGATTCCTCCCTTGCAGGGGAATGACCCTTTGGTTCCCTCCCAACTCTACAATTTCTATGAGTCTCTGATCACTGAAATTAGCAAGAGCGCAACACTTGATCTGTGGAGGTTCTTCCCCAGGTACCGCCAGAAGCAGTTGAGAGCGGTGGACTCGTAATCTGGTGAACCGGGTTCGCTTCCCCGCTCCTCCACATGCAGCTGCTGGGTGACCTTGGGCTAGTCACACTTCTTTGAGGTCTCTCAGCCCCACTCACCTCACAGAGTGTTTGTTGTGGGGGAGGAAGGGAAAGGAGAATGTTAGCCGCTTTGAGACTCCTTTGGGTAGTGATAAAGCAGGATATCAAATCCAAACTACTACTACTACTACAACTGGGAACAGGGCCTTTGCAGTGGTGGTGCCCTATCTGCGGAAGACCCTAAAGGCAAGAGAGGCCCAGGGCATGCCAGCCCTCCTTCCCTGGAAACCCTTCAGGGAAAACCCTGAATAAAAATGCTTTGCCTGACCTGGAGCGTCGTCCAGGCCGTAAACACTGAGTGGCCTCAGGATGGTGATTCCAGGCGTGTCCATAGGAACCAGCAACATGGACTGTTGCTTGTGCCTTTGGGCAGTGGGGTCTGTCTTGCCCATAAAGATGCAGAGCTGGCAACGAGGGTCCAAGGAACCTGCCGGGAAGAGAGGTTTGGATGATAGGTGCCTGTGTTGGAAATCGGTACTACCCTCCATGCTGGCTGGCTGTTTGCTAACCATGCTCCCCCAAATGCCCTTCCTTCTGGTTTTAACCTTTAAAGCCCTATACGGCTTAGGACCCTCGTACCTACGGGACCGCCTCTCCTGGTATGTCCCACAGAGGAACTTACGGTCTTCAAATAAAAACATCTTGAAGGTCCCAGGCCACAGAGAGGTTAGGCTGGCCTCAGCTAGAGCTAGGGCTTTTCGACTGCGGCTCCAATCTGGTGGAACGCTCTGTCACAAGAGACTAGGGCCCTGCGGGACTTGACATCTTTCCGCAGGGCCTGCAAGACAGAGCTGTTCCACCAGGCCTTTGGTCAGGGCGCAGCCTGACTCCCTCCTTTGGCAATCTTCACAGAACTTTAGCTTAATGGTTGCCATTAATTTGATTTTAATTAATTTTTACAATGAAATGTTTTTATAACATTGCACTATTTTATTGTTGTTAGCCGCCCTGAGCCCGGCTTCGGCTGGGGAGGGCGGGATATAAATAAAAAATTTTATTATTATTATTCTCGACTTGCACCGATGCGTTGGAAACAGAAGAAGCCGCCACCCCAGGCAGCTTCCACTCCTCGTCTCTGCCTTGGAGCTGATTTCACCCAGTCACAGCTCTGGTCATCTGGAAAATGCCCACAAGGCAATTCTTTGAAGAGCAGAGCACAGTTCCCAAGCTCACAGCACCCTTCGAGTTGCTTTGCTCCATACTTCCTGTTGTGCTTCCAGGCAGTGTCTTACGGGCAAGCAATGAAATCTGGAACAAGGAAATTTCCCAGAAGCCCTCTAGGAAGACGCCCACCATTGCTCTCTGGAAACCACAAGAAAACCTTAAATTGCAGGGCAAGGAAAAGGCTGAGCCCTTTTGGGAGCTGGCCTGCTCCTTCCCCACTCCACACCTCAGCATCCCAGCTGCAGAACGATGAGCCCTGATACCAGAAACTGGGGAGACGGTGCAATGTACCTGATATCCACCATTTGCGCCCGTTCAGGACATAGGTGTCCTTTTCCTTGACAATGGAAGATTCAATGTTGGTGGCATCGGAGGAAGCAACCTAAGAAAAAAAGATGCTTTGTTTTAGAGGGAATATAGAAGCAAGGCTCATTTATTCATCTGCTGTTTTTATGTTCCACTGCTTCCTCAAACTGAAGCTAACAACATGGCTTGAATAAAACAGCTCAGACCCCAGGACCTTACCCAAGACTTTCTGTTTCAGCTGCCGTCTTAAGGAAGTCGTGCTGTGCCTATTTATGAAGATGATGATTTTACCTGGGTTTTTTCAAAACACTTTGATTGCTGTGGCTGCCTCGATTTATATCAGTGTGTCACCATTCCTTTCTCTTATTATTTATTGTTTGTTTGCTTTGTATACGGCATGATGTAAATACTCTACTACAGGGGTCAGCAAACTTCTTCAGCAGGGGGCCGGTCCACTGTCCCTCAGACCTTGTGGGAGCCGGACTATATTTTGAAGGGAGGGGGGAATGAACGCATTCCTCTGCCCCACAAATAACCCAGAGATGCATTTTAAATAAAAGGACACATTCTACTCATGTAAAAACACGCTGATTCATGGACTGGATTTAGAAGGCAATTGGGCCAGATCCGGCCCCCGGGCCTTAGTTTCCTACCCATGCTTTACAGTGGTACCTCGGGTTAAGTACTTAATTCGTTCCGGAGGCCCATTCTTAACCTGAAACTGTTCTTAACCTGAAGCACCACTTTAGCTAATGGGGCCTCCTGCTGCCGCCATGCTGCCGGAGCACGATTTCTGTTCTCATCCTGAAGCAAAGTTCATAACCCGAGGTACTATTTCTGGGTTAGCGGAGTCTGTAACCTGAAGCGTATGTAACCCGAGGTGCCACTGTACTACCAAAATAAAGATTTTAATTAGTAAGAATAATTAAGAATCCCAATACTTCCTTCCCTAGTGTTCAAGAACCAAGAGGAAGGGCAGCCCTGACCTGTGGCTCCGTCATAGCAAAGCAAGACCGGATCTTTCCATCCAGCAAAGGCTGCAGCCAGCGCTCCTTCTGTGCTTCTGTCCCATAGCGCAGGAGCACCTCCATATTGCCTGTGTCTGGGGCAGAGCAGTTGAAAACCTGGAGAAGAGAGACAGGAGGTCAAATAGCAGGTTGCCATCATTCAGCCATGAGATGGAAGATGAACACAGGCCCATCTCTCATAGCAAAGCCGATTTATAAAGCCAACCCAACTACAGTGGTGCCTCGCAAGACGAAAAGAATCCGTTCCGCGAGTCTCTTCGTCTTGCGGGTTTTTTCGTCTTGCGAAGCAAGCCCATTAGCGGTTTAGCGGATTAGCGCTACAGTATTAGCGGCATAGCGGGCTTAGCGGATCAGCTGATAAGCGGCTTAGCGATCAGCTGTTAAGCGGCTTAACGATCAGCTGATAAGCGGCTTAGCGATCAGCTGATAAGCGGTTTAGCGCTTGGGAAAAAGGGGGGGGAGGAAAAAACCCCCGCAGGAACTCGCAAGACATTTTCGTCTTGCGAAGCAAGCACATAGGAAATTCGTTTTGCGAAGCACCTCCAAAACGGAAAACCCTTTTGTCTAGCGGGTTTTCCGTCTTGAGAGGCATTCGTCTTGCGGGGCACCACTGTAATTTGTCCAACGCAGCTCCCTGGGGTTTTGGGGTGGTCAGACGTAGCAATGCAAGCTGCTGGAAACCACTGGAGGCGAGGGAGCTCTAGTGTTCAGATCCTGCTTTCCCACAGACATCTGAGTGGCCACAGTGATGCTGTAATGTTTCTGCATCCAACAACAGGCACCAAGAACGAGGAGAGGTTTTCTAAAAGAAGCTTTATTCAGAAAAGCCTCTTGCACGCTCTGCTAGAACTGAAATTCAAAGCCTAAGGAAGGGCCTAGACCGCAGGCATGGCCAAACTCGGCCCTCCAGAGGTTTTGAGACTACAACTCCCATCATCCCTAGCTAACAGGACCAGTGGTCAGGGATGATGGGAACTGTAGTCTCAAAACATCTGGAGGGCCAAGTTTGGCCATGCCTGGTAGGGGGTGTGAGTCCAGGGCAAGTCTTCAAATTACCAAATCCTTAACATTAAGAGAGTGTCAACAGATTATAAGCTCTGTCATTGCAAGTGTTGGACCAGATGGGCACTGGCCTGATCCAGCAGGGGTGGGGAATCTTGGGCCAGGGGCAAAGGTAGCCCTCTGAGGCTCTCTGTCTGGCTATCAGGGCTGCTTCAGCAGCTGGTCAGCACGGAGACTCAGAGACGAGCAGTAAAGCTAATTCTTTATTCAATGAAACAGAATACAGAATACTATGGGCAAGACTGGCTCCCAAGCAGTTGCCAGAGCTGACAATCTGTGCCACCTATTTCCCCCTAAGTCTCCTCCCTGGCCAGCTGTTTTCCCAGCTGTCTTAAACTGCGTCAGGGAGTGGGGGCCTCTGAGCTCTTTGCTCTGCTACTTGCAAAGCCCTATGTGCCCTTGAAGACAAGGGAGGAGGGGAGCTGAATACAGTAGGACCGGCAGGCTCCTATGAAGCTGCTGGAGCTTCTGTCCCCTCCTCCTCCTCAGCTGCCTGTCCTCCGTCTGCAGTGCTTTCTGCCTTTGGTTCCTCTCTCTCACTCCAGCCTGTTGCTTGTTCAGCATCGAGCCATTCTGTCCCCTCCCCTTCATCCTCTGGCCTGTTTTCCATGCCCCACCACCACTCCCCTGGCTCTGAGTCTTCCTCCTCTGAAGCTTCCCTAGGGGTTTCTCTGGCTGGAGCCTCGCACCGCTCTCTTTCAGGGCTGGAATATGTCCTTGGATAGTGATAAGGACTAACATGTGCCTGGATGAAGGATGGAAGACCCCCATCGTTCAGCCCGGACACTGAGGTCCAGCGCTGAGGGCCTTCTGGCAGTTCCCTCTGTTGGCTATTTGCAGTTTAGCTGCACTGCAGAAAGCTTGCTGGGGAGACCACGCATTACAAGGAACTCAAAAATAACTTTAACAAGGTTTTAATAACAAAAACAAAAACTCCTTTTACATTAAATATATCAACAAGCATGACCCAACCACCAACCCATCGCCCAGGGTACTGAGAGAGCTAGGTGCTGCTCTTTGTATACTATACCTAATTGCTGACACAGCTTAATTAACACAGCTTAGCAGCACCTGCTATACTGTTTCACAGCTGTAAAACTGGGTCTCGTTATTTGCTCTGGCCCTTAAAGACATACACATCTTGTGGAACAATAATGAACCTTCACATTTAAAGAGACCATTCAACACCCTCACTGCAAGAAGCAAAGCTACACGGAACCAGGCAGAGGGCCTTCTCAGTGGTGGCACCCGCCCTCTGGAATGCCCTCCCATCAGATGTCAAAGAGATAAACAACTACCTGACATTTAGAAGACATCTGAAGGCAGCCCTGTTCAGGGAAGTTTTTAACGTGTGACATTTTAATGTATTTTTAATCTTTGTTGGAAGCCGCCCAGAGTGGCTGGGGAAACCCAGCCAGATGGGCGGGGTACAAATAAATGTATTATTATTATTTATTATTATTATTATTAATGTAAGTTGAATGTGTGCACATACAAAAATATCCAAAGTGAGCGGCTTGATTGCTCTCCCCACTCTTCCCTCAGGCCCCAACCATGACTGGCATGTGGCCCCTGGAAGGTTCTCCAGGAAGGAAGGTGGCCCTTGGGCTGAAAAGGGCTCCCTGCCTCCCGGCCAACCTCACTGAGTTAGGCAGGTACCTCAGGCGCATGAAGCGAAGTCCCCATCAGCTCGCACAAGTGGCTGTACTCCACGTTGGTGAGGCCTGCTCCGTACTTCATGTCTGGGTCACTCTCCAGCGGCAGGAAAAGGTTCCAGAGTCCCTCAGACTTGGCCTTCTCCTGAAGGAGGAGAGAACAGATGCAGAGATTGAGACAGAGGCCTGAGGGCTAGGTCCTCCTTCACCTGCCTCCAGGGAACATCAGTGGATCCAAGAAGCAAGCTCGGACGGGGCTGGGCAAACTGGATTTGTGGTGTTTATTTGCTTTTCAAAGGAGGACTACCAAAAACAGAAACCCTGAAGAATTTGCACTTGGGAATGATGCAGGGGGAAACCCCTCTCTCAGAATCAGATCAAGGCTTTTTGGGACACAGAAGGGTGTATAACGAGCCTGCACGTATTCTTCTTTTTAAAAATCAGGTTCCTAGTCGTTATTATGACTACGGAGAGAAATCCAAAATCATTTGGCTTGTGATTGATGAAACATATTTCAGCAGAAGCTGGGGGAGCAGGAAGAAGTGAGAAATGATATCTCCAGTGCAGTGGGGCAGTGGAAAAAAATGGGGCGGGGGCCAAAGGGCAAAGTATATTTCTAGGTGAGCGAGTTGTGTCCCACATGTAAAGATCTCTGAAAGAAAAATAACACTGTATGTTAATCATGGGGTGTGTGTGTGTGTGTGTGTGTGTCTCGGGGCTTATCTCTTATGTCTTCCCATAACTATTGGGAACAGAACAGGTTACGCCAAATGGGCAGCTAAGATGTGAAGATATAATAACCAGACTGTGGAATCTGAGGTTGTTTGACAGTGTCCTATAGAAAGACTCCTTCTCTTGGAGAGATTTTAGGCAACGAAGACCGGAGCAGGGCCTTTTTGCTCATGGCACCCAGTGTAGGGGATGCTCTCTCCCCGGAGCCACCTGCCTTGCCCCAACTAGGGTGCTGCCCCGTGCAATGCCAGGAGAAAGGGGACTTGCCTTGAGTTCTTCCATCAAGGGATGAGGAGTCCACCGGCTTGAGGAAGCCTGGTGGTCTCGCAGAAGCTGCTCGGCTGGGTAAATGTGGGCCTCCATGAACTTCTTGACTTTGTGGTGCAGCTGCTGGACGCGGCTGGGCAGGCCGTCCGGAGAGATGATCAGGTGGAACCTGGAAGCAGGAGCCAGCGTGGAGTAGCTACTCTGTGGGAACTGCCTCGGGCCAGCCCAGGTACTGAACGCCCTGGTGGGGGCCATGGGAGTTGGAAGTCCCTTGAAGACCCGGAAGCCTTCTTTTGTAGCAAAATCCCAGGCGAGGTCTGCGATGAACTCGGCCTGCTTCCCGCTGCTCCCTGCAGTCGCTGAGCTGGCCTGGCCTGTGCAGAATGAACAGAGGCAACATCTTTAGGGAAATTCCTCGCCTCTGAGTCCACATGCCGCTCTTTCTGCCTGGAGGGAAGAAGCTGGGGCCTCAACTAGAGGAACAACTGCCAGGGTCCAGGAGTGTGGACAGATACACACCACACACTGAAAGTGCACTCAGCGCATGTATATAGCACGTGGCTTCCTGCAAAGGAGGGTGGGAATGGCAGTTTGTTAAGAGTACAGTGGTACCTCGGGTTAAGAACTTAATTCGTTCCGGAGGTCCATTCTTAACCTGAAACTGTTCTTAACCTCTTCAGCTAATGGGGCTCCCTGCTGCTGCTGCCGTGCTGCCGGAGCACGATTTCTGTTCTCATCCTGAAGCAAAGTTCTTAACCCGAGGTACTATTTCTGGGTTAGCGGAGTCTGTAACCTGAAGCGTATGTAACCTGAAGCGTATGTAACCCAAGGTACCACTGTACTGTAAATCGTGGCTTTGTGTGTATGTGATTTACAGTTCCCAGAATTCTCTGGGGGAAGTCACGTGCTTCAAATGTGCTTTAAGTGCATGGTGTGATTCACTGGCAGGATTTAAATAAACATTTACAACTTTATCTAAAGAGAACAAGAAGTACAGTGGATGCTCAGGTTGCGAACGTGATCCGTGCGGGATGCACATTCGCAACCTGCAGCGTCTGCAACCTGCAGTGGCGCGTCTGCACACACGCGGGTTGCGATTCGGCGCTTCTGCGCATGCGCAACCGCTGAAACCCAGAAGTAACCCGTTCTGGTACTGGTACAGGTTTTGGCAGTCTGCAACCTGAAAAAAGGCAACCTGAAGTGTCTGTAACCCGAGGTATGACTGTATAACAATGGGACAACATAGTACTAAATACAAACAGCAGATTGTACCATTTGATGTAACAAACCAGAAATGGAAGCTGTGGGGAGCCACAGGGAGGGGGAAAATTGGAAAATGAATGTTTAGTAATGATGATGGATATTTGTTGTAAGAAAGAAAATCAATAAAAAACGTTTTTTTAAAAAAAAAGTGCATGGTGTGATTCTGCCCTCTCTGGAAGCACACTCCTCCCCAACCTACCCATTGTAGTTGCAACTCTATACAGTGGTACCTCGCAAGACGAATGCCTCGCAAGACAAAAAACTCGCTAGACGAAAGGGTTTTTTGTTTTTTGAGCTGCTTCGCAAGACGATTTTCCCTATGGGCTTGCTTCGCAAGACGGAAACTCCCTGACGGCAACAGCAATTTCCACTCCACTGCTTTGGGAAGGGAGAGATGAGGATATCCCCAACTCAGCTGCGCAGAAGTGGGGAAAGAAATTTGGTTTGCATTTGGAATGTTTGCAACGCGTTACCCAGCCAACAAATGTATGCAAAGAAGGAAGATGGGGTACACAAAAAGTGTACGTTTGTGAAAATTACCTTCAAAAATGCATTACTTATAGGGGGATGGCTTTCAAAAATGCATCTACAGTGGTACCTCGCAAGACGAATGCCTCGCAAGACGGAAAACTCGCTAGACGAAAGGGTTTTTTGTTTTTTGAGCTGCTTCGCAAGACGATTTTCCCTATGGGCTTGCTTCGCAAGACGGAAACGTCTTGCAAGTTTGTTTCCTTTTTCTTAACACCGTTAATACAGTTGCGACTTGACTTCGAGGAGCAACTCATAGCACGCGGCGTGGTAGCCTTTTTTGAGGTTTTTGAAGACTTTGGTGATTTTTGAAGCTTTTCCAAAACTTTCCCGACACCGTGCTTCGCAAGACAAAAAAAACCGCAAGGCGACAAAACTCGCGGAACGAATTAATTTCGTCTTGCGAGGCACCACTGTACTCTTTTAATTTCCATTTCCCTTCTTGATTCCTCAGTAGATCTCTATATGTAGGCCACTTCCCCGTTTTGCCAAGCGGTTTGAGTAACAAAGCTTCAATTCGTGATAGCCACCAAGGTGTTTTTTGTTCTATTGGATCTTTGTACCTCTCCCACACCCTCATTAGTGAAAACCCAAAGTTTTCAACTGGGGTCTGAAGCGTAGTAATCCTTTGTCTGCAGCAGAGGCAGGGGCTCATCTGGAAGAAAGTTCCCTCAGGAAAGGAGGGAAAATAAATTCCCTGAATAAAGAGTATGTCAGGGAGAAAACTAGGACAGACTCCTTCCCCCTCACAACTTAAAATACCTTGCTTCAGCCTCAGTTCCCTTTCTGGGTTTTTGTGTGTGTGTGATGGAATAAGAGTTTCCATTTACCTCACATAAAAATCTGTGAGAGAAACACACATTAATGTTCATTTGAAGGTTCTGTCACAAGGAAGACAGGCCTATAAATGATTTAAACAAATAAATATTGAGGTGTGTGGTGAAACTGTATAAGCAGGCTGACCCTCCTGTGAGGTGGATATGAAGAACTTGCAGCACCCCTGCAACGGCTCACTGGCATGGCTCACCATGGGTGACGGGGCTGACCGCTTGGCCAGGGACCACCTGCTGACCGCCAGCACCGCCATCTCCATGGAAGCATGTTTTGTTGCTTTGCAGGCCAAAGAGCCCAGGTTCAATCTGGCATCTCCAGGTAAGGGATGGTAAAGGCTCCCTATCCAAAATCCCGAGGAGCTGCTGCAGAACAGGGGTGGGGATCACCCACCTGCCAATCACCTGCTGCCACGGAGACACCAGGGGTCCCTCCCACCTCTCAAATGTTGACCTATGGGGAGGAGGGGAGGGGTCTGTTTCACCAGGGCCTCCCAGACATTGGCAAAAGAAGCAGGATGGAACTCCCTGCTCCCCAGCTGACCTGCAAAATGTCAATCCAGCTGTTTGCAGGGGTCAACTGCTTCCTGCCTTTGACTGCATATGCACGTTTTGCCTCCTATCTCGGGTTCTGAAAGTGCTAAAAAATCTCTAATGAAAGCTGGCAATCTAGAGATTATGGTTTCATTGGGAGGGGGGAGCCCCCTCACACCATAGATGCCCATTCCCCCAGCCCTTGGCCCAAGTGGCCTCACTGCCAAAGGTAATATGTCTCTGAATGCTGGTTGCTAGGAATCACTAGTGGGGAAAGTTCTGTTGCCCTCAGGTCCTGCTTTTTGCATTTGTGTCTTAGGGCCCTTGTATTTACGGGACCGCCTCTCCTGGTATGCCCCGCAGAGGACCTTAAGGTCCATGAATAACCATAGTTTAGAGGTCCCGGGCCCTAAGGATGTCAGACTATCCTCCACTAGGGCCAGGGCCTTCTCAGTGATGGCTCCGACCTGGTGGAATGCTCCATCCCATGAGACCAGGGACCTGCAGGATTCAACTTCCTTCCACAGGGCCTGTAAGACAGAACTATTCTGCCTAGCTTTCAATTTGAACTTAGCCCAATCTTTTATTCTCCTTCCTTTCCTCCCACTCCCGTTTTTATGAAGATTACCAACTCTGGGATCCCACAGCTAATTCTCCCCGGTCTCCTCGCTGGCCCAAATAGGACTAATTTAGCCAGCTAGCCCTGGTGATCATCTAATGTTTCCCCCCTAAATTGATTTTTGATTTTATTGTTATTCACATTTTATACCGTATTTTATGCTGTTTTTGTAGCATCAATTAAGTGCTTTAAATTTGTTGTTAGCCACTCTGAGCCCGGTTTTCTGAACCTGGAAGGGCAGGGTATAAATAAAAAAATATTATTATTATTCCTTAACTTTTGAGAACAGGATGCTGGACAAGAAAGGGCCACTGACTCTCCTGATGTCCTTGTCCTCTCACCTGTGAGCGAGCGTTTGTACACCCCCTGCAGGATAGCAGCCACTCGGAAAAAGGAAAAGGCCATGTAGAAGTTCCAGTTCTCGACTCCTGGGGTGCCCATGTGCTTGCAATACATCTGGAAATAGGCCTCTGCCGTGGGGATGCCTAGCCGGCTCAGGTCACAGTCCCTCAAACCTGCAAGGAGGGAAAGCAACGCTAGTCACGGAAAGCAGGATCAGGGCTTGGTACTGGGGCCAAAAGGTTGATACTAGTGTAAAGCAGGGGGGAGGAAGAATCTGTGGCTTTTCATGTGTTGCTGGACTCCTGCTCCCAGCAACCCTTTATTAAGCTACCATGGGCAACGATCAGGGATGGCAGGAGCTAGGTGCATGGCAACATCTGGAGGACCACAGGTTGCCCTAAAAAACAAGCCTTTTTGCTCCCAGGCTCCATGCCTTGATGCTGACCCGGAGTCAGGTGGGACAGGGTCTCGTTCTCCATGTTCGCCTTCCTGGCTTGGCTGCCCCTTGTCTTTTCTCCACAAACAAAGGGTTGTTTGTTGTTGTTGTTGTTTAGTCGTTTAGTTGTGTCCGACTCTTCATGACCCCATGGACCAGAGCACGCCAGGCACTCCTGTCTTCCACTGCCTCCTGCAGTTTGGTCAGACTCATGCTGGTAGCTTCGAGAACACTGTCCAACCATCTCGTCCTCTGTCGTCCCCTTCTCCTTGTGCTCTCCATCTTTCCCAACATCAGGGTCTTTTCCAGGGAGTCTTCTCTTCCTATGGGGTGGCCAAAGTATTGGACCCTTAGCTTCATGATCTGTCCTTCCAGTGAGCACTCAGGGCTGATTTCCTTCAGAATGGAGAGGTTTGATCTTCTTGCAGTCCATGGGACTCTCAAGAGTCTCCTCCAGCACCATAATTCAAAAGCATCAATTCTTCGGCGATCAGCCTTCTTTATGGTCCAGCTCTCACTTCCATACATCATTACTGGGAAAACCATAGCTTTTACTATACGGACCTTTGTTGGCAAGGTGATGTCTCTGCTTTTTAAGATGCTGTCTAGGTTTGTCATTGCTTTTCTCCCAAGAAGCAGGCCTCTTTTAATTTCGTGGCTGCTGTCACCATCTGCAGTGATCATGGAGCCCAAGAAAGTAAACTCTCTCACTGCCTCCATTTCTTCCCCTTCTCTTTGCCAGGAGGTGAAATTGGGGAAACCGTAGTGGCACAGGGGGGAAGAACCAGGCCTGCTCTGATGTTCTGAGATCTCCCACGCAAGAGTACTCTGGGATGCTGCTGCCTGCACCACAGACTGCAAGGAGTGCGAGCGTGTGAGGGAGGGAGGGGGGCCTTTTTCAGTCAAAGGGCTACATTCCCCTATGGGCAACTTTCTCGAGGTGGGGCCAGAAGCAAAACTAGGTGGAGCGATGGATGTGACTCTTAATTTCATTTCACTTTTAATTTGTATACCGCCTTTCTATATTACTAGAGTGGATGCTCGGGTTGCAAACGTGATCCGTGCAGGAAGCACGTTCACAACCTGCAGCGTTCGCAACCCGCAGCGCTGTATGTGTGCACGCGTGGGTTGCAATTCGGCATTTCTGCGCATGCGCAAAGCGCGATTTAGCACTTCTGCACATGCGCAAGTGCCGAAACCCGGAAGTAACCAGTTCCAGTACTTCCGGGTTCGGCGCAGTGCGCAACCTGAAATCACGAAACCCGAAGCGTCTGTAACCCAAGGTATGACTGTATACACAAGGCAGTTTACAAGCTGTAGAAACAACAAATTAGACAGCAAAGATCATACATGTGACAACAATCTGATACAATTACTAAAAAGTCTCATCTGTGTATTATCTGTGCATAAATTGTAGCAAGCCTTTCCTGTTCTCTGACACTTTTGTGGAAGGATTTTAATTAGAATATGTAAATTTTGTGGTGCAAAGTATTTCAGATTATACTGTGTTTTATGGTCTTACAAGGCTGACAGCTGTTTAAATGTGCTGGCTATGACATTTTAAAAATTACAACAGGCTACACTGAAGTCATGGGGATGTCAAGAGGGATTTGTACATGATCTCTCCCTCTAGGCCAAGCAAGAGACATTGTCACCATTCAGGGGAACATTCCAAGTAAGCAAAAGCAATCAAGGAAGGCATGGAATAGGGCCTGAAGGCAACCTCAAGGACCAGGCAGAGTCACCCATCTTCAATTTCAATGTGGCTTATGCAGGAGAATGAGCCATGACCTAGCCACTGACCTCTCTCGTCCTGACCTAGCCACTGTGATCCATGCGACGGTCACCTCCAGACTGGATTATTGTAATTCGCTCTATGTGGGGCTGCCCTTGAGACTAACGCAGAAACTCCAGCAGGTGCAGAATGCCACGGCAAGACTCCTTACGGGGTCCTCGCCGCGGGATCACATTCACCAAGTGCTATACCAGCTGCACTGGCTCCCGGTGGATTACAGGATCAGGTTTAAGGTGCTGGTTTTAACCTTCAAAGCCCTATACGGCCTAGGACCCTCGTACCTGCGGGACCGCCTCTCCTGGTATGTCCCACGGAGGACCTTACGGTCTTCAAACAAAAACATCTTGGAGGTCCCAGGCCACAGAGAGGTTAGGCTGGCCTCAATCAGAGCCAGGACTTTTTCAGCGGTGGCTCCAATCTGGTGGAACACTCTGTCACAAGAGACTAGGGCCCTGCGGGACTTGACATCTTTCCGCAGGGCCTGCAAGACAGAGCTGTTCCACCAGGCCTTTGGCCAGGACACAGCCTGACCCCCTCCTTTGGTAATCCTCACAGAACTCTAGCCCAATGGTTGCCATTAATTTGATTTGAACTGATTTTATAATGAATTGATTTTAGAATGCTGTATTATTTTACTGTTGTTAGCCGCTCTGAGCCCGGCTTTGGCTGGGGAGGGCGGGATATTAATAAATTATTATTATTATTATTATTATTATTATGAGTTCCACCAGAACTTCTAGAAATAGTCATGCTTCCAGCTCTACGTGGGGCCAGAGACCATTTTCTACCCAGCATTCCCACCTCCTCCCCAGTTTTGTGTTATTCAAACCCACACAGATGTTTCTCCGATGACTTGATAATATACGTGTACCTTTCAGGATACTAAAGCTGGAAGGCAGATAATACGCCAGGCAGTTGTAGGCCACATCAGAAAGAGGGTTGCCCAAGGTGGACAGTTCCCAGTCAAGGACAGAGACCACCTCAGGCTTCTCTGGGTGGAAGATCAGGTTGTCCAGCCTATCAAAAGAAAAGGGGAGGAGATGCAGAGGAATTCTGGCAGGTGCCACCTTAAAAGCGGAGGTGTGCGGGCTCCTATACGCTGTGCATTAAAAACCTTCTTGCAACCAGCTTCCTCTAAAGCAGCCTTTCTCTACTTGGCAAAAAGTTGTGGACTATAACTCCCCTCAGTGGTCAGGGATTATGGGAACTGTCGTCTAATAATACGTGGAGAAGAAAAACCAAGATGAGAAAAGTTCTCAGGGGTGCCACAAAGTATTATTTAAAAACCCAATGCATTTAAAAATAAATAATAATAATAATAATAATAATATGCCCCCTGACTTCTCCATAACCTCCAGAGGCCATCCTATTGGCTCCCTTGCTATAAACAATCATGAGAAGAGACAGTCACAGAGGGAGTTGTGAATTAGGTCAGAGAGCTCCCCTTCACAGAACCTCCGGCCCTAACCTTTTCCCAGGTTGCTACGTATTTTGCTGAGAGAAACAGTGATCTGAACACACCTTTGCCATTTGTAACATGCCTAACCGGCACCGTTACAAGTGCCACATAATATACTTGTTCCACATTTGTAAGAAATCAATCTTTTAGTGCGGCAGCACCTACACTTTGGAACTCCCTGCCTGTTGACATCAGGTAGGTGCCTTCACTGCATTCTTATTGGTGCCTACCAAAAAACACTTTTTGTTTAGACCAGCCTACCCAGATATGTGGAATGTAGACACGTGTTTTAGTCTGTTTTTAGCTTATCACTGATTTTAATTATTTTTGAATGTTTTAAGCAGCTGTTTTTAACTGCTGATAATTTTATTGTTTTATTTTTGGGGGTAAACAGCTTCAAGGGATTTCCCCCCTCCTTTTCTTTACAACCAAGCGGTACATATTTTGTATTTATTTTATTTCATAAAATGTAAAGCAGTGGTTTTCAACCAGTGTGCCGTGGCACCGTAGGGTGTTTTGAATGATGGTCAGGGCAGCCGCAGGCAACGCTGGCCTCCATCCCTTTTTCCTTCACTGCCTCCTCTAATGCCCTCTTGCATCTCTGCCTCCTAAAGGTTGGCATAGCTGTTTGTTGCAGCAGCCCTGGCTACAAGCTACGCAGGCGAATGGTGCCTCTGGCCAGGGGGTGCTTCCCAGGCACCTGTGGGGCAGTGTGAGAAGGCACATCTATGTGGGGCAGGGGAGGCAGCTCAGAGATCAGGGGTGGCAACAGCAGCAGCTGCCCAGAGGACTGCCAAGGAGAGGACAGGAGGCTGAGGGAACAGTCCACAAGGGAGGGTGTTTAAAAAAGGGTGAAAGGCTGCCAGCTCTGCAGGCAAGGGGTGACATAACTGGGCTCCTGAGCCTCACAGGGGTGCCACAGGAAGAATGGAGTTGGTCAAGGGAGCCATGGACTGAAAAAGGTTGAAAACATATTGTTTAAAGCAGGCATAGGCAACCTCGGCCCTCCAGATGTTTTGAGACTACAATTCCTGTTATGTACTGAAGTTCTCACCCTGGGCCAGCAGGGGGATACTGAAGATATGTGGATAGGTCCGCATATGCAAATAAGGGATCAAAAGTGACGTTCAGTGATTGGATAGTTACAGAAAGTTGTTACAGTTACGTTGTACTGGAGCTCTATATAAGCAGGCTGGCTGAACCCTTCAGTTCAGTTCTGTTCTGACCTGTGAATAAACAAGAGCTGTTTGGAGAATCGCTGTGTCGTCTGATATGTTCACCCACAACTTAACAATTCCCATCATCCCTGACCACTGGTCCTGTTTAGCTAGGGATCATGGGAGTTGTAGTCCCAAAACATCTGGAGGGCCAAGGTTGCCTATGCCTGGTTGAAAGGGACTCCTGAAAACTGTGTTTGGAGGGGGAGAGAATGCTGTTATTTGACACCTGAAATCTCCGTGCACGACAGAGAGGCCCTCGCTGGCTGGCAGGTGGGAAGGGAACCAGGCAATAAGCCTCTCCATAGCTGGGATGGTATGCGTCTCTGTGGCACGGTACTGTTTGCTCCACGTCTGGACTTGCCGCTGAACGTAGTTACCTGCAGCAGAAAGATGTCGTTAAAGATGGCAGGGGAAATTCTAGGCACTAAAAACCGAGAAAAAAACAAGTTCTATAAGATATAAAGATCTCTTGGAAAGGAAAGCACCCACGTGGCTTTCACCAATGGAAGCAAAGGCACAGAAAAATTTGAACTTGGAGAGTAAATGGTTGAAATATGCTGATTTACTGGTGGAAGATGATGAGGAATTTAAATTAAGATCATTTGATCAAATCAAAGATAAATCGGATGGATGGTTACAATATTATCAGATTAACGAATTGTATAAACTTGGTAAGAAAAAAATGGTTTTGCAACAGAAAAATCCAAACTGGAAACGGAATTGTTAGACACTAATGTTAAAAATCTCTCCAAAATGTCTAATTTGTTGTTAGAATGGCATACAAAGGACGAACAAGTTAAATCTGTGATGATTGATTGGGCAAGAGATGTTGGACACAATATAATGTTGGAAGATTGGGAAAGGCTGTGGAAGAAAGGGGTAAAGTTTACTGCATGCACTGTATTAAAGAAGTTCTGCATGTACTGAAAAAAACAAGTTCTGCAGAACCGAGCACAGAAATCATAGGACTGTTAAATTGTAGAGTTGGAGGGGACTCTGAGGATCATCTAGTCTGACCCCGCTACAATGCAGGAATATGCAGCTGTCCCATACGGGGATTGAACCTGCAACCTTGGCCACACCAGCACCATGCTCTATGAAATGGGGATCCTGTGGCCCTTCAGATGTTATCTATTACTATTGCTGCCATTCTTATTTAAACTTATTACAGTAGTTGGTATTTTTTTTAATGAAAGTGACTCAGTGTGCCTTACAATAAACACATACAGTGGTACCTCGGGTTACATACGCTTCAGGTTACAGACTCCACTAACCCAGAAATAGTACCTCGGGTTAAGAACTTTACCTCAGGATGAGAACAGAAATCGTGCTCTGGTGGCGTGGCGGCAGCAGGAGGCCCCATTAGCTAAAGGGGTGCTTTAGGTTAAGAACAGTTTCAGGTAAAGAACAGACCTCCGGAACCAATTAAGTACATAACCAGAGGTACCACTGTACATTAAAACAGAAAAAACCCCTCTAAAAGACAATAATGTTTTTAAAGGCAGGCTTAAAACTTCCACCCACTCCAGGAGTGGCTCCACTCACTCAAGGAGGATAACTAAAAGCCAAAGGCCTGGAGGAAAATAAACATTTTTTATTTGGGCCTGAAGATGATGGCACCAGGCGAGCATCCCTGAGGAAAGCAGCGGGGAGCCACTGTTGAAAAGGCGTGTTCTTGTGTTGCTGCCCTTGGGACCTCTCATGGAGGGGCCACATGGAGAAGGGCGTCAAATGATGGTCAGGGGGTCTTGGTGGGTTCATTTGGGGAGAGGCAGTCCTTGAGGAATTGGGGTCCTGAGTTGCCTGAGGCTTTACAGTGGTACCTCAGGTTAAGTATTTAATTCATTCCGAAGGTCCGTACTTAACCTGAAACTGTTCTTAACCTGAAGCACCACTTTAGCTAACAGGGCCTGCGCCGCCAGAGCACGATTTCTGTTCTCATCCTGAAGCAAAGTTCTTAACCTGAAGCACTATTTCTGGGTTAGCGGAGTCTGTAACCTGAAGCGTATGTAACCTGAAGTGTATGTAACCTGAGGTACCACTGTATAGGTCAAATCCAGGGATAGGTTATCAGTCTCCAGCTCCCACCGTCCCCGACCATAGCACTGATGTGATCTGGGAGCCTAACTACATCTTGAGGGCTATCACAGTTCCACACCCTCACATTGTGAGAAAAGAAATGCCATTGCTCCAAACATTTACGCACCATGTTTCCCATAATCCTCCAGGCCGGCCGCCTTGATGTCCACACTGTGGATCTTACAGAGGACTCTGTTCATGGCGGTGTAAATCTCTGTCCGTTGGCTGGGTTCCAGTCCTGGGAGGGAGGGGTCCTTGAAGATCCGTCCGGTGCAGTAGTCCATGAGATAAAATGGGGTGCCAATGATACTGGGGCGACACGAGGATGTTAGTGCAAGAACATCAGCAAAACTGCAGGTCTATGACCATAATAAACTGACTGATTGCTTTGAGCAGCAGCAGAAAGGGCTTTGAGAGGTGAATCTTCAATAGTGGGCGACTGCAATGCACTCTATGTGGGGCTTCCTTTGTGCTTGATTCAGAAGCTGCAGTTAGTGCAGAATGTTGCAGCACGATTGCTGATGGGAGTGAGATCCTTTCAGCATAGAACACCTGTGCTCAGAGACCTGTACTGGTTATCAATTCGTTACTGGGCATAGCTGTCAACATTTCCCTTTATTTAAGGGAAATACCCTTATTCCAAATAGGATTCCTCACAAGAAAAAGGAAAAGTTGACAGCTATGTTACTGGGCCAAGTTGAAGGTGTTACTATTGGTACATAAAGCCGTTAACAACTTGGGACAAGTTTACCTGCAAGATCGCCTCACCCCAAATATGCCCACATAACCACTTCAATTTGCGGAACGGGCACCGTTACAAGTGCCACATAATACCCATTCTGAATTTGTAATAAATCAATCTTTTAATGTGGCAGCATGCAAACTTTGGAACTCCCTGCCTAGTGACATCAGGCACTTCACTGCACTCTTTTTGGAGCTTGCTGAAAACCTTTCTGCTGACACAAGTCAACCCAGATAAGTGGAATGTGGACATGTATTTCCATCTTGTCTTTAGCCCATCATTGATGTTCATTATTGCTTGAATGTTTTAAGTAAGGGTTCTTACTGATAATTTTATTGTTGTTTTTGAAGCTGCTTTGGGAGGTTTTTTGTTTGTTTGTTTTTTACAATCAGCAACGTATAGAGTTTATGAGATGACTGAAAATTACACAGGCCCAGTGATTCATTCTCAAACACACACACACACACACACACACACACACACACACACCATAAATGCACCTTGAATCTTCACATAAGGCAAGGACTTTAGGAACTGGAACACCAGCCTCCGCAACAGCCTTCAAAACCCTGCCAGGGTAAAGGAGACCAGAATGAACACTGGAAGAATTTGTTAGAGTGTGGTTATATTTCTTTTAAAAACCTGACTGTGACAAGTTATACAAGATACATTAACATTGTACCACTGCATTAAAAAATTAATTACCATAAGGACTGCCTGTCCCAATTCAGAACCTGCCTATAATCCAAGACCCTTGCCTGACATCTTGCTCGTGGGCCGAGCCTGTGAAATCTGTTAGCTTGACCAGCACACGAGGCAAGACCTTTGCATCTGTTGGCCCCGTGGATGTGAAACTCTCCTACTGTTAACATTTGCTTGCCTCCCTTGGAATCCTGGCATCCAAGAAGGCCTTAAACTTTTACTTTTTTTACTACTACCTTTCCTCATGAAAGTTTAGGACAGTGGTTTAATTCAGTATTTCTCACACTCTGCCTGAGCTTCTGATGCTTTTACTTCTCTTTGTGCTTCATTTTGTGAGGGCTTAGCCTCGAAAAGCAACTAATCAACGAAGGGAATGAATAAACAAACTGTTGGCATTTCTGCCTCTCCCCGTCCTTTTTTGAAAAGGGTGATTCATAAGCTGCTGCTTGAAAACTCAAGTGTTCAAGAATGACTGAATGGAGACCCCAAGCAGCAAAACACAAGGGGAAAACAAACCCCCAAAATTGGACATTTAAATCTGTGCAACTTATGTTAAGTGAAAGACTCCACACTTTCCAATAACGCAGAACTCCTTCTGCCTGATAAATAATACTAGGAAACTCAAAGGCTTGCATGCTCCTGCTTCCACCAAGTTACATGTGGCTAATCTGGTATGTCAGTTTACCACTATTTTGAGCTAGGATGGAGACAGTTGCTAGACTTTTCACCTGTACTCTCTCTCGACAGCATGAGCAGAGGGAAGGAGGGGGCCTGGCGGCTTCTTCCTCAGAACGAACTGGCGATCCCCAAACCTGACGTAGTAGGTAGGGTTGGACTGCCCGTGGCTGAACTGCCGCAGCACCAGAGGCCCTGAAAGTGGGAGCGTGAGCCATTAGCGAGCGAAACTGGGTTTACTCCAAGGAGTTCACAAAGGTGTCTGTGGTCTTGCTCCCATCCATTTCATTCTCATAACAACCTACTGTCAGGTAGGCCAGGTGGAGAGAGTGGAAAAAGAGAGGTGACAGACTCAATGCCTCTCAGGGAGCTTTGAGGCTGAGTGAAGGTTGCCTGGATGGTAGGTGTCCCTGAAATGTGATAATGCTTCTTCCTTTACCTGGATGAGGGATTGATATATTTGGGGGGGGGGGTTGTACAGAAACCTCTGGCTTTGGCATGTACCCTGTTCTACAAAGATAAATGTGGCCTCTGGACCTCCTCACTGCTGGGATTTGGCCCCTGGAAGTTTCCACACAAAGGTTTCTGGCTCATGGGCTGAAAAAGGGTCCCCTACCCTGCTCTATGGACGCGGGTGGCGCTGTGGGTTAAACCGCAGAGCCTAGGGCTTGCCGATCAGAAGGTCGGTGGTTCGAATCCCATTGCGACCCATTGCTCGGTCCCTGCTCCTGCCAACCTAGCAGTTCGAAAGCACATCAAAGTGCAAGTAGATAAATAGGTACCGCTCCGGCGGGAAGGTAAACGGAGTTTCCGTGTGCTGCTCCGGTTCGCCAGAAGCGGCTTAGTCATGCTGGACACATGACCCGGAAGCTGTATGCCGGCTCCCTCGGCCAGTAAAGCAAGATGAGCGCCGCAACCCCAGAGTCGGCCACGACTGGACCTAATGGTCAGGAGTCCCTTTACCTTTACCCTGCTCTAACCACTACACAATGCTGTGTCTCTATAGAACACAAAGTCATCTGCTGACAGAAGAGTAGCAAAGAATGTCCTGGCACTTTCAAGATCTGAATCTTTTATAGCTGGGAAGGGCAACCAAAGCGGGAATGTGCAAAATGCCATAATATTGGAGGGCGGGTGTCAGGCTTCGGGACCTCGGCTGCCTCCCCCCCTTTGGCCGTAGATAAGCAGGACAAAGCGAAAAGAGTCGCTTACCATTTAAAGAGTTTTTAATGATCACAGCAAAAGAACAAATCAGCCATTCTCGGAATGAAGGTGTTCCCAATTAAGGTTTCCACCTACTTCCCCCCTAGTCACTTCCGCGCCTTGCAACCTGATCTCACAACCACCGTGCTTTTTGTGTAGCCACCTTATCTGCCCTACGTGACCTTGGACTGCTAGGCTAGACACTTTGCAGTGAGAGAGAGCCTGTTAGCTCTTTCTCTTCCAGTTCTTCTTCACTTTGCTGTTCATCCCCCCCAGTTCGTCCCAACTTTTGTCTTCAGAACTATGCCCCTCTGCAAACCACTGCTCCAAATCTATACCGCTCCAATGCTCCTGGGAAGCTTCAGGATCCTGGTCATGAGCAGGGGGAGGGGGAGGCTCCCACCATTGCTCATCAGAACAGTACTCCTCATCCTGGTATCTGACAGTGGGGGAGGGGGAAAAGATTCTATACCTGGAGCCCCCAGGATGCCTTCAATGTACTTCTGGAGAGGGGCTGTGGGGATCTGCATTGCCGACCTCACGGAACATGTGTAAGGAACAAATGATCTCAGGGCAAAGCCAAGGTGGCTCTCCAGCTCTTGAAGTGCTGAGTCTGGGTCATCAACCTGAGACAAAGAGGTGGATGAAGTAGCTAGCGCGGGCTCCAGGAAGGAAGGGGAGCAGGTGAGTCAGGCAGGCTGGTTTTACAAGTCTGGCGGTGAGGGTCTTTGACACAGCCGCACCTCTGCTCACCTTGAGTGTCTTCATGCCCAGCTGGGCAGCTGCTTTCAGGTTCTGCCCAAGGTCATCCAGAAAGATGGACTCTTTGGCCTGAACGCCCAGTCTCTCCAAGCACAACTTGTAGATACGAAGGTCCGGCTTGCACACCCCTTCCCGGCAAGACTCAATTATCTAGAAGACAAAAGACATTAAAATATAGTGGTACCTTGGTTCCTGAATGCCTTGGCTCCCAAACAAACAGGCTTCCAAACACCACAAATCCAGACGTAAGTGTTCCGGTTTACGAACTTTTTTGGAAGCCAAACATCCGTTTCAGCTGTTGGCATTGTTTCCGGGGCCAATCAGAAGCCGCGCCTTGGTTTGTGAACGTTTTGGAAGTCGAACAGACTTCCCGAACGGATTGAGTTCAGGAAGCAAGGTACCACTGTAAAGTAAAAATTAGACTGGGTGCACACAAGGAAGCTAGAGATTTCTTGTTTCGGAGTGTTTCTTAAGTTTATTAGTCATAATGAATGGATGGTAACTGCAAATGCAGAATGGGCAGTTTTTAGCTTTCTTTACTAAATGCAAGTAAGATAAAGCAATGTTCTAACTGGATCACTGTCTATGATAGAGATGGAGAGCTCACCCACTGCAGGCCAAGTGTGGCAGATGGGGGAACTGCTCATCGGTCAGTCTTCTGATTACACTATTTATTTAGTGGAATTATATCTCACCTTTGCCTCCAAGGACCTCAATGACCCTGTGAGGTAGGTTAGGCAATGATTGGACCAAGATCACCCAGTGAACTTCATGGCCAAGAGGGGATTTCAGCCTTGGTTTCCCAGGTCCTAGTCTGACACTCGAATCACTACACCACACAAAACTCTCGCAGCGTAATAAGATTTCTCTAATGAGAAGAGAGCCTTTACAAAAACTGGAATCTCTGTTGCACGCCGTGAACTCACCACATCAAACTGCTGCCGGTTAAGGGGCAGAAAACTTTCTCCACTGTGCAAATAGAAATTGTTACTCAGGACGGCCGTCTTCAGGCCTTCTGCTCGGATGCACTTTATAGCTTCAGTCATAACGGGAAGCTGCCCTGACATTCCAACGCTGGTCAAATCTGCGAGAAAAGAGTCCACTGGGACAGAGGAGTTTGCCTTGTGGGAAGAGGTAAAAAGAGACAGGAAAACGGGGGCTGAAACATCTTTGGGTGGAAAAGATCACGCCAAATGTTCCACACAACCCAATAATACTATGCCATATTCTACACACTGAATCATTTTTTATAGCGTGAAAGAACAAAGTTGAACCGAATGGACGAAAACGGCTAAAGAAGAGATGGAAGAAAGAAAGAGCAGAGGGCTCCCTCCCTCTTAAAACTTCTCTGGGTGGGCTTGAGCTGATCATGCTTTCTCAGCCTGGCCTACCCAACAGGGTTGTAATGAGTATGAGACTAAAACAAGCTCTTTGGAGGAAGAGATGAAATGCAAATGTGCTAAAACACTTAGGCAGTTCATGGTGGAGATGTCTCCCAATTTCTGCCTATGGATGTTTCCATTATTGTTTCAGACCCTAAATACCAAACACCCCCTTCCCTACAGACTTTCCTGGGTGCCAGTATCACCAGAGGCGACCCACTGTCCTCAGAAGCTTGGGGTGGTGGCAGCGGCCCAGGAAAGGGCATTCTCTGTGGCAGTTCCTAAGCTGGGAAATTCTCTCCCCAGAGTGGTACGTCTGGCACATTCATGGCAAAGCTTCTAGCAAATGCTGAAGACACAGCTTCTTTGCCCTGGCTTTTGACATATGCATATTTTTAGGACTCATATACTTTCTGCAATTATAACTGGCTTTAAACTATTTTTAATGTTGTAGCTTAGGGTGATGGGCAGAATAATAATAATAATAATAATAATAATAATAATAGCAATATAGGAGTGGAGAACCTTTCAGCCTTCTAGGCGTTTCTGGACACTTCATACCGCAATCCCTGATCACATACTTCCTTTTCCCAGTATGTGTGGGATTGAGTGTGGGTATGTATGAATATTTTTAAGGACTGTATTCAATGTACAGTGGTGCCCCGCAAGACAAATGCCTCGCAAGACGAAAAACTCGCTAGACGAAAGGGTTTTTCGGTTTTGCGTTGCTTCGCTAGACGAATTTCCCTATGGGCTTGCTTCGCAAGACGAAAACGTCTTGCGCTTTTTTTTTTAAGCCGCTTGAAGAGGCGCAGTTGCGACGGACCGTGCTTCGCAAGACGAAAAACATCGCAAGACGAAAAGACTCACGGAACGAATTCTTTTCGTCTTGCGAGGCACCACTGTATGTTTGTCTGTATATTCGTAATATGTACGTATTAATGTTGAATTATTTTAATAAAATTTTAAAAATTAAATTATTATTTTTTTAAATCCCTGATCACTAGCCATGTTAGCTGAACAGAGGCAGAGGCCAGCAACAGCCAGAAGGCTGCAGTTTCTCCGGCCCCTGAGATAAGAACTCTGCATGTGAGCCCTTCTACTTGGCCCCTATTCAGGTGACAGAAAACAAGCAGAAAAGCTGGCTTACGATCTCGGAGCACTGCTTTCCAAATTCATGCAGAAACTCTGCTGGCTGCAGCTCCCCTCTCATGTACCTCAGCCAAGGTCCGTCCTCCCCTCCCGATCTCAAGGCCTGCTTGATGGTGCCAGGGGGCACACGGTGCCGAACCTCCCAGTCTACATAAAGGAAGGCAGATGGGTCAGGAACCAACATTAATAATTGGGGCGGGGACATGAAAGGTTTCCTACCAGTCACAAGTGTTTCCTATAGAAAGGAATGTTGTTCCCTAATATCAGGAATACCTGTCACGTCAAGGATGATGCAGCCTGGGGAAGTCTAGAATAGAATCGTAGAATTGTGTGTGAGAGTTTGGGCTGATGCTGGAAGCTGGTGACATAGAAATGTGTCTGAAACCAAGTTGTGGCTGGTTTCCCTGGAAGCCTAATGGGTGTCAGGGAAAGGCAAGTGTCTGGAAGAGTCAGCAGAGGAGGCAGGAGAATGTTTCAGGGGAATGGGTGGGGATCTGTGCCACCTGTGAGGCAGGGGAAAGAGGAAGAGTATGGGAAGTCAGAAGCAGGGAAAGAGGTGCAGGGAGTCACAGAAGTGGAAGAGAGGGTGTCAGAGAGAGTTGGGCCATTAAAATCCGTCCCCTCTCCCACTGTCTCCAAGGATGAGAAGGGGCTTAAAGTGACAGGAGCAGATGGAGATCCCACACAGAAGTCACCGGTGCTTGTGTCAAAAGAGGTGGTTTAAACGTGCTGAAGAAGGCATGTCCGTCCTGTTGTTCCAACTGTCCTGACCGCATACCCTCCAACATTTCTCCAATGAAAATAGGGACAATAATTTTACCATTTATGCCCCACACATCTTACTCGGTTGCTCCAGCCACACTCGGTGGCTTCCAACACATATAAAAACATAATAAAACATTAAACATTAAACAAAAAAACTTTTCCTATAAAGGATTGCCTTCAGACAACTTGGCGGCTGGATAACTCCATACCCTCCAACATTTCTCCAATAGCGATGTCCTAAAAAGCGGGACATTCCTGGATCAAATCAGAAACTGGAATGGCTTCATTAAATCAGGGACGTTCCTGGAAAATAAGGACACCTGGAGGGTCTGGGATCAGAGCACAAGTCTGAAGAAAAAGTTGCCTAGCAAACTACTTAGCATGAGCAGTGCATGTGATTATTGCACCTTAGCAGCTTATGAAATTGAGTGCTTTGCCAATAAAGAACTAAACTTCCAATCGTGTGTCCTCATTGGGGGCTGGTGTGCTTGGGACAATGAAGAAACAAGTTCTGTTGTGAGTGTTAATGCTGTGAGCCCCTCCATCCTATGCTCAGGTGGAAATAAAAACAATTTATCTTCAGAACACCACAGTCTCCACTGATGTTCATTCCAAGGCAACTGAACCCTGGGAAGCGCAGGCACCCCTGGCTTGGGGTTGGGCACAATAATACAAGACACATTTTACATAGCAGAGAAAGGACTTGGAATATTCCACTTTGCATTCCATATTAAGGCAGCTCAATCAGCAAATGTCAGACTGGATGGGAATGCCACTGATACAGACACTCACCTGCTGCCAGTTTGATTGGGGAAGGAAGGAGAACACCACCCATATCAAAGATCACAGCTTTATAGGGACAGGTTGAAGAATTTCTCCATAGTGAGTGTGGAGGTCTGTACCAGAACCGTTGTAGGATGTGTGATCTCCTGACATGGTGGTTACAGAAGACTTGGAAGAACCGCCCAGCACACATTTTCTGGAACTGTGTATATAAAGGGGAAAGTAAACGCTTTAGAGATTTGTTGCAAGTCAGTAGTTTCCAGATCTTGGGATAACTTCTTGTCTGCACAGGTTTCTCTTTCAATGCTAACTTTTGCATCTTTCAGGTTACTCAGCACATCTGATGTTTTGGCTCTTGTGGTGATCTAGTATCCAGAAGCCTCCAGAGGGCCACAAGTTCCATATTCCTGTGGTAAGCTATAAATAAAAATTTATCATGACTATGTAGGTGGCTCCTTCCCTAGGGATAGGTTGCGCACCTCTTATCAGAAACCTGTGGCCCTCCAAATTTTACTGAATAAACATGTTTTCAAATGCAGCTTTAAAACTTGTAGGATGAGTCTTGTCTGATCTTATAATTGGATCAGGTTTCCACAAATGCAGAGTTGCCATTGAAAATAATACCCACCACATGCCCAACAACCTGGTTGTGGGCATACTGGCACGTAAGGTATGAACAGTCTAGGATAAGGGAAGGTGGTATAAGGCTTTGAAGATTATCCCTATCACTTTGTGCCTGTAAATCTGCACAGTATCACTGCACTGTTCCTACCTGTCTGGCGTCGGTTGTTCACAACTCCCACCAACCCCAGCCAGCATAGTCAATGCTCAGGCAGAATTGCAGGGGGTGTAGTTCTCTGCTGCTTTCCAGGGAGAATGTTAATTGGGCTACAGAAATTCTAGCAGTGGCAGTGCTGCTTACAAGTTTTAAACTGCATTTTGCCGCGTGCCGTTTAAGTGTGTGGCTTTGTAAAGCTATCTCCTGAAAAGCAGGGTTAATAAATATACAGTGGTACCTCGGGTTAAGTACTTAATTCGTTCCAGAGGTCCGTTCTTAACCTGAAGCACCACTTTAGCTAATGGGGCCTCCTGCTGCTGCTGGAGCACGATTTCTGTTCTCATCCTGAAGCAAAGTTCTTAACCCAAGGTACTATTTCTGGGTTAGCGGAGTCTGTAACCTGAAGCATATGTAACCTGAAGCGTATGTAACCCGAGGTACCACTGTATATTAAATAGGAAATGGATGAATAATATTTGAACAGATTTGTTCTTTTAACTTACAACAGTTTGATTCCAGCATCTATTTGTGTATTGCTTTTAGTTTGCTGAATTATTTGCAAGTTACTGTTACTGTTGTTACTGTTATTATTATTATTGTGCGGTTGGGCAACCTAAGAACAAAAGATCTACCCTGAAAATGGGGGACATGAGATCACAAAAAAGTAGACAAACACCACCAGTGACTCAAATCCCACCGCGCAAAAGACCATTTTCAAGGTCCCTGACACCCCTTCCCTAAGGCTGAGGCCACAACATCCAGCACCCCGCATTTTGCCCTTCTCTCCTTTGTCCCCCACCCTCACTTCCGCCCTCTCCCCAGAAAGCAGCTGCGGTGACCTCTGACCCGAGACGAACCTTGCGTCGAGTCCCTCGCAGCAGCTTCTGCCTCTCGGCGGTTCTCGCGAGAACATGGGCCGGAGGGAAGAGCGACGTCCTCACGACAGCCCCGCCCAACTTAAAGAGCAGAAGACCTGGCAACCTTCGCCCCGCCCCCTTCCGCCGCTCCCTCTCTGCGCCTGCGCGCGCGGGGGTCAAGGGTCAGGGAGCCAGGGGGCGGAAGTGGCTCATAATCCTAGGGAGCTGCGGCGGCGAAGGCGGCGGAACAACAGCAGGAGCCACAGCTGGCGCCTCGGGGGCGGTTTGGGCCTCTTTTCCCCTTCCCCTGCCCCGCTCGGGCCCCGCGGGCTCGGGAGCCCCTCCAGGGCGGGCCCTATGAGTGTGTCGCTGGTGGTCCTTCGCTTGGAGCTGGCCGAGACTTCGCCCGTGCCGGGCGGCTTTCCTTACAGCGCGGCCGGTGAGGGGGCTCGGGGGAGAATGAGGGGGCAACAAGCCGGGGGGGTGGAGAGAAAGAGAGGGAAGTCTCTCAGAGAGGGATTCAAACATAAATATTTTTAAAATTCTACTACAGTGACCCCCCAGTGTGTTTTACAAGAAAAAAGTACAACTTTTAAAGCACAGCAGTTATTATTTTATCCCCAAAGGTAGAAAGCCTAACCGAATTGTATCCTCTAGTTAAAAGGCGCTTATGTAAGAGCAGATGCCTCGGTAGGTGAGATCACACAGAGATGATGTCGGTTGAAGTAGATCATGCTGAGCAAGGGAGAGCAGTGCTACCAAGTGAATGACAAACTTCATATTGTTGCTATTTGCTATGAAGAGTTACTGGTATCGATCTACGTAGAGCGTTATAATGTTTCAAATGAAAAAGGGCTCCCCCTCCAACAACAGTTATATATGAAAGTTGGTGTGCTTGGTTTACTAATAAGCCCTCTGGCAGAAACCTATGTCAGAGAAGGTAATGCAGAGTATGTGTGCACAACACAGGACAAATCCCTTCCAGAATGTGTGGTATGTTTGGGAATGCAGGATGTACACACGAGGCAATAATTCTATGTTAAAATAGGCAGTCACTGGTATAGAAGTGTGCCCTCGTCTTCATCTGTGACATCTTAGAAAATGTAAGAAAATGTTTAATCCCCCCCCCCCGGGTAATGCTACACAGACTCCTGGTTTCTGCGTATATGTCTGTTATTGTACGTGACAAATTGTTATTAACTTAATACAGCGGCAAGAAGGAGATAGGGTCTCTGTCTTGTGTTTCCCCTATCAAACAGGGCCCTTTCATAATAATAATGTGATGGAAGTTGTCTAATTAAGCATCCTATCAATTGCCCTAACAGGAAAACCCGGATACCTGTGTTACACTGCATGTGTGTGTTTGTGTGTGTGTAATGCTTTGCTCATGACCTGATTTGTATCTACAAGTGCCTCTGAGATCAGCTAAATGATGTCACAGGTGTGTTGTAGCCCAAATGCTGAACCAATAGGAGGCCGGAAACATTTAATTATTTGTACTCCACCCATCTGACTGGGTTGCCCCAGTCACTCTGGATAGTTTCCAACAAGTTTAAAGAAGAATGAATTAATTAATAGGCTAGTTCAACTGCAATGGATATAATCATTTAGATTTGAAAGGGCGTGTTTGCTTTTGTTGTTTTTGTTCTAGCTTGTGGATAGCTATTATAATAATACACATCACTGTTTTTGTTTTTGTTTAGCCACTGAAATGTCTGATGAGGAAATCAAGGAGAAATCACTAGCAGCTGCCACAGCCTCCTTAGACGGAAAGGAGCCTGTTGAGAAAGCCGCTATCATTCACCAGCACATTGGCCGCAGGGAGATGACTGATATGATCATTGAAACTATAAAGCCTGATGCAGGTACTGGCATGGTGCTTCCATGTGCTTCTGGGCAAAATGCAGGTGCAAGTTTATGCTTCAAGAAAATATACAACTATCAGTGGGTGTCAGGCAGAGCCAGTTAACATGCATATGATAGTGTGAGCTTTTTCCTTTCCACTTAGCCATACAACAGGACCACTCCTAAATCAGACTTGTTAAGTGCCAGAATGAACTAATTGACCAAACAGGAAAACTTTGTTGTTCTTGTTACTGTATAAGCTGGGAGAGAGGGCAGGACAGGAACAGACTTGGCTCTCGGCCCTTGTTTCTTAGAGACAAGGACATGCCCCAAACAGTGAATGGTTATGAGCCTGCAACTTCTGTAGATTTGTTTGCAAGATTGTTCTAAAGCAGTGTTTCCCAAACTTGGGTCCCCAGCTGCTTTTGGACTACAGTTCCCATCATCCCTGACTGCTGGTCTTGCTAGCTAGGGATGATGGGAGTTGTAGTCCAAAAACTGCTGGAGACCCAAGGTTGGGAAACACTGTTCTAAAGTTTTAAAGTGTTCTTAGAACTGATGCCTGCCTATTGAAGGGGTAGTGAACAAGATGCCTTCCAGGTGTTTTAAACTACAACTCCCAGCATCTTTGACCATTGTCCATGTTGGCTTTGGTTGATGGGACTTGCTAGTCTAGAGGGAGTCAGATAGGGAAAGCACATTCTAATAATTCTACAACGATATCAAGGAGTATTGAATCAGGGATTAACTTTCCTGCCTTACCAAGCTTTGAACTGCATGAAAGGACTTGCATGAGCATAACAGACCTTTCCCTCCCTGTCCTCCCCACCCCTTTGAGCTACTGTTCTGGGTTTTCCTGCAGTTCTCTGGAGCAGGTTTTAGTTATGGGGGTAGGGAGAAAAGAGGGAGGGGAAGTTCTGTTGCACATGCAGAAGTCCTTGTGCGAATGGAACACCTTCAGTGGATGCAACCTTTTGTGATCAAACATAACCTGAGAAATGTTTTTAGTTGCTAGGGGCTGCTTTGCGGTCTTTACCTTTTGGATGCTAGGTTAGAGCTGCAATCCTAAACACACTTATTCAGAAGGAATCCCCATTGGCACACTGGAGCTTGCTTTGGAATCAGTATGCATGTAAATGAGCTGTCAGTGGCCTCTTGATCCTTTCAATGACTAAATAGTCTGGAGGACCAGTTTGCAAGTCACCTACTCAAAACAAAACCCTCAGATTGGTTTCACTGACTCTGTTGGACATGCTCCCGGGTTGGTAAATAGTGAACTGCGGCTTGGAAGTAGTCATTGATGTACACAATTTACAAAGGGCCCTTTCTGAGTAGATTCCCTTTATAATGTATGGAAATAGTGTTTTAGAAGAGCAGTTGAATTTTTCACGCAGGCAGTGTCTGACCTATACTTTTCTTGATTCATGAAAAAAGAAGCGTTGAAAGCAGTGATGGAGGAAGGCAAAGCATCTGAGGCATCCTCCCCGGATGACCGGAGTAAACATAATGGCCAAAGTGGGGGTGTTGGGACAGCACCGGATTCCCCCTCGAAGCAGCTTCCAGACCAGATTTCCTTTTTCAGTGGAAACCCGTCGGTTGAAATAGTTCATGGCATCATGCACCTCTACAAGACAAAGTAAGGAAGTGCTTCTCTTACGTGGCTTGTGTGAAGTGGGTCACAGATCCAAGCCTTGTATGGTTTTTGTGAAACTCCTGCTCCCTTAGGGGAAGGGCTTTAAGTCAGTGGAAGAGCAAACATATTGCTTGCTGAAGATCTCAGATGCGCATTCTCAGCCTAACCTACCTCACAGGGTTGTTGTGAGAATAAAACGGGGAAAGGGAGAACAATGGGTATCACCTTGAGCTCCTTAGAGGAAAAGTGTGATATAAGTCTAAGAAATAAATGAATGAATCAGTTAGTGGGTGCTGGAATAGGTTCCTCTCTTTTCCTGGAATGCTGGAGAACTATTGCCAGCCAGCGTAGACAATACTAGCCCAAACTGAACCTAATTTAAGGCAAATCCCTAGGTACTCTTTGAAATGTGATAAATCCAGTTCCTGGATTTTTATTTTTATTTATTTTGGAAGAGGTAACTCTGGTTTAGTCATTTTTTTAAAAGTGCAATAAAAGAAAGTAGCAGCAGGATAAAGTCCAGGGAGGCAGGTTAAAATTGCCTTAACTGACGCTTTAAAGGGTCTGGGAAAGTGTTTGGGGGAAAGTTATTGGTTTGAAATATTTACTTACACTTTGGTTCAACATCTGTTACGTTTGACAGCACAATCTTGCACTAGTTTCTTTACGGTGGTGGTTCTCTACCATTTAGGAAACTCCTGTTACCTGTTTAGGAACCCTGTGCATTGCTATGCAGCCCCTCTATGTTGAAGAAGGTTCTGGGATATTTCAGGGTGCAAATCGGTTGCTCATATTTTGAACACTGCCCTGAGTCTTGGGCCTCTTTGTGTTCTTGCACAAATCAAGGGTGTACTGTAGCTATTCTTTCAGCTGCTGCATATTGTAGGGTGGGGGGGGCGGCCATGGGTGGTTCACAGCCAAGGAATGCACATGGCAGATAATTAAGTATTTATTGTTAAAGATAACATTTACAGTTGCTTCTGCAGCTCTGAATACCTACGCACACCAGTGTAGAATCTAGGCAGCTATTCCCAGGTCTGAGCTCTGTGGACTATGCAGCAGTTGAAACAGCCCCCCCCCTTTTCTTCACCCCAGTTTATGTATCCTTCCCTAATGGGCTGTGTGCACACGGCCAGAGAGCGCTCCTACATAGAAACTTTCTCTCTGCATCCCTTTTCAATTCCCTCTTGGTTCTGGGAGACAGTGGCCTGCCTGTTCCTGACATCAGGTGGGGAACACTTTTGGCTCCACACCAAAAGTTAGGATCTGTCATGGGGACCAAATCTGACCACCTGTCAAAGTACCTTTCATGCCAATCTTAAAGGGGAAGTAAGGTAAAGGTACCCCTGACCATTAAGTCCAGTCGCAGACGACTCTGGGGTTGTGGTGCTCATCTCGCTCTATAGGCAGAGGGAGCCGGCATTTGTCCTCAGACAGCTTCCAGGTCATGTGGCCAGCATGACTAAGCCGCTTCTGGCGAACCAGAGCAGCGCATGGAAACGCCATTTACCTTCCCGCCGGAGTGATACCTATTTATCTACTTGCACTTTGACGTGCTTTCGAACTGCTAGGTGGGCAGGAGCAGGGACTGAACAGCGGGAGCTCACCCCGTCGCGGGGATTCGAACCGCTGACCTTCTGATCGGCAAGCCCAAGAGGCGCTGTGGTTTAGACCACAGCGCCACCCACCTTACATAAACTTTTGTGAGTTTCTCCCCCATCCCTTTCCTTCTAAGTTCTCATTCTCATGCTACTCTAGCACAAATATTTGCGCATCAGACACATGTATCCAGTGGTGCATTAAACCATGAAGCCCGCTGATGGGCATGGTTTAGGGAAAATGGCTTGGTGGGCCAATATTGGCCCGCAGGCTGGCGGTTGCCCACTCCCGTTGTAAAAGAAGATCCACAGTAGCTCACAGCTGCCTACCAAGGAAGTCCGTCTTCCTTTGCTGATCATCTTCTTGATGAACTTGAGATGAGCCTTTCTGCTGTACTGTTTGTTATCACAGCAGTGATTTTCTGTAATAGGTAACCAGGTTCAGTGGGGTTGAGAAACCTATAATGAAACAAAGTTACAGATTAATCCAGAAGTAGCCAGCATGATGCCAGATGTGTTGGACTCCAACTCCCATCAGCCCCAGCCAACATGGCCAATGGCCGGGATGATGGGAGTTGGAGTTCTAAACCTCTGGAGGGACACCACATTGGCTGCCCTTGGGTTAATTAGTGCAGTTTTGCAGGAAAGTGAAAGAGGTAGTACATTTCCTCATCAGAAGACCCTGTTATACAAATTATCTGTACTGTGGGAGCCTTTGAATGAAGTAGATCCGTAATACATCTGTGCTTTTTAATTAAGGCTTTCACTGGTGGCTTGAGGCTTTCAAAATGCCAGCGAACATACTGACCATTCTAATTCCCGTCTCATTCAGCAAGATGACCTCCTTGAAAGAAGACGTTCGGCGCAGTGCCATGCTGTGCATTCTCACGGTGCCTGCCACGATGACCAGCCACGACCTCATGAAGTTTGTGGCTTCCTTTTATGATGTCATCGAGCACATGAAGATCATACGAGACTCCACCCCAAACCAGTACATGGTCCTGATCAAATTTAGTACACAGGTAAAAAGCCAAGAGATGAAATGTTACTTTGGCCAAAGGGGGGGGGAACGACAGTTTTCTCCAAGTACACAGTTCTTTCAAAAAATGCTTTAGAAACACCCAGCTGCTTCTTCTTCCCAGGATGCCAGAAGTAGTGAACAAGATTGGAAAGCACACTTTTACCCCAGAAAAAATGAAACAAAATTTAAACCCAAGTAACCACTGAAGAGGTTTAACCATTCACTGAGGCACATTCAGCAGTAAAACATATGCTCTTCTGCATGTACCTTCCTAAAACTGCTGTTATGGAGCACCTGGATGCAGCCCAGAGCTACTGGAGGCCATTTTAGGTTCATAAAGGTCTGTGAGACCCACCACCAGCTCATATGCCCAATATACCATCTTAAATGGTTTAACTGGTTATGCTGTCCATAGGTACCTTCTGTGTGATTGTTCTGAGGGCTGGAGAACCTTTCCCCAACTGGGTGGCCTCCATGTGTTTTGACTACAACTCCCATCAATCTGAAACATCTGGAGGGCACCAGATTGGGGAAGGCTATGTTAGAGTGTTAAGATTTTGGAGGGGAGAGAGTGAAGTTCAGGTCTCTGCTGTTTGGTTCCTTTGGTGGGAGAGACTTGGCTTTTACGGGAAAGTACCACCTTTTTTTGCCAGCTTTACTTCTTTGGAGACACTCCTGTTGCTGATTTTAAACCATTTGCAATTCAGGGCTCTTTGGAGTCAGGAGTCAGTTACTGGACACAGCACAAGCAGTTTGCAGTTGTCTAAAATGATTCAGTTTGTATGTTTGACTTGAAGCACTGACTCAGGTGGGCTTGGGGGATTCTGACTGAGCATTAAGGTGGCAAGAAGCAGGGAAGCTGGAGGTGGGCTGTCTCCAATAAAACCTGACCAGAAAACACATACAAGTCTTTCATGTGCATTTGTGAAGTTAGGATTTAATCTATTGGAATATAGCAGTATCCATATATGGAAAATCCCAGGCTTCTTAAAACTTGAATCTGGGTTTTTAACTTGATTCTGGCACCTATAAATTTTATATCTTATCTTTGCCTTGCTTAATCTTGGTGCTGTACAGCTCCAGGTGCTTTCAAAATAAACATTTGGATTTGCAGCAGCATCTGAGCTTTCAGCAGAGTTAGGATGTGTGCATTATAAATACTTGCCGTATTTTTGGCTCTATAAGACGCACCAGACCATAGGGCGCACTGGACTATGGGGGGGGGGGGAGGAGAGAACAGGAAAAAAAATTCTCCCCCTCTCTGCTCAGCGCCTCTTCAGCGAAGCGGTAGGAGAAACAGAGCCCCTTCCATTTCTCTTCCCGCTTTGCTGAAGGGGCGCTGCGCAGAGAGGGAAACTGTGCAGCGCCTCTCCAGCGAAGCGAAGCCTGGAGAGCTAGAGGGATCAGTGTGCACCGACCCCTCTTGCTCTCCAGGCTTCAGACGGCTATCTGCAAGCCTTTGGAGCGCAGCGGGAACTCCTGCTGCGCTCTGAAGGCTTGCGGATAGCTGCCTGAAGCCCCTGGAGCACAGCGGGAGTTCCCTGCGTTCCGGGGCTTCAGGCGGCTTCAGCGAAAGCAACACGAGGCCTCCGGAGCACAGGGGGAGCTCTCCCTCTGCGCTTCAGAGGCTTCGCGTTGCTATCGCTGAAGCCAAGGAGCCTGCATTCGCTCCATAGGACGCACACACATTTCCTCTTCATTTTTGGAGGGGAAAACGTGCGTCCTATAGAGCGAAAAATACGGTACTTCCTTTTTTAAAAAGTGTTCTAGATTCTGAGGGGACTGTGTGAGCACCACCGGCCTGGGAAGTAATCTCAGTTTGTCTCCTATTGGCACAGATGCCTCTGTTCTGCTTTTCACTGTAGTGGGCTGTGCTCTCTCCATCCAAACAACGCAGTCTCTTCTCCTTTGCTTTAATTGTAGGCAGATGCAGACAGCTTCTACATGACTTGCAATGGCCGGCAGTTCAATTCCATAGAAGAGGATGTTTGCCAGCTGGTCTACGTGGAGAGGGCAGAGGTCTTCAAGTCAGAAGATGTAAGTTCCGTCACATTTTTCCAACTCTGGCATCCTCTCAGGATCCCAGGTCCCTTCAGCCAGCTGGATGCAGCACCTCAAGGTTCCAGCAAGAATTGTGAATGTCTACAAAAGAACTTGTCTCTGTTTGTGTGAATTTTTAAACACCAATCTGCCCCTTGATTCTTTTGCTCAGTGGCTTCCAAACTGTGTTCTGAGGAAGTCTGGGGAGAAGATCAGTACAGTGGTACATTGGTTCTTGATCTTAATCAGTACTGGGAGTCCGTTCGACTCCTGAAACCGTTTGAAAACCAAGGCATGGCTTCCAATTGGCCGCAGGAGCTTTTTTCACCCAAGTAGAAACCGTGTTGGATGTTTGGCTTCCGAAAAACGTTTGCAAACCGGAACACTTACTTCCGGGTTTGTTGATCATTGTTCACTGCCCAGGACTCTGTTTAGAGGAAGGAAAGCTGATTTGTTGGACAACTAAGCCATTCGAGAACCAAGGTACCACTGTAATTGGAGGGGGTGGGATTGGCATATTGAATGACAGCCTCTCCACCATTAGTGATCTTCCTGTGCTGTATGTAGTCGGTGGAAAGCATTGAGCGTGTTCCAGGCATTTTGTACTCTCTAAAAGGTGCAATAAAGAGTTAACAAGGACAGCAAAGCCAATGCAGGGCTCTTGCGATTTATTCCCATAAGCTAATACATGCATAGGGAAGACAAATAAGGAATAGAAAATAAAGACAGAATCATGTTCGTTTATTAAATCTCTTTAGAAATCTGCATCCCATGTAAGGCTGATGATTTAGCACCTACAAATGAGGAATAAATAAGTACAGTGGTACCTCAGGTTACATCCGCTTCAGGTTACAGACTCCGCTAACCCAGAAATATTACCTCGGGTTAAGATCTTTGCTTCAGGATGAGAACAGAAATCGTGCAGCGGCAGCAGGAGGCTCCATTAGCTAAAGTGGTGCTTCAGGTTAAGAACAGTTTCAGGTTAAGAACAGACCTACAGAACAAATTAAGTTCTTAACCCAAGGTACCACTGTGTAAGAAATGGAAGCCATATATGCGCCAGGTTTAGCCTGAACTTTAGCTAATCTGACACTGGCTTAATTTTTTCCATCAAAGCTGTATCTCCAAACATGATCATCCTGTTTTGTTTTGTCAGGCAGGCTTTTGTTTCTAGCTTGGGCTCGGTTTTTCGGGCACTACAGCTCTGTGCGCTGCCATGGATGAGCACTGCTGTTTTTGGCCTTCCTATAAAGTGGCTGGTGGGCTTAGAATCCCCTTTCGCTACTGAGAAGGCGAAAAGAAGAATGGGGGGAAATGAACACATTGCCAGTGTAAATATGTGCTTGGTTGCATGTGCCATCAAGCAGCACCCTGACAAATCTGGATGTGCCTTTTTTCTTCCTCCTCCTCCTCCTCTGCAGGGGGCCAGTCTTCCTGTCATGGACCTGACTGAGCTCCCCAAGTGCACTGTCTGCCTAGAGAGAATGGACGAGTCCGTCAATGGGATTCTCACAACGCTTTGCAACCACAGCTTCCACAGCCAGTGTCTGCAGCGGTGGGAGGACACCACGTAAGAAGCGCTCTTCATTCTGGAGTATTGCCGGGGAGGGGGGGGAGAGAGAGAGAGAGAGAGCTGTTTGCGTGCCTTTCCCAATTTTGTTGCCCTTCCAACATGTAGCAGTGGGCCTAAATGTGAGGGTTCCAGAAAACCTGCCAGTGCCCTGAATCAGGCATGGCTAACTTGAAGTCCTCCAGAAGTTAAGCTGAAACTCCCTCATCCATGAGCCATGGCCCTGCTGGCTGGGTGGACGAGATCAACAAGTCCTGTAGGTTAAACAACCCTCCCCCAAACTGGACTTGAATCATAGAATCATAGAGTTGGAAGAGACCACAAGGGCCATCGAGTCCAACCCCCTGCCAAGCAGGAAACACCATCAGAGCACTCCTGACATATGGTTGTCAAGCCTCTGCTTAAAGACCTCCAAAGAAGGAGACTCCACCACACCCCTTGGCAGCAAATTCCACTGTCAAACAGCTCTTACTGTCAGGAAGTTCTTCCTAATGTTTAGGTGGAATCTTCTTTCTTGTAGATCCATTGCTCCGTGTCTGCTACTCTGGAGCAGCAGAAAACAACCTTTCTCCCTCCTCTATGTGACATCCTTTTATATATTTGAACATGGCTATCATATCACCCCTTAACCTCCTCTTCTCCAGGCTTTGGTTTGATCTAGTGTGTTCACTTGACTTTTTAAACAAATCATGTTACTTTTATAGGCTATATAAACACCACTATTTTTAGTCTGCACAGTAGAGCAGGTCCCCATCTAAAATAGCCAACAGTTCATAACCCGACACTGCCGCCAGTGTTTGAGGCATGGTGCCTGCCTATAGATCAGTTGCTGGGGAGAGTGTTGTTGTGCCCGGGTCCTGCTTGTCGGCTTCTGAGAGGCCACTGTGAGAGCAAGGTGCTGGGACTAGATAGGCCTCTGGTCTGATAAGGGCTGCTCTTATGTTTTTTTTGTGGGGGGAAAGGAAGAGAAAAAGCACTTGGGCTTAACAGCAGTGGGGGTACAGAATGATGTGGTTGTGCTCATGGCATCACGGAAGAAGCCTTCACTTATCCCTGACCTAGGATATAGGGCAAGATAAAATTACTGAAACAGTTAAAGATGACGGCGTACCCTTTTGGCCAAGGTGGACCCGATTTTCCAAAGCTCTTTTTGACCATGTTGTTTCTACTTTTTATTCCCTCTGCTTCTGTCTGACTCTTCAGCAGCAGCAGTGAGGGTTGCTTAGTCTAACCTTTGGGTAGGCAAACTAAGGCCCAGGGCCCGGATCTGGCTAATCGCCTTCTAAATCCGACCCACGGACAGTCTGGGAATCAGCATGTTTTTACATGAGTCGAATGTGTCCTTTTATTTAAAATGCATCTCTGGGTTATTTGTGGGGCCTGCCTGGTGTTTTTACATGAGTAGAATGTGTGCCTTTATTTAAAATGCATCTCTGGGTTATTTGTGGGACATAGGAATTTGTTCATTCCCCCCCCCCCAAAAAAATATAGTCCGGCCCCCCACAAGGTCTGAGGTACAGTGGACCGGCCCCCTGCTGAAAAAGTTTGCTGACCCCTGGTCTAACCCATCCCATATTCTTAGCAGATTTCTTATATTCCTGTCCTGGCTTTCTCTTTTAAGTTACTGAGTTATCTAGGAAGTGCTTAAAATGGCTAGAACAGGGATAGCCAACGCAGTGCCCTCTGCAGGTTGCTGTACTCATGTATGCTGGCAGTCGTACTTCAGCAGCAGCTGAATTTGCCCTGCACCTCCCACAAGTTAATCGGTCTGGATTGTAACCACTTCTCTCTCCCCTGCCTCTTCCAGGTGTCCTGTGTGCAGGTATTGCCAGACGCCGGAACCTGTGGAAGAGAACAAGTGCTTTGAGTGTGGAGTCCAAGAAGTGAGTGGGCACAGAACAGGGGCGATTTTTATGTTGATACTTGTATCGTCTGCAGCGGGGGCTGTTTACAGAGGGAACCATTTTCTCCAGGCTAACCAATCCTGAATGCACTTTTAAATCTCACTGGGATAGGGGTTGCAGTAAGGAGGGATCAGAAGACGCAGAGGGTGTCCCCACCCAACTGCAAATGGTTCATGCAGTTGCTTGAAGAAAAGATAAGCTAAGAAAGAAACAAATTTCCCATTTGCTAAGGCAAACTGGCACATCAGTAAAGTCTTGGGTGCACTCGCCCCCGGTGGAGTACAGGATCAGGCTTAAGGTGCTGGTTTTAACCTTTAAAGCCCTATACCGCAATAGGACCCTCGTACCTATGGGACTGCCTCTCCTGGTATGTCCCACGGAGGAACTTACGGTCTTCAAATAAAGACATCTTGGAGATCCCGGGCCACAGGGTGGTTAGGCTGGCCTCAACCAGAGCCAGGGCTTTTTAGGCCGAGGCCTCGATCTGGTGGAACGCTCTGTCACAAGAGACTAGGGCCCTGCGGGACTTGACATCTTTCCTCAGGGCCTGCAAGATGGAGGTGTTCCACCAGGACTTTGGCCAAGGCACAGTCTGACCCCCTCTCTCCTAACCCGATGGTTGCCATTAATTTGATTCTGAATTGATTCTAGAATGCATTTTAATTAATTGATTGTGCAATTTTATGTACACTGTGCTATTTTTACTTGTTCTTAGCCGCTCTGAGCTTGGCTTTGGCCAGGGAGGGCGGGATACAAGTAAAAAATTATTATTATTATTATTATTAGGCACCTGATAGGCAAGCAGGGCCTGCCCCCTTTCCCAGTGTGCGCCAGCCCACCTTTGAGTGCCCCTCTGTTCCTCTCGGTGCCCGACGATGGGATCCTTTGCATGTTTACTCAAAACTCGCTATTCCACTGTTCATTGGGACTTTGCAGCAAGTGTAAGGATCGCGGCCTGGCTGTCTGTCTGCTTTTTCTGAGCTTCAGTACAATCCTTCTTTTCATGCAGAACCTGTGGATATGTCTGATTTGCGGGCACATTGGATGCGGGCGCTACGTTAGCCGGCACGCCTACAAGCACTTTGAGGAGACGCAGCACACCTATGCCATGCAGCTGACCAATCACAGAGTCTGGGACTACGCTGGAGGTATTTCCTCTACCTGACACTGCTTGAGGAGCAGCCATTGCTGAGCCTTAAATCTGTGCTTCGGTATTTAGCTGCCGAGCCAAACCTGCCTCATACCATGTCAGGCTCTTGGTCCTTCTAGGGAAAATGGACCATCTACTTTACATGTGGGAAGTCCCAGGTTCAGTTCAAAAGGGGGCTGGGAATGTCATCAGTCTGCATCTGAAACCCTGGAGAGCCACAACAAGCCAGTGTAGGCAGTACTGAGCCGGACAGAACACTGTTCTTTGTTGTTGTTAGATTTTTATTAAAGTTTATCACAATACAGTAAGATAATTCTCTCTACGCGGGGCTGCCCTTGAAGCAGTCCCAGAAACTCCAGCGGGTACAGAATGCTGCAGCGAGGCTCCTCACGGGGTCTCTGCCATGGGAGCATATTCACCCAGTGCTTTTCAAACTGCACTGGCTCCCGGTGGAGTACAGGGTCAGATTTAAGGTGCTGGTTTTGACCTTTAAAGCCCTTCACGGCCTAGGACCCTCGTACCTACGGGACCGCCTCTCCCGGTATGCCCCACGGAGAGCCTCAAGGTCCATAAATAGCAACACCCTAGTGGTCCCGGGCCCTAAGGAAGTTAGATTGGCTTCAACCAGAGCCAGGGCCTTTTCAACTCTGGCTCCGGCCTGGTGGAACTCTCTGCCTCATGAGACCAGGGCCTTGCAGGATCTGATTTCTTTCCGCAGGGCCTGTAAGACAGAGTTGTTCCGCCTGGCCTTTGGCTTGGAGCCAATTTGATTCCCTCTCTCCCTCTCTTTCTTTTTTCTTTTCCTTCTCCTCCTGCGATGAGGCTACATTTTAATGTTTTAATGTTCCATTATTTTAATGTTGTATTTTATTTTTGTTTTTAAGTTGTAATCATTCATCTTGTTTTTATGATTGCTTGTAAGCCGCTCTGAGCCCGGCCTTGGCTGGGGAGGGCGGGGTATAAATAAAAAATTACTATTATTAATTATTATAATAAGTACTGCGAAAAAAGAGTACAGAGTCCTTTCCTAAAGGCAGTTCTCAGCCCCCACCACCCACAGAAGGTAGGCACCCCTCCCAGCTCTCACCTGGGATCCTTCTTTCCTGCTCCCAGCCTCTCCCCCAGGTAGACCAACATTGCCCTGTCTCCCACCCATCAGCCATGAACCACCCCCATGAGTACACAATCCCTGGACATTAGCAAAGGCCCCATACATATGACTCGAAAGAAAAAGAGAGATGCAAAAATGGAAAAGGAAAGAAACAAGAAGAGAGGAAAGAGGAAAGAGACAGAAAGCAACAGACAAATGGAGAAGTAACATTACAGAAAAGTAAAAAGGACATTTGATTTTCCATCTGCCAGTTACAGGGGAAAAAAGAAAAGATTAAGACATTCAGTCCATGATAACACCCGTCTTTTCTACTTTCTGTTAAACAGTATTTCTTTTAAGTCAAAGTGTCTCAGAATCATTCCTTTCTTTTTCTCACAAAAAGTCCAAGAGGGGTTCCTGAACTATCATTCTTACTGGTAAAAGTCAACCATGTTCTTTCTTTAATATTCACTTTACCTCTGTTAATTCTCACCACTCTTCCTCCATATAGAATAATAGTAAATCCTTCCATCCATGGCCGTGTTATAAAATCTCCACTGCAATCAAATATTGGGATAATATTCCCCCCTTGTTATATATCCTTTAATTCATGCCCAGTTCCATGTGTTCAAATTACATTTCCTGTTGTGTTTATGATAGTATCACAATCTTCTCCTTTAGAATCTTCCATTTCCTTTTTTTCCCCAGAGACAGTATCATAAATTCTGTAGTATCGTCCTCTGAATTCTCTGCAAATCATATGTAGAATACTTCTTCTGGTAGAACTGAAGAAAGGCCAGGACTGAAGTTTCCCCAAAGTTCAGTAGCAGAGCACCGGCTTTGCTTGCAGAAGGTCCCTGGTTCATTCCCTGGCATTTTCACATTGGGTGGGAATATCCTGTTTAAAACCCTGGAGAGCCAGTGCCAATCAGTATAGACCAGCCTTTCTCAGCCTCGAGCCCCCAGATGTTTTGTTTTGTTTTTAAATTTCATGTCCAGGCTAACCTACTTTTTATTTAATGCAAATTACAGTACCAGTTAACTATTTCCAAACCAAGTCACACAGAACAAAATGTATTTACAAAACAGCAGACGGGAGGAGGCAAAATAATAAAACATTAAGCATACACTCTACAAAAAAAGTTTATATTTAAAATGAAAAAATTAATCAGTCACAGAGGCATTCAAGTAGTAATAATATTATACATGTTTTGCTTCTTCTTTGAATCAGGACAGCTTGTATGTGTATGCAATAGTTTGTATACAACCCACAGTCCATTATATATAGATTTTAGATATCTGCTTTTAAGATGGAAGTGATCACGGTAATTGTGTGCACAAGCCCAAGTGATCAATCAGCAACATAGTAACAAACGCAAATTTTACAGGCAAGCATATTATTTATGTATAGAAACGTTCATTTATATATATATAAATTGTTTTTTTTCCAAAAAAAACCCCCAAGAACAAACAACACAAGGAAGAAAAATACGTATCTCAAGCTAACCCTTTAGGTACAAGTCTTTATTACGCCTTTTCATTTTGCTTTTATTGCCTTGGCACAAATGAAGCAAGAAATTAGCCTCTATAGAAATATTGGGAATTCAAAGGCTTTCTGATGTATACACCTGGTAAATCCCCCAGATGTTTTTGAACTACAACTCCCATAAGCCCTGACCACTGGGCATGCTGGCTAGGAATGATGGGAGTTGTAGTCCAACAACATCCATGGACCCAAGGTTGTGAATGACTGGTATACTCTAGATAATACTGAGTTAGATGGAACTTTAACCAAGGTGGGTCCTGGGTCCTGTGGGACAATTGCAGGAAGCAGGTTGGCTGAGCTTGAGCTGGCTAGAAGCTCAGCAGTGCAGCCATCTTCCTTACCAGGGCCCAACTCCTCCTGTAGGGCGAGACTGGAAGTAGCTGAGTGCTCCGCCTGCGAGATTCCCAACAGGATGGGCTTGTTGTACGGTGGGCGTGGGTAGAACTGGTAACTGAATTTTACTCTTGCTTTCTGTATCTATTTGTAATTCCAAATAGGAAATTGGAGCTAGTCAGTCGGGGTTGTTGCATTTGTCTCTCTCTCTCTCTAGACAATTACGTCCACCGGCTAGTGGCCAGCAAAACAGACGGGAAGCTAGTTCAGTATGAGTGCGAGGGGGACATATGCCAAGAAGAGAAGATTGACGCATTACAACTAGAGGCAAGTCCGCATTGGTTTTCTTCCCCTCTTGCTTTTACACATTCTCTCTGGCTTCCTTAATGGTTGGTGCAAGTTGGGTGGGTAATGCAAAGTAACCCAAACGAATGGAGACAACAGGCAGCCCTCTGTTTACATGTGAGCTTGAATGGCACTCGGACAACTGAGGCCGCAGGTCCTTTTCAGTTGCAAGCTAGGTGTTGAGTTTGTGGGGATGTCAGGGCAGAATCCTAGACCCATGTCAAATGCCGGAACGGCTCTCCCTGTGGAATATTGCCTTCTCATTGCCTCTTCTTTCCTTCTGAACACAGTACTCTTACTTGCTGACAAGTCAGTTGGAGTCCCAGCGTATATACTGGGAGAACAAGATAGTCCGAATAGAAAAGGACACGGCCGAAGAGGTGAGTTTCTTATGGGCGCTAGTGGCACGTTCAGCTCTTCTGAGGATGGCAGGCTGAAGGAAATGCTGGTAGCGGGCTTGTAGTGGAGGGAGGTTGGGCAAATTGGTGATACTGCTCTTCCCTCTAAAGTTGGTGTGGCGTTTGCCTCCTAGGTGGGTCATAAGGAAAGGGTTAAAATGAGTGTGATGTGATTGGCCAGTGGAAACTGATAGGAGGAGTTAGGGTTAGAGGGGGTGTTGTGTGAAAGTCAGTTGAGAGTTGGGAGTTGGAGAAGGAAGAGGAAGGATAAGTGGGGTTGGTCGAGTTGTGTGGTGAGAGAGTGAGAGGAACTGTTAGTGGAGTCAGATAGTTAGTTGGGATAATCAGTTTGGAGGTGTTAGGAACGAATAGGACAGTTAAGGAACTAAGATTAAGAAACTGCCAAGAAAAATTAACTGAAACCATAAGCTTGTTCATGCCTATGAAATAAACTTGATTATTTGTTAATGTTAACAACTGTCTGGACTCCGTGTGTACCCGTAAGAAACGGGTTGGTGGCAGCGAAAAGCAATTACAGTGGTGGCACAGGGTCACTAGACCGTCAAACGTCTGGGGACCCTGTGTGATCGCCGCAGTTGGTCAAACAAATTGGCATCTTCTCTGATGGTCCTAAGTTTGGGGGTGGGAGGATTTTGGACGTAATCCTAGACCTTTTTACCCAGGCCTTTTGGGGGCAGAAGATGAACACGGCATGAGTGTACCACCCCCTCTTGCCACTTTCCCCACTGGCTAGCCATGGTTTCCCATGATTTCAGACGGGGTTCTCTCCCAGCCTTCCTAGGGATTGTACCTGGGACCTTCTGCAAGTAAAGCAGGTGGTCTGCCACTGAACTGTGGCCCTTTGCATAATGCACATTAGAAAAGGCTCCCCAAAAAAGACCACCCTTGTTCTCAGGCTTACAATCTAAAAACACACAACCCAAAAGGAAAATGGAGAGGGAGGAAGGAAAGAAGCTCCAGTTCAAATTCTTAGTTTTTTTACGTAGTTCTTTGTTATCTCTCTTCTTGAAATTTCTTCACTGACTCCCCCAGGAAATGGCCAGAGTCTAGGAATCACTCCAGAACACTCAACCCTTATGGAGAGAACACCCAGTTAGACTCTGGCTTGCTTGAAAAGTGCCATTTCTCTTTTTCTAAAAACAGATTAACAACATGAAGACTAAATTTAAAGAGACGATTGAGAAATGCGACTCGCTCGAGCACAGACTGAATGACTTGGTCAAAGAGAAGCAATCTGTTGAAAGGAAGTATGTGCTTGGTGTTGTGTTTATCCTTAAGAAGCCAAAATCATGTGCAGTCAAACCACACTGGGTTCAATGGCAGGTGGGATTACCAAAGTCTTTTTTCCTGGACGCTTGCCCCTTTTTAAATGTTTTTAAATTGTTTTGCTGAGCACATGAAAAGCCGAATGCTCATGTGTTGCTGTCCTGCTGCATTCATAATGAAGTACCGTATTTTTTGCTCTATAAGACTCACCTTTTCCCTCCTAAAAAGTAAGGGGAAATGTGTGTGTGTCTTATGGAGCGAATGCAGGCTGCGCAGCTATCCCAGAAGCCAGAACAGCAAGTGGGATTGCTGCTTTCACTGCGCAGCGATCCCTCTTGCTGTTCTGGCTTCTGAGATTCAGAATATTTTTTTTCTTGTTTTCCTCCTCCAAAAACTAGGTGCGTCTTATGGTCCGGTGCGTCATAGAGCGAAAAATACGGTAATTACCTTGGCATGGCCTCTGGGACTACTGTTTGATACCCACATCCTACGGAGTAGACTCTGAATGTAACATAGTTCCCTCTCATTTTCTGCCCTTCAGGTGCACCCAACTAAACACCAAAGTGTCCAAGTTGACCACGGAGCTGAAGGAGGAGCAGGAAATGAACAAGTGCCTGCGAGCCAACCAGATCTTGCTCCAGAACAAGCTGAAGGAGGAAGAGAAGCTTCTGAAGGAGACATGTGAGCAGAAGGACCTGCAGATCACGGAGGTCCAGGAGCAACTGCGGGACGTCATGTTCTACCTGGAGACACAGCAGAAGATCAATCACCTCCCCGCTGAGGCGAGGCAGGAAATCCAAGATGGACAGATCAATATTGCCATGGCATCGTCAGCCGGTTCATCGGCAGGGGGTCCCGGGAAGCCTTCATCCCGGAAGGGTAGAGGCAAGAGGGGCAAATGAGAGATGAGGTGGCCGCAGCTGACCTTTCTGAAACTGGCCACAGAGGGGTGGCCGGGGGGGCTGAAGGAGAGTCGCCTGTCAGTTGAAGCAGGCGCAAGAGTCTAGCAAGGGATGAGCGACCAGTTTGCAGAGCCTTTCCTACCCCAGTGCACTAGCCAACAGCCATCGGCAGCCCTTAAAATGCTCTTTCCCTCTGCTGGCTATCTAGCTACTCATAGGCACTATGTAGTGACTCCTTGGCTGTCTGGCCGTATTTAGCCTCCCCTTCTCTGCTGCATAACCTGAGAACACTGTGTTCAAGTTTTAGATGTTTGCTTGAAATCATACTTTAAACTAAGTGCAAAAAAACCAAAATGACAAGAGCCTTAGATTTCTTTTTTTTTCCAGGGGGGCACAGGAAGAGACGTTGTGGCCTTGCGCCTTTTGTAAGCTAGGAGTACACCTGGACCCAGGCTCCCTTTCCTGATTTTGAGGCACCTGGCTTGAAAGCACATGCAGGCAGTCTCTCCTCTTGGTAGCTGTGCGCTGCAAAGTGGCAGAATTGCCAGTCGAGTGGGAAAGTTCTGCTCGGCTGGAAAGTTTTGTGCCAGGAGCCTTGCTGAATGTTGGCGTTGAAGAGCTCCGAGGTGTTGGGTGCAAGAACTGCATCTCTGTGAGATGTGTCCTTTTTGAGGCCTTTGTCCTAAGCCTGTCCCCCTGGTTGTAAAACTTCTGGGAGGCCTTGGCTGGTGAATCATAGACGGAGGGCTGAGTTAATCAAGAGCATTGTCCAGACTTTGAAGGGCTGTCCAGAAAGCGAGGGAGAAATCTGCTTAAGGGGTGGGAAATGCACTGAAGGTTTGCTTTGTTGAAATCTCAGGTGCCTAGGGCTTAGTAGAAAGGTTGATGCTTGCAGCAAAGCAAGGACCACGCTGGCTAGGGAGCTTTCTGGGAAATTGCAAAACTACCACGCTGGGTGTCCCCGAGTTCATTCACAATGCCCCAGTTCCTTGTGTTGCACTGGACCTGCATCCCCTCCCTGTCTTCTTCCAAATGCCCCTCCTCTTGGCAACCAGTGTTTTCTGCCTTGATACCTGACTATGCACTGCACGTGAACACATGTGACCAGACCCTGAAACCTGCCTTGAGAGAGAGTGATTTAGAGTGGAAAAGCTGTGTGCATGTACCTAACCTGTCCCCTGCCGCTGCTTCTTCGCTTCCTATCCGCTCCCCATGTCCCAAGTGTGTGTTTCCACTGTGGGGTTCCACACATGTGGTTTTCCTTGCAACTATCTTGGGAGTTGGTTATGTGTGTTTGTGTGTCAATTCTATTTTAGTTAGCCCTTAGCAGGAAATAGCAGAATTTCAGCAGTTTGTGCAGAATGAGCTCGTCGGCAGGTATTTAAGAAGCCAACCCTCCTCCGCACAAAAGAACCCTGCTCAGGGGGTTCTAAGGACAAAAACCAAGTGGAGGTGGTCAGAAAGGGGCTGGAAGACCCTCTGCCCCCTTCAGACGCCTGCATTTTAAGCAAACCTCGTCTCTTCTGTTTGCTAATGTGTGTGGCTGCCCTAACGCCCTCTCGACATCTTAAGAGAGCTGTGAATAGGCAGGTTCTGCCTGCAACCTGAGCACTGCTTTGGGTCTTGCCCCCACCCCTCCAAATGGCACATTTCCTCAAGTGAAGACTTTTTGCCATGCTAAATGTTGCTCTTTTGCCTTGTCCGCGGCAACTTTACACTCAGCAGCAAGCGTTGCACACACCTCAAGGGCTTCAACAATTTAAGGCCCTGGTGGTTTTTTTTGTACAAGTGTACGCTTTGGAGGTATAATGAGTGCTGGCCCTCGCTGAACAAACTAGAGCCACAGGGTGAGATACCGGCATTGGTAGTATTCTACTGGCTGGATTGAAAATTATAGTTTTTTAAAAATCAAGCCTACAAGTTTCTGCTAACATGCTTATGTTTTGCTTTGAAAAGGGGGGGGATGTATCCACCCCACCACCAACTTAACATAAGCCTATCAACCTCACTTGATGCAGTTTGCCACCTGCAATACCAGATTTTTATCAGCTTTAGCTGACTAGTAGTTTTCTGAGCTCCTTGCTGCTGACTCTTTTTGATCAAATTTTGTAGCACAAATGTATCTGTTAAAAAAAAAAGTTCTGTGCACATGCATTGTACAGTCTTGATACGATAATTTTAAAAGCTAAATGGTCAGTGTACCCTTCTTCTATAGAAACTACTCTGCTTATTTTTGAAACAATCCTATTTTTGCACTTGGTTACTCTTGCTTCGTGATCTCCTCTGTCCTCCTGGGTCCCCTGGAGTTAGGATGAGGCTTGTGCAATATTGGTGTGCTAGGGAAGAAGGGAAATTCTTCATCTGGGGAGAAAAGTTCAGGCGGAAAGAGAGGATGCAGTTTAAAAACCACTAAGTCCATGTCATATAAAGATTAACCTGGGCACAAAGAGTAATTGTTTGAAATGTGTTACTTATCAGGGAATCTTTTGGAAAGATCAGCATTTGCTCAGACTCGCCTTGGCATCATTACTTTCCTAATTTCAGGGCTTGGAGCAAGATCTGGATTCTTCCCTGAGAAGCCTTTCATTTCCTCTGAAATGTTTTTCTTCTTCTTAGTTTCTAGTCCCAACCTCTTAGAAATTGAGGATAATTGCTTGACGTTTTAAGATGCCACCTGTGCTGTGTTTGAACACTGTTAAATCTGCCAAGCTTTTTGCCCTGCTGAGCTAAGAGCAGTCAGATTTATTCAGAGGATAGACTGGAGTTTGGCTGACACTAGCAACACCCACAGATTAATATGGGTGTCTGTTATAATATATACTGTAACATCTGCAATGGGACTTTATTAAACTGGATTAAAATATGCACAGTGGCATTTGTGTATGTGCTTCCCTTGGATAGTAGATTTACTAATATCTACGATGATTTGGAAGAAGGTACAGTGGTGCCTCGCAAGACGAAATTAATTCGTTCCGCGAGTTTTTTCGTCTAGCGAATTTTTCGTCTTGCGAAGCACGAAATCCCATAGGAATGCATTGAAATTCAATTAATGCGTTCCTATGGTCAAAAAAGTCCAAACAAAGCCAAATTTGGTACAACAAGAGTTTATTAAGTGCTCTTTAAAGTCACACATACTGTAAAGAGCATTTCAAAAATTGAAGGAACAATAAATTAAGTTTCTAAACATGACAGAAAAACATTTAAAAATCAACAAAGTGTACAGTACATTTTCTAAGACTCTGGGGGGACAACTCGAAGAAGGTTCCTCTTCCACTCTTTGCTTCTTGCTGAAGAACCCCCTCCTCAACTGCTCCCCCACCCACCCACCACACAGAAATTCAAATCCAGAATTTTTTTTAAGAAACAGCAGAGTGGCCCAGTGGTCACAGAAAATCTAAAAAATGCAGAAAAAAACCACACAAGCTTCCAGATTCTTGAAAACCCCTCCTCAGCTGTTCCCCCAGCCACCCACCACACAGAAATTCAAATCCAGAATTTTTTTTAAAAAACAGCAGAGTGGCCCAATGGTCACAGAAAATCATAAAAATGCAGAAAAAAACCACACAAGCTTCCAGATTCTTGCAAACCCCTCCCCAACACCAAGTCCTTGAATTCCAAACACCCCAACCCAAAATCCAAAAACCCTCAAAAAAGTTTTAAAAGTTTAAAAGAAGTTTTGGAAAAGCTTCAAAAATCACCAAAGTCTTCAAAAACCTCAAAAAAGGCTACCACACCACGTTCTATGAGTTGCTCCTCGAAGTCAAGTCGCAACTGTATTAACGGTGTTAAGAAAAAAGGAAACAAACTTGCAAGACATTTTCGTTTTTCGTCTTGCGAAGCAAGCCCATAGGGAAATTCGTCTTGCGAAGCAGCTCAAAAAACGCAAAACCCTTTTGTCTAGCGAGTTTTTTGTCTTGCGAGGCATTCGTCTTGCGGGGCACCACTGTACATTGAAGTAGCGAGCTTCTACTCTAGGGATGCTGCTTGTCACGAGGAGAGACAAATCTGCCTTTTGCTAAGTCAGACCATCTAATTCGCTGCCGGCTAAAACAAGGGCCAAAGATCCCCCAGCCTGTAGGCATGCGCCCTGGGGAAAAGGGGTACAGGTATCTTTTTTTAACATGTTGGTCAAGGCTGTTCCAGAGCAAGCAAAGCAGTTCTGGAATGCCTCCTGTCGAAAAGTCGTACGTTCTAATGCCTGCTCTAGTGGATAAAAGCCTTCCCACATGGCTTCATTGATCCTCTGTTCGTAGGTGGCTTTTGAGGGAGGACCGAAGTGTCAGTTACGTCTAGACCAGGGTTAGAAACTCATATAAGCCCATTGTCAAATGGCACCTTAAACCTAGGTTACAATTAGCGCAACAACATGTCTAGGCACCATTTCCCCCCCAATGGGATTTACAGTGGTACCTCAGGTTACATACGCTTCAGGTTACAGACTGCCAACCCAGAAATAGTGCTTCAGGTTAAGAACTTTGCTTCAGGATGAGAACAGAAATCGTGCTCCGGCGGCGTGGCAGAAGCAGGAGGCCCCATTAGCTAAACTGGTGCTTCAGGTTAAGAACAGTTTCTGGTTAAGAACAGACCTCCGGAACAAATTAAGTACTTAACCCGAGGTACCACTGTATTATTGTTAATATTAATTTCATTTCTATACTGCTTTATGTTTTAAAGAGAAAAAAATCTCCAAGCGGTTTACAACACATTAAAACATCAAACAAAACAATCCAGAATAAAGCAAATTCAGGCTTCAAGGAAAGTATTTTAGAGCCTTCTCTAAGTGACGTTTTGCTTTTCCCATAATTATGTACCTATTTATATATATGCCCCATAGCAGAAATACTCCAGGAAGCCAGTGTGGTGATGTGGGTAGAGTGTTAGACTAGGACCTGGGAGATCAGGGTTCAAATCCCCACTCAATCATGAAGCTCAGTGGGTGACCTTGGAGTCGGTCACAGCCTCTGAACCTACCTCAAAGGGTCACTGTAGGAATTAACTGGGATGGGGGAAACCATGTACTCCGTGGGATATAAATGCAGTGAAGACGCTCTTCTGCTTACCTGCTTAAGAAATCCGGAGGGTCAGCCAGATGGAGATGTCCGCCGCCAACCTAGCATCCAGAGATCTCCATGTGGACCTGTGCCTGGATTTAGAACTCTCCCCATTCAATGTCCAGCTGGCTGGGTTGAACTCCCCGGGGTCTGAATGCCAGATGGGTGAGCAGATCTGTGGATATAGGAAGAGTTGGTGGGGGGACATTGCTTATTTCCCTGCCTTAAAAAGTCTGTGGGTGCAAAGCTATACATATTTAGCAGAGAAAATCCCATTGAACTCAGTGGAACTCGTTACATTGCAATTCACAGAGCAAAGATCGCTCTTCCAGACTCCCACAAATGCTTCTTTGAAGTGAGTGTTCAGCCATTTATTTGACATTTGTTCCCTTGGTGGCTTACAATAAATAAGTTAGAAGCAAAGTAAACCATAAAAGGGGAAAAACTACAGGCACACAACAAAATGGAACTCTTCGTGCTGCTCCGCTTTTTGAAAACTACCTAAGCTATTTAAAAGGGCTGGGTGAACAAAATGCAAATATGCTTTCCGGCATGACGAAAAAGTCTGCCATTTGCAGACTGCTAAATCACATCTTACATCCTCTTCAATCTTTGGTGTACTCGAGTCCTGCTCGCCATTCCAGAACAAGAAGTTCAGTGCCATCACTTGTGGGTTAAATTGAGACAGGATTTATTTTATTTTTTCACCCACTACAGTGGTACTTTGGTTTAAGAACAGCTTAGTTTATGAACAACTTGGATTAAGAACACTGCAAACCCAGAAGTAGGTATTTTGGTTTGTGAATTTTGCCTTGGAAAAAGAACGTTTCACTTCCTGTTGAGTGTGTTCATTTGTAAATTGAGTCCCCCGCTGCTATGGGAAAGCACGCTTTAGTTTAAGAACGGACTTCCCAGAACGGATTAAGTTCGTAAACCACTGTACATGTCTTAATTAGCTTATCAATGCCAGGATATCTCTGCCATCTACAGTTGTTTTGTGCTTATGGCTCCCTTCCCACTACAGGTGATAATGCAATCATCCTGGCAACGCTCAGGGAATTATCACCAACCTGTGAAAAGGGTGTGCTCTCTTTAAGCTTTTAAGCTGATTGTCACTGACTAGTTTGCTCCCACCTCTTACAATTTTCTTCTTTATAGAGCTGCCAATTAAGATTTTACTCCGTGTATCTTACATGCGCTTTAGTATGGTACATGAAAACTTAGGCCATTGGTTCCCAAACCCATGGACCCCTTGACAATTGCAGAGGATCTTGATAGACCACTTAATGATTTTACTGCCTGTTGTAGCAATTGCAGTGTGCTGTGCTTGATATTGTATGATTTGTAATCTTTCTTCTACAGGCATGCTTGCTCATTCATTACTTGTAGGCTGCTTTTCCACCCAAAAATATGCTCAAAGCGGCATACAACAAAGAAAAGAGGAATGCACAATAAAACAACAGCTCAATAGCAAATATTGACAGCATACAAAAAACCAACCAACGGTATTTCAGTATATAAAACAAGATTACGTTAACAACATTCAAGAGCAAAAACGAGAGAGCGAGACTTTTGCCTTGGTCCCAGAAACCCCTACCCTTGTGATGTTGCTCACTGTCCCTGGGGTACCTGGAAACACCCCTCCCATGATGTTACACCTCTTCCAAGATGCTGTAGATTAGTTTGGGAACCGCCGACCTGAGCTATTTAAGATTCCCTAAGCAAGGGCATTTGTTTTAACAGACTAATACAGCTGCTCCTCTGTACACTCTTGACCAGGGGTCAGCAAACTTTTTCAGCAGGGGGACGGTCCACTGTCCCTCAGACCTTGGGGGGGGCGGACTATATTTTGAAGAAGAAAAAAATGAACAAATTCCTCTGCCCGACAAATAACCCAGAGATGCATTTTAAATAAAAGGACACATTCTACTCATGTAAAAACACGCTGATTCCTGGACCGTCCCTGGGCCGGATTTAGAAGGCGATTGGGCTGGATCCGGCCCCCAGGCCTTAGTTTGCCTACCCATGGTCTTGACGCTTTAACCCAGTGTTTGCCATCCTGCCCTTGAGACGTTTTGGACTACATTAACTAGAACTGTTTGGCAAGGTGGTTTTTTTAAAGCTTCTCCTAATAAAGCAATTATCCTATAGCAGCTGCTTGGGTTTTGTCCCCTCTAACATTTCCCCTCTTACTAAAAAGATTACCTCTTTGAGAAGCAGAGAAAATGTCCTGAGGCATGCCACACCCACACAATGAAAGCTAAAGAGTGCAACACAAAGACTACATTGAAATGAAGAAGCCAGCGAAACAATCGTGCAACCCTTTGTCACTGTAAGGGAGGCGGCTGCGGAGTCTGCTTTGCCACTGAGCAAATGCAGATACCACAGAACCTGGCATGGATGGGAAGAAGAGAGCTGGGTGTGATTGCAGTGATGCTCCCCACCAAAGTCCAAACCTTTTTACAATCTTATCCAGTTAGTCCACTGTGTTGAAACAGATGATAGACAGCTATATACTAAAGGTAAAGGGACCCCTGACAGTTAAGTCCAGTCGCGGACGACTCTGGGGTTGCGGCGCTCATCTCACTTTACTGGCCGAGGGAGCCAGATGTTTGTCCGCAGTTTTTCCGGGTCATGTGGCCAGCATGACTAAGCCGCTTCTGGCAAAACCAGAGCAGTGCACGGAAATGCCGTTTACCTTCCCGCCGGAGCAGTACCTATTTATCTACTTGCACTCTGACGTGCTTTCGAATTGCTAGGTTGGCAGGAGCAGGGACCAGGCAACAGGAGCTCACCCCGTCGTGGGGGTTCAAACTGCTGACCTTCTGATTGGCAAGCCCAGAGGCGCAGTGGTTTAGACTACAGTGCCACCCGCTATATACTAGTTGCAGGCAATCACAAGTGCAGGGAATGTAGTGTTGGCAAGGACTGATGGGAGTTTTAGTCCGGCAGTATCTGAAGGTACCATTTTCATTATCCCTGCTCTGTGCCATGGTGACAAGTGGTCACATAATGCTTTCACTGGCCTCTTCCATTTCAATGCCTTTGCACATCTTTAAAATTGATAATACAGTGGTACCTCGGGTTAAGAACTTAATTTGTTCTGGAGGTCCGTTATTAACCTGAAACTGTTCTTAACCTGAAGCACCACTTTAGCTAATGGGGCCTCCTGCTGCCGCTGCGCCGCCACTGCACAATTTCTGTTCTCATCCTGAAGCAAAGTTCTTAACCCGCGGTACTATTTCTGGGTTAGCAGAGTCTGTAACCTGAAGCGTATGTAACCCAAGGTACCACTGTACACATATAGTGGTACCTTTGTTCTTGAACGTAACCTGTTCTGGAAGACCATTCGACTTTTGAAATGTTTGAAAACCGAAGCGCAAAGGGCTGACTGCAAGTTCAGCTGAGAAAACTGAGAAACATGAGGCATGTTTGAAAACGGAAGCATTTACTTCTGGGTTTTTGGCATTCAAAAACCGGAACATTTGGCCTCCTGATACGCTCGAAAACCGAGGTACCACGGTATTAAAAACTGGATACAACAGTAGAAAATGGGCGCTGTGAGTTGATCCAGCACATTGGCTGTGGCAGAAACCCTAGGTGGAATCTACACACATATAAAAAATGCTATGAAAGGCGTTTTTAAATATACAGTGGTGCCTCGCATGGACCAGAGTAATCGTCCAGGTACTCTTCGTCTTGCGAGTTTTCGTCTTGCGTGCACAGTTTCCATAGGAATGCATTGAAACTCAGTGCTGCGTAGCCTAGAGAACACCTATCCGACCAGGTCCGGGGACAGTCTGTCCTCGGACCTCTTCTGCAGGCTGGGGGCCAGGCCATTCTTCCCACCACCAGCATCTTAAATCCCGGGACAGCGGAGGACTTCTCCGCTGTCAGGCGGTCTTAAAATGCTGGCGCGGCAGCTTCAGGATCTATCCTTCCAGTGAGCAGCGGAGGACTGATCTCCTGCTGTCTGGAGCAGGTTTGATGCTTCTGGGCAGGCAGGCATGGGACTCTAAGAGTCTCCCCCAGCACCGCACTTCAGAAGTCTTCACTTCCCCGCCCGGCCGAGCAGCCGTTCTTGATGGTCCAGCGCTGCAGGTCTTCCCTCCACCGCCACGGCCGGAGAACCATGGCTCTAAGCCATGCGGGCTTTGCTGGCAGGTGATGTCTCTGCTTCCAGATGCTGTCCCGGCTGCCGAGCGCCTTCTCCCAAGGCCGGCGGCGTCGGAAGGACGTGTCCGCCGTCCCGCCTGCCAGTGATCATGGAGTCCGAGGACAGTGGGAAAGCGCTCGCTGCCTCCACTGTCTCCTGACTTCCTATGGGCTGTTGCCATGGAGGCGAAGCCCATAGGGAAGCGATATGGAGCGCTAAAGCGAGAAAACCCTTTCGTCTAGCCAGTTCTTCCTCGTCTATGCTAGCACGTATAAAGATCTTATGAAAGTACCACTGTACATTGAATTTTCCATAAGGTTCACCATTGCCATCTAGTCTCATATTGTATATTACACTTATAACACACTTAAAACATTTTATTTGCAGCTGTATAGCTGAATCTCTGGTATGTCAGGAAATGGCATTGCGGGTGGGATGGGGCCAGAAGGTAGGTATGGATCTACTCTCGGGCCTTTGAGGAATTTGCAGTAAATGCAAGGATTTCAGACATCCAATTGTTCCACAGTAGGAGCAGCACAATGGCTGCCTCTTATCCAAAGAACAGAAATGGTGGTAGCTTGGGGGTGCGCAGAACTAGATTTGTGTGTGAAAGACTGTGAGGTCAGGTTCATTCTGGTACAGTAGAACAAATTCCCGGTTTCAGAATTCATTCATTAGAAGTGCATGTCATGTGCACCTGCTTCTGGTTGGTGGATCTCAGCGTTCTAGTAAAAACAATGGAGATCCTGCAAGCCTGAAGTCTGCCAGTCGTCGCACAAAAGCCCTTTCTATTGAAATGAAAGAAAGGATTGCTAAGAGCTGGGGACTTGCTGAAATGGCAAAACTGACCATGTGCCTTTAAGAATAAAAAGCCAATCCAACATTACTATACCACAACCAATACCCCCACAGCAAAGCCCAGCAACTAACTTAGCTTTGGGGTCAGGGAGAGACCCAGAATAATTTTCATCATTCCTTTTTTTGGTCATTATTTATGTATTTATTTGATATGTATTCTTCCCTTCATCCGGAGATCTCAGGGTGGTTCATAGCATTACATTATTAATGGAAATATTTTGTTTAAAGATTAGAATGGGGACAAAAGCATGCAACAAACCTCTACCAAAAGTGTCTAGGATACAGTGGTGCCTCGCAAGACGAAATTAATCCGTTCCGCGAGTCTCTTCGTCTTGCGGTTTTTTCGTCTTGCGAAGCACGGCTATTAGCAGCTTAGCGGCTATTAGCGGCTTAGCGGCTATTAACGGCTTAGCGGCTTTAAGAAAAAGGAAACAAACTCGCAAGAACTCGCAAGACGTTTCGTCTTGCGAAGCAAACCCATAGGGAAATTCGTCTTGCGGAACGACTCAAAAAACGGAAAACTCTTTCGTCTAGCAAGTTTTTCGTCTTGCGAGGCATTCGTCTTGCGGGGCACCACTGTACAAGTTGCACATGAAATTTCACATATAGGATTTTACTACTGCCTGTGTGAAGGACCATATTGGCCTGAATGTATGCCTCACTTTTTTCCCAAATTCCGACCGTGAAAAGTTGAAGTGCGGCTTAAATTTGCGACCTTACAAAAATTGGCTTTTATGATATCGCTGCTGAAACAGACATACAGTAAAACGGAACGGGTGTGAGTGCCTGCGGAATTTTAAGAGAGTGGCGTTTATTTGGGTATTGTATTTTTTTCTCCCCCCCCCCCCGAAATTTTAAATGTGCAGCTTACATTAGGGCCAATATGGTACACTGCAGAGTCTAAACTGCTATATAAATATTTTGCTTTGGAAGACTGTACTTCACAGCAATTTGCATTAGAAATAACTTTGGCAAGCCATTTCAAGACACACAGAAATAATAAGTACGGCAGAATTTCCTGGACTGAATGTTTTATAATGGCTTTTAACTGGCCACAAAACTACAAGTAGGCTACAAAAGTTGTGAAGCTTTTCATGTCCCTGGTTTCACTCTGCGCATGAACACTCCCCAAATGAAGAGAAAATGTTATTTCTTTTTGGGATCATTTCAGTAGGCATCTTCTTTGGTTACGCAGCCAACATGTCAAGTCAGGGCCAGTTTAAGATTTTTAGAGGCCACAAACATTGAATATTGGGGTGCCCATCCACAATTCAAAATAAAAACAATGCTAAACTGCAATTATTATTTTTTTCCAAAATGACACAAAGCTCACATGCGTGCTAAAATATACAAGCATGTGTGTCATCTGCAACACATGACAGGATCTGATTTCCTCACATTATTTCAATCTACATTAGCGGGATGGCCCCCCTGGTTTAGGTGGAGAAAGGGTGTGAAGTAAATAAGGAAGATTTTTCTCATAAAGATGATTTTTTAAAAATATCAAATTTCAAATTCCTTTAAGAAAAATCTCATTTTTTCTGGGTACCCCTGCTTTGTTGGTGCCTTAAGCATGCCTGTTGGGTGATCCAACACTGTGCCAACTCATCATTCTTCAGGATGAGGAGGGAGAAGAAAACCAGGAAAAAGCACCCTAATTGCACAGGAAATGCAAATGGAAAAAGTTGTGAAACGTTGTAATGTTATTTGCACTGGAATCCACGCTTCTCATTCTTCTAAGCCATGAGTACCCTCTTTTGCAGAATGTAAAGAAGTCAGTGGCGCTGGAAATAGATATATGGATATTATTTTCCAGGAAACCTTTCTTTTAATGGCTGAATCTCGAAGAATTTTTGAGTAACCATGACTACACCTCCTCCACCTTGCTTGTGTGTAAACGCTGCATTGTGTTCTCTTTCATGAATGTGCACGGAATGACCTTGCTTTAAATAGTCGCACGTTCGGTACAAATCCTAAAAGGTGTGAGAGCTTTAAAAAGCAAGCAGGTAAGCAGGTAATAGGGCTTTAGAGGGGGCTTTCCACACCACCACTAATTAAAAACAAGAACATAATGGAGAGATGTGCTGAATCAGACCAAAGGGGACCCATCTAGCCAGGAATTCTATCCCATGAAGGGCGCCATAGCACGATCTATCTTGGGACAGTCCTAGAAGACCTGTTCCTTGGCTTTCAGGCCTTTTCCCACCTGGCCAGGGAGGGCAGGACCCTGACACAAAAGCTGCCGCTGCTGAACAGATGCTTGGGTTGGGATACTGTTTAGAGGATGTCGCTGCTGTTTTCAATATTAATACTTTACATCTTTATTTCAAATTTTATTATGATTTATGTGGAAATTGTTTAATTTGATTGTGTGCTTTTTAATGTTTTACTTCTTGCTTGTGACTACTTTTGCTGTGTTTGTAATTATGTATTTCCCCCCCATGTTGTAAGTTTCCTTGAGCATGGTTCTAACTATGGAAAGAGGGCATACAAGTCAAATTACGTATATAATATATGCATGTTCCCCAGCAACTGGTATTCCCTGACCACTGGTCCTGTTAGCTAGGGATGATGGGAATTGTAGTCCCAAACATCTGGAGGGCCGGAGTTTGCCTATGCCTGCTTTAATGCATGTGGGCTGGGAAGCAAGTCCCAGGTAAATGTGCATAGGATTGCAACTGTAATTATACACTTTTACCCCACTTTTCTTCCACGATTGAAATAAAGGTGGTGTCTATCTGTGAGTTTCCTGGTCGTGTATGGACCATAACCAACGCTGCTTAGGTGCATCTGTTTTTAGATGATGTCCTGGAGCCTAAGTGGTGCTTGGCTGTGGGGAAAGAAGTATATAACTCTGGCTTGCACTTGCGGGGGGGGGGGTTGGTTGGTTGGTTGGTTGGTTTTGTTTTAATAACTGAAGAGGGAAGTAGGCAAGGCTGTGATTTCCAAACCATTTCCTGTGAGGTACGGAGTGGTGGTTCAGTTGCCGCATCAATTGTTTTTCCTTTTAATATTAAAAAGGGTGAAGACTCTGCTGTAATTGTCTCATATGTAACAACCCTCAAGGAATCATCCCTCAGTTCTTTTGCTCATCCCATACAAAATGGCAAGAGTTCCTTTAGGTGCGGATTTACAATAGAATCGTAGAATTGTAGAGTTGGAAGGAACAAGACCATTTACTTTAGCCTCCTGCAATGCAGAAATCACAACTTATGCATCCCAGGCAGATGGCCATCCAACTTCAGTTTAAAAACCTCTGATGTTGCTTTGGGTTGAAATGAATACGTTTATTTGGTATTTGTGGGAGGCTGGCCACCTGTGCCTTTCACAGCTGCAGTGACAGGCAGAAATCCAACAAGTGAAGCTCTTCCCCTCCAGTGCTGTAATTTGTCAAACAGTTTCAGGCGGAGAGCTCTAATGAGAATTTCTGATCTACACTTGCAATGGTCAAGACAGAATAATTATTCCATTAATTTAGGGAGAAATGCCTGCCCTTGTGTGTGGATTCCATAGGCTGGAGTTTCCTTAGCACAGTGTTTCTCAACCTTGGGTCCCCAGATGTTGTTGGACTACAACTCCCATCATACTCTGGCCTTGCTAGCTAGGGATGATGGGAGTTGTAGTTCAACATCTGGGGACCCAAGGTTGAGAAAGGCTGCAAGTTAGCATGTTCTAGTTGTGTTGGTGAGTGTGTAAGATGAACATTGAAGAGTTAGCAAGGAGTAGCATTTCTTCCAGATGAGATTCTCTAGTTATTCTGGTTTTTAAAACACAAATGATATTTTAACACGGAACCTGCCTTAAACATGTCTTTGCTTTTTAAATAGTTGAGGCATAGTGGGGTGGAGAAGAAGAGAAGACACTATCATCTAGGTTGTCGGATCGAACAAAGGAAAATTGGCATTTCATTTACAATCACTGTACTTATTACCTATGCTGTTTTACCCAGATTCCCATTTTTTTCTAATTTATCACCCTACTGGACTTGTTTATGAATAAAAACCCATGTATTTTATAGCATTCGTGTAACATTACAAGTTCTGATACATTTATGGTTTGAATACTGCATTTTTAATCTGCAAAAAAAGAAGAAAATAGCAGATAAAATATTATCTTCAAATATTATATTGAATACATTTTAACATATTCAAATATTGTAGTATTTTCAAAAACATAAAGCTTGACACCTTCAATTCACATATATATCTAGTAGTCACTGTCATGGTCATGATTGTGTGGGTTCTGACACCAATCCACACAGTTGCCCAAGCTGCTGCGTACCTCAATTTCAGTCTGTTGAACAAACAATCCTCTGTAGTACCCTGGCATCCATTTCTTCTACATCCCAGTTTGTGATGACCAACCTCTCAGCTGAAAGGCTTTTCGTTGCCATCAATAGAGGCAACACTACGTTCTCTGGGACTTAATCTGTAGGTTGGGGTCAGCATTGCATTTTAATACATCAAGGGAAATTTCCAAACTTTTCATGTTGGTGACACACTTTTTAGACATGCATCATGACACAGTAATTCAGTTTTACTAGCAAACCGGAGGTTAAACTAACCCCTTTCCAGCCCTGGGAGCAGCTTGGAGAGCATTCATAGGACACACCTACACACTGCAGCCGACACACTAATGTGTCACGACATACAGTTTGGGAAGTTCTGCATTAAGGCTTGGTAGCAGGCTTAACCAGTGCGCTGAACTAGTGCTGGGAAACTCCGGGGAACTTGGTGCAGAACATTTACTTATTTACTCTTGCATTTATCTCTCACTGTTCTTCCAAGGAGCTCAAGGTGGTGTACATGGCTAAACCACAACAGCCATGTGAAGCAGGCTAGGCAGAGACTGCTCCAATGTCATCTAAAGGACCTTCACGGCTGAATCTGCCAGGTCCTAGTCTAACACTGCACTACACTGGTTCTCTTGGAGGCGGCTGATGGTTCTACAGCTCCTGCACTGCTCTTTCCTATACTACCTTTTAAATCTACATTTGCAAAGTTAACATGAAGGTGGTGTAGTGATCAGAGTGTATGACAAGGACCGGGGAGACCCAAGTTCAAATCTCATTCAGCTGTGGAACTCAGGGGTCAGCAACCTTTTTCAGCCGTGGGCTGGTCCACCAGACCATGTGGGGGGCTGGACTATATTTTTTTGGGGGGGGGGGAATGAATGAATCCCAAGCCCCACAAGTAACTCAGAGGTGCATTTTAAATAAAAGCACACATTCTACTCATGTAAAAACACCAGGCAGGCCCCACAAATAACCCAGAGATGCAGTTTAAATAAAAGGACACATTCTACTCATGTAAAAACACGCTGGTTCCCAGACCGTCTGTGGGCTGGATTGAAAAGGCAATTGGGCCGCATCCGGCCCCTGGGCCTTAGGTTGCCTACCCCTAGTGAAGCTCAATAGGTGATCTTGGACCAGTCACCAACTCTCTGCCTAACCTACTTCACAAGAATAAAATGGGGAGGGAAGGAGGACCATATGCCTTGATATGGCATTTCTTCCATTCTGGCACAGATTTGGGGAGGCAATTCGCATATTGTTCTGTTGCTTTGACATGCTTTCTCCCCAGACTCCTCTTGTCTTATAAACTATTTGTACCAATCAGTTTTTCCTCCTCTTTCCCTTCAGCCACGCAAGGCAGCCACTGGCTCCATCACCAACCTGAAAATATATTTGATGGGTGTGAGATCAAATTTCAACAGACAGAGATGTATTTTCTAACGTTGTGTTTTTTTTAAAAAAAGAACAATATCTGCAGAAAATTATTAATTAAGGTTGAAAGCACAGAGACTGCTGTCATTCATCTACATATCATTTCCTATAGTGGAAAGATGGATTTCGTGGGTGACGAAATGCTCCTTTTAAAAAAGAACTTTCCATGCTGTAACAAAAACTGAAAATTTCACTGCTGAGAGGTTTTCTTGCCATCAAGCAGCATATGGATTTCGTCAAATAAAATGAGAAATTAATTAAAACAACAACAACACTGTTCTTATGTTCTCAGACCCTGCCAGCATGACCAATAGTTAGGGCTGAAGGGAGCTGGAGTCCAGCAACGCTGTTGCAATGGTAAAACGGGAGGGGAAGAATTCCAAACGCAATGGTACATAAATATTTGTGTGTCGGTGTAAATTTATGTTTATGTGCGTGCACACACAGAGTACGGTAAGTGACATGCGGTTAAATATTAGAAGGGCTGTTTAAAAAGCATGGCTGCAAGAGTGGCAAATGAAAATGATGGACTTTGCGGAACTGGCGAAGCTGACAGGAAAAATCCGAAACCAGCACCATCAAATATTCCAAAAAGACTGGAGTAAATTTATTCATGATCTGAAAGTTCATTGTAAGCAATTAACAACACTAGTAAGGTTATCTGAAGACTTGCAATGAATTTTTTTTAAACCTTTCTATATTTACTTAAATTTTGAGGAATTCAATAAAGAGTTATCAGAGAACTGGAAAAGATATAAAATGCTTGAATATAAAGGTTAGTTTTGAAAGCCAAGAGGTGGGAGGGAAGGAAGTCGATAAGCTCTAAGGAGCCAAAGAAGCAAAGTGGATAATAACGGTGTGATTATATATGTTTAAATGGGAAAGTAATAAAAATTATTTTAAAAAATAAAAAGCACGGCTGCAGAGGTTGGGTGGGTGGGTGTGCGCGCGTGGAAGAGGGGCCGCGAGCGGCTCTTAAGCGCGTCTCCTCCCCTTCCGACAATCGAGAGGAGAAAACGCCACTCTGCGCGTGGTCAGGGGCCCCCTCGAACGACCCCCTTCCCTTTGGGGGCGGAAATATCCCGGGGGCTAATCCAGAGTTCCCCCCCTCAGGGCCTTTCCCTCCGCGAAAGACGCCGGCTTGCCTGAGGGGAGACGAACCCCTCCGCCGCCGCTGCGGCTGCTCGTCGTCCTCCGGCCGAGGCCTCCGCCGGGCGCCGCTTCTCCCCCACCCCACCCCCTCTACGTACCGCCGAGCTGGGCCCCGCCCTGCCGCCTCCCCGGTGCTGCCGCTTTCCTCACGGGCGGGCGGGCGGCCTTCACCCTCAGCCGAGCGCGGGGTCGGTGGGCCGGCCGGCTTGTCTCCTCCTCCTCCTCCTCCTCGCTCCCCACCTCCTGAGGAGGCGGCCTCAGCCGCCGCCGCCGTCGTCGTGAGGGGCGGAAGGAGCCTCCGCAGCGAGCACGGACGAGCGTGCGCGCGCTCCGCCCGTCCCTCCCCCTCTCCCTCCTTTCGCCTGCCTCCCTCGGCTCAGCCATGTCCCTCAAGCCATCGCCTCAGCCTTCGCCCGCCGCCGCCGCCGTAACAGCAGCAGCCGTGGGAGCGCCGCCGCCACCGCCGCCGCCTCTGCAGCCGCCGTCCCCGCAGCCGCCTCAGCAGCAGACGACGGCCACCACGACGACGACGACCGCGACGACGAGCCAGCCGGCGGCGCCGCCGCTGCCGCTGCCGCCACCGCCCCAGGGGCCGGCCCAGTCGGCCGGCAGCAGCAGCAGTAGCAGCAGCCGCAAGCCCCTCGGTAGCGGAGGTGGGAATAGCAGCGGCGGAGCAGGCCCCGGCCCCAGCGGGATCCCGGCTGGAGGAAGCGTCGGAGGCAGGCAGAATCTGGGCAGGTGAGTCGAGGGGCGAGAGGGACCGGGGCGGGGGTCGTCTCCCCCTGCGCCAGGCCTAGCGGCTTTGACGGGCGGGCCTCGCCTGCTTCCCTGCCGGGCTCTTCCGCGCTGCCCTCCGCGGCTACCTGGGCGCTGCAGGGTGGGGAATAGGGTGGCCAGGCCCGGTCGCGGCGGGTGGAAGGCCTCGGGTGGCAAGGCGCCTGACGGGACCAACCCGGTCCCGGGTAATATTTAGTTTTGGGTGTGTGTGTGGGGGGGTCCTCCGCTTTAGGCCTCTCTCCCCCCACCCCCAATAGATTCGGCGCCGGGCCTCGTGCATAAATGCCCGCACATGAGCCCCTAATTAACAGCGATCGTAATAAGGAGCGCTTTCCTCGGAGGCGCCGGGAGGACGTGTGGTGGTTGGATGCGGCCGGCCGGCCGGCCTCGGAAGGGCTGCGATCCTGCGGCCGCTCGCTTTGGGGAGGGAAGCGGGACGCAGGCTTGCTTGGGAGTAAGAAAAGGGGAAAGGGAAAGGGGTCACGCGGTGGGATTCCTCTGCCGGGCGCTTTGCTGGCTGGTTTCTCCTTGAGGAGGGCAGAGGAGTGGGGCGGACCCCGTATCAGCCACGGGGGCAAATGCTGTGCAAATATTTGGTAAGGAGGAATATTGCCGCCTTTTGTGTGGGTCTGTGCGCCGCGGAGAGGCCTATCTAGATGGTTGTGATTGCGGCGTTGATACCATTCTGATTAACCTGCCTTCTTCCCGTAAAAGGACCCAAGGCAAATAAATGTTATGACTGATGATTTGGGGGGAGAGGGGCCGGGGCTGCGGAGAGACTAGGTGAAATGTAAAGGGGCCGCGTTGCCTTGAAATAAAGAGAAGATTTCCCCTTCCCACCGCTGGTCGTTGTAGAAATAATGGCTAAAGAGTGTCTCTTTTCCTCCCAAGTTCTCTATAAAAAAACTGCATAATTGCATAACAGGGTTTGAGGGGGCATGCGAAGGGTGGCATTGTTTGAAGGGAGCACTTGTCATAGGGGAGGGGGCAATGGAGGTTGCCCGCTTTGGAGGTGGGGGGGGGGAATGGGAAGGTTTAGGTGAGTGGCATCACTTTCCCTTGCATTGTATTGAGGGGGAGGTGTTACCTGGAATCTTAAGAATGGGGAGGGGGGGTACGTAATCATTCAGTGGCTGACTTTGACCTGGAAGAAATTGTATTTTAGGAGTGGGAGGAGAAAAAGGGATTCCATGTTCCGCATCCCCTCAGGAAAGGAAATGGGGGACCTCCCCCTCCCCACTTCAGCTGGCCCAATGTTGTGTGTGTGATGGGAGTTACCAGGCGCAGCAACTGGCATTGCCCTGGGAAGGGGGGGGCATAATGCCTTTCGTGTTGGGTGACAGGGGCAGGAAAGGCAGCTTGGCCTCCATGTTGGGCAGAGGCTTGAGGAGAGAGAATACCGCATCATACTATTTTGGAGAGGGGGGTGAAGGAGGAGAAGCAAGCTGGGATAGATCTTCTGCTCACACTGCCATGGGGAGGCAGAAGGCATTTCCAAGCCTTGGGCATTGCTGTGGGGGGTGAGGTGGAGAATAGGGAAGGACAACCCTGGTGGGACCCCTCCTGATTTTGCGGGAAAGCATTTTTTGGCAAAGGGAGGGAGGGAGCAAGAATTGCCGGGGAAGGCATGAATACACAGGCGCTGCAACCAGCGAGCTGTGACGGTAGAAGGCCTCTCCTCCCCTCCCCAAGGCCGAGGCTGCAGCAAAGGCTGGCCGGGCCTGGAAAGGACGTTGGTGCTGTCGTAAGTGTCACTCCAGGGTCTAGGCCTTTGGAGTTGATCGTGCCCTTGTGTATGTGTAAGAGGGGAGATGATTAGCAGACATGTGTGTGTTGGGGTGCCTGCCCTTCAAGACTTGCAGGCAGGAAACTCAGCCTGGGCAGAGGGCACCTGGCTTGCTGCGAGGCAGGCCCCTGCCAGCCGGCCTTACCCGTTACTGCAGCCTTGAGTGCAGAGAGTGACCATTTTATATCGCAGTTGAGGTTCTCCCCCAGCTCCACGCCCCAAATGATTCTGCCAAGCCTCATTGCCCAAACCAGGGGGTCCTTCCCTTTAAAACAGGCCTCTTGGAAAGGGAAGAGAAAGGTGATTCAGGAATGTGTGGGACTAGATTTCCCCTCCAGCTGCGATAAGAAGTATTTTTCTGTTATGATTTTCAATACCATTGCTAATCTGTTCAGAGCAGCAGAGTTTTTATACAAACTGATCCAAAACACTGATGATTCTTACAGTATTAAAATTATGCAATATAAGGTGTATAGACGGTAATGTGCATTTGTCATATTGAATTGTGTGCCTGCAGGAAGCAATATAACTTCGGGCTAAGCAACTTGCTGTGTTGTCTGTGGAACAATGTATAAACAGAATTTGTGTTGCCAAGATGTGTTTAATACCCTTAAAAGTACTGGCTTCCTCACTTCTTTTTGCATGTTTTATTTACCCAACTACAACTATCTGATATCAAAAGAACAGTCACTTAGAAGAAAGACCAACAGAAGTCGCTCAGACTTGCTTCCAAGTAAAGGTCCTGAGAGTTCTAATCAGTGGGTTATTTATTTATTTATTAAATTTCTTTATCACCCTTAACCCACAGGTCTCAGGGTGGTTTGCAATATAAAAAAGACAAAATACATGATAACAACAAGAATGTAGATCAAACCAACAAACCAATAACGCCCTTCCCCCTCTTTCTATCCTCTTGCAATTTGGACATTTCTTTGAAAACTTGCTTCTATATTCATGAAAGCCAGAGCCTTCAGTTGTGCAGAAGTACATCAGATACTTAGATCAATAGCAAGAAGGCTGAACTGTGAACCAGGAAGTCCCCAGTTCAAATGTTGCTTCTGATGGCCTTTGGCGAACTTCTTTCTCTTTCTCTCACTCCACCCTGTCAGTAATAGGAGGATAATAATATTGGTTGTAAGTATTCCCGAGATATTGACAAGTACTTTAGAGAGTTCAAAGTACTTTAGAGAGTTCATGTTTTAGATCAGGGGCATGAGGGGTGTCTGTTATCCAGGACTGCATTTTGCCACACAAACTTTTTGCAGACTATATAAACCTGATATAACCAGCATATCAGCATATCTTGTACAGCTGGTGCATAACATACAAAACTCACAGAGATGTAGCATTGAAATGTACAGTGCCTCCATTTCTCTTTTCTGTATGAGTGAAAAATTACTACACATAGTGGATATCAATAGTGCAATCCTCCAGAACGTACTCTACTTATTAGATGGGAGACTTGGGGGGGGAAATAAATAGGAATATTCTTGGAAAGGGCATAAGGCAGGACCTGTTTCATGTTGTCACCCACCAGTGCTTGAAATCCCCTCAGCACATTTTGCGACTGGTGTGGGTCCAGTTGTGAGGACGTGGAGATCTCTAGATACCAGGTTGGTGACTGACATCTCCATTTGGCTGACCCTCCAGATTTCTTAAGCAGGTAAGCCCAAGAGCTTCTTCATTGCATTTATATCCCACCCTTTTCTCCAAGGAGTACATGGTTCCCCCCCCTCCTCAGTTAATCCCTACAGTGACCCTTTGAGGTAGGTTCAGAGGCTGTGACTGGCCCAAGGTCACCCAGTGAGCTTTATGATTGAGTGGGGATTTGAACCCTGATTTCGCAGGTACTAGTCTAACACTCTAACCACATCACCACACTGGCTTCCTGGAGTATTTCTTCTATGGGGCAAATATATAGATTAAGTAGGTACATAAATATGGGGAAAGCAAAATGTAACTTAGGGAAGGATCTGAAATATTTTGAATTATGTTTTATTCTAGATTGCTTTATTTGAAGTTTTACTGTGTTGTAAACCTCTTTGAGATTTTTTCTTTCAAAATATAAAGCAGTATAAAAGAGAAATGAATAATAACAACAACAAAATTTCATTAAAATGTGCCTACACATTCTGTTGTGGTGAGTATAGGCCAGTTTTAAGGTGCCATTTGGCTATTAGCTTACATATCTGAGTTTCTAACACTGGTCACCCCTTTTGAAATGTGATATGTGTGTGTATAGCTATTAATTCTAATATTAAGTGAGATTTCAACAGAAATAGCTTATTTTTCTTTCAGTTCTACTTACCTCTTCAGTGTGCTGAAATTATTTTTAATAATTTGAATTTTCAGTGGTTGTGATCTGTCTCAGGATAATGCTTTTATGTGGAAAAGCAAAATCTACAGATTGAAAGAGTTGTTTATGAGTCAGTTGGAAATGTTGCATGTACAGAGGATTAAAGCACCTGTTTAGAATCTAATTTGGGTTTCTAAAATGGGCTTGTGTTCTTGTACCTCTGTGTGGAGACCTTACTGGATGCTGATAATTCTGGCATGCCCCTATTCTGATACTATGTTTCTTTTAAATATGTAGAGCATTTGAGAATAGTGACTACTGGTCTTAAGTTCTTGAATGCCTTTTATTACTCTTTATGCTACAATACTAGTTTATTGTACAATAGAATCCTGCTGAAGTGAAATGTCCTGCTGCTGTCTGTTTTGAAGTTGTTTTTTGCATTCAAAATGTGAATGAATATTCCATTTTTATCCAGTGGAGATAAATTCTGAAGGAAATAGGTATGTACATCTGCTTTTTTGGCAGAGAACAGGAATGCCTGCTGTGTTCAACCAAAAAGGTTGAACACAGCCAAAAAGGAGAAAATATTGTAGAGGATTAGAGGTTTTCCTGGTATCAGTATTAATCATTTTGGATATTAGCAGACGGACCCTGAGAACTGCTATAGACACACCCAAGCATTTGTTTGTGACTGTTGCTGTTGCTGCTGTTGTTGTTATATTAAATTTCTATTAATGCCCTTCCTTCGAGGATCACAGGCTGGTTTACAATATAAAAACACAGTAATACATAACACAGTTACAAACACAAAAAATACCAAACCCCCTCAGTTTAAAAGGTCGTATATTCTTTAATTAGCCAAAAGCCTGGGGCGAGAGGGATGCATTTGCCTGACACCTAAATATATGTAATAAAGGTGTCAGGTGAACCTCCCTGGGGAGAGCAGTCCACGAGTGAGGAACCACCGCAGAAAATTGCCCTCCAGACCCCTCATGGAGGAGGCGCATGAAGAAGGGCCTCAGATGATGATCACAGGCTCCGTGACAGTTCATGTGGGGAGAGGCAGTCCTTGAGGTATTGTAGTCCTGAGCCATTTAAGGCTTTATAGGTCAAAACTAGCACTTCGAATTGGGCCAGGAAACTAATTGTCAGCCAGGGTAGTTGGGCCAGGATTGGAATTACCGTATTTTTCGCTCTATAAGATGCACCAGACCACAAGACGCACCTAGTTTTTGGAGGAGGAAAACAAGAAAAAAAATATTCTGAATCTCAGAAGCCAGAACAGCAAGAGGAATTGCTGTGCAGTGAAAGCAGCAATCCATCTTGCTGTTCTGGCTTCTGGGATAGCTGCGCAGCCTGCATTCGCTCCATAAGACGCACACACATTTCCCCTTACTTTTTAGGAGGGAAAAAGTGAGTCTTATAGAGCAAAAAATACGGTATATACTCTAGCCGTCAAACCATAGCTCTTTCCCTGTCCCTGGTTATGCAGCAAGTCCTCGCACTGTTTCACAAACTGCTTTTGAACGGCCACCGCCAATCAGTTGCAAAAGAGGTTGGACATAAGTACATTGGGTATGTGGATGTCAATAAACTATGGTTTACCAAGACTGAGCAGCATGCTAGTGCATACTGCTTCATCATTCCTGCTCGACTTCTCTCCTTAGGCTGGTGGGGGACAACAAACCATGAGCCTTGGTTTGTTGCCATATCAGAACTAGGAACATGGTTTATCTCTGACAAATCACAATCAGCAACAAACTATAGGAGTATAGGAAGCTGTCTTAAATGAAGTCAAATGATTGGTCCATCTAGCTCAGTATTGGCCACAGCTCTCTCGAGATTTCAGACACAGGGTCTTTCCCAAACCTACCTTTGGCAAGCAGAGCATATGGTCTTGCAGTGGTGTCCAAACTTTTTTCAAAGAGCACCAGATTTGATGAAGTGAAGGGCCATGAGGGCCGACCAAAGTTGTTAACCTTTTTTTAGGATTGAAGTTGTTGAGTTTTGTGGTTTTACCCCAAAGTTGTTGAGCTTTTTAAGGGTTGAAGTTGCTGAGGGTTTTTTTAGGATTTTACCCCAGGAAATAAACTACCACAGGGGCCGGATTAAACTGACCGGTGGGCTGGATTAGGCCCCCGATATGGACTTTGGACATGTCTGGTCTAAGGTCATTCTGAAATACATAGACCTTGTTCACAAATAAAAAAAAGAGACGGTCAATGGCTTATTTGGACCAAGCAGCATTCTAGTGTTCACTGCCCAATTGCTCCCACTTTGCTGCTTCCCCCTTATGTGCGTAGGAACAATATACAATATACGGGTTAAGTACTTAATTTGTTCTGGAGGTCTGTTCTTAACCTGAAACTGTTCTTAACCTGAAGCACCACTTTAGCTAATGGGGCCTCCTGCTGCCGCTGCGCCACCGGAGCATGATTTCTGTTCTCATCCCGAAGCAACGTTCTTAACCTGAAGCACTATTTCTGGGTTAGCAGAGTCTGTAACCTGAAGCGTATGTAACCTGAAGTGTATGTAACCCGAGGTACCACTGTACCATGAAGCTTGGTGTCTATTGGTTCTTTAATAGCCTTTATGAATTTTTAATACACCAACCTAAAGTTGTGTTTGGTTTGAAATTCTAAGAGCCCAGCCCAGGGGTGGGAGGAGTAGTCCAGTTACCTGGAATTGCCCCATCCTTTCAAATATCATTTGCATAAATGTATTTGCTTTCTCTCTGGATCCATAACCTTCATGAGGGTATATTGTGTCTTTTGGATTGAGGCTGTTTGCTTGACTGAGCTGTTTAGAGGCTTGATTGTGCATTTGTGAGTGTGGCCATGTGGTGTGCTAGAGGAAGTGATTTGGGGGGAGGTGTTAGCAGTCAGCAGCAGTTCCAGAATCATAGGCTTGGAAGGTACCCTCATGGATAATCTAGGGCTAGGCCAACCCCCCTGCAATGCAGGAAGCACAGTCAAATTGAACAATACATGTAAACAGGAGTGTTTAGCAGGGGAGTTTGAGCTGGAGGCCCAGAGTGCTGTCTTACGGTGTTTGTAGGACCAAGAGATATGGAAGCAAAGGAGCTGCTGCAGGGACCTGTAACACCTGTGCCGTGTTTGTTTCCTGCTTGAGAAAGTGCAAAACTACACCTGCAGCACAGTGATCGAAATTAACTGGTTGCCAGTCGTTTTCTTTTGAGACTCAGCACCAGCTACCTAGTTAACAAATTCTCATGAAGACTTTTGATGTGCTAAGCAAACTGTGAAGAAGCTCTTTCACACATTTAAATGGATTGCTTTTCTCTTGTGGTTGCAAACAAATGGATTGCAGGACATGGGGCAGCAGGGGAGAGCTAGCTGTTTTGCTTCTGATCACACAGAAGATAGTCACTTTGGAGAAACAGAACTGCTGTGTGGGAAACACTCTTTAAAGTTGACCATATTCTATAAAATAGATTTTTTTTTAGAAACAGAAGAAAGCTGGAGTGGAATTGTATGATCTTTTAAGTGCAAGGGATGCCAGTATGACCTATCAACATTTTATAATTCAAAGCACAAGTGTTCATGAGCCAACAGTGTGACGCGGCAGCTAAAAAAGCCAATGCAATTCTGGGCTGCATCAATAGGAGTATAGCATCTAGATCAAGGGAAGTAATAGTGCCACTATATTCTGCTCTGGTCAGACCTCACCTGGAGTACTGTGTCCAGTTCTGGGCACCACAGTTCAAGAAGGACACTGACAAACTGGAACGTGTCCAGAGGAGGGCAACCAAAATGGTCAAAGGCCTGGAAATGATGCCTTATGAGGAACGGCTAAGGGAGCTGGGCATGTTTAGCCTGGAGAAGAGGAGGTTAAGGGGTGATATGATAGCCATGTTCAAATATATCAAAGGATGTCACATAGAGGAGGGAGAAAGGTTGTTTTCTGCTGCTCCAGAGAAGCGGACACGGAGCAATGGATCCAAACTACAAGAAAGAAGATTCCACCTAAACATTAGGAAGAACTTCCTGACAGTAAGAGCTGTTTGACAGTGGAATTTGCTGCCAAGGAGTGTGGTGGAATCTCCTTCTTGGGAGGTCTTTAAGCAGAGGCTTGACAACCATATGTCAGGAGTGCTCTGATGGTGTTTCCTGCTTGGCAGGGGGTTGGACTCGATGGCCCTTGTGGTCTCTTCCAACTCTATGATTCTATGATTCTATGTTCGAAATTAACCCGGCGCATTTTGCACCTGACTGTTGGCCACTTGAGACCAAGTGAAGATGCCTGGGCCACCCCTAATACCTCCACCATCTGGAGGTGTATGCCTGGGGATCATTAGACCTTGACTGTTTTCACACACGAATACCTCATCCTGTAGAATTCTATCAATTATATTTAATCTGCGCAATCGGAATGAATTTCTGGAACCAAAATGCTTTTTCTGTGCAGCCTGAGCAGGAGCAGTGAACAACATTATAATTGTTGTAGCTTGTTTTCACTTACCCTACCCCCACTGCTGCCTCATGGAAGATAGAGCAAGCTTGTTTTCTCCTGCTCTGGAGGTTAGGACCCAAACCCATGGATTCAAGTTACTAGAAAGGAGTGTCCAACTCAACATCAGGAAGGACTTTCTGAGCTGTTTGACAGTGGAGCAGACTCCCTCGGAACGTGGTGGTCTCTCCTTCATTCATTAAGCAGAGGTTGGATGGCCATCTGTCTTGGATTCTTTAGTTGAGATTCTAGCATTGCAGGGGGTTACGCTAGATGATGCTTTGAGTCTCTTCCAACTCCACAATTCTGTGATTATCCTATATATTTGAAATCAAAGATGGAGTTGGTGTTTCTCTTCTTGCAATCATTAACTAAGCTTGATATCTTTGCCCTGCTCTTTTGGAAAGTCAGGGAAATGTGCTCTTTCTAACTGTTTCTGAAATGATGAAGTGACCTTGAGAATCTCTTCCTGCCCCAGCCAGTTGCTAATAGTATCTTTACAGCAACGTCTTCAGACTGATACTGTACATGTGGAGTACAAATGAGCTATTGCCTGCAAGGTGGTAGAATCCCCCCACCCCACTGCCCCAGTAAGGGGCATGGGAAGCCAGTGAGTTCGTTCTGAGTAGTGTGGAAAGTGCAACTGTTTATTATTTTTGTACAGTGGTACTTCTGGTTAAGAACTTAATTCGTTCTGGAGGTCTGTTCTTAACCCGAAACTGTTCTTAACCTGCGGCAGCAGCAGGAGGCCCCATTAGCTAAAGTGGTGCTTCAGTTTTCACTCTATAAGACGCACCAGTCCACAAGACGCACCTAGTTTTTGGGGGAGGAAAACAAGGGGGGGAAATTCTGAATCTCAGAAGCCAGAACAGCAAGAGGGATCACTGCACAGTGAAAGCAGCAATCCCTCTTACTGTTCTGGCTTCTGTGATAGCTGCACAGCCTGCATTCGCTCCATAAGACGCACACACATTTCCCCTTACTTTTTAGGAGAGAAAAAGTGAGTCTTATAGAGCAAAAAATACGGTAAGTTCTTAACCCGAGGTACCACTGTACAGAAACAATTGTGTTAATGTAATATAAAAGACTGCTTAACTCTAGAAGAATACTTAACTGAAAACATAACCAAAAAAAGATTGCAGAAGGGTAGTCATGTTTTTACTAAAAGAAATCATTAAGGAACTTGTGGCATCTTAAAAGACTTAGGGATTTACCAAAGCATACATTTTTGTAGATGGGATTTCATTTCATTATATGCATGAAGTTTATCTTCAGTTGAAATGTAAATATACATATGGGCGGCAGTGGTAAACATTGAGGGGAAATGTCATGAACTGCAAAAAATGCAGTCTGTGACAATTCACTTGTACTTTAAATATATACAAAATAAACAGAGTTGACCACAGCAGCAGTAATGAGTGATAACGTAATCACCAAACAAACAAAAACCTGGGACCTTTGCATTTATTTATTTATTTATTTATTTATTTATAGGAGGGAAATTGCATTCTGCTTTTTACAGCAGAAACACAAACAGATTACAAAAACTTAATAAAATACATGACAATAAAAGCAGTTCATATCAAGGTAAAAACATATCAAGAAAGTTAAAATACTTTTCATACAATAAAAACAGGATGTAAACAGAATTCAAGCTTTAAGAAGCTCACCTGAAACCAATCAAAACCTCTCTAGGAAAGAAGTTCTGCAACTACTGCAGAAAACACCCCCTTGTTGTGCCCCAGCTAATTGTGCTTCTGAAAGTGATGAGATGCATTGCAGGGTCACTGATGCTTAATGCAGAGTTGTGTGGCAGGAGGTACTCCACCAGAACTCCTTGACAGTATGGAGCTTCATAGGTGAGTAATGATTGATAACAGCTATAGCAATCCTTGATCATTAGTGTTTCCCAAGTGTCTTTGTAGTCTTATTTAGGAAGTGATACCCCTTTTTAAAAAGGACCCACGTCAGGCCAGCAAACTGCTTTGTTGCAAAATACACTTTAAGACTTCCGGGGTGGCGCCATCGGTAATGGCGGACTCCCTCTGATCCGGAGGGACTAGCTCCGCGGAAAACGGGTCTTCCCGCTACGGCAAAGCGGGGACCCTTTGAAAAATCACAGGCGGATGAAGCCTGTGACCATGGGACTCGGCGGGCACCTTTCGCGTGCCCCCAGCTCGTAAAGGAACCCAGTTACGGGCTCTGGAGCGAAGAGGGGGAAGTGGCGCGGTGCTGAGAGTCAACTGCTTCTTCCGTGGAGCGAAGCCGCACAGCCGTTGCCGGAGAGCGCTGCCTTTTTCCTGAGACAATTTGGCTTTTAAAACAATTACCCGTGAGTAGCTTAATTTCGGACAATTGGACTTTAAATAATGACCTGCGAGTAGAAAGGAAAATTGGACTAAGAAATTCTTCTCAATTTGGCACTGAAACGGGAAGGTCTAAACAGGAAGTCAGCCTTCCGTTTCTTGTAGATAGATTAAAGCAAAGACATGGCAAACTAGAGTTTAGGAAATCGTTTGTAAAGGATTAACTTTCATCATTTAAAATTGTTGAACCCCCTTCGGAAGCAGGAGAAGAGGGGGGATTTTTTCCGGACTGTTTAAACCTGCAGAAGAGAGTGTAAAGCAAAGTAATTTTCCACCGTCTTGATCCTGGGAGCGGGGTGTCAGGACTGACGTTCTTTGGGAAGCTCATTGACCATAGACAAACATCTTTGACAGATAGTTAAAAGAAGAGAAACATAGTGATTCCATTGTTCTCCTTCGCATTTTAAAGGAACAAATATTGACAAAATATCTGAAAAAGGAAACTTTGTTGTTAGATCTGCCTTTAAAAGAAAAGAACAAATAGAAGTTCTTCCCCTAGAGGGAGCCTGTGAAACTGTTACTAAATCTGAATCGGGGAGCTCTGCAGCTGCAACAGATTACGATCGTGGGAATAGACTTCTGACCTTGTAGAACAATGTATTCAGAAGCTCTGGTGTGTGCTTTCTGCAAAACAAGTGCCCTATTGGAACAGCTACATGAGAAGACGGACTTGATGACTGCTGCAATCAGAAATTTTGGACAGGTAGTGGGTAACTATATAGAGCCCACCCAGGAATCAAATCAGGAGTGTGCTCTGACAGATCAGATGAGGGAAGAGGATGTTGCTGAACCTCGGGCGCCAGAGATGGAGGGAGCTGTGGCCCAGCAGGAACATGAGTTCTTGGATCTGACAAATGAACTTGGAAAAAGCCAGATTTGGAAAGATAAAGTTTTGTTTGGTTTGGAAATGGGGGGTTGGATAGACCCCCCTATGCAGAGATGTTTGGACTTTTCAAGTCTGGCAATGGGCCGTGAGATGTTTGGGGTTGTGGGGGCTCTTAATTCTGGAGGGACTTTGAAACATGTTTTTAAATACCACATGGAGTTTAGTGTGGACTATGGAAAAGGGGCTGATATGTCGAGAAGGGTCAAAAACACTGTCAAGTTGCAGTTCCCACGAGTGAAAGGAGCAGGAGACAAAGTAAAGTACAGGTATAAATATGAAGAAGAGCCGCGGAAGGGACATGGAAGAGACTTAAGGGCCTCGGACATAAGATTACCAGGTTAATGCGCTAGATTGATGGGATAGAAAGGACTGACAAAACCCGGGACCAGGAGGAAGAGACGCTGGATGAAGATTGGAAGAATTTTTTTTTATTAGGATTGCTTTATAAAATTGATGAATGTTAGAAAAATGTTGGAACGAAATCATTTGGCTTTAGCAAAAATGTTAAAAGAATTATGTAAAAATATGTTATGGTTATGAGAAATTGGTATAAATAAGATCTAAGTTTTAAGTTTTAGGGTCTTTTATAGTAAGATAAGGTTAAAATAGATTAAGGTAATGTAATGACAGAATATTATGATAAATGGAAAGGATTTGCTGTGACAATTAACAACTAGGATACAAAAAAAGGGAGGAGTGAGGAGGTCAAAGAAAGAAGGTAATGACAGTTAAGGATTTGAGAATATTGGATTTGTTCTCAAATTTTTGTGGCTTATTTTTGCCTTTTGACTGTGTTGTGTTACGTGTTTTGTTCTTATTTTTTGATTTTGATTTATATCAATTTGTATTGTTTGATTGTGGTTTGTTTTTCTTTTGTTTTTTCTCTTTCTTTTTCTTTTTTGTTTTTCCTGTAATTCTAAAATTCTTAATAAATATCATTTTTAAAAAACAAAAACAAAATACACTTTAGAAAACATCTGAAGGCAACATCTGAAGTTCTGGAAAGTTTTTAATGTCTAGCGGTTTATTGTTTTTTATATTTTGCTGGAAGCCTCCCAGAGTGGCTGGGGAAGTCCAGCCAGATGGGTGGGGTATAAACAATAATATTAATATTTATCTGATGTTGGTCCTTTATTCTTTTCAGTACCTATATGAACATAAAAAGCCAGTCGCTTTGTACCTGCCTGCTGAACTCAATAGGATGTGCAAACCAAGTTTAATGAAGGAGGTAATGATTGACAGTCATGGAAACGTTTGCTAGGACTATTTTGAGGAAAACTGGTTGTTGGAGCATAGAGCCATTTATCAGGAGAGCTTCACCGTTTATAGAGTTTTTGCTTTCTGTTCACTTGTATGTTTGGCATTAGCTGCATTCAGACAGTCATAAGCCAAGATAAACTAGGAAATTAGTGAATATATGAACAAGCTTTTTACTCACTCAGATATGTTTGTTTAGAACTAGGAAACTATAGATTTGGAACAAGACAGGATCCTAAACCATGGTATGTTGTCTTTGTATGTCTTGGCTGATGTAGTGTGTTGATTGATGTGGTGTTTGGATATGGGAAAATCCCCACTCAAGATTTTGGAGAGCTGTGGATAAGTCATCTATGGAGGGAGGACTTTAGGTCAGTGGTAGAGCATCTGCTTTGCATGCGGGAGGATCCATGTTGAATCCTGCGCATCTCCAGGTAGAGCTGGGAATGTCCCTTGCCTGGAGAGCTGCTGCTAGTCAGTGTATACAATACAGTGGTACCTCGGTTTAAGAACTATCCAGTTTAAGAATGATTTGGTTTACAAACTCCACAAAACTGGAAATACAGTAGTATATTGGTTTGAGAACTTTACTTCGGTCTAAGAACGGAAGCCACACGGTGGAAGGGCACTGGTGGCGGGAGGCCTCATTAGGGAAAGTGCGCCTCGGTTTTGGTTTAAGAACAGACTTCTGGAACGGATTAAGTTCGTAAGCCGAGGTACCACTGAATTGAGCTAGATAATGTCCCACCACCTTTCACCCTTGCAGAATTGTCATAATGGTGGTGATCCTCAGAGCTCCTTGAAAGAAGGGGTTGTGCATGAGATTATTGATTTGACCCCATGTTCTACATAAATACTGCACAAACACTTTAAAGTATGATAATCAGAACTGATTCCAAAATGAGTTTGAGGCTTTTCATTAAAGATTACTGCCTTACACTGTATTTGATTTGTTCTTTCTATATTTGGGTTTTTGTGTGCTAGAAATACCTGAAAGCAAGATCCTAGTTGCTTCTCTGTTTACACAGGAATAAGTTTATTTTGAGCTCAGGCCTGAGCTCATTACTGTAAGTAGCCTGAACCCCCATGAGGCCTTGGATGTGCCACACTGTTTTTCACCCCACTTTTTTTGCCAAAGCTTTCGTGCTTCTGTAAATGTAGAGCAGAGGAGGTACATCTGAGTCTCCTCCAACATGAGGCATAGTTGTCAGTGCTATGTGAAAGCACAAAGGTAATTGAAGAACAGGCCTGAATGCACCAATTTGTCTTGTATGCCAAACTGGTCAGGAGTAATACAAGCTTATTCATCAGGGCAGAAGGTTTTGAGTCTTGGTTGCAACTAAGGGAATCCATTGACAGACTTTTTAAAGAACCGCCTCTGCAACAGCTCCTGGGTGTCAACTGAAGCCCTTCTAAGCTTACACACTGTGTTGTGTCTAATGACTTCGACTGAGAGCTTGGCAACTCAGCCACTAAGGTTCTCACTATTTAGTATTGCTGTCATAAGGGTTGATTGATGTGCCCCTGTGGGTTTAAAGGGGATTGTGATTGCTGCCGTTTCTGGTGTTTTCTGTGGTGGCAGTGAATATACAGTGGTACCTCGGTTTAAGAACAGCCCTGTTTAAGAACTATTCCGTTTACGAACTCCGCAAAACCAGAAGTAGTGTCCCGGTTTGTGAACTTTACTTTGGTCTAAGACCAGAATCCGAACGGTGGAAGGGCACCGCTGGCGGGAGGCCTCATTGGGGAAAGCGCACCTTGGTTTAAGAATGGTTTCGGTTTAAGAACGGACTTCCGGAACAGATTAAGTTCGTAAACCGAGGTACCACTGTCGCTGCCTTTCATAATCTTGTTCCCACTTTTCTGCTGCACTCTAGTGCAGGCATGTCCAACTCCTAAGAGACTCTGATCTACTCACAGTATAAAAATACTGGCTGTGGTCTACCCATTGTTATTGACAGCCAAAGTTGTTGAGCTTCGTGATCTACCACAGACGTCCAGTGATCTACCGGTAGATCACGATCTACCTGTTGGACATGCCTGCTCTAGTGTGACCAGCGAACATAGCTGAGAATGGGGCAGTGCAGAGAGCAGCAGTCTGGATTCTTAGCAGCTGAGGGAGGTGGCGTCTCCAGGGTAGGGAGACAGCTTGGACCTTGCCTCAGTGGTCTGGTCTTGTTAACTTTCAAATGTGTTGTCATTCAGTCCTGTAGGAAAATGCCTGGCAGTGGGTTGCGTTGAGGAGAAAGCTGGCCCCAACCCTGATGCTGGGTGTCCTGGCCCACACTGTCAACAATCTTGTGCATAGGAGGCGTGATACATTTTCCAGAGGGCTTTGCTGTGTTGTACAAGCCACACACACTGTATATAGGAATGAGAAGTGTCAACTTACATTGATGTGTTGCATCATGTTCAGGGTTTCAGTCACTTAATTCCATCCTTTTGGTTCCATCCCCCCAACCAAAAGTATTTTGTGCCCATTACGGATGCTCAGGTGTCTTTTGGGAATTTCTGGGTTCCCTCCTTCCATAGGGTTTTCCCTCAATTCTGTTATTTTTTTGGGGGGTGGGGGTGGGGAGTGCAGTGAACACACTTGCACCCAGTCCCAGCTATATTAAATTCTTGAATTTTTCTACTGTTGTCTATAAGCAGCTTTTTCTCTCGCTTGAAAATGCTGTGGACCAGGAAGTGACCTATCCAGACAATGATTTTTTTCTGTTTGCCAGTGCTTTCCCCCCAAGAAAAGTAGGTGCTGGAACTCACCATGAAGTTGTTACACTAAGTCACCGGGCAACTCAAGGCAGCCCTGAACGGAATGCCAGTTTGACAACACCCACAGAGGCCATAAAAACTGCGGCAATCTGTCTCCCTAGCTAGTTTTGGGGTTGCCCCTGGTTTTGGTGCATGTCCAATCAATGTGCCTCTGCCTTCCTCGTTCTCTTAGATTCAGGCGGATGGCTAGGGCAGCTCAGAAGGGCACACTGCGTAAATGTGCAAGTGTGCAACAGTAGATGGCTGGCTGGAAAGCTTAAAGCCCACCACTGCAACCTGGGAGACAGATTGAAGAAAAGGAAATACGAATTTGCCCTGCCCTGTAGCTTGACTAGGAGTGGCTAGGAGCTAGGTGAAGTCATAGATCTAAAAGAAAGTGTAGACTTGCACACACTGACCAGCTTCTGTTTTGACTTGCAATGTTTGTTTTGGGGTTCTCAGAAGTATGTAAAGGCAAGAAGTAGGCGGGGGGAGTGCTGATCGCAATGGCACCCACCTGAGAGGTGCCACAACTGTGCTCTGGCATGCACCAGCTGAAAAAAAGCACTGCTTTCTGCCATATACACACGTACTGTGTATTTTTTTTAAAAAAAAATTATTAAAGTTTTCTTGGTTTACAAAGGTATGTGCAATGTCTCTTTTTTCAAGTTACATTTTCCATAGGTCAGTTTCATTTGTTGAGACATTAGGGTTACATTAGGAAGAAAAGGGGGGTGCTTGTGTTCCTTTGGTGGTGAGAGAATTTGGGGTTGGCCTAGGGTGTGGTTGCTTGTTTGTGATTGGTTGGTTAATAAGTGCAAGCATGAGATGACTCAAATTGGTACTTATGTACAGATGCTCTGGATTCACTTATTGAGGCCCGTTATTTCAATATTCCCCCCCCCCCCGTTACTTTAGCAGCTTTTTTTGTGGGTGTTGTGGCCCTTAAGCACAAGAAAAGCTTTTAGCAGGGCTGTCGGCCTGCCCTCAGGAATTTCACTTAACCACTCAATGATTTAACAACACCAGACATAGCTAATTGAGAGCCCTTCGAAGTCCACTGTGTTGCTGCTTGTGTAAAACGCTTGAAGATGCTTGAGCAGAAGGAACTAATTTGTAGGTACACTGTGGTAATAGCAGAAGAGAATTCTTCTGGTAGCTTCACTGCATTACTGTATCAGCTTCTAGGAAGCCATAGCATGCAAGTTTGTAACTGCTATATGTAGCCTTTCACCTAGCTGGCAGTAAAAACTAATGTTCACAAGATCTCTAAATAATCCAGAATAGCTGGAATGTAGTAATGTTAGGCAAATGAGCCAAGTGACTTATATGTCTTTGCAGTGCTTGATTTATGCAACTATTGTCACTTGTCGGTACAGTCAGTGTTGGCCATTAAAAAAAAAAATTAGAAAAAGGGACCAGTGTAAAGAACTGGTGGCTTGCAACAAGTGTACAAATGTGCCTTTGAAAACGGGAGAGGGTGGAATGGGGCAGAGTGGGCTTATGCGCACCCCGGCAGCATGTGTAGGTACCTCGGAACACAACTCCCACCCATGCAAATGGGGAGTTGCATATACGTACATTGGTGATTGTTACCAATCTAAGGTAAAGGTAAAGGGAGCCCTGACCATTAGATCCAGCTCATCTTGCTTTATTGGCTGAGGGAGCCGGCGTACAGCTTCCGGGTCATGTGGCCAGCATGACTAAGCCACTTCTGGCGAACCAGAGCAGCGCACGGAAACGCTGTTTACCTTCCCGCTGGAGCGGTACCTATTTATCTACTTGCACTTTGACGTGCTTTCGAACTGCTAGGTTGGCAGGAGCAGGGACCGAGCAACGGGAGCTCACCCCATCACGGGGATTTGAACCGCTGACCTTCAGATCAGCAAGTCCTAGGCTCTGTGGTTTAACCCACAGCACCACCCGCGTCCCGTTGTTACCAATCTAGAACATTTTAAAAGAGCCTTAGACAAACTCATGGAGGAGATAGTTCTTGATGGCTTCAAGCCATGATGGCTATGCTTTGCCTCCACTATTGGAGGCAGTAATGCTCCTGAATACCAGTTGCCGGAAACCATACGAGGAGAAAGTGCTCTTGTGCATGGCTCCTGCCTGCAGGTTTCCCACAGGCATCCAGTTGGCCACTGAGAATGTGATGCTGGACTAGATGGGCCATTAGTCTGATCCACCAAGCTCATGTTCCTATGTACACACATACTTGATTCATTAATAGATGAAGCAACAATTTAAAATATTCTGAGCTTGCTGAATCAGATCCCAATCTGTTTAGAATATTTTTTTTTAATTGGAAAAACCTACACCACTAATTACTAACATATGTACCGTATTTTTCGCCCTATAGGACGCACTTTTTCCCCTCCAAAAATGAAGGGGAAATCTGGGTGCATCCTATGGGGCGAATGCAGGCTTTCGCTGAAGCTTGGAGAGTGAGAGGGATCGGTGCGCACCGACCCCTCTCGCTCTCCAGGCTTCAGGAAGACATCCGCAGCTTAGGCAGCCCTGCAGGAGTTCCTGCAGGGCTGTCTAGGCTGCGGATAGCAGCCTGCCTCCCGCAGCGCCGGGCGCGCTGAAAGCAGAGCGCCCGGCGCTTCGGGAACACATCCGCAGCCTAGGCAACCCTGCGGGACCTCCCGCAGGGCTGTCTAGGCTGCAGATAGCAGCCTGCTTCCCACAGCGCCGGGCGCGCTGAAAGCAGAGCGCCCGGCGCTTCGGGAACGCATCCGCAGCCTAGGCAACCCTGCGGGAGTTCCTGCAGGGCTGTCTAGGCTGCGGATAGCAGCCTGCCGCCCGGCGCAAGGGGCGCCCTGAAGCAGAGCGCCCCTCGCGCCGGGCAGACATCGGCCAGCCCCACAAGCTTGGGGGACAGCAGGGAGACACAGCGCCGCCATCCCGCTGTTCCTCAACCTGGTTTGGTTTCCCTGACCTGGTTTTGGGGGGGAAATAAAGGGGGAAAAAATTCCTTTATTTCCCCCCAAAAAAACTAGGTGCGTCTTATGGGACGGAGCGTCCTATGGGACGAAAAATACGGTACATATTTAGGTGGCTCTTCAACCAAAGTTCACAGGGCAACATACAAAAATTACAATAAAACCATTGAACATAGTAGCAAAGATATCAGATATATTGTGATCCATATGCCTGGGCATTTTATTGGTTAGATAAACAAACTATACTAATGAGCAGCTACCAGAAATGCACATCTAGGTCTCAAAGAAATCGCATGCAAGTTAGAAGTAGGGGAGAACTCAAAATAGCTGAGCATTTTTTTCACATGTGTAACAATCATAATACTTTCTTTGTTACTGCTCAGAACTAAAATGCAGCTAATTAAATCTTTTAGCTTTATACATTTATGCATTTTGACCTGGTTTTGGTTTTTTTTTTTGAAGCAGGAGCTGCTTTGTATTGAGGCTAGTGTGCTTTTTGAGGTGATGGGACCCCAGGGGAGAATGAGCTACTCTAATTCAAATATCTGAGAGTTTTGCAATAGGAGAGGTAGTCAGAGCTTGAATTAAGATAGAAAGTGCTGTGTTAATTACCAAGCTTTATATATTGCCCTGGTTATCAAATAACATCAAATGTGTGCGAGCAGAATTATGCTTATGTACTTAATTTCTCAGAAAACAATTTTGAAAAGTACTCAAGTATGTAATTTCTGTTCTGTATATCATAAGTACCTTTATTAAATGAATTTGTTGTAATTTGAACTGTTTGACATTGTCTGGTTACCATCATAGAATTGCAGTGTTGGAATTGCAGCGTTTCCTGCTTGGCAGGGGGTTGGACTCGATGGCCCTTGTGGTCTCTTCCAACTCTATGATTCTATGAAGGGATCACAAGGCTCATCTAGTCTAACCCTCTGCAATGCAGGAATGTTTTACTCAACATGGGGCTTGAACCCACAACCCTGAAGATAGTGTCACATCAAGTTAGCTATTTTTTCTTGGTATGATTTTTCTGAGTCCCCGTCCCCCCACTTGTTGAAAGTCAGAGTCATATATCCCAGATCACATGCGGAAATGTACACAGTGGGTCTATATGCAAGACTTTAGGGAATTCTAGAACTGCCATTAAAATCAATCATGTTACTGTTTTTCTGCTGTTATGTCAGTGGGAGAACTGATCTAATAGTTTTAGGTTACTAAAATATCAAGATGTCTCTTCTGTAGGCATTGTGCTCTGCTGTGCCATAAGACTGCTGCCTGTCAGACTTATCATGACCTGTGTTGAGTGAGTTAGTCCAATGAGTAGATGGCTCTGACTTGCAGTGAGGGGTTAAGATTACTTGGCTTTTTGCTTTTCTTTGATGAGGAAATTTTTGAATTTCAACATGTTGGCAAAGAGCTGTTTGAGTGCTTTCCAGTTTATTTCCCCTCCTAATAGACTGGGGGGTTGGGGGTGGGGAGAGTTGCTTTGAGTCATATGTTTAGGTTATAATTTATTCCCCTCCTCCGCTTGTCTATTTAGGAAGTTAAAATTTCTGTCACCATTTTAAAGGTTGCTTATTTTTGTGACCTTTTTTAAAAATGAAAAACAAAATATTCTGATGTGTTGAGAAGCGCACTAGGTAAATCTGTTTCTTAGGGAAATCATCGATAGCTGTAAATCCTAGAGTACATTTAAATAACACTTGATTTATATGTGGTAATGTTCTGGACAATAACAGAGAAGAATGACTGCAAAAGTAGGGTTTTTCATACTATAGTGAGGCTTTCCATTCTTTTTGGAAAGTTAAATTTCAGCCGCCTAAACAAGCATCTTTTGTTTTATTTAGTCTCATAACTGTCTTTATTAATTGCAGAGGTCGCAGCAGTGGCAAAAGTCTGCCTCAGCCTTCGGTAAGTACATATTTTAATATTTTATATTGTGGTTCTTTGTTGCATATCTGATAATGAGATATATTGAGTGTGTAAGGCAGAACGCAAATCTGTTTTACTGTTTGGAATGGTTCAAACTACCTTTTATAATAAATATGTTAGCTTCATTGCTATTGGGTTTTCCTTTGGGCTGGATCAGATAATAACCTCTCCTTGATCCAATCCAGTATCATTTGGGTTGGATCGGATAATGACCTCTCCTTCATCCAGTCCATATGGAAAAGAGAGTGAAAGACTGAACTGACATGCCAGTCCCGCCCACAGATGTTCACATGTGGCAATTTCCTAGTTGGATAGGGAGGGCAGACATGCTCTTGCTTCTTTCAACATATAACTTGTGTGGGCTGGATCAGAGAGAGGTGTTGTTGTCCAGCCAAGCCATTTGTCCCACTCTGGTGGAATGCAACCTGACATTTTCAGACAAAATTATACTTGGGAGTATAAAGCACTGAACTTACAAGTTTTCTAGATATTTTTGGCAACTAGGCAGCACACAAGCAGAATAATTTAAAGCTGTTGCTGGTGACAGCACCTAAATATTTTCATTGTTGCTTGAGACTTGAAGCACCAACCTCTCCCTCCTACACTGATGTAATATTTTATTTATCAGTTCTTTTATTGCATTTGTAATGTGTTAGGTTTGTTTCTAGGCTCTCTTGGGCACCATATGCAGAAAGGTGGGACTCAGGTTTATTTTATTTTTTAATAACAGATATTTTAGAGCATTAAGAATTCTGTCGAGTATAAGAAAATGCTGATAAAATCAACAAACTTTGAAAATAAGAAATCATAATAAAATTAACAAAATATAGATACAATCAACAGAGTTTAAAAACAAGTTTTCTTAAATTAACTTTACCCATCTTGATAACTGCAGTAGGGAGACGTGCAGAATTGGGTCCATATATTATATCTCTGTTCTGTTGTTTTCCCTTACTGGTGAGAAATCGAACTTCATTCTTGACCATGGCTTTGACTACCTCAACTCAGTTTCTCCTAATTTGAGAAACTTTGGGAAATCTATGACATTAAAAAGTAGTAGAAAACGGACATAAATATGTAGTCATATTGATGATAAAAAATTGATGTTAGAAACCTTTTTCCCTTGTTGTATTTTCACAAAATATATTGTCTAGGAAGCTCAAGGTAATTCAACTGATGACCTTAATACACTTTTACTGAGTTACCTCCTAAAATGCTTTCTTAGGTAAAAGGGTGATGTCACAAACCTAATGTGCTTCAATATAGAGAGGGCTACATGACACCCAGGCAGTAGGGGACAGCCCAAAGTCAGCTGGTCAATCAAAAAGATTACAATGGAGCTTTCGTCATTCTTGTTCTCTGGTTCACAAGAGTAAAATTGATGGAAGAATGGAGACAGCTTCCAATCTAGAAGCTCTGCCATCGCTGCACATGTGTATGTGCAGACCCACGAAAGGCAGCTGCCTGTGTGACATTTCACATTTGGTAGGATCAGAAGCATGCCATGTACGTTCTTTTGTAATGAACAGTGTGCGGTCATATGTGAGGAACCAAAGTGTAAAAGAAAATTGGTCTTGGAATCTATTTTGAATTGACTTTAACATAGCTTTTTTAGACATGTCCCTGTGAATCTGTGCTTATTGTAGAAGTGCTAGCTTTTAAACCAGCCTTACCATTTCCTGGTGCTGCCCTCCAGATGTTTTGGGCTACATCTCCAGCCAATTCTATGTGCCATTACCATGCTGAATTGTTGGGGGAAAGCTGCCTTTAACTTACAAGTACAAATTGCAGTGCTTATTCTTGTCTTTCCAGGATTTCAAAGCATTTTAATTTAATCTATCTTGCTGGAGCACAAAACAATAGGGAGGTTAAAATAAGCCTGGCAATGATTAACATACAGGCGTCCAGTGTGTTGGAGGGAATTTAGAGGGTTCTGTGTGTACTCTGTGAATTTACAATAGCAGCCCTATGGTTGTTTCCAACCAAGTCCTCATGTGAGGAGCACAATTTCAGTTTGCATAACAGAACCACCCCCCTTCTTTCCATGCACCTTCCAAAATCTGCTTTGGAGGTCTTCTCGCCTCCCCCCCCCCCCTTAGTGATTTGTAAGTCTGCTGGTGGGAGCCTCTTTTGGCTGAAGAGCAGACTTTTAAAATGTCCCTAAATCCCCTAAAATTTTAGCACTAATTTGTTGCACTGTTTTAAATATCACATTGTTTTTCAATAGCAGCATGTATTACTGTGTTTTTTTTTATTAGTTTATGTCTCAAACCTGTTCTATAAAGTACTGAGCAGTCAAATAACCAAATCTTTTTTGATTGGTCAGACATCCAACCCCTCTTCAGCATTTGGCAATTGGTTTGTCAAATGAATGGGGTGTGAACAAACGTCAGTGCTGTTTTGATTCCCTTTGATTAACCCAGTTATAATTATTCCAATGGCTTCCTGGCTCTTCTCCCCTCAGCCCGCCTGGCCTGGCCCACCATCAGTCTGAATTTTTGTGAGTTGCAGCTGTGCTTTGATGCCTAATGAGTTTCCCCCCTCTTGTTTCAGGTTTCTTTCCCTGGTATATATGCGAACATGCGGATGGTTCACATTCTCACATCAGTTGTCGTAAGTTATAACCAAACATTTCCCTGGGGATTCTTTACTTGTAACAACAATGTTAGAGGAGATCTTAATGGCTTGTTTTTTATATAACTATTAATTTACATTTCTAAGTGGGGTGCATAAAACCAACCCACAGAAAATAGATCAACAAAATACTAAAAAAAAGCATAAAACTAAACACTACCTTAAAATAAGTAAAATTTACCATTTCTAGTCAGGACATTTGTACACTGCTTCTTTAATATGAGGTTGGCAGAGTATATTTCTCCCTACTCCCCCTACCCCCCAGTGATCCTTCCTGAAACCTGGTTCCATTATGAAGTCTCTTACTCTGCCACGTGAGAATAGGCAAGTAGTCACACAGGGGAGGGCTTTCTGGGTTGTGATATCCGGGATAGGGAACTGATCTCTCTGGAGAGGTATGCCTGACTTCCTCCCTCTTGTCTTTTAGGTTTCATTGAAGCAGACCTTTAAAAAATCTTATTTTTTTTATATGTTGCCGTGACTTTTAAACTGCTGTTGGTTTGCTTTATTACTGGGTTGTTTTGCATTAACTTATATTTATTTCTTGTCTTACTTTGCATTGTATTCATTTTATTTAAATAGCCTCCATACTTTAATAAAATTAAGTCAGCAAAGAGTAAGGGGCTCTTATTGTGTTGGAACTTGATTCACTTTTGCTGTTGGAATGGTCTTTTTGTAATATTGCCTGCACCAAGCTTTGAAGGGAGTGCACTATAAACCTTAGTTGATTGAGGGCTAGGGTAAGAGGGATAGAGAATCACCTTAAATGTGTAGTGAGATTTTGTGTAGTTAAGTAAGCTACTTGATGTTTCATTTCCCTTGTGTGCAATCCTTTGCTTTCTAACTCCTACATTAAAAAGGGAATTTCTCTTAATGAGTTTTTTTCTATCTAGGGATCAAAATGTGAAGTCCAAGTGAAAAATGGAAATATATATGAAGGAGTTTTTAAAACTTACAGCTCTAAAGTAAGTGTGATTAGCTTTTTGTTCTGATTCTGTTGCCTATCCTCATTTGGTATAGGTCGGAAGTTTGCGTTGGGATCTAGCCTTTCTGGCTTTCACTTGATGCCCCAGTATAGAATTAATTACCGTATTTTTCGCTCCATAGGACGCACTTTTTCCCCTCCAAAAATGAAGGGGAAATGTGTGTGCGTCCTATGGAGCGAATGCAGGCTTTCGCTGAAGCCTGGAGAGCGAGAGGCATCGGTGCGCACCGACCCCTCTCGCTCTCCAGGCTTCAGGAAGCTATCCGCAAGCCTTGCAAGCCCGGTGGGAGTTCCCGCGGGCTCACAAGGCTTGCAGGCAGCAGCCTGCAGCCCCGGCGAGTGTCCGCAAGCCTTGCGCGCCCGGCAGGAGGTCCCGCCGAGCGCGCGAGGCTTGGGGCAGCAGCCTGTCGCCCGAAGCACGGGGAGCCCTCCGGAGGGCTCCCCGTGCTTCGGGCGAGTGTCCGCAAGCCTTGCGCGCCCGGCAGGAGGTCCCGCCCGGCGCGCGAGGCTTGGGGCGGCAGCCTGTCGGCCGAAGCCCGGGGAGCCCTCCGGAGCGCTCCCCGTGCTTCGGGCGAGGGGCCGCAAGCCGTGCGCGCCCCGGCAGGAGGTCCCGCCCGGCGCGCAAGGCTTGGGGCTGCAGCCTGTCGCCCGAAGCACGGGGAGCCCTCCGGAGGGCTCCCGTGCTCGGGCGAGTGTCCGCAAGCCTTGCGCGCCCGGCAGGAGGTCCCGCCCGGCGCGCAAGGCTTGGGGCTGCAGCCTGTCGCCCGAAGCACGGGGAGCCCTCCGGAGGGCTCCCGTGCTTCGGGCGAGTGTCCGCAAGCCTTGCGCGCCCGGCAGGAGGTCCCGCCCGGCGCGCAAGGCTTGGGGCTGCAGCTGTCGCCCGAGCACGGGAGCCCTCCGGAGGGCTCCCGTGCTTCGGGCGAGTGTCCGCAGCCTTGCGCGCCCGGCAGGAGGTCCCGCCCGGCGCGCAAGGCTTGGGGCTGCAGCTAGTCGCCCGAGCACGGGGAGCCCTCCGGAGGGCTCCCGTGCTTCGGGCGAGTGTCCGCAAGCCTTGCGCGCCCGGCAGGAGGTCCCGCCCGGCGCGCAAGGCTTGGGGCTGCAGCTGTCGCCCGAAGCACGGGAGCCCTCCGGAGGGCTCCCGTGCTCGGGCGAGTGTCCGCAAGCCTTGCGCGCCCGGCAGGAGGTCCCGCCCGGCGCGCAAGGCTTGGGGCTGCAGCTGTCGCCCGAAGCACGGGGAGCCCTCCGGAGGGCTCCCGTGCTTCGGGCGAGTGTCCGCAGCCTTGCGCGCCCGGCAGGAGGTCCCGCACGGCGCGCAAGGCTTGGGGCTGCAGCTGTCGCCCGAAGCACGGGAGCCCTCCGGAGGGCTCCCGTGCTTCGGCGAGTGTCCGCAGCCTTGCGCGCCCGGCAGGAGGTCCCGCCCGGCGCGCAAGGCTTGGGGCTGCAGCTGTCGCCCGAAGCACGGGAGCCCTCCGGAGGGCTCCCGTGCTTCGGGCGAGTGTCCGCAAGCCTTGCGCGCCCGGCAGGAGGTCCCGCCCGGCGCGCAAGGCTTGGGGCTGCAGCTTGTCGCCCGAAGCACGGGGAGCCCTCCGGAGGGCTCCCTTGCTTCGGGCGAGTGTCCGCAGCCTCGCGCGCCCGGCAGGAGGTCCCGCCCGGCGCGCAAGGCTTGGGGCTGCAGCTTGTCGCCCGAAGCACGGGAGCCCTCCGGAGGGCTCCCGTGCTTGGGCGAGTGTCCGCAAGCCTCGCGCGCCCGGCGGGAGGTCCCGCCGAGCGCGCGAGGCTTGGGGCTGCAGCTTGTCGCCCGAGCACGGGGAGCCCTCCGGAGGGCTCCCGTGCTTCGGGCGAGTGTCTGCAAGCCTCGCGCGCCCGGTGGGAGGTCCCGCCGAGCGCGCGAGGCTTGGGAGGTAGCCTGCCGCCCGAAGCACGCGAGGCTTGGGGCGGCAGCCGCGGGGGGGGGGATAATTTTTTTTATTCATTTCCCCCCCCAAAAAAACGAGGTGCGTCCTATGGACCGGTGCGTCCTATAGAACGAAAAATACGGTATTTTCGAGTTCACGGTATTAAGAATTCAGTGGTTTTATTTGAATAGTTCTAAAAACTCGCAAGCAGATGAAAAAAGTGAGTCTTGGGTTCAGTGGTGAAGTCCATGCATTCGTGCACTCAATTTTGGAAAGACCATGTAGGAGGTAAGCTGTTATATTTTTGATAACGTAGGAATGACATCTGGATTCTGTTAACTGGCACCATGTAATTTTTCTTTTCTTAAACTTTGTGTTTGCATTGCCTTTTCAGATGTATGTAAAATTTGCTGGAGCAGTTGTTCCCAAAGGGGCTGGCAGGAGAGGGTGGCAAGTGTGGCAGGGAGATAAAAGGACAATCAAATGAGAGTTTGTCTCAAATTGGACCTAATATAAATGAGATTTCCAGGCAAAAGTAAGCTCACACCTCTCATCAAGTTTGCATATATACTTAAGGTATACAGTCATGCGTCAGGATAAGTATTTTCGGGTTGCGCTCCGCAGCGATCCGGAAGTAACGGAGTGCATTACTTCCGGGTTGCGCCGCTCGTGCATGCGCAGACGGTCAAAATGACGTCGCATGCATGCGTGGAAGCGGCGAAATGCGACCCGCAGACGTGCAGTCGCATCTTACGTTCTGTTCAGGATGCGAACGGGGCTCCGGAACGGATCCCGTTCGCATCCCTAGGTACCAATGTATACGTAAGAGGCTTGTTTATAATTCTGTTTTGGGAATGATTCATGCCCATATGTAGCTGCTTTGTTTTATACTTTTTGGATGCCCCATGAACATATTATAAAGCAGTTGTGTTCTGGTTCAAAATCAAGCACTGCTAGGAGTTGCTTCTTTTTGTTTTCCTATGTACTTCTTATCAATAAAAGTTTTGGTGTGGTGTGAGCAAAATTTTATCCTGAAAGTGTGGCCCAGAGGAAAAAAAGTTTTAAGAACCACTGCACTAGAGGGAAAGAGGGAGGCTATTGTACATTAAAAAGGTAAAGGTACCCCTGACCGTTAGGTCCAGTCGCGGACGACTCTGGGGTTGTGTGCTCATCTCGCTCTATAGGCCGAGGGAGTCGGTGTTTGTCTGCAGACAGCTTCCGGGTCATGTAGATTAGGAAGATTAAAAAAGCCTTCTCTTTTGGGCAGCCTTTTGAGCAAGGTAAAAATACCTCACTGTCTATTGATGTGCTTTAATCTGAGCTGATCAGCAGGTTGTGTGAGTAGTAACATACCTCCAAGTTTGCTTGTCACATTATGACCACATGCCTGTTGGTTCATTTTTACATTTGTGCAGGCTAAATATCTGGAAACCCCACACTTATTTAGAAGATTTTAATTATGTGCATAGCTTCCACTCTCTTCAGACAATGGTTTGCAAATTAAAAGCTACCTCCATTAGCATATCCTCGCTTCCCTGTTTCTCTCCAGGGCAATTTCCTCAATCTCTCTACCGTTAATCTTGGTTTTGTGCTATCTGTGCACTAGTTCAATTGTGGTTAATGCAAACCCTTAATATTTTTTTTAATAAACCGGAGACTGAAGCCATTGCTGGGTTTATAAACCCACTGAAGCCAAGTTGCAAGAGAGCCTGATACGAGTTCTCCATGGTTTGTGTTGGCATTCATGAAGCAAATATTAATGCTAAAAGGGATGAAAATATTACCCATGATTGGAAGAAGGGAAAGGAAAGTGGCATGCCTTCTGAGGTGTGCAGAGAGCTATAGTTATGTCTGCAGTAGTTGTAAGGATATCAACAGCGCAAACCCAAGTCTTTGAGGAAACTTTCTAACCCCCCCCCCCCCTTCCTGGGGCCTTTCAAATGTTTTGAATTGCAACTCACATCAACCCTGGCCAGCATGGGAGGGCACCAGGTTGTGGAAGGCTGTTCCAGACCATCTGCTGAAACTTAAGTTCTTTCACATTAAGCTTGCTCAGTTCACGTTTCCCTTGCCTTTCAGTGTGATTTAGTGCTTGATGCAGCTCATCGAAAGACTGCAGAATCCAGCCCGGGTCCAAAACGAGAAGACATAATAGAGAGTATCTTGTTCAAGTCTTCGGATTTTGTGATGGTGCAGTTCAAAGACATGGATTCCAGTTATGCACGGAAAGGTACCTGTTTCTATATGTTAGAATGGTTTATGAAACTAGCTTCTCTTTTAAAAAATGTTCCTAAAGGAAGGGGTTAGGCTATAAGGAGCTGCCTTCTGTGGCATTGAAGTCTTAGTCCACATAGCTTCATACTGTCTACTGACTAGCAACTCCTCTTCTGGGGTTTTGAGGAAAGTTATTTCCCAGCTTTCTTACTCTGGAGCTGCCAGAGATTCACCACAAGGTGATGTACACGTGGAGCATATGCTTTCCCACTGTTGAACCCTCCAGAGGTTTGTCTCACCCAGTCTTTGCAACTACTCGGAAGGATTCAACCTCTTGCACCGTTTATTGCTCCCTGCTACAACACTTGACAAAAGCACCTTGCCCCTTGTAATCTGCCAGACAGAGAAGGACAACTGTGGTAGCTGCATTGTTCAGCAGAACAGCTACACCTCTCCCCATGTTATGGAGTCACACAGTGGGGGTGGCTGATATCTCCAATTTAATCCAAGCATTTGGATTCCGGTGGCAGCTGTCTTCGATATTGTTTTCAAAACCCAGTGGGGAAGAAAATAAGGCTGTTTGGGCTCTTCTTTGGAGGATGTCTTTAGAAAAGTAGTGATAGTAACTTATTGACAGGAGGACTCAGCTGGAGATCAAAGCCAGACTGGATTTATAAGGACAAAAGCAGCAGGCACCCGAACAGGTGAATAAATGTGGTGAAGTCTTAAATGTCCCAGAATTGTGAGCAATAGTTTAAAAGCAGGGCTGGGGAACCTTATTCCTGTCAAGGGCTGCATTCCCTCAGGGGTAATCTTTCAAGTGTTGCATGCCAGACATGGGCAGGGCAAGAGCCGAAAGCAGGCAGAGTTTGCAGCACTGCTGGATAGCTTAGCTTTCTCTCTGTCTCTCTGCTACTTCATCATGCTTGTGGTGTCTGCCTTTCAGCTTTCTCTGTCCACCTCCCCTTCCATTAGTACAGGTTAGAACTGATTGCTTGCAGAGGGCTTTTTCTTTGCTCCTTCCCTCACTCCATCCATCTCCAGTTTTTCCCTCTGTCTCTCCCTCGGAGATCCCCCCCAGCCTGTGGCTCACTGTGAAGCTTTTCCCTCCAGGCTCACCATGTAACAACAGCCACGCCTCCTACTCCACCTGTCTCTCATTGTCACACCATGGAAGACAAAGCAGTTCTCAGGGGGTGGCCCCAGAGAGCAAGAGTGGGCCAACAATGTCTAGAATGCTGCAGGAAATTGGGGCGGGGGCACAGGTTCCCCATCAAGGTTTAAAATGACCTTTTGCAATCTTCATTTGTTGTGTTAGCATATTAAGTATTTGGAAAAAATAATACTTCTAGTTCTCCTAGTACTGTATATTGCAACAGATAGCCAACTTACTTGATATACTCTGGGTTGACTGGCAATAACCTTCCAAAAAACCCAAAAAAACCCCAAACAGATAAAGAGCTCAAAAGTGCACGTGCTAAATCAGTTTAACTAGTGAGTTCCCAAGTGCTATAGGGAAAACAGATGAATCTTGCCAAGGTTAAATATTGGAAGTATGAGAGATCTGTGTCTGCTAGGTAACCTGAGTTTTTTCTGACTGGTTTAACAGGAAGCTCCATTGTAGAACAAAGGAATTCCTGAGAATCCAGTGGCATGTGTGTTTATAACTGAGGGAGCGGAGACAGAGGGTGAGGAGGGAGTAACTAAATTCTGGCAGTCTTGACTAAGTGAGATTTGAAGGATTCCATGAGCTTAGTTTGCATCCCTGAAAGAAGTCATGGCACTCCATTTCTTTTCTCTGGAGTGGGGTATGTGCGTTGAGAGTACAGTAATATCACAAGGGGGTCTTGTTGAGCTTTTGACTGTTAATCATTTATAGATGCACTTTTCTCTGCTATGACTAACTCACTTCTGATAACAGGAAATGCAGGACAGCTGACTGTTCTGTCCAGAGAGTAGCTAAACAGTGTCCAGAACGGGGAATGAGGAAGAAGCTTATTTTGCTACTGCATCAAAAACCAGCCACCCCATGACTCTAAATTCCTTCTACCATAGTGGATCAGATTTGACAAAGGGAGGAGGGAGCAAGAGAGGGTGTATGTATGTATGTATGTATGTATGTGATTTGGGGACCCACCAGGTAAACTAATTTTAGCACTGCACTTTAGCGCTTATCATATTTTTGTGTTCGGGTTTTATTTTGGAAGATGGCACTACCAGTCAACCCAGAGTATATCAAGTACTGCAGGCTCCCTGTTATGAAATGGTAGGAGAACAAGGAGCATTCTTTTTTCCGGGTTCTGTTCCAAATTCATCATTTTAAAGCCTTCGTCTCTATTCAGACAATCTTCTAAACCATGGACTTGGATGTGTCCCCCTCCTTCCTTAAACAGCAGCAAGAAGAATTATTCCAGTTGTAGTTCATTGCAGTTTCCCTGAACTGGGAAAACTATGGTCTCCAAGCCATGGTTTTGAATTGGTCCTTTGGTTTAGAGGTAGTTCTAAGCGTCATTTCTCAAAACTAGGAAGCTGAGGACAGAATCGGCATGTGAGGCTGCTGCTTGTTCCCAAGTCCTCCGTACCACAGTGTGGAAGATTACCTGAACTGAGTCGTAATAGTCAGTGGCCTGGCATGGACCCTCAAAATGTCACTGCTGCCCTAATCTTAATAAGGTCCTTTGCTTTAATAACTTACATGGTTCCTGCATTATTGCTTATGTTTTTCAAGCAAACTTTGGAAAACATGTCACATTTTCAGCTACTGCCTCCTGCCTCCCTGTTGTGAGATAAAATGTTGTTAGCTTTCTTGGCCCACTGTGATATTAGATATTTGAATGGTTGTTGAGCAGCAGTGCATGTACAGCAGTTTTCAAGCTGTGCTGCAGAACTCTGGGCTCACTCTGGAAAACATCTCTTTTTTAAAAAGCCTAATCCGAGACTGAAAAAAAATCCTCAAATTTTAGTCACCGACCCCTTACAGGGATTGAGGGGATGAGATGGGGGAAATAAGTGCCTGCCATCAAACTAATAGGCTCTTTCAGATTCTGGAGTATCTGGTGGGTTTGCTGGAATTTGCCTTGTGACACAGTCATCATTCATGTTCCTGACTAAGTTTGCTAGGGCACTGCAGTTACCTTACCTGCTACTTTTAGTTGTGATATTTAATCATGGTGTGCTTGATTTTCCAAACTTCTAACCAAACGAAAAAGCTAATAGCCTTTGCTGCAGCTGTTAACTTTCTGGACCAGAATTCAAACCCTGAAGCTGGCCAAGCCATGTTTGTATTTACAGTATATTTAAGGAGTATTAGGATGTGCGTCTAGGAATAAACAACTTACCCAGATTTTTGAGGCCATGGCGGTCAGTTTTCAAAGCACAAATGACACAATAAATGTTTGTGAAGGGATAGATAAGAGAATGCAAAATACGTGAATTTGCATCTGTGCTACTCTCTGACTGATTTTTATTTTCTTTCTTTTCCCATGTCTGTTGTAACTCCTTCAGAAGCAGGTAATATATTTGGCAGTCTTTTATTTCCGTACTTTGAATTTGCATATTTCTCTTTTAAAAAGTAGTATGTAATCTATGTGTTTTATATTTGCTTACAGCTTCATGGCCGTAGAAATCATGCAGGCTGCAAATTATTGAAATTGGTTACAAGATTATTTTTGTATACAGGCAACTCCCAATTTACATGGGGATTACGTCCAAGGCACCACATGCTTAAGTGAAATTGTATATATTTAAACACCATTGAAAAAGCCTGCAAACATCCTGCCCCTTTCTTGTGACATTTTTGGGTAACTTCCGGGTTTGGTGCAATGTGTGTGGTCACAGTTCTAGCTGTGTGTAATTTACATTTATTTAAAAATATAAATATTGCCTCTTGCTACACCCAGTATGCAGCCTAAAGCAATTGCATGGGAATTGTTTGTAGCCATGTGTTGATAAAGCAGTTTGTTTTTGTTTTTTAAGTAACCAGGTTGCCAGGAATATCCCTTGGGGTGTGTGTCCCTACCTTTTTTTTGTTGTAACTTGGGGGGGCTTCAGGTGCCTGGCCTCATTCTCTTTGCCATGTGTGAGATACAGAGAGTTGTAGACCGTGAAATCAGGTGGTGCAGCCCTCAGTGGAGGAGCCGTGCTAGTGTAACTTGTACAGTGGTGCCCCGCAAGACGAATGCCTCGCAAGATGAAAAACTCGCTAGACGAAAGGGTTTTGCGTTTTTTGAGTCGTTCCGCAAGACGAATTTCCCTATGGGCTTGCTTCGCAAGACGAAACGTCTTGCGAGTTCTTGCGAGTTTGTTTCCTTTTTCTTAAAGCCGCTAAGCCGTTAATAGCTGCTAAGCCGTTAATAGCCGCTAAGCCGCTAATAGCCGCTAAGCCGCTAATAGCTGTGCTTCGCAAGACGAAAAAACCGCAAGACGAAGAGACTCGCGGAACGGATTAATTTCGTCTTGCGAGGCACCACTGTACTTAATAGGACTTATTTCTGAGTAGACATGCATAAGATTTGTACAGCTTTCCCAAGTGTTGCCACTGATGCTTCTGCCCAACGCTAGGGGTGCAGAGTTGGCTCTAAATTGGAAGTAAAATAAAGCAAACTTAAGGTGATGAGCTCCAGATTCATACTTCTTTCCTGGTCATAGACACAGTCTTATGTAACTGAAGCAGTTCCAAAGTTTGTTTTTCAAGCCATAAGGTTGGTTACGTAAGCAATTTCTACAGAATTGTTAAGGGGTACTGATTGTTGAAGTTTTGTCCTAATCTTGTCCAATTATTCTTTCATTCTATGGAATCAAATGATTTTGGAATTTGAAGGTATATAGAATATTAACTAACTTGAACTGATGTTAGTATTGCGTTAATTTTATTTTTTCAATTTCAGATGCTTTTACAGATTCTGCAATCAGTGCTAAAGTTAACGGTGAACACAAGGAAAAGGATCTTGAGCCTTGGGATGGTGGAGAAGGCACTACTACAGATGAGCTTGAAGCTTTAGAAACCGATGTTGTGAGCACATCTTTGTCTTGGGTTGACGTTTGAGGGAGGGCATGTAGTTTGAAGGAAAATCATCCAAGCAATATGGCAATTTTTGTTTTTGCACAAACCGTTCCAAAAAAAGCTGCCTTACTAGAGCAAGGCAGTGTTGTAACTGGGAATTTATTTATAAGAACATTAAGGAAAGTGGGAACCAGGGTGGATTTGATTTAAATCACTAGTCAGTAAGACTTGATTTAAATCTTTTTTTTCTCAGAAAGACATTCCTGCTGGTATAATCTTAATATTTACAATCAGATGAAGGTTTCGTTTTTGGAATAATAAATTTTCAGAGTAGTTTTACAGTTGTATCAAAAATTACTGTGTTGGTTATGCTATTAGAAATACATAGATAATTATGAAATTATTGTGAGGTTCAATAAGTATATTTGGACAACTTTTCTGCTGTACTTTATTGGAAGGAGAAAAATAATCACAACAATTAATAACAATTTCCTTAAAAACCAACTTAGACGGAGTTTCAGCACGCATGAAAAACTTAAAACAAATCCTTATTTCCTGATGAATAGCCTTTGGACTATAATGTAATTTAAATAGAAAACTATCTTTAGAAAGATTTTTTCCTCCAAAAGCATTTTATTTTAAAAATCTAATTTAAATTTAAAAAATCTGATTTAAATTAAAAAATCCATTTAAAAAAAAATTTTAAGCATTGATTTTTATCCACCTTGGTGAGAACTACGTAGTTAAAACAGGATTTTGTTGAACCCCTGTACCTTAAAGTTGAAGGAACTTAATTTAAATTAAATTTTGTAGATTTAGTGCTAAATTGTCGGCTAACTTCTGGAAGTGTTTGAGGTTTTTGTGTTGGGGGACAGGTTCTGTAAGACCTCAACTTTTCATACAGAAATATTTCATATATGTCATAGATGTCATATGATAAAAATTCTGGATGCTTGTGCAGCCTTGCATTAGTGTGATTGTTCCTTGATTGGTGTGATTTCCTATTCTGCAAAATACCATGTCCTGCAGTCTCTAATCAAGCAGCTGCTCCAGTAGTTGTCTGTAAAATGTAATGAAGATGATTTTGTACAGCAGTTTGCTGAGAGATAGCCTTCACCCCCTAGCTCTGTGGCTTGACTCCAATAACCTTCCCAAATACGTTGTGTCTATAATAGTAATGCTTCTTTTTGACACATACAGGACTAGTCAAAGCAAGGCAGACTATTGGTGTGTTTCATGTAGTGAATAATCTTCCTGTTTTACTAAAGATAATTTACGCAGCAGCTCTTGGGTAAAACATAGCTCAGCAGTTCAAAACATTCCAAGCTTTATGATTTATATCTGTTAAATGCAAAGATACTGTCAGGTGTTGGTGATGGTTGCTCGTGAGTAACCAGGCAGGACTCTGACCTGTCTTTTACAGGTTTTATTGTACTGTACAGTTCAGAACCACAAAGTTCATGTCCGTCTTAGTCACTTGCAGATTCTGGGAGTGGCCCCTTCTGGTTTCTCCCCCAGCGTAAGAACTTAGACACCCCAAATCTCCGCCTCCCCTCCTTACGTTTCACCCCTCTGTGCAAGCTGGGCAACAGAAACGGCTTGTCTGTTTCCTGGCCAGTCAGGCCAGGTGAGGCACTTGGGCTCTCAGTAGCATCTTCAAACCCCCCCCCCCCACTTAGCTGCCCCCTTCCCTCTCTGCTCCACTGGCTTTCCCCACCGCTGGACGAGGAGCTGCTTCTCAGAAGCGTCAGAGGCTCTCTGTATCCCCCTGCCTCCCTCCCCTGTTCCTATGGCAGTGCCCTGACAGATACTTACGCAGGAATAAGGATGGGGAACCTGTGGTCGTCCAGCGGTTGTTGGATTCCAGTTCTCCGCATAGCCAGTGCTCAGGGATGATGGGAGTTGTAGTCCGGCAATGTTTGGAGGGACACAAGATTCCCCCGCGCGCGCGCTTTAGATGACTTTTGAACTGTTGTGAATCCCAAGCTTCTTTTCCTTCTAGTCTAATGGATGGGATCCTAATGACATGTTTCGATACAATGAAGAAAACTATGGCGTAGTGTCAACTTACGACAGCAGTTTGTCTTCATATACGTAAGTAACAATAGGTGGTGTGATTTTTATATTTATTGTTCCTGTTTCATTTAGTCTGCAGCATTAAGAATATTCCTCCAGGGTCTTTGCCTAGGAAGAGGCTGGGGGGGAGGACTTTAAATTTTCTCTTCCCCCCTGCATGTGTAAGGGTGGATACAGGTTTCTGACGCCTGTCAAACTTCATTCTTTTCTGGAGATAGTAGTCAAAAAAGAATTCTAAAGTTGAAACAGTTGCCAACATTCACTTGATACATATTTACCAGTATAAACATTAAAAAACCCCAACAGATAGGGGAGGGAGTCATTTGGAATAAGGTCAGTTTTGCCGTTTGAATCCTATTTTACTGTAATCAGCATATCACAAATTTGACTGCTTAACGGGAAGCTTTGGGCAGTGCTCTGTGTACTCTGGATTGTATCCCAATACTTTATTAATTGGCTTTGCCCTTGACAGCAAATGAACAGGATCAGGGTGCAGATTCGTTACCCCAAATGGTAGAAATTCCAAATTCAACTTGTTCTTAACCAGGGAGTTGCCTTAAGAAAATAAAGCAAAATACTGGGGTTCTGTGGCAGAGGAGTTCCTTTGCAGAGAAGATGATGGTGCAGACAGTATTTCCTGAAGGAAGCTGGTTGGGAAGTCACTGGCAGACGTGCTATTAAACCGTCATGCCACCATCAGATGGCTCCTCCGATGCTGCAATCTTAACACTGTCACCTATGGCTTTCCCCCCCTTGTATCTAGAGTTTAAAACCAATCTGCTTTTTTTACCTCTCCTTCTCCCCTTGGTTTTAGGGTACCCCTTGAGAGGGATAACTCCGAAGAATTTTTAAAAAGGGAAGCCCGAGCAACCCAGTTAGCAGAAGAAATTGAATCTAGCGCTCAGTACAAAGCTCGAGCTGCTTTGGAAAACGACGACCGGTCAGAAGAGGAAAAATACACAGCTGTTCAGAGAAGTGCCAGTGAGCGAGAAGGCCACGGCGTGACCCCCAGGTATCTGGCGGGGCAGCAGGGGGAAGTGGGGAATCACTACATTTTCATATAATTTTAGAAATAGGTATTGAATGGTTTTTACAGGCCAAGTAGTTTGGCGTTCATCTGTTGATTGAGTTTCTGGATGACAGCATAGCTTCTCTGTAATCTTGTACAGTTTATGGGGAAAAGGGATTGCTACGTCTTACAAGGTTATTTTCCTGCATAAGGAGTGTTCTTCCTCTGAACTTGTATAAGATTCCTCAATCTTCTGTGTGTGCAGTGGAATCTGCATGAGGGTCCAGCTAAAATGGTTCAGTTGTAAGACTGGACTGTTTCTCTGTACACAGTGCTGCTTTTCTAGAAAAAGGTGCCAGAACTCACCATGAATGCCTCCCTTGTTCTCCTATCATGGCAATGGCACCCACCTGAGAGGTGCTGGAACCGAGTTTCAGTTCTACCTAGCTCCTAGCCGTGATTGGTCAAGCTACTGTTTAGGGCCAATTCTTATTTCCTTTTCTTCAATCCATCTCTCATGTAGCAGTGGTGGGCTTTAAGCTTTCTAGCCAGGCCTCTACCATTGCATGTACACGCATTTGTGCGAGGACCCTTCCGAGCTGCCCTAAATCTAAGAAAACGATGGTGGTGGGGGCGTATTTATTTGACCTGTACTAGGGGCGACCCCCAAAGCAGCTAGGGAGACAGCTTGCTGTAGTTTTTTAGCACCTCCACAGGGGTGGGTGGGTGTACACACACACACACACACATACATAAATGTACAATTTGTTTGCATCTCATTCCTTTGATCATCTTTCTATGTACCGATAACATTTTATTGTTTATGATGTCTGTATTTATTGGACATGTGTTAGTGGATTCATATGACAATGATGTCAGCCATACTGAGATGATCTCAAGTATTATTTTCAGAACCTAGCATTAAATGTCTCAATGTCCAGTATTGCTGGTGGCTCTGGGCTGTAATTTGTTGTCATTGTTGCATAGAAATAATGACAACTCTCCCAATTTGAAGCTAATGTGAATTGCTAATATCAAACATGTCCTGCTCCCTTTTATTCCTGAATATTTAAACATTTCCCTGCCCTTAAGAACAAAGCAACATGTGATTTTAAGCCAAGAGCTGAAGTCCCATCTTACATCTCTCTTCCTCCCCCCTTTTTTCCTCAGGGAGAATAAGTACATTCCACCTGGACAGCGGAATAGAGATGTTCTTTCCTGGGGAACTGGAAGGCAGAATTCACCAAGGATGGGCCAGTCCAGTTCAGGCCCACCAATTTCAAGATCTGGGTCTCACTCATCGGACTACAGTTCTAACTCTGGAGCAGACCAAAGAGTAGTTAATGGAGGCAAGTGTTCATCATTACTGAAATAATAAAGCTTTTCTAGAGAGAGCTCTCCATCGCTGGATCCCTGGGGTAGTAGCCCTTTGAAATAATGTCTCCTGTTGCATCCCACCACTAAAACAGAAAGAAACTAAAGCTGTGTCCATGGATATATAGTGAATTCCCTTTTGAAAACATCAGGCGAGTCCCTGTTGCATTAGAAAGGGCAGTTCTCTGACTCCCTTCATTGCTGTAGCCCCAGTGTGGTTAGTAGGTCTGCATCGGCTGAACTAGCCAACAAATGCTTCTGTTTAGTCTTCACTAAGTGTTGAAATGGAGATGGATCTGGTGGATGGGAAGAAAGGCAATCCAGCAGTCTTCTCTCTGGTTTGGCTCCATAGGAACACTTCACACCAAGCACACTTGATACCAGATTCTGCTTACAATAACCTTGGCAATACCAGCAGCCAGTTACTTTATGCACACATCAGTAACAGCTGCAGCTTCTTTGTGTTCTTAAAATTTAACTTCCAAAATTGGCATAAAGTAATCAAAGTACATAGTCCAGTTAAAAACAAAACTGTAATTCATTTTTTGTGTGTTGTAAGCTGCCCTAGGGGTCTTTGGCGCCATGTGTGGCAAGGTATATATTTCGCTAAAGAAATACAGCGCGTTTTTCTTAAGTGTGGGGGTTGGGGGAAGAAAAGGCCTGGACTGTACATTGATTTCAGGTAAGTGGCATTAACAAGACTTTGAACTTCAGCTGGTAAAAAAACAAATGATAGCTGTGTGGTACCTGCAAGATAAAATGAGGCTGAAGCCCACCAAGCACTCCTCCTCCTGCTGCTGCTGCTCCTCTCTTTTTACATTAGGGGGTCCCATGAAGGGCCCCTGTTCAGATGAGCAATTAAGTCCATGCGTTGGACTTGTGTCTTTCTGTTGCTTCCTAAATATTCCATGGAAGATCATCAAAGGCCTTGTGTTTTTTTTGAAGTGCAGCAGGTTTGAATTTGGAAACAGTGCCCTCTAGAGGAAGCTCCTGCTGTAGCCCAGGGGCAGAGATCTATGTGGATCTATTGTGGCCCAATTTCCTCTTTCACAAAAATTCTGAATGACTTCATTATTGAAAGGGCACAATAGAAGTAAATGTCAGCAGCTAAACACAGCTCTCTTTGTAACGTGATTTCTGTAGTTTTCACATGTCTTAGCGTTTGAAAGTGGTACATCCAGCGGTCAGTGTGCTTCACCCGCTTAATGAAATTCCCTAGAAGCCTCTTGTAGCTCCATTTCTGAAAAGCTGCTGTGCCAAGTGATGCATTCAGTGCATTCCTTTTACCCTGGGCAAGTTGACGCAGGCATGTTTTCCTTGATACATGGGGGATTAGCTACACATTTAGGTTTTCCTCACCGCTCATGGAACCATGCACAGCTATCCGTGATTAAGCACAAGCCATATAAGTGTGATATGCAAATAGTCTTAACTGATTTACACGCCATTGTCTTTTCCATGGTAGTGCTCATAGATCCTGAATTTAACCCATTGGGGGGAAACTCTGGTTGGTGATTGCAAACTGATCTGTCCTGTATTGAGGGTGGAATAACTGCAGATTTATTTTGATTTTGTACGAACCTGTAGAAATCCCCAATGGGTTAAAAAAAAAAGGTATGAGAAATCATTTTTGTCATTTTTACTTTCCCCTCCCTCTGTTCCCCCCCCCATAATTTTATTTTCTTTAGTTTTTATACTTTCCTTCATATCATTTGTTCTGTCAGGTGTTCCCTGGCCATCGCCTTGCCCATCTCCTTCCTCTCGCCCACCTTCTCGCTACCAGTCAGGTCCCAACTCTCTTCCACCTCGGGCAGCCACCCCTACAAGGCCGCCCTCCAGGCCCCCTTCGCGGCCCTCCAGGCCCCCGTCTCACCCCTCTGCTCATGGCTCTCCAGCTCCTGCCTCTACTATGCCTAAACGCATGTCTTCAGAAGGTACAAAGACCACAGTTTTGTTTGTTCATGAATTTTCGTTTGTCTTTGTGTTCTCCCTTTCCTCTTGTGAGTTACAGTTAAAAGAATTGTTCTCTTCATTACTAAACCTTTTATTTGTGCACTTCAAAAAAATTAAAGTTTTTGTTTTGTTTCTGTTAACCTTTTTTTTTTTGTTTAAAAAAGGGAATTTCACAGAAAACCAAACCATTAAAGGGATGGCCTTTTCCTGAAAGTGAGAAATTCAGCTTCCTAGTGCTACTTTAGTGCATTGCAGAGCACATGTGGATGTATCATCTGCAGTCACTTAGCCATGGTTGCAGGATCACACCGTCGCCCCTACTGGCCGTAACCATGGTTAAAGGTCTTGTCTCCATTGCCGTTAACTGTGTTCAGTGCTAGCTATGTTTTGTTTGAATTCAGATGCTTAGTTAAAAACAAACTGGTTAGCATTAGCCATGGTTAAGATGAATGTCACCTTCAGCCTTTATTAAGGCCAGTCCGGGGAATTGCTGTGCTAGATGGGAAGATCAGGTGGAGGGACAGGTATATGAACCTGAGACCCATTCCTGATCCCATAACCTAGTTAAGGAGCTGAGAGGGCTGCATCTACATATTTCCTGAAGTGGCTGGTGATGGAGGGTTTTGCTCAGAATGATGCTTTATGACATAAATCTGTTAAAAATGCCTGATTCACATTGTGCCCACTGCAGAATCCTCCTTACTGGCAATTGCGGTGAGGGAGACTGGTTAGAAGTGGATGGAAATTAATTGTGTATTTAAATTCAGTTTGAGTTCCTCTTGACTTTCCTGAAACTGTTCAGTGGAATTGAATAATTTTAATTCTGTCTTGAGAGGATGAGACTTGTTCAGCAATAAGGAATCATAGATTGAACCTATTCTCAGCTGCAGCTAATTTCCATACTTTAATTGCATTCAACTCATATACTATCTAGGAATTTTGAAGATGCTGAACCATTTGCAGGGGGCACGCTGACTTGTTTCTCAAATTCTAAGGCAATTCTTTGAAATGTCTCTGTGATATGCAGGGACATAAAAACGATGAGAGCTGAAAAACTATTAAATGTGGGCTGCTTAATTTGCTGTTAAATTTTATAAGTTCTCTGCTGCCAGGAGGGCTAGAGCATTCAAAGTGGTCAGGTTTGGGTTTTCTTATCAAGAGTTAACTGATGAAATCCACTTGAATTCTCTCTGCTGTGCTTTTGCACACCTCCTATTTTTGTTTTATGGGGCATGTGAATATAGGGGACATGTCCAGTGGATTGTGTCCTAACCTAGCATCTGTCTGGCTTCATATTTTTTCCTCCCCAGTTTTGTCACGAACTATATTGAGAGGAGTGCTGATTTTTAAATGTCCTGAGACCGTGTATGATGATGGCAGCCCAGGGATGGGGAACCTTCGTGCCTCCAGATGTTTTGGAGTACAGCCTCCCATCAGCCCCAGCCAGCATGGTTAGGGATGATGGAATCTGTAGGGTCTAAGGTTCCCCATCCCTTATGTAGCAAAAATTAATAGAATTTGGGGGTGAAAACGGAGATTTCATGTTGTGTTCATAGTTTAGGGTGTCTTTTCATGCTTTCTTCAGGACCTCCGCGGATGTCTCCAAAGGCACAGCGGCACCCTCGAGGCCACAGAGTCTCTACTGGGAGGGGCACAATTTCAAGTGGCTTAGAATTTGTCTCTCACCCCGTGCCAGGAGAAGCCACCACACCTTCATCGGCCCGAGGCAGCCCTTCAGGTGGGACATGGTCATCGGTGGTCAGTGGTGGTAAGTCAAGCTCAGCTTCCTACAGAAAGTCCTGTTGGGGAATTTTACAGTTAAAAGAATCCTGTTTCTTAAGCCAAACATTTGAGAACCCAACAGGCCTGCTGCTGCTGATGGTTGGCGAATCCTGATTCTTTATTTTGCCTGCCTAGAAACCAAATGTTACAACTGAGGCTGGTAAAACTGGATTGTCATGGAAAGCAGCAGATGTGCTGTTTCTCCCTTCCACTTTGATAGACTGTTTTTATCAGTTGATTACATTCCTTTCCAGAGACAGGCTGGTAGGTCAGTTGATTGGAGCTCTCAGCCTTTATTAGGTGATTTGACTTTTCTCCCCCCCCCCCCAGTCTCTTCTGTGTGTTCATCATCCTCTGGAGTGATGATCAGGTTGTGCTCCTGTGAGCCTCAGTATTCTTAGGCCTAGACCCCATTCCTGGTTGCCCACTTTCCTTCTTTCTGTCCTGTTTTGAGGGTGACTCAGAAGACACTGAAAGCCACAGTGAGAAACTAGGTGGACTTTCACAGGGCAGCGAGTTTAGGATTGTGCCGCAGATCAATTTCTGGGACTACAAGCAGAAATTGGTTCTTACCATGAATTTCTGTTTGAAGAGTGGACTGGGTCATTAGGCGATGGAAGCTGTTTCTCAGATTCTTTTCCATGTTAGTGAGGGCTGGTAATAGGAAGCGACCTGACTCTGCTTAAAGTCTCCCTTGACAAACCTTTGCTTCAGTGCAATCAATTATCAAGCATTGTTTCACAGTAGAAGGATTCTTAGTGCTGTATTCTACAAGAATCGTTTGAAAGAAGCACTTACTGCTTGGGGAAGAGAAGCAACATCACAGAAATCTGGGGACTTTCCTAGAAAGGCAAAAAGGGTTTTGGTGACAATTTTATCAGCTCAGTGTAAGCCTGGCATTAGGTTTCACTCCTTTTAGTACAAAACAGCTGTGCAGTGTTTCAACAGGGTCTCTTTTATTTTGTTTCTAGTCCCTAGGTTGTCCCCTAAAGCACACAGACCCCGGTCTCCAAGGCAGAGCAGCGTTGGCAGTGTGCCTTCTGGGCCAGCTCTGTCTTCTCCTCAAGCGGGCTCTACTCCAGCAGAGCCTGTAGCTGCACCTGTTCTAGCTGCATCTCCTACCCCAGCCAGCCCTGCATCCATTAGAGCAGGTACACCATCAGCTGAAGGTAAGAAGCCCTTTTATCTCCCCCTGTTCTGAGTCTGAGTAGAAATGCAAAGACATAGGATGATCTAAAAATTGCTTCTGTGTTTTAAGTGGTTGGAGAGCAGTTCTCACACACGTTTATTTTTATGCATTAGGTTTGCTAATCATATGCAGTCAATTTTCTCTCTGTGTGGGAATCTTTATACAGAGGGAGAAAACTGGCGGCTCCAGGCAACTACATAATTTTCTGAATGGCTGTTGAAAATTACAAAAATGAGTAGGAAAAGGTTGCGCTCTGTTTTTCCTAAGACATCCTGCTGACTTTCTTTCAATTCAGCCGATTAGGGCAGCCTTCCCCAGCATGGTGCCCTTCAGCTGTTCTAGAATTAAAAGGTAAAGGTAAAGGGACCCCTGACCATTAGGTCCAGTTGTGGCCGACTCTGGGGTTGCGGCGCTCATCTCGCTTTATTGACCGAGGGAGCCGACATACAGCTTCCGGGTCATGTGGCCAGCATGACTAAGCTGCTTCTGGCGAACCAGAGCAGCGCACGGAAACGCCGTTTACCTTCCCGCCGGAGCGATACCTATTTATCTACTTGCACTTTGACGTGCTTTCAAACTGCTAGGTTGGCAGAAGCAGGGACTGAGCAACGGAAGCTCACCCCGTCGCGAGGATTCGAACCGCCGACCTTCTGATTGGCAAGTCCTAGGCTCTGTCGTTTAACCCACAGCGCCACCCGTGTTCTAGAATTAAACTTCCACAAATCCCATCTGGTATGTCTATGCCATCTGTGGCTTATGGGAGTTGAAGTCCAAAACAACTCGAGGGCACCAGGTTGAGAAAGGCTGGATTAGGGTTTCATACAGTAAAACAGTAATATTTAAAAAGTAATATTGCCCTTCCATGTATTATTATTTTGGAAGAAATACATTTAATTTGATTTTCAGAGCTGTTGTTGTTCTTATTGTTGTTTCTAACCCACCTTTTCCCAAGTCCAAAACTCAAGACTGCCTACATAGACAAAATAGAAAAAAGTAAAAACCATAGAAAGACAAACATTAAAATGTAATTAAAAACTAATAGAATTAAAATATTAAAAAGTGGCTCTTTGAAAGTCTCTCTTTAGTCATCTTCATTATCATCGTTTTATTTGTACGCCACCTTTCCAAAATCAGGATGGCTTACAACATGAAACGATCTACATAATTACAAACATAGCAAAAGTAGTCATAAACAATAAATAAAACACAGCAGAAAGTACACAACCAAACTGAATAATTTCCACATAAATCATAATATTTAAAAATAAAGTTGCAAAAATAATATTAATAACAGTAACAATACCCAGTACAAGAGTTTTTCCAGCAACCTCAGCTTTTGTAGCTGTTGTCAGTCAGGGCCCTGTTCTCCCAGGCTGGCTAGAGAGAGGCGAGCAAGAGAATAAGTAGGTCTTCCACGACTCACAGCCAAGATTATGTTGGTTTCCCAAATAAACAGAGACACAATCAGGATAATACCTTGTATGGGACACATTGTTTTGGTGCTGAGCTTTGGTGCTGAGCTTCAACAACTTGTCCCTCTTTCCTTCCCCACCCATTGCTATCTAGAGTTATTAAGAGTGCTGTGTATGTGAAATCTCAAACACGACTGATTTTCCTTCCTAGCTAAAGATTCAAGGCTTCAGGACCAGAGGCAGAGTTCTTCTCCTGCTAGCACCAAGGAACCCCTGAAGCCAAGTGAAATGTCTCCCAGCTTTAGCAAACCTGAAAACAAAGGTAGGAGTTTTCTGAAGTTGTGTTCGACTCCCATCATTTGCAGCCAATATAGACAATGGTCGGGGAATAATGGGAGTTGGAGCCCGCTACACCTGGGGGCACCTTGCTGGTTACTCCTGTACTGCAGGCTTAGTTACATTGCTGTTTGGATTGTTGTAGAGATTTGGGAAACACAACATGGCACGCAGCCCTCAAATATATCTTTGCACACAATGAAAAAGGAGTTCTGTAAACTAAGATCACTCCAGTTTCTCTGCTGCTCCAGCTGCTTGATTCCCACCCCACAACTTCCTGGGTTGTAACTGGATTGCAATTTCCGCGGAATTCTTTGGGGGCGTTTTCTTTTCTCCCCCCCCCCCCCCGAGCTGAGACAGCATTTCAGATTTGGGTCACTCTATTGGGACTTCCTTTAGATAGTTTCAATTGGCCCAAATATATGCTGGATCCATGTCATCCATGTTTATAACCCAGTAAAGTTATATACCTTGGTTTACAACCATAATCCATTCCAGAGGTCCGGTTGTAAACCAAAACAGGTTGTAACCCAGGGCGTGCTTTCGCCATTGGGGCCTCCCCCCCCCCCCCCCGCCCAAAAAGGGTTGTAATCCAAAAATTTTTTTTTAAAAAAATGGACCCGCACTTCTGGGTTTGACGTGGTTGTAATTGAAAACGGTTGTAATCCAAAACGGTTGCAAACCAAGGTACCACCGTATATGCGTATATTCTCTTAACAGGTGTGTCTCCAGCTGTCCTAGAACATAGAAAACAGATCGATGATTTAAAGAAGTTCAAGAATGATTTTAGGGTAAGTGCTTTTGCTATTAACGACAGCTGTCTGAATAGACAAGGCAGTACCAGATCAAACTACATGCAGGTAGGAATGGTGGCTTCAGGAATAAGCATGTATGCCCTCTGCCTGGTTCCCTGTAGCTTTGCTTTTCGCAGTGAGGGAACCACCAGAAGGCTCTCAGAGCTGGACCTCAGTGTCCAGGCAGAACGATGGGGGTGGAGACACTCCTTCAGGTATACTGGGCCGAGGCCATTTAGGGCTTTAAAGGTCAGCACCAACACTTTGAACTATGCTCAGAAACGTGCTCAGAAACGTATTTCAGGACTGGTGTTATATGGTCTTGGCGGCCACTCCCAGTCACCAGTCTAGCTGCCACATTCTGGATTAGTTGTAGTTTCCAGGTCACCTTCAAAGGTAGCCCCACGTAGAGCGCATTGCAGTAGTCCAAGCGGGAGATAACCAGAGCATGCACCACTCTGGTGAGACAGTCTGTGGGCAGGTAGGGTCTCAGCCTGCGTACCAAATCCTTGTCTATTCTTTCCCTCGACTAAAAGAACATTGCCTAGGGCAATGAAGGTCACTATAGAACATTCAAATGGCTGCAAATAAGACACTCCCTAGAGCAACCAGTACAATGTGCCTTGCCACCCCTTCATCCAGATACATACTCTTTTTGAAATGTTTTACAGGCGCCCTCTCTGGGAAGGGAGTTCCACAACTTAAGGGCTTACTTCTCCTGGGCTGCCACCTCCTGAGCTTCTCAGTACGGTGGAAGAAGCAAGAGGACTCCCTCTACTGATATTAGAACCCAATATATTCCTGGGTTTTCTGTACGTCAGTATGTAGGAAATGAAGCAATTTTTATTTCAAGCTGTAAGAAATAATGTGCAAAACTAGAATCAGTGTAGACTGTGCCTTCTCTCCAAATACCCTCGGTCAGGAAGTACTGCTAAAAGTATAATTTTTCTGTTTCCTCCCACCCCACCCCCCTGCACTCTCCAGTTACAACCCAGTTCCGCCCCAGAAACAGCGGAACAGCTGCTAACCAAAAACAGAGATGGTGAAAAATCCAGAGAGGTTCCTAAGGAGAAGGGTGACGCCAGCTGTAAGGACTCTGTAACTGAAACTGGCAGCAATGCCACCTCAACCAGTGGCAGTAGCAAATCGAACAGCCCCAGTATTTCACCACCTGGTGGCAGCCTGGAGCAAAAGCGAGGGCCCGAGGTGACCTCGCAAGGAGTGCAGACCTCTGGCCCCGGAGCGAAGCAGGAGAAAGAGGAGAAAGAAGACAAAAGGGACACCACCGAGTGAGTAATCCTGGCTGCAGCAGCTCCTGCACAGATTTGGCACTGCTTTTGTGGAGGGCCCAGTTGTTGAGATGACTCGACCATGCACAGCATTTTCTTCTCGGCTCCTTATTTAGATTTAACATATTTTGTACCTCCACTGCTGGAGGCAGTGCTTAGAATGCCAATTTCAGGGAATTACAGGGGGGCGGAGTGCTGTTGCCCCCCCCCCCCCGGTCTTGCTTGTGGGTTTCCCACAATAGGCATCTGGTTCACCACTGTGCAGACAAGATACTGGGCTAAATGGGCTTTTGGCCTGATCCTGCTGCAGGGCTCTTCTTCATGTTCTTGTGCTCTTCTATTCAGCTTCTGGTGTCAAATTGGAAAATACGCACAGGACTTTTAGGGGTTGTACTATCCAGCGGAAATACAGCACCTGGAGAAAAATGGGTGTTGTGCTTTTAAATGTGTTTGATCAGTGACTGGGGAGAGAATACTATTTTCTGCCCCTGCTCCCTTTCCAGTCTTTCTCCTCCTACTCTGTGAAATTCATCCAGAATTTCATGCTTTTGTTGGAAGGCTTGTGTTGCGTTTTGAAACAGAAACGAGGCATCAAGTGATGGGCAGTTTTCCTCCACTCCACCAACGGAGGCAGAATCTGTAGAGGCTTCACACTTCCACCAGGCGGGGCAGTTGCCATCTCAGTTTTCAGCCTACCTCCGCAGAGGGAGCATGGCTGACAGAATCTCTTACGGAGTTTAGAAGCTGTGAATTATTATTTTTTAAAAGATACCCTTTCCTCTTTTCCTTACTTGTTGTTGCTTCTTAATGTATTTACTAAATTTGCATATTGCCTTTCTGCTGATACGTTCAAGGTTTCTCCCAGTTTTAGACAGCAGCTAACTTAGGACTGTGCAGAGTTTGCTGGGCTCCCAGCCGGCATAGCTAATGGTCAGGGGTGATGGGAATTGTAGTAACAATATCCGGATAACCACAGGATAGCAACCTTTGATTTGCAGGCTATTTATTTCATTTATTAATCTTCTTTCATAAGAGTCATATACCACTTGATTGTAAAGAAATTTTAATCGACATGATCCAAAAGGGAACATGGAGAGTAGAGGAATATTAGCAAATTCAGGTCCCGCAAGAGGTGTGTTTGTGTGAAAGAGAGAAAGGGAGAGACTGACTTCTGGGATGGGAGGAGCCGGTTTCCCCCTGGGATATTATTTTTGACCGGGAGCCTCTTCATGCAGCAAGAGCTGCAGCCCGGGATCCAGGACTTGTCAGCAGAGCTCTCTGGGTGGCAGCTGGGCCTTCTCACACTCTGCAACAGGCTTCTGGGCCTTCTCAATGAGGGTAGGTGCATTTTTAAACTAGCAACAGCTGCTGCTGGCAGGAGGATGTCTTCACAACTGCTTATCTATGGCCTCTATTGCCACAAGCAGACCTTCCAGTTTTGATTGCTGCAAGGAGACCTTGTGCCTTCTCAGTGGTTCTGTTCTGTCTGCAATCTGTCTAGTAGCTAGTAGAAGACCTTGAGCCTGCAAGGAGCTGCAAGCAGCCCAGCCAAAACACTGACTGCTGATAAGCTTTGGTTGCAGGCCCCCTAGTATGTGTGGGGGAAGTCAAGGCATCATGCTAAGAGTTCTTACTACATTGTTGATCTGCAGCTGCCCCTCCCCCAGTGGTCTAGTTCAGGGATGGCTAACACATTGCCTTCCAGATGTTGTTGACTCCACCTCCCATCATCCCCAGCTAGCATGGACGATTGTTAGAGATGATGGGGGTTAATAGTCCAGTCTAGAGGGCCAAAGGTTAGCCTCCCCTGCTGCAGCCCTTCAGTCTCAGAAAAAAGAAACAGCCTAAGGTCAAGGAAATAGTGGTGTTGGAGTGTTTTCTAGTTAAAACCTTGCAATGAACATCTTTTTCCTGTCCTTACTTTCCTCTTTGGTGGCAGCTCTCCCTTCAATAGAACGTGTTACATTTTGATAGATTTTTAGTTGTGTTGTGCATCCTCAGCAATAGAACGTCCTACGCACAGAGGACAACTCCCTGCCATTCATGCCCAATGCACACAGCGCAGGTTTGAAGCCTCTACAAGTCTTCCTCCACTAGTAGATATCCATCCCTGGATATTCAGCTCTTATCTGAGAGAAATGAAGTATCATGGTGGGAAGTCCAATCTGACATGCATCTTTCTTGTGTTTCCCCCCACCTTTCCATAGACAAGTTAGAAAATCAACACTGAACCCTAACGCAAAGGAGTTCAACCCTCGATCATTTGCTCAGGTGAGTCTTAAGAGGCATCGCTGTCCTCATTCTCTGCTTATCCGAAGCTGCATTTCTTTATGTGCCACCCATTAGAAGCAGTCACTGCATAGTTTGTTTTCCTGCTTTAACCAGCCGTAACGAGAAAAAGTCCATGGGGCATGTTGATGCACGCTTGATCAAACTGTTCAGTGCCTACTTACAGCTCAGCTATTCCGTTTTTCCTTCATGTTTTTGGCAGCCCAAGCCTTCCACCACACCAACGTCACCCCGTCCGCAGGCCCAGCCCAGCCCTTCCATGGTGGGCCATCAGCAGCCCACTCCGGTGTACACCCAGTCTGTTTGTTTCGCACCAAATATGATGTACCCTGTTCCCGTGAGTCCAGGTGTTCAGGTAAAGCGGCAAAGGCTTTAATGTGACAAGCTTATACTTGCTGCATTGAGTGTGGATAACAACTTGTCACTGCTTTGGAGTGTGAAAGGCAGAACAGGGCATGAAGCATGTGAGAGTCCTTTGTGTTTACATATGGGAGATGGTGTGTGTGTGTGTGGATCGGTGAGTAAGGAAAAGATTAATAAGCCCCTCTCCCATACAAACGCCCCCCCCCCCCATTAATGTTACCTGCTCAAATTTGGACTTGGATACCTTTGTTTGCCAAAGTAATGTGCATTCCCACCTTCTGAAAAGAGGCTGGGCCACTTTGTTTTCAGCACTACACAGTACCCTTTCTTGGCACTTAAAAATATTGAGTACCGCTACTAGCTTGAAAAGGGATGCGGGTGGTGCTGTGGGTTAAACCACAGAGCCTAGGACTTGCTGATCAGAAGGTCGGCGGTTCAAATCCCTGCTACGGGGTAGCTCCCGTTGCTCAGTCCCTGCTCCTGGCAACCTAGCAGTTTGAAAGCATGTCAAAGTGCAAGTATATGTACCGCTCCGGTGGGAAGGTAAAAGGCGTTTCTGTGCGCTGCTCTGGTTCGCCAGAAGCGGCTTAGTCATGCTGGCCACATGACCCGGAAGCTGTATGCCAGCTCCTTCGGTCAATAAAGCGAGATGAGCGCTGCAACCCCAGAGTTGGTCATGACTGGACCTAATGGTCAGGGGTCCCTTTACCTTTACCTTTACTAGCTTGAAGGCTACCATGAAATGTATGCAGGGGCCTACTCATTGTCTTGAAAGAAGATCCCATCGGATCAGTAACTTTGTATTTGCAGAACTCATGTGACTGAGAGCCTTTATCCTTGTGTACTCTATTTGTGAAATGTATACTCTCCCAAGAGGAGATCCTTGTTGGAGGGACTGGCCAACTATTTAGTTAGCCAACTGTTCTTACCCTTCTGTACAACTGAGAGAAGAGTATTTGCTGTGGCCACAAGAAAATTATTACAACAAATGTCAGAAACGATGAGTGTATATGATAAGATGTGCATTTTAAGCATATTGATTCCCTGTACATACCTTGGTTTGTTTATTTATTTTTACTTTGGGTCCAGTTTTATCTGATACTTGATTTTGTCCATGACCTGCAATGATGATGAAATCTTCTAATAGCCTAATGGATTAAACAGTGTGTTTTTCACTTTACTAATAAGAGACCAGAGTTCAAAGAACTTTTAGTTCATCGCAGTAGAATGCATTGTGCTCTTTCTGGCTGCCACAAGCGTTCCAAAATTATCTCTAGTGGTGCCAATTTGTCTTCAGTGGTTGGTATATGGGGATCACTTTAAAGTAAGGCATTTATTTTTAGTCACGTTTCTGACAAGTATTTTGATCCCGTTCCCTCCCACCCAAGCTATTTTCACCTGCCTCTTGACTTCAACCAAGCTTATACATCGTGGCACTGTTAATGTTCTTTCAAGCCTGGTTCATACATAAAAGTAGCTGCCTAAAGAGAATAACCATGGTGCTGATGCTTTCCCTCCTCCTGTCTCTCTCTCACTGAAATGGAACAATTCAAGGTTTTGTTACACCATAGTTTCTGGTTAACACTGGAGCATGGAAATTGTAGATAAAACTCTTGACTACAAACCATCTAAATCAAGCCTGAGGGAAGCTATATTAGCATTCAAGGCAAATGTGATGTGCTCCTGTTCAAGATAAGTTCAATCCTCCCACTCAGGTGGTTCCCCCTCTTCCCCGCCCCCAACAGTTAACACCTCCACTTAGCTTTTTTGTGTGTGCAACTTTTGGGTTCCCCCAATACTTCCCTCTTATCTGCTGGTGGTGCTGTTTGGGCTACATAAGGAATGGTGACAGTCAAGAGGTGTTGATGCTGCTGCTGCAGATAGCCATGGTTGGTTCCTAAAACTAACCTTTGGAGAGTTCCACCCCAGGATCCTCTGAGCATTGCAAGGAATCCTTTGTGGGCACCTCTTGGGTTGGGTGGTGAGGTTCAACACAAGACAATAAGCAGACCGTAGCACCTATAATCAAACATTTGTTGGTAATAGTGTGAGGTGCATATCTGCTGGGAACCCAGTGGGGAGCAGGCCGCCACGCATGACTTGCACCCAGAGAGGAGAAATATATATATGATGTGTGGTGTGCGCGCGTGTCTTCCTCTAATTGTCAGCCATGTTATTTTTCAGCCTTTGTACCCCATTCCCATGACGCCTATGCCAGTCAACCAGGCCAAGACCTATAGAGCAGGTAAAGGTGAGAATAATACAGTATTGCATGCTCTTGTACGTAGCTTGCATGTAAAATAACTAACATGCCTTGCTCATTGTTCTGTTACATTTACTTTGCTTATGAATTAGCAACCCGCCTTTCTGTGCAACCCACTTGCCAAGCTGCCTCCACCTCCTCCTCCTCCTCTTCTTCTTCCTCCTCCTCCTCCTGCTCATGTGTCCTCTTGTTTCTTGGATTTTGCAGCACTGAGCAGGCAAAGTTTATAGCAGCATAGGGCCTGGTGCATGGGTAGGCAGACTAAGGCCCGGGGGGCCGGATCTGGCCCAGTCACCTTCTAAATCCGGCCCACGTACAGTCCGGAAATCAGCGTGTTTTTACATGAGTAGAATGTGTCCTTTTATTTAAAATGCATCTCTGGGTTATTTGTGGGACATAGGAATTCGTTCACCCCCCCCCAATATAGTCTGACCCCCCCAAAAGGTCTGAGGGACAGTGGACCGGCCCCCTGCTGAAAAAGTTTGCTGCCCCCCGGCCTAGTGTCTTGGCTCCAGTTCTTAATCCTTGAATGGATGCTTTTAAGCATATTTAAGGCTGAAAGATCCTATGCACACTTTCCTAGACGTACACACCTACTGAACACATTGCACAACTTACCCCTCAGTAACATGCATACGAAGGTACTGAAAGAGTGTTTGATTAGCTCCTGTACCTAATAATGAGCAGAAGCAACATATTGACTTGCCATGCCAGAGGCTTGTTTCTTCTGTTCGGCTTTTACCTAAAGGAAGCTTTTATGCATACAGTTGGGCACAAAGCTACTGATTCTGAAAGCTCCTCCCTGACATCAGAGTGCTGTGTTTTAACAGGATTTGACTGTTGTTATGGGCTCTGTTGGTCTTAGGGAGAAAAAATGTAATCGTAGAAAAAAAAAATTATGCCATTCTTCTGTATGGGAGGAATGTGAATCTTGTATGGGTTGTCTCTGCCCATCTCTCCACAGGCAGGAAGTTAAACATTTTAAAAGTAAAACATTTTTGTTGCACCAGAGCGGTGTTCCAGTATATATCGGCTAATGCTTGGATAGTCTTTCTGTGATGCCTTCTTTCTGCCTGAATGATAGCCCAGCCTACTCTGAGCTGACCTCTCTCTCCTGTCGCCTTAAAGCCTGCTCACAGGGTGAGATTCTTGAACCCTACTAGCAGCTGATTCCTCATCTTCATTTGGCTTCCTTGTGGTTGCCATTGTACCTAGCTGTACGTAGAAATGTTGGCATAGGTTTATTTTAGGGGGAGGTGCTTTCGTAATGTGCCCTTTCCCCCTTCTTCTGCAGTATCAAATATGCCCCAGCAGCGGCAAGACCAGCACCATCAAAACACCATGATGCACCCTGCCTCTGCTGCCGGGGCTCCTATTGTTGCTACGCCACCGGCTTATTCAACGCAGTACGTCGCCTACAGCCCCCAGCAGTTCTCCAACCAACCTCTCGTTCAACATGTGCCGCATTACCAGTCTCAGGTATGCCTTCAGCTGAGCTCTTTGCAGCTTGAATGGTGGGATTAGAATGTGTATTTTGCCGCGCTGCATAAGTGGTGATGCAGTGCTTGCGTAGCACTTCAAAAAGAGCTACGTACTGCCTATGGTGATACATCCAGGGCCATTGTCACATGATGCCCTGTGTGCATGTTTGAGGGGTGGGTGTGTGCAAGCCACCTTCCATGCAGACAGGATTGACAGCTGAGTGATGGAACAGACTCAGAGACCTGGATGTTTACTGCAGTCTTACCTAGATCTATTGGCACGTGAAAGCTTTAGGTTATCTAATGGCATAATTTCACCTTAGTGCTGTAATGTTAAGACGCCTGTGTGCCATAATAGGAGGGGTTGGGAAAACTGCCGCAGAGGAGAACGATGGTGGATCCTGAGTCTTCCTCTAAATCCAGCCAAGTCTGCTAGTATAACTGGGCATCTCTGACTAACTTGAAGAAAGGCATTTTGTACCTGTGAAAGTACCTGCAGGGACTTACTTGTTCTCTTTCTCATGCTTAATGCAGCACCCCCACGTCTATAGCCCTGTAATACAGGGCAATGCCCGGATGATGGCACCACCGGCACACCCGCAGCCCGGCTTAGTTTCTTCCACCGCTACGCAGTACGGTGCGCACGAGCAGACCCACACGATGTATGGTAGGACACTTTTCAATGAGCTCTTTTGAAACTTTGAAGGATCTCGTTTTTAGTGGCTTGCCGAGAGAACTGGAACGCTCTGTGTTTTGAAATTCACTGAAACCCGTTTGGATACCGGTATAGTAAAGAGAGATTGGGAGAATGAAATGCAATTGTAAAGCATGAACAGCTGACTTTTCTGTCCCAGATACCTCTTATAAAACAGCATATCACAATTTCTCCATATGCTGCCACCAGCAGCCTTTTAAAGGGCTCTTATTTATCACTGGGGACCAATTAACTTGTGTATGTGTCCACTTGCATGTGTGACTGAGCTAGTGTGCATCATTAAGTCCCGCAGAGCAAATATTTGTAGTGCTGCTGTGTCCATTCAAATGTACTACTATTCCGCAGACATGAACCATTTTGTATTGGTAGGGGATTCTTAGCACCTAGCTCTACTCTCAGTTGGCACTCAGAATTTGTGCCAAGGATTTGAGGCATGGCCTCCATTCACACAGGCACTGTTTTGGGCGCAGATTTCCTGTTCTGGGGCAGTGTTTGGGTTATGTGCCTGCAGTGCTCAGTTGATTCCTCGACATGAATTGAGATGTGTCTGTCTTTTGCCTCCCCGATACGAGGCCCCTTCTGGCTTGGGGGTATCACCAAGTGTGGGTTTTGCACACTGATGGCTTCCTGTAAACCAAGGATGACTTCCTTGTGGGCTGATGGCATTAAGTGATGCTGTTTAGAATGCCCCTGTTGAAATGTGGGATTGTGCCCATTTTCAGAGATTATGCTAATATTCTTTGGGGCAGCCACTAAAGGGCTATGTTGTTATGCTGGACCACACCTCCTGTGTACTCGCAGGTAAAATAAGCTTAATTCTTCTGCCCTGTTTTGTCTGGAGTGGAAAAGGCAAAAGTTGAGGAGAAACCTCCACTGCTGTGTTTAGTCAGCCAGGTCACTCAACTAGTCATAGGAACACCAAGGTTGTCCTTGCTTTGCAGTGAATTTACAGGTTCTCCTTTTCGAGCAAAGGACTGTGGTTTGGTGGCCAAGCACCTGCCTTGTACGTGGAAGGTTCCATTCCTGGTATCTGCAGGCAGAGCAGAGGAGGGAAAACCCTCAGACCATCAAGATCTACCAGTCTCTGTAGACAATAGTAAGCTGGATAAACAGACTCTAAATGTTAATAAAAGTGGGAAGGCCTCTGTAGAACTCTCCAGGCAGCCACTTAAATCTCCAGTAGGGGTTCTCCCGTTCTTCCCCTTCATATGTGAGGCAAGTCTTGAGATATGTCACCCAAGAGTAACTTGGGGGTTTCAGCTGGCTGCTTTGAGGTGCCATGTTATCAATTCTAACACAGAGACGCCCCTGCTGACCACTGGATGCTGTGAGTGAGCTTTCCCAGGCCCAGCTGACCGGCCTTGCCCTCTAACCTGTTTGCTGCAGCTGACCTGGAAGCAGACTGACCCGTTTGGGCCTTTTGCCTTCATGGACGTATGAGCCCATTGGCCAAGAGATGAATGAGCCCAGGCACACAGCCACTCAGTTTCTCCTTTTTGCATGAGCAAACATACCAAGAAGTCTTCTGCTAAATGTAGTTTCCTATTTCATCCAAACTAGGAAACTCATTTATTTATTTGTCAAGCTTTCTATACTGCTTACTTGACAGAAGATCTCTCCGTGCTTTACATTATACTCAGCTTTGGGATGAAGCCAGCTTCAAATGATGGGGGTTGGAGGCAGAAGGCTCATTCACATCTTGGCTTATTAAACCGAGATACAATCGTCTGAACACGACCACTGTTTCCAGTTTGTCACCTTGCGGCCACATTTTTTACTAGGATGAATCCAAATACTTAGTGCTCAGTGGTTTTTGTTAAGAAATTTCCTGATAGTTTTCTTTTAGTATAAGGTGGAGATCCTCGGAAGCTTAAATCATCAGAAGTGTTAGTGACTGGTTGGATTTTCTTGTCTGGCTTGCACCAACTTAGCTACCTGTAGCAAAGAAAGGAAGTTATTGTAAACCGCTCTATGATCCTCAGATGAAAGGCAGTATAAATATTTAATAAACCATCATCATCAAAAGTCCTTGGTTCAAACCTTAGCACAAATGTATTGGTGTTCACTTTTCAATCTCAACGTCCCTCTCCGTCTGATTCAGAGGTATGACAATACTCTCTTGTCTCACAGGTTTGTTGTAGAGATTACTGAGAGAATGTGTGTGAAATACTGAATAAATGTTAAGTGGAGGTATACTGTTCCCTTTGGCCAGTTCTCTAAAGACATAGCAAAACTGTAATCGGAACGCTGCATTGATTTGTAGCACCTCTAGTGCTCTATGAAACTACATCTAGCAAAGAGAATGAATAGGAATTCATTCTGTTAACCTTTGTATAAACGTGTGTATATGTCAGCAGTTGCTAATTGCTGAACTTCTGTTAAGATGGAAAGGCTTGTTTCAAAAGTCTGGTAAACCAAGATAATGTTTATTCACCAGCTTGATCCTGATTTTGCTTTGTATTTTATCCAGTATTTTTCTGTGTCTTATTCTCTCTCTAAGCTCTCTAGTTTCCTGTCTCTGCTAAAAAATAAATAAACAAATTAGTATGCTGAACTAAGCAATAATTGGGGAACTGGGGCTCTGCATCTTGGGGAAATCCAGTTTTCTGGGATTGTAACTGGTGTTTTTCTCTTCATTGAAAATCAGTCAAAGCACTTTTAATCCTTATTCTTCATGCTGTGGTTAGTTAACGGAATGTAAAATACTTTAAAATAGTGGACACTTTAAAATTGATGAACACCAGCTGAAGATTGTATGTGTGATTGAATATCTCTTTAACTTTTTTTTTTTTAATTGCAAATTGGTTTGTGCATGAAAACAATGATTGACTTAACCTTTCCAGAAGACTGGAAGTGGTGCTCTCATCTTGTGGCACACGGCTAATTTCCCTTTCTATTTCCCAAATTCAGCATGTCCCAAAATACCCTACAGCAAGGAGACAGGTCCTTCTTTCTACTTTGCCAGTGAGTTGGGGTTTTTGTACTAACTTTGATTTGTACAGTAAACAACTTTGAAAGAATCTGTTGGAGAATAGGCTTGTTGAACAGATGTCTTTGCACCAAACCTACTCAGAATTAGGAAAAGCTTTTCTGTCATTGAGAAACCAATAGACTCATGGGACATGTAAAGGATGAAACTGTCTGAGGAAGATTATCATAACGGAGAAGGTAAGATGACAGCCAGCACAAGGTGAAAAGAGTAAAAATAAGTCCAGTTATGTAGAGACTCGGTTGACATGTTTACTTCCTCCTTACATTTCCTTGAAACCAACATGGTCTACTGCCCTGTGAAGAAAGGGTTGTCTACTTTGCAGTGGTCCACAATAAAGGGTACAGAATTGGTTGGTCAGAGATTTGGGAAAGGAAGAATTAGACTTTTAGGGGGTGGGAGAAGAAATCTGAAAGGGCAAGATTGGAATTTACAGGGCGAGACATTCCCCAAAGAGTTGGAATTGTGACTCCTGGAAGGCCTAACCCATCTATGAACCCTTGCAGACAGAATGCTGAAAGTTTGCTTTAACCACAAGAGCTAGAAAACTTCGAAAAAGCCTGAGGTTGAGCTGAATGAAGTTCAGTGTTGGATTTTGCAAGACAGTTGTGGTCACAAAGGCCCCTGGATCTTTTAATCGAAAGCGCTGATTCCCTTTTATGTATTTGAGTGAACGCAAAGATCCATGTGACAGAATGACCTACACAGCCAGAGCTGTCAGCTGGAGAAGGAGGGTGCCCTCTTTATTGCACAGCAGAAATCAGGAGCTCTGTGTCTTTTGGGTATGGAGTTGTCCCAGGAATCTGCTGCTAACCTGTTCCATTTGGTCGGAGGGCTGTAATGCAACCACATTGGTTTGGTGCACTGAAACTCTTTCAACAAGTCAATTTCCTTTAATAGATCTTCCTTTGCAAAATGGAGCCCGCTGTCTGTCTGTAACATCCGTTTACATTTGCTTCCTCTAATTCAAATGAAGGTCTCTTTTGCCGTCTAATTGTGGTTATGTTTACCTCCAGGCAAGTTTTCACACTTAAAGCACTGACTCTTCCCAACATCATCTAAGTGGATGTTTGATTTGGTTGGCGTTTCCCTCCCCTCCCTGTCTTTCTTCATTTCCTACTGCCTTGACTATCCACCACCCCTCTCCCTTTTAGGATTACAGTTGCAACTTGCAACTTCTACACATTATCCTTCCCTTATCCCAAAGCATTTGCTCTTGTTTCTGTTTCCTCCTTCCTCTTGCTGACATATTGCAGTTTGCAAAGAACTAAGCACCATCTTACCCTGCTGTTCCCATTTATGGCAGGGGGCAAGGGAACTAATTATGTAGCTTATCTATCCTGTGAAAGGCAGGTGGTGTTCACACTGGATGTATCTTCCTTTTGCATCTGCTATGGGAGCTGTAAAGGCAGATTTTAAAACTTGGGTGCAGGTTCTGGGTCCCCATCTTGTCTACAGTAAACTTTGGACATGCTTCTCTGATCTCTGAATGTGACTGCCCTGAGCTAGTTCCTCCAGTTCCTGCCAGCAAGATAATCTATTTTGGGCTGAAAAAAGATCACCAGCAAGTCCCATTTCTTCTCTGTGGGTTTGAAGAGGAAATGAAGAGTTTTAAGGCAAGGATGGGGAACCTGTGGCCGTCCAGATGTTGCTGGCTACTAGCCATGCTGGCTGGGCCTGATGGGAGTTGAGTCCTGCAACATCTGGAGGGCCCCACAGGTTTCCCCTTCCTGGTCCATGGCCAGACTTGTATGCTAGGGAACCCAAAGGCTTGCATGCAGTATGAAACACAGTTCTGTGATTGGAGCCAGGAGTGTGTGTGTGTGTGTGTGTGTGTGTGTGTGTGTGTGCGCGCGTGCGCTTTCCCACCCTGACCCAAATAAATTTGACTTTTGTGGCAAGAGCTTAAGGTTAGAGGAAGCCTGGAGCCAAATGGCCATTTTCAGCAGGAGAGAATTGAAAAGCCTCTCAACTCTCACTGAGCCTGGCATTTCACTTCTACACAGTCCTCACGCACCCTCAAACATTCCCTTGCAACCATGTAGGTTTTAAAAAATGTGCTCTGCAGGCTGCAAAAGTGATGTTGAGTCGAGGGCAAGTCCCAGGTGGCTGGCATTTGTATTGTTTCTAAATGAAGGAAAGAAAAGCAGCTATTTAAAAGGGAGACACCCAGAGTTGGGGGAGTCCTATGTGCTGACTCAGCTTGGCATCCGTTCTCAATTTCCTTTCCCCTCTTTTCTTCCTAGTTTCCACTGGTTCCCTTGCTCAGCAGTATGCCCATCCCAGCGCCACCCTGCATCCGCACCCGCCACACCCACAGCCTTCTGCCACGCCCACAGGGCAGCAGCAGAGTCAACATGGGGGAAACCACCCGGCTCCCAGCCCAGTGCAGGTAAGCGCTACGACTGGCCATCTGTGTGGCAACAGGTTCCTGCTATGCTGTTGTTTGGGTCAGTTGCCTTTGAGACCCTGCATTCATTGCCTGGAGTCTGTGCAACCAGAGCTGACTGCTCTGGCCAGCATTCTGTCATGGTAGGAACCATATCACTAGTTCATTGCACACTGGAGGCTACTATTTTCCACTGGAAAAGAAGCTAGCAACTGGGATTAGCCATCCTGATGGATGCAAGCTTAACGCAAGTCAGAAAGTTTAGGCAGATAGTTACACTTCTTAAACAGCTATTTCTTAAAAGGTCCCATGGCACTTGTATTTATGAGTAAAATACAAATGTTCTTTCTTTATCCAAGAGTATTTGTACCCTGCTCTTCATTAAAAAGGGCCCTTGGCACAGCTTGCATACAGTCTGTTAAAGGAAAAGTTCTCGCTCACAGGCTTGCAGTCTAAAACACACAACACAAAAGCAAAAAGCGACAGGGAGGGAAGAGGGCGAAAGCACACTTGGGCCCCAGTGTGATCTGCAGGAGTGGAAACTGTTCAGCAGCAGGAAGCACAAGATGGAGCTGGCCTTTCACTAGAGCTACTGAAACGAGCTCTGCCTCCAATCTCACCCCCTGAGGCAGCCTGATGGAATAGCTGCCATCAGGTTGACGAAGTCTGACGGAGCTGGCCTTTCAGTGGAATTGAGAGAATAAACCATTGTTTATAAATTTATGAATTTATGAATGGGCTTCTTGGCTACTGAAAAATACCCATTACAGCATAAAAATGATGATCTGCTTTTAGTTTATTTAACACAAAATGAAGTAGAAGCTCGGAACATCGAGAACAGAATAGTGATAATGTTTAGCAGGCTTCAGTCAGGATGTTCTTCCATAACTTTAACAGCACCAAAGAGAGCCCAACCTCTGGATCTTTCCTTCCTCTGAGTGTGGCTTGAATCTGTAGCAGAACCTCTGAGCTGCCCTGGTGGATTGTAAAGGGTGAGGCATACAGCTGAGGTTCCTCAACCCACAATGTGGAATGTGAACATGGATGTCAAGCATGTTGAATTATTTTTGCTGCTGGGGAATTTGCCTCTTCCCAGCCAGGTTTCCTTGCTGTTGCCAGCTTGCCATGAGGTGGACGGAACCCTGGCAAAGCACTGTATTTTGCATTCCCAGCATAGCCTGGGAGCAGAACAAGCGTTTTTGAGGGCAATGCTTTTTTTCAGCCGGAACTCACCGGAGCTCAGTTCCGGCACTTCTCAGGTGGGCGCCATTGCCATTATAAGAGAACAAGGGAGGCGTTCATGGTGAGTTCCGGCACCTCTTTTTCTAGAAAAATAGCACTGTTTGAGTGTAAATATTGCCAAGCCATTGCTATGCTTATGATTTCTTCAGCACCATCAGCACCAAGCCGCCCAGGCTCTCCACTTGACAAACGCCCAGCAGCAGTCAGCCATCTACCACACTGGTCTTGCGCCAACTCCTCCTTCCATGACCCCAGGCTCAAGCACACAGTCTCCTCAGAGCAGCTTCCCTGCAGCTCAACAGACGGTCTTTGCCATTCATCCTTCCCATGTCCAGCCCGCCTACACCAACCAACCGCACATGGCCCATGTCCCCCAGGTAAGAAAGACTCTTGATGTAGGCTGAGGTTCAAAGAGTGCTCTCTGTTCCAGGGAGGAGAAGACTGGGGGCGGGGAGCCATTTCTCATTAACATGGGCTTATAATTCAGGCTGCTTTGATCCGGGGAAGGCCATGGGTGTGTGTCACACCCTTGTGCACCAAAGAGCTGTTCAGAATGCCTGATGAGTATTTATCCACACGGAGTAATCTCTGTCCAGCAGGAGGTGCTAGTGAGCGCTATGGGATCCCTGGACTATGGGTTTCTCAGGGTTGCCCACTGTAGAAATGGTCACCTGAGTACTTCTCTCTGGAAGGCAGGCAGAACAGGGTAGACAGTGGCGCTGCTGCTGCTGCAGTTGCTTGGCTAAAGCTGAAAAGGTTGGGCATGGTGGTTGAAGGGTGGTGTGGGTCCTTGGCCCCCTGTTATGGAAGCAGGCTCTGAGTGCCACAGAGGGTGGTGTCCTTCCTGAGGAAGTTAGGCGTGAGAGAGATCCTTCTTATGGAATTGGTGGTAAGTCAGCGAGCTTTTGGGTCTGAGGCCTGAACACTGAAAAAGGTCCTTTGCAGGGAAGCCTGAAGCCTCCCTCAACGGTACACTTAAGATTTTGTGCTCTGCCCCCAAATGTGTCCCCCCCCCAGCTGTGAATGGCAAGCCAAGTGCTGCCTCCCTCCCTCCAACTGGCTACTTAACAACATATTTTGTGCTGTTTCTAGCGGTAAGGCTGTCGTACTCCTCTGAGAGGGGAGCCTAATAATAATAGTAATAATAATAATAATAATAATAATAATAATAAATAATGATTCATTATTATTTATACTCCACCCATCTGGCTGGGTTTCCCCAGCCACTCTGGGCGGCTTGCAACAGAACACTTAAAATACAATAACCTATTAAACATTAAAAGCTTCTCTAAACAGGGCTGCCTTCAGATGTCTTCTAAAAGTTTGGTAGTTATTTTTCTCTTTGACATCTGGTGGGAGGGCGTTCCACAGGGCGGGTGCCACTACCGAGAAGGTCCTCGGCCTGGTTCCCTGTAACTTGGCTTCTCGCAGCGAGGGAACCGCCAGAAGGCCCTCAGAGCTGGACCTCACCCTTGCAACTATAGCCTGAGTTCGGTGGGGTCCCGGCCTCCCCCCTCTCCTGCTGAAACAAACCCACTTTTAGTGCCATCTCTGGGATTCCTGTGGTGCTGGCTATGGGCGCCCCTCCCCTTTGTAGCCTTGCTACTAAAGAGCTGGTTTGACATCAACTGATAGAAAGTGCCTACAGAGGGTGGTGAATACAGCACAAGATATTATGGGCTGTCCCATGAATCCGCTGGATGGCATTGCGGAAGAACGTTGCCTCAGGAGAGTGAGGAAAATTATCAGGCATGATTCACACCCTGGCCGGCACTTTCTTGATCTCCTTTCTTGAGCCAGTGTGGTGTAGTGGTTAAGAGCGGCAGTCTCCTAATCTGGGGAAGCGGGTTCGCGTCTCCACTCCTTCACATGCAGCTGCTGGGTGACCTTGGGCCAGTCACACTTCTTTGAAGTCTCTCAGCCCCACTCACCTCACAGAGTGTTTGTTGTGGGGGAGGAAGGGAAAGGAGAATGTTAGCCGCTTTGAGACTCCTGAAGGGGAGTGAAAGGCGGGATATCAAATCCAAACTCTTCTTCTTCTTCTTCTTCCTGCCCTCGGGCAGAAGATATAGAAGCATGATTAGTCGCACCAACAGGGTAAAGAACAGCTTCTATCCGTGGGCTGTTAGGCTGCTGAATGAGAAGATAACAACAGGGCAACTGACTTTCGGGTTTGGTGGGTGTGCGTCAGTAAACGAGGGGAATTAAGACTAAGAGAGCTGAGTGGGGGGTGCTCGTGTAATCTCACTGTCTACAAGTTGTACAAGTGACAATAAAGTATTTCAATTTCAATTTGTTTCAGGCCCATGTGCAGTCGGGGATGGCTCCTTCTCACCCAACTGCCCATGCTCCAATGATGCTCATGACAACCCAGCCACCACCCGGCGGGGCCCAAGCCGCCATTGCGCAAAGTGCACTACAGCACATTCCAGTTTCAACAGCGACACACTTCCCCTACATGACGCACCCTTCAGGTGAGCGGAGTGTGTGCTTGGGAGCCGCCGCAGGTCCCAGGAGGGGGGATAAGGGAGAGAAGATGAAGGTTGTGTGATGTTGAGCGCAGAAAGCTTGGGAGCGCAGAGAGGGGGAGCACAGAACAGGCACAACAAATGCTCTTAAAATGCCCTCTCCCCCCCACAACTGAATCGTGTACTCCCTTCAGGAGCAGTCTTTATTTCCAATCATCATCATCAATCTTTATTACGGTCCAGAGACCCAACAAATCGTTACAAAGCAATACACAATTCATACAGCCTATCTCCAGGTTAAACAAGGATTTTGCTCAGAATATAGGGATCATTGGTTCTTGCAACCACCGATAAAAACTTTGCCACTGGTAATGTTCTAGCATTTGTCCGGTCTTCCAATAGGAACCTGACATAGTGAGCCTCTGATTTTCCTGGGAAAGGTACCAGCAAGGGTAATATCAGTTCAGCCCTGGCTTGCTCATATTTTGCACAGTGCAACAAAATATGTTTTATGGAATCGATGTCTTGAGCACATGAGCAAAGTCTGTCCTGGTAGGGAACTCCTCTCAACCTGCCATCCAACACTGCAGAAGGAAAGACGTTTAGTCTGGCTTTGGTGAAAAGCCTTCGATAGTTTTATTTCAGAGTGAGGATCCTGTGACCTCCATATGTCATTGGACTCCATCAGCCCCAGCCAGGGTAGCCAGGAATGAGGGGCCAGGGGACTTGTAGTTCAAGGGGCCTCTGGAGAACCACAGGTTCCCTACCCCGGCTTCATGGGTACACCCAGCTGTGTTGTGAGTCCTCCCACCTCCTGGCCTTTCCTCTCCCAGCACCTTAATTGGCAGCCTTGGTGTTGCTGCCTACACTTGGCCCTTGGCAGACTAGCCGTCATGCTCCAAAACCCATTCATGCTCATGCTTATTAAGAAAGCCTTCACTGTGCTCACGCCACGTTTTTTAAAAGCACCCGCCACCAGGTTTTCCACGTGTCGTGTTTTCCGTTCCTCTTCCCCACTCCTGCCACCCTGGCCCATGAGCAAGAATATGTGTTGCAGGTGGATAAAGGGCACGGAAGTGTTTTATCTGAGAGAGACATCTCTTGTAGTAGCTGACCTGCTTTTTAAAATGCCCTTGGTAGGATTTGGGGTCTTTATCTCATGTCTCAACTCATTCTTCTCTCTCTCTCTCTCTCTCTCTCTCTCTCTCTCTTTTCCAGTACAAACCCACCATCAACAGCAGTTGTAAAGCTGACCTGGAGTAACTGTGAGGCTGGATCCCTCTTCGTTTCTTTCTTTTGTTTTTTTTTTAGGCCAAATACCTTCCTTCTCCTGCTTCTACCAACTTGGAAGCACAGAAACAAAAACAGAAATCAAAACAAAATCTAGTATTTCACTTTATTTTTGTTTCTAAGAGGAAAAAAAACAACCTTGTAACATCCAATAGGAATGCTAACAGTTCACTTTGCAGTGGGAGAAATTCGGACTGAAACAAAAGGCATGTAGAGCCCTTGTGGGACGATTCCATAATTCCATGTGTTGTGTCAAAAAAGGAAAACAAAAAAAAAGCCCTGCCCCATTTCCGCTTGCAGATAAAACTGGAAAAAAACTATTTATTTTTTAAAGCAACCCTTCAAAGTCACAAATTCATCAGCTAGAGAAAGACGTAACGAGAGTGATTCTTGCTGCTATTCTCACTAAAAAAAAAAAGAAATTAAATGAACATAAAAAGAAAATCAATACCTTTTACTTCTAACTAAACTTGAAAGAGGTTTGAAAAAAAGCAAGTTCTAATCGTCAAGCAGATATGGATTTATTATTTATAAAATCATGTTTGATGATGGGGGAAAGCCGCCGTCGCAAGGCAGCGGTGTAACTTTTAAGTTAAGAGGAAACTTTTACTTTGTAGATAATATAAAATAAAAACTTTAAAAAAAATTAAAAATAAAAAAAGTTTTAAAAACTGACCTTTTTCTTCTGGAATCTGTATGCTTCACCTTGTTTCCTTTACCTATTTTCTGGTTTAGCAGTTCACTGGTGCATAAGATAGGCAGAGAGGCCTTTGGACAGGGGACCAAAAGAGGAAAAACTGAAAAACGTCTGTCTTAAAGGGTGGCTTCTGTATAAATGTGTGACTTGGGCCAACAAATGTGTTCTGGCAGATGAAGGGATGGCGGTGCTTCAGGCCATTAAAGTATTAAGCCTTCTCCAACCTAGTGTCCTCTGAGTGTTTTGGACTCATTCCCTAGCCAGCATGGTTAGAGACGAATGGGAATTGTGTTCCCAACAACATCTGGAGGGCACCTGGTTGGGGAAGGCTGCATTGGAAGCAGTTGAGCCAATGCCGATTTTCACAATCTTAACCAGAAACAGGGAAGCTTAGGCATGGTGGCCAAATGTGGCCCCCCAGATTGGGTCCTTGGGACTCTCCACAGGCCCCCCCTCCTCACTGGCCCTGCTTCACCCCCCATGTGTTTTGGACTGCCTGGAATGTACCCTTGAACTCTGATGACGCCTCTTGCTTGTTTGGAAGAAGGATATTGAGGCGCGTGTATGGAAAGGAGCATAGTCTGCAAATGGGGAAATTTGCCTGCTTTGCTTCACCCACCCATGTGGACCTGGGAAGGTTGCCCAGAATGGAATGCAGCCCCGATATAAACTTACTTTCACTTAGGAGTTGGTACTGCTGGATTAGCCTGAAGACCTAACTCTTTACCATACTCTATCCAGCAGTAACCAGGAGCTGAATGCAACAGTCCTCCACACCCTAAGTTGTTTATTCCTCTATGTATCAGAGGGAGATGCCTCTGGCATGGAAGCTTCACGGCTGCTTGGGCTCATAGCTTAAGAAAAGCTCACGCTGCACTCTTCTACCAACGGCTTCCTGAGCTAGTGACTCATCATCACAACGTAATTTGGGCTCAGGAATGCCTGAAGTGGGAGGTGTGTGTGATTAATGGAAACTCTTCCTTATGTTCTGTGCTCACAGGATCTAAGACTTGCGTCCTCCAGGCAGTTCTTCCCCGTTCCAAGAAGTGTGACTGATTTCAGCTTGAAAGCCAGAGAAACCAAGGTGGTACCCTTCAAAAGTTGATGGGCTCCCAATTCACAGCAACCCACACGGTTGATCCTGTTATCTGGAGGGCACCACACTGGTTATTCCCATTTTCAAGTCTCTTATCAGGTGATTTAAAAAGAAGATTCTGTAAGGATGGCTGCATAGAGAGAGGGGGGTGGAAGGAAAAAGAAATGACCACGGAACCAACCACTGAAAATTTCTAAAAACAGTTTTATTTTACTGCAGGGGCAGATCTGTATGTATTTTTTAGCTGTATTAAAGAATAAGTTACATGTACAGTACATACAGAAACAATATATAGAAAAATTATACTATACAAGAGTAGAAAGGTGGAGAACAAGAACACTCAGTTTTTTTCTTTAAATGCCTATTTGGTTTTTTTTAAAAAAAATAAATAGCAAGCTGTGGAGCTCATTCATTTGCTGCTGTTGATAGAGACTAATCTGTTAAGATTTTAAAATTTGGAAACCACAGTGCGGGAAGCTTATACCTACAGCTCACAGAGATGACGTCAAGTAAACTGTTCATGGCCGGGTGGTATTCAGCATTGGGGCTTTGCCATCCTGCTGTCCACCTCCATCTTGAAGGACGACTGGCACAAATGTGAGGATGCAACTGGACCCAGGTAAACTAATTTTACACTGCATGTTGAGCCCCTTTGGAGGATGCCACCTGCAGGGCAATTCTGAGCCTGAATGCAGGTTTGCCCCCAGCCTCTGAAAACCCTGCCCTCAATGAACACCTGCACTTGTATCAGAAATTGTAACGTCCCAGAAGGCTTTGAGCCCTGATTGATGTTCTGAGCAAACAAGCAGGATCTCTGATGGTGATGGTCAGGGGATGGAGAAAGAAATTTATTTGCATGAGCCGCCAAGCACTGCTGGTGATAGGAAAAAGGCACTTAATATCTAGGCAGGGACCTCGCTACTGCTCTACTACCGGTTATGTGGTTTGGAGCATTTAGGTTTACTAGGTAAGAAAGATCAGAGCAAGTTCCTTAGGAGAACTCAAAAACGGGCTGAAACCGGGGCGAGGGGGGAGCAACCTGTGGTCCTTCAGATGTTTTTGGACTCCTGCTTTGAACAAACTTTCAGCAAAGGTCATTCCAGCACAAGGCATTAGTGTGATGAAATGCTAGCTAATCATAGGCCCTTTTACCGTCCAGCGGGCACATGGGTCCCATGCTTAAATCTGTATGAGGTTAGCTTGTGTGGGCAACAGCTCAAAGAGGGAAAAGCATTTTTAAAAACCAACAACAAACCTCTAGTATCTTTGGATACACAGCCATCATTTTGAATAACAATTTGCTAGACTGTGGACAATGATGTTAACTTGACTATACTGTATTTGCTTTGCCATTACCCATGTTTGTTTTCTGATACATGCTGCCATCCCTATGCCCCCCAAAATCAGAACACCACCTCGGCCAAAGAGAATAATTGTTAGATTTTGCACACACAGCAGGGGAAAGATGGTAACGGCCTCTCCCATATATATTTTGTAAAAAATTTCCTTCTCTCTGCTGGTTTGGGATACATTTTTAAAGCTATTTCCATTCTATATCAAGAGCAGATACCCTTGGTGCTAATATGCTGTTAGACCAGGCTTTCTGCTTTTTGGAGAGGTTCCCCCCAACTCTGGCGTTTGTGGCTTTGAGGATGCTGGAAAAGAGCAAATTCAGCGCTGTGTCGTTTTCATTGTGCTCCTAAAGTTAATGCATGATAAATGTGTGTCTTAACCTCACTGAGGTTCTTAGACTTCCTCTAAGAATTATGCTGTTAAAATTACTCTCAAAAGCATTTTAAGCATTTTTGAAACTGCTTAAAGGCAGCTGCTGTGGATTTTTTTTTAGAGGAAAAGAAAAATCCCTGTAACCCTCGCAAGGTTGGTGTGGCGTTCGCAAAGAAGTCAGATTTGGAAATGGATCAGAAGCTATTGGTTGCTTTGAGTAATTCTGTGCTGCACGGTTGGGCTTGAACTAGGGATGCTAAGCAACTACCGGTAGTTTTAAGGCCAGAGTAGCCCTATGGGGCAAGTCAGAGATGCAAAATGACCCCTTTTCCCACTGGAATGGTTGGTTGGAAGGAAGCAGCTATTTGAGGCTAGGTCATCTTAACCTCAAAACGTATAATTTCATAGCTCAGTGATGGAATGTCCCATGTCGTAACAGGGAAAACCTCTCTGTGTGAGTCTTTGGAAGAGCTGGTCCAATGAGATAATACCTAACCAAGCAGACCAGTCGAGCTGACCAGCTGCTTCCTAGTAGGTTCAGTTCCTTTTGACTTGCTCATGAGCATCCAATCCATTAATTGTAGGCTATTCCCTGACCCTTCCCTTGCTCTGTCTCTAGCTGATGTTGAAAGGAGATCTGTGTTGCCAGGAATGATGGCGCTTCTCGTTTAAGGAGGAGGCATAGCCCAGTTGTAGCATGCATGCGGGAGTCCTAAGGCTCAATCTCTGCCATTAGCCAGTTAAAGGACCACAGGTATGGGTGAGGCTCTCAAGAGGCTATGCCAATCTGGAGTACACAATGTTAGGCTAGATGAGGGACAGTGATGGGATTGTTAAAAGGAACTTTCATCCACTCCACAAGTGTGATCTTCCTCTGCCTACTCAAGACAGGAACACCTTCTGCTCCTTGCTGGGAAGCCACAAGAGTTGACTCTGTCTTACTTGTGGTGCATTTGCATCACTGCATGGAGGTTGAGGGATCTGAGTGTTTAGATATTTAAGGCCAAAAATTGTGCACAGGGGTAGTGGTGATGGCCTTCTGCCATGGTTGTCCCTCTTGCCTGCACTTCCAACAACCACCTAGTTCTGTTTGTATTACCCTACTTGGAAGGAGCTTAAGTTTTAAAAAACAAAACACAGATTTCCTTAGTTGCCAAGGGAGCCAAGAAATTAGCTCAGCTAAAGAGAGCTCAATTGCCTTCATTCAGCAACAAAATGAGAGGCAGGTGATGGAAAGAGGAAATCAGATCAATTACTTGAGTCTAGTTGGATCTGGGGTTTTTCTTCTACTGCCCACACATTTCCCCTTTTCCTCAAGTGGAGGAACATCGTTACAGAGACCAAAAAATATTGTATGTACCGGTAGCAACAAAAATAAGCTAGGAGCCTAAAGCAAAGGAAGAGCCATGTGCAAAACCGATGAGAGGATTGAGTGAAAAAACTTAACAGAGAGGCCATTTAATAAGCCGAATCGAAGGGTCACATCCATAGTGGAGTGAGTTATCAATCTATCTTACAAACCAACACAGCCAAGCAGGCATGTGCAGAGGTTTCCTGAGGCCTGGGGCAGAGTCGTGTTAGAATAAAGTTATAAACTCAAACAAAAAAGCAGCCGGTCCCTGGTACACCGCCCCCCCACTGCCATCTTAGCCCTCCAAGGCTTGGGGGAAGTGTACCCAGCTGCCTCGCCCCAGCACGAGCCTGCAGCCAAGAGGAATAAGTCTTTTCCGTGGCTTTCTGAAACATTTATCCAGAGTCTTGTGCAAAAGCAGGCTGTTGCCCCATCCTGCTGTGTCAGAGGGATGTATACTGGTTGTTAACCGCCCGCAGGTGGGACCTGCCTTGTGAGTCCATCTCGTAATCATTGTCCCACTGGCGCGTTGCAGGGGTGGTGGGTGGGCTGGTCAGGTGGCTGCTGGGCCACAGGCCGCTGGCCAGCTCTTCTGGAGGGGGCACCAGGTGGAATATCTGCTCCACTGAGGAGCTCTGTCGGAGGTTGTCGGCCAGGTGGATCCGCGGGCAGCTGGAAGGGGACAGCTGGACAAGGCTGAATTCCGGGTGGCAGCGGTGGACGGACGGGGAGAGTGGGACTGTGCTGCTGGAGCCTGCATTGGGAGGAAGAGAAATGAGGGGAAGTTATACTGAATATCCTAAAAATATGCTGACATAAGGGAATATGACCTTCCACAGACGGGGCGGCATGAACCGCATGCTAAAACAGGCAAGCCAAATTCTGCACTCTGTAGAGATTACGCAAACAAATAAGAGCATCACAAGAGGCTGATCTGGCCAATGGCCCATCTAGTCCAGCATTTTGGTTTTATAGTGGCTAACCAGATGCCAGGACCCGAGCACCCGAGCCCTTTCCCTTCCTGTGGCTTTACTGTCGCAAACTGTGGAGGCAGAGCATAGCCATCATGGCAAGGAGCCATTGATAGCCCTCCATGAAATGGTCCAGTCCTATTTTAAAGGCATCCAAGATCGTGGCTATCACTGCCTCCCATCCTTCCTTTTCCTTGTCATGAATCTTCCAACATACAGCTTCACTGGATGTCCGTAAGTTCTAGTGCTAAAACTATTAATTTTATCACTTCTATCGTGTCGCCTCTTATGCCTTTTCTCTAAATTAAAAAGGCGAGTAAGATGCAACTTGGCAGATGTTTATAGAACTATAAGCACTTTTTTTTTTACAGTCTCGCTAGGGCAAGTTTCTAATATGGGGCACCTGACCACATCCTCAGCCATTGAAAATGTAAGGCAGTGTCAATTCATTTCTGATATTTGAGGAGGCACGACCCACCGACTCTTAAAAAAGTACCGTTAGTTGTAAGGACTAGAATCTTGTGTTTACTTTAAAGGTAAAGGTATCCCTGACCGTTAGGTCCAGTTGTGGACGACTCTGGAGTTGCGTGCTCATCTCGCTTTACTGGCTGAGGGAGCCGCCGTACAGCTTCCAGGTCATGTGGCCAGCATGAATAAGCCGCTTGTGGCGAACCAGAGCAGCGAATGGAAATGCCGTTTACCTTCCCGCCGGAGCGGTACCTATTTATCTACTTGCACTTGATGTGCTTTCAGACTGCTAGGTTGGCAGGAGCAGGGACCGAGCAACGGGAGCTCACCCCATCGCGGGGATTCGAATCGCCAACCTTCCGATCGGCAAGCCCTAGGCTCTGTGGTTTAGACCACAGCGCCACCCGCATCCCTTTGGTGTTTACTTTACAGAACACCAAATATGACATTCCATACAACTCCACAGTGGTGATAGGCACAATGGCCTGGTTCCATGTTTCCAGGAACCATGATAAGCTGCAATGTCGCCACAGCTGCAAGGGCAGCACAGAAAGCAGCCAAATAGCAGGTGAGGCACTCTGCTCCCTTCTCGACAAGACTCTGAAAGTTACTAGCTCTGAATGGACATACAGTAGTCATTGCTGGCATGACTAGAAAGGAAACCCAGAACTAGCTAACTTTTACACTACTGCACCTGATTGCTTTGAGATCATCCATGTCTGCAACTAGCTAGGTGTTCCTTGGTGGTGCTAAGAGCTTAAGAGCTTCCTTCTTCTTTTCTGTTTCCAATTCCTGTATCAGCAAAGCAGGAATAGGCTATGTCACCCCTAAGCAACACACATTCCTGCTTTGCACCTAAGCAGAAGCATCATACGTTGGTGATGTGATTTGGGTTGGGTTTTTTTATACAACACACACTTCTCCAGCTCAGTTCAGCAGGCAGAGGCTTCCACCTTCCAGCTGAGTGATTGAAAGCGGAAGAGAGCGGAGGATATGGCAAGGGATTTCCCCCACCAAATTACAGTGGAAGGAAACCACAAGCGCTAGTGTCCAAAGCCAGCTGCCTTCCTCATTCTAGAAGGACAGAGCCTTAGAATTCTCCAAGGCCTGCTGAAGCTGTTCCAGCAGGAATTCTAGAAAACAGCCCTTTCACCTTGATAGATGTTGGCAGGAAACAGAGCATGGTGTAAAAATCTTAACCAACTAAGTGTTCAGTGATCGCAGCCTTAGCATGATGAAGAGAGGAAAGTTCCCCAGTTCTGTTCCCAGCCGTCTGTCTGCCTCCGCTCCTTATTTCCTGCTTAAAGCAGAGTGTGGTTGGAAAAGGCCCAACGCACGGAAGAGACTAAATGGCAGCCATAGCTGCCTCCTACCTTGTGCATGTGGAAGAACCACTACATAGCTGGACAGCTGCACGTTGCAGGCCGTTCCGCACTCCAGGGGGATGGGGAAGCGCTGGAAGTGGTGCAACATGTCCAAAATGGAGGCAAAGTGCAGGTGCTGGACACGACACTGGCCCCTCTCGGTTAGGGAGAGCCGTAGGTGCTGCCAAGGTAAAGGAAGCAGGAAGACACATGTCAGCAACAGCAGCCAATTCATACAGGTCATGTAAAAGTTTCAGCAAGGATCAGAAGGGCGTGTGCAAATCCCATCACCTGAGCCAGGGAGAAACCCCACTGCCTAACCTTCCCCAACCTGGTGTCTTGGACTACAAATCCCATGAGCGCCATTCAGCATGGCCATGGCCATGAGAGTTGCAGTCCAACTCATTTTTCTCTCTCTTTTATAATTGCATTTTCCTCTCTCGCACTGAACATAATAAAAGTATACCAATCCACCAAAAGATTATCTTTTCATTCCATTCCTCTTGCTATTTTTTGTTTAGCGATTAATTTTTCCATCAACACTAAATGCCAGACATCTCAACCATGTGGTCAATGCCCCATCCTCCAAGAAGCTGGCCAATAAGAGGCTTAAAATTCAGATTTATATTGTCCCCTGGGTAAAGATTAAGTAAAATCAACGCTGCGCCTTTGAATATTTTTGGTCCAGTTATCTAATTCCTTTGAATACATCCCCCCTGAATGTGGCTGCCTTATCGCAAGTCTCCTGGACATTAAAAAAAAAGCTATTTAGATATGAAGTCCAAGCGGGATTTCAACAGTGCTCCAGTTTTGGGCCATGAAAGCCTGCCTGCTAACGTACTGACTGGTGGCAGAGGGAGTCCCCTCAGCAAGAGACGCTGTACCTTTGCTCTTCCTTGGAAGTTGAACGTGAGGACGTAGTCTCCCCTGCGGGTTTCACTCTGTCGGATGAGGAAAACCCCATGTCCGTCAAGGCCCTGGTGCTGAACCAGCTGTGCGGCTTTGACTCGAGAAATGGGGCCATGGAACCAGGGGAAGGATGTCAGGTAGTGGTCAGTCTTCTGGCCGTTCTGGTCTGGAAGGCTGGGTGGCATTGCCCCTAGGGGAGAAGGAAGGACTCAGCTGTCATTTTAAACAATTTCTCCCCCCAGAAAAGCTCAAGGCAGCTATGGTAAAAGTGTGTTGCACCACACATAAGTGCTTACAGTTTGCAGAGCCAGAGAATTAGCAACACAAAACAAAAAATAGGCAGCTTTGTTAGTATCGGGGAACTCCCTTCTCATAGAATCATAGAATTGGAAGAGACCACAAGGGCCATCGAGTCCAACCCCCTGCCAAGCAGGAAACACCATCAGAGCACTCCTGACATATGGTTGTCAAGCCTCTGCTTAAAGACCTCCCAAGAAGGAGACTCCACCACACTCCTTGGCAGCAAATTCCACTGTCGAACAGCTCTTACTGTCAGGAAGTTCTTCCTAATGTTTAGGTGGATTCTTCTTTCTTGTAGTTTGGATCCATTGCTCCATGTCCGCTTCTCTGGAGCAGCAGAAAACCACCTTTCTCCCTCCTCTATGTGACATCCTTTTATATATTTGAACATGGCTATCATATCACCCCTTAACCTCCTCTTCTCCAGGCTAAACATGCCCAGCTCTCTTAGCCGTTCATCATAAGGCATCGTTTCCAGGCCTTTGACCATTTTGGTTGCCCTCCTCTGGACATGTTCCAGTTTGTCAGTGTCCTTCTTGAACTGTGGTGCCCAGAACTGGACACAGTACTCCAGGTGAGGTCTGACCAGAGCAGAATACAGTGGCACTATTACTTCCCTTGATCTAGATGCTATACTCCTATTGATGAGGCCCAGAATTGCATTGGCTTTTTTAGCTGCCGCGTCACACTGTTGGCTCATGTCAAGTTCGTGGTCAACCAAGACTCCTAGATCCTTTTCACATGTACTGCTTTCAAGCCAGGTGTCACCCATCTTGTATTTGTGCCTCTCGTTTTTTTTTGCCCTTCTGCTGGTTCCCCAGAGTCCAGTAGCTTGAACTGCTCAACCAGATGTTTCTTGGTATTTTTTCTTGAAAGGCATAGGAGAGGATCCCCCTCCAACCACAGGTGAGCCCCAAATACCTTGGTTCAGGGAGTCCGTGCTGCTGGTTGTGGGGCTTGCAGTCACAGCCTCCGAGTGAGAGTCCGAGATCAGCTCAACGTCGGCGCCTTCTGACCTGAAAGAGGAGGGAATGTTTCTGATTGTGAGACACCAACAGGACAGATAAAGTCCCTGCCCCCAAGGCCAGCAACAAAAGATAAGGCAAAGAAAAGCAAAAAAGCAAAAGAAAGAGCTCCCTGATGGGGGTGAGGACCAGAAAACTTGAAATTCCAGGAAAAAATCCATATTGTTTTCTCAGCACAAGGCAGTGGTGAGTCTGCTGGCACTATGAAGGTAAAGGGACCCCTGACAGTTAAGTCCAGTCGTGGCCAACTCTGGGGTTGCGGCGCTCATCTCGCTTTATTGGCCGAGGGAGCCGGCGTACAGCTTCTGGGTCATGTGGCCAGCATGACTAAGCCGCTTCTGGCGAACCAGAGCAGCGAATGGAAACGCCGTTTACCTCCCCGCCAGAGCGGTACCTATTTATCTACTTGCACTTTGACGTGCTTTTGAACTGCTAGGTTGGCAGGAGCAGGGACCGAGCAATGGGAGCTCACCCCGTCACGGGGATTCGAACCACCGACCTTCTGATCAGCAAGTCCTAGGCTCTGTGGTTTAACCCACAGCGCCACCCACGTCCCTTTGCTGGCACTATACTTTAAAGGAAAGAGACTTTTTTGAATGCCTTTGTAAGCAAGCTTATAAGATGAAGGAAAACACATTGGTCAGAAGGGTTGGAGTGGAAATGGGTTTTGCAATGTGAGGTTCCACAGGTGAGATCACATGCATCCTTACTACTGTCGAATCGTAATACTTTTAATATAGTTTTTATAGGAAACATGGTCAGCAAATACATGGAACACCCAGGCAAATGAAGCCATGTTGCAAAAGCCATCAATAAACGGCCTCAGAATTGGTGCTCCTGCCAGGCCTGAGGTGCAGGGCCAGCAAAGAGGCCAAATTTAGTGGCCCTGCTCACTCTGCAAAGGATGCCATGAACTTGGGGCAGACTTGAGAAGGGGTTGGGACTGCAACGCTAAGCCTTCTCCTGAATCCAAGGCAGGGGCCATTCACAGGGTTCCCCCCTGCCAACGACCTGCCTCCAAAACTAGCCTTAGCCCTCCCAACCAACACCTGGAGTTGGTTACAAAACTTTCTTTCTAAACAGATCACTTGAAAATTGCTGACCACCTAATGATTTGTCTGCTTGTAGCAATCATAATATGCTGTTGTAGACGTAGGATTATTATTGCTATCATCATCGCTCCTGTTATTTATTACTTTGTATTTTATTGCATTCCCATTTTAGTTCCGTAGAACGCAATGGAAAATACTGTGATAAATAACAAAATGCAAGGCAAGAAATAGAAGCAGCAATAAAAATGCAATCAAAACGACTATTTCATGCAATGCTCCCACCATTCTTCAAATACACTGTGCAGCTTGCGGGCCACCAGTGGTCCCCAGACCAGAATTTGGGAACTCCTGCCTTGAAAATTAACTTTTGCAGGAGGAAGAGAACTGTTGGCATTACAGGCTTATTCACACGTTGCACTGAACACAGGTTCAAGTTGCCTGGTGCATGAACACGTGTTTGTGTGAAAGAGATTTGTGCAGCACAATTATTTGGGCACACACAGATTACCGTATTTTTCGCCCTATAGGACGCACCGGCCCATAGGACGCACCTAGATTTGGGGGGGGGGGGAATAAAGGGGGAAAAATTTATTCCCCCCCCAGGCGCGGGGCTGGGGCGGGGGAAGCCCGAGCTTCCCCCGACCCCAGCTCCCAGAACAGGAAGCTCTCCGCAAGCCCGAGCTTCCCCCGACCCCAGCGCCCAGAGCGATGCCGAAGCTGCGCGCAGCTTTGGCATCGCTCTGGGAGCTTGCGGGGCTGGGGGAGGGGGAAGCCCTCCGCCAGCCTCCAAACCAGGTTGGGAGACAGCGGGATGGCACGCTGCGCCTCTCCGCTGTCCCCCGAGTTTACGGGGCTGGCGACGGGGAGGAGCAGGCTTCTCCCCCCGCCAGCCTTCTAACAAAGTCAGGGGACAGCGGGATGGCGGCGTTCCGCCTCCCCGCTGTCCCCCAAGCTTGTGGGGCTGGCGGTGGGGCTCTCCTGAAGCCTGGAGAGCGAGAGGGGTTGGTGCGCACCGACCCCTCTCGCTCTCCAGGCTTCAGCAAAAGCCTGCATTCGCCCCATAGGACGCACACACATTTCCCCTTCATTTTTGGAGGGGAAAAAGTGCGTCCTATAGGGCGAAAAATACGGTACATGCTCAGATGTCACCCAAGTTGTCTTCACCACCCCCAACCCCCACTTACCAAGCAGCCTGGCACTAGTGACAAGTTTGGGACCTGATTTCCTCGCACATTTATGCTACCCCCTGGCCAAACACCCAGTGTTAATGTAGCCATTTTATACTCCGAAAAAGGGGCACGGAACTTTGGAGAAAAGCAGGCAGGTTGGTTTTGGACACAGGCAGTTCAGTTGCCACCCAGCACTGCTGCTACAAGAAGGTCAAAAAGGAGCCTGACATTTGGTGGAGGGTGTGTGTGTGTGTGTGTGTGTGTGTGAATGAAAGGAATCACAGTATGGCTCTCTGCAAATCACAATACCACTTCTTGCCCCTGGCAGATTTCAGTAAGAGGAAGCCCCAAGAGGAAGTGGGAGGTCTTTGAAAGAATGGCACGAGAAACAGGTAGTACATTTTCCAAGAGGCGTGAGAGAGAGACTGGGCTTGCATCCACCTGGGCATCCCACACTCTGACTTGGGAAGGACTTTAAACCCCCAGGTACACAAGAGGAAGTTCTTGCTTCCTACGGACTCCAGGGCTTAAAACAAATTTCCCAAGCCAAGCAGAAGACAAGGTGCAGAAAGGACATGGATTCTGCAGTCCAAGTAATAATAATAATAATAATTTATTACTCGTACCCCGCCCATCCGGCTGGGTTTCCCCAGCCACTCTGGGCGGCTTCCAACAAGAGATTAAAAATACATTAAAACATCAGTCATTAAAAACTTCCCTAAACAGGGCTGCCTTCAGATGTCTTCTAAAAGTCTTACAGTGGTTTATTTCTTTGACATCTGGTGGAAGGGAGTTCCACAGGGCAGGCGCCACTACCTAGATGGCCCTCTGCCTGGTTCCCTGTAACCTCACTTCTTGCAGGGAGGAAACTGCCAGAAGGCCCTCGGCACTGGACCTCAGTGTCCGGGTAGAACAATGGGGGTGGAAACGCTCCTTCAGGTATACTGGGCCGAGGCCGTTTAGGGCTTTAAAGGTCAGCACCAACACTTTGAATTGTGCTCAGAAACATACTGGGAGCCAATGTAGGTCTTTCAAGACCGGTGTTATATGGTCTCGGCAGCCACTCCCAGTCACCGTCTGGCTTCCACATTATGGATTAGTTGTAGTTTCCGGGTCCCCTTCAAAGGCAGCCCCACGTAGAGCGCATTGCAGTAGTCCAAGCGGGATATAACTAGAGCATGCATCTGGTTTAGACCTGATAGCCATCTATGGCATTTTAAATTGTGCTATATTGTATTTGTTATGATGGTACGTATTTTTGTGTTTTTATACCCCGTCGCTGGCAATCTCATTCGGCCCCTCTCCCAGCTTTAGAAATTTTAGTACTTATCAATCACACACTTCAAAGCCAATATTTGGAGGCATAAGGCCGAGAAAGTTTAAAAAGAAAAGGTTCAGAAATAAAAATTGTATTCCTCTACCGATAATAAATAAAATAAAATACAATAAATAATATAAATAAAATAATAAATAATAAATTAAAATAAATAAATAAATAATAAAACAATAAATTAAATAAATAATAAAATAATAAATAAAATAAATAAAATAGATCAAGATTGAATTCCTCAACCAATTCTTCAGCTTTCCTGCATCGTTGCACACAAGGTACACCTAGTCCCACACTGTTTTCTTTCAGGTATGGCTATTTTCATCACAGAAGCCATCCTTACTCTGGGCACCTCTAGGTCAGTCCAGGCTATAGAGTACAGGAAATACCCAGTAAAGGATAGTGTGGAGTTGGAAAAAGATAAAAAGGGGCAATAAAAATGATGAAGATAGTATGAATCTCCCATCCTGCCGTGTTTGGGGCTTTAGAGAAAATGTAAGTACAGTGGTGCCCCGCAAGACGAATGCCTCGCAAGACGGAAAACCCGCTAGATGAAAGGGTTTTCCGTTTTTGAGTTGCTTCACAGGACGAATTTCCCTATGGATTTGCTTCGCAAGACGAAAATGTCTTGCGAGTCTCGAGATTTTTTTTCCGCTTTCCCCCCCCCTTTATCTAAGCCGCTAAGCCTTTAATAGCCTTTTAGCAGCTAATCCGCTAAGCCGCTAAGCCTTTAATAGCTGCTAAACCGCTAATAGCGCTAATCCGTTAAGCCGCTAATAGGGTTGCTTCGCAAGACGAAAAAACCGCTAGATGAAGAGACTCGCGGAACGGATTAATTTCGTCTTGCGAGGCACCACTGTAACAGGAGACAGTATAGAAGTTTATAAAATTATGCCTGGCATGGGGAAAGTGGATAGACTAAAGTTTTTCTCACTCATAACTCTAGAATTTGAGGGCAACCCATCAGGCTGAATGTTGGAAGTTTCAGGACAGGCTTTTGTTTATGTAAAGAAGCAGGTTTCTAACCCTCATGAGGTGCTGGGGGTGGGGGGACATTCCTACGCACTTCCCTGTCTTCCAATCCCTTCTGTCCAGAGCTCGATTGGTACCAACCAAGGACCAGCCCCGGAACCACTTTTTAGGGCCTGGATTACGGCCTGCAATACATGAAGCAAAAGTCAACGCGAGAGACTCTGAGCATGTGAACCTGGATCTGCACCGCGCAATAAGAGAGAAAGAAAATCTGCGCCAGGAAAAGGTGGACCCCATCTTAGCCTGCATTTTAAAAGATAGTCGTGTCTAATTCAGTCTGCATCTGCTAATCAAGGCAGCCCAATGCCTCCCTTGCTTCAGATATTCCACAAGGAATCGCTGTACACATTCAAGCTTATCTTCCAGCCATGGGGACTAGAAATCCTCTTTTTTTAAAAAACAAACACCTGGAGAATTGCATCACACAGCCCTGGCACAGAGAGTAGTGGGGCAATAACTCACCCTCGATGGAGACACTCTTTAATTTCACACATCCAGGAACGCAGTTGCTGGTCATCTCCAGCCTCAAATACAAGATCCATGGAGGTGTTCACCTGTGGCAGGGGGAGAGAAAAAGAAGATAAACACTGGGAGTGCTTCATAATGCTGAGGCAATGCTGTCTAGGTTCAGATCGTCTTTAAAACCCCATGGGATATCCACACCCTTTAATTAATTTCATAAAATGTATGTCAGTATGCATATATAACACCTTCAGCTTGGCCTAGTAGCAAACTGGCACCCAGTGAAGATCTCAGAGCACAGGATTTATATATTGCCCAGGAATAATAATATATTATTATTAATTACTTATACCCCGCCCATCTGGCTGGGTTTCACCAGCCACTCTGGGCGGCTTCCAACAGGAGATTAAAAATGCATTAAAACATCAGTCATTAAAAACCTCCCTAAACAGGGCTGCCTTCAGATGTCTTCTAAATGTCAGATAATTGTTTATTTTTTTGACATCTGATGGGAGGGCATTCCACAGGGCAGGTGCCGCTACCGAGAAGGCCTGGTTCCCTGTAACTTCACTTCTCGCAGGGAGGGAACCGCCAGAAGGCCCTCAGAGCTGGACCTCAGTGTCCAGGCAGAACGATGGGGGTGGAGACGCTCCTTCAGGTATACTGGGCCAAGGCCATTTAGGGCTTTCAAGGTCAGCAGCAACACTTTGAATTGGGCTCGGAAACGTACTGGGAGCCAATGTAGGTCTTTCAAGACCAGTGTTATGTGGTCTCGGCAGCCACTCCCAGTCACTGTATAGCTGTGCATTCTGGATTAGTTGTAGTTTCCAGGTCACCTTCAAAGGTAGCCCCACGTAGAGCGCATTGCAATAGTCCAAGCGGGAGATAACTAGAGCATGCACCACACTGGAGAGACAGTCTGTGGGCAGGTAGGGTCTCAGCCTGCATACCAGATGGAGCTGGTAGACAGCTGCCCTGGACACAGAATTGACCTGCACCTCCATGGACAGCTGCGAGTCCAAAATGACTCCCAGGCTGCACACCTGGTCCTTCAGGGGCACAGTTACCCCATTCAGGACCAGGTAGTCCTCCACACCTGCCTGCTCCCTGTCTTGTCAGGATTGAACCTCAATCTGTTAGCTGCCATCCATCTTCCAGCTGCCCCTGAAATGTCCCTCCCTCCCATAAGTGCAGCGGCTGCATAAGGATACCTTCAGCATCTTGAGGACAAAGGTGTCTGCGTGGTCCGGCATCTCCAGGCGAGTGCAGGGACGGATTTCTTGGATCTCCGAGCAGGTGGTCTGCAGCTTTGGCTTCGAACTCTGCGGAGAGAGACAGGAGAAGCAGCTGAGGTGAGTCCGCGCACTGGTTGCACCAGCGAGGCATCCCTCAGAGCATCTGGACTACGGGTAGAGCCGAACCGTACATTGAAAGGCACATCAAATGCACATTCAAAACACGTATCTTGCCCCCAAACAATCCTGGGAACTATAGGGTGCGGGGAATTGGTCTGCGAGGGGGAAATTGCAGTTCCCAGGATTCTTTTTTTGGGGGGGGGTGTCATGTGCTTTGGAAGTGCACTGTGGATCAGCCCCGTACCTCCTTTCAACCTCCTGCCTGGTGAAAGCTATAGTCAAAAACATCTGGAGCATTTCCAGGTTGGAGAAGCAGAGATCGTGTCCTAGGACTCCTGAATGAGCAAAAAATCCCGGACCTAACATTTAGGGTTTATTATTTGATTTGTTAAAGTATTTGTTTGCTTCTGGTTATGTGGGCATCTCAATGAAAATCGCTAGAGGAGTCAGGTAGACTCTTCAAAAGCATCCTTAGAATCTCATAAAAGGATGGCGGCAGCAGCCAGGAGATAAAAAAACATTTTCAGCAGGTGTTGGAAGTGCTTGACCATTTGCACATGCCTGATTTTGGATGGGGAGTTAGGGAAATAAGGCGTGCACACCTTGATCCTGCTGCTAGATTGGATCAAAAAGTCTAGCTTTCTGTCTCTGAGAGATGCCAACAAAACATCTCTGGCAGGACAAAAGAAAGGCAGAAATCTGGCAGCATTGTTGCAGCTCCGCCTTCCTGTTGTTTCCAATAACTGGTTGGAATTCAGAATAATAATAATAATAATAATAATAATAATAATAATAATAATAAATGTTATTTATATCCCGCCCTCCCCAGCCGAAGCCGGGCTCAGGGCGGCTAACAACAATAAAACAGTACAAAAGTACAGCACAAACAACACTCTAAAATCATTCATTATAAAATTAATTAATTCAAGCCACTGGCAACCATTGGGCCAGACCTCCGCGAAGCTTGCCGAGGGAGGGAGTCAGGCTGTGCCCTGGCCAAAGGCCTGGTGGAACAACTCTGTCTTGCAGGCCCTGCGGAAAGATGTCAAGTCCCGCAGGGCCCTAGTCTCTTGTGACAGAGCGTTCCACCAGATCGGAGCCACAGCCGAAAAAGCCCTGGCTCTGGTTGAGGCCAGCCTAACTTCTCTGTGGCCTGGGACCTTCAAGATGTTTTTATTTGAAGACCATAAGTTTCTCTGTGGGGCGTACCAGGAGAGGCGGTCCCGTAGGTACGCGGGTCCGAGGCCGTATAGGGCTTTAAAGGTTAAAACCAGCACCTTAAACCTGATCCTGTACTCCACCGGGAGCCAGTGCAGCTGGTATAGCACCGGGTGAATGTGATCTTGCAGCGAAGACCCCGTAAGGAGTCTCGATGCAGCATTCTGCACCCGCTGGAGTTTCTGGGTCAGTCTCAAGGGCTGCCCCACGTAGAAGCATTGCTGCCTCGTCCATGAACCCCTCCAAGCCTCTTAAAACCATCAGAGTTGGTGGCTCCCCCACCTTCTCCTGTCAATGGTTCATAAATTGTGCTCGGGCGGCAGCGGGAGGCCCCATTAGCTAAAGTGGTGCTTCAGGTTAAGAACAGTTTCAGGTTAAGAACGGACGTCCGAAACAAGTTAAGTACTTAACCCGAGGTACCACTGTACACGCGGGATGCGGGTGGCGTTGTGGGTTAAACCACAGAGCCTAGGACTTGCTGATCAGAAGGTCGGCGGTTCGAATCCCCGCAATGGGGTGAGCTCCCGTTGCTCGGTCCCTGCTCCTGCCAACCTAGCAGTTTGCAAGCACGTCAAGTGCAAGTAGATAAGTAGGTACCACTCCGGCGGGAAGGTAAACGGCGTTTCCGTACGCTGCTCTGGTTTGCCAGAAGCGGCTTAGTCATGCTGGCCACATGACCCGGAAGCTGTACGCCGGCTCCCTCGGCCAATAAAGCGAGATGAGCGCCGCAACCCCAGAGTCGGCCATGACTGGACCTAATGGTCAGGGGTCCCTTTACCTTTACCACTGTACACAGATTCTATCCGTCATTCCACCCTCTGTTTAAAAGCTACCCCAGAATTCAGCTGCCTCTGTGGCTCAGCCTTTCAGGGGCCAAAGTTCCAAGCAATGATGACATGTATCTCTCACTGTAAAAAATTGAAGGACCACAGTTTCTGGCCTGTTCAGACCCCAAGGGGCTTTGACAGTGGCCGAATGGGTGGAGAAGCCACCTGGGGAGGAAGTCAGCGATCAAGACATCCCTCCTTCCACCCTGATTTCTGACACCACCACTGTGAGATACTCTGGGTGGAGAATCATGGTGAATTTGCATTCGCCCAAACAGCTGAAAGTGGCCAGGGATTTGACCAAATAAAACATGCTAAGGGTGTTTCCTTAGTGGGAGCAAATGGTTGGGAGGTGGGCAGGAATAGGAATGTCTGGAGGTGAAACTTTTGATGAAGAGGGAGAGGAAAAGAAAGCTAGGGCAATATAGTGGTTAGAGTGTCGGACCAGGACTGGGAGGGACCAGGGTTCAAATTCCTTAGTTGGCCATAAAGATCGCTTGGTGACTTTGGCCCACTCACTGCCTCTCTCAGTCTAAGCTAGGACATAAATGCAATAAATGATAATAAATAAATAAATAAAGCAGCAGTTTAAGAACAGAGAGACGGAACCAGAGAGAGAATTAAGAGCTTAAAGCAGCAAGTGAGGATCCTGTTGCCTTCTAGGTCATGGTAGGCAAACTAAGGCCTGGGGGCCGGATGCGGCCCAATCACCTTCTCAATCCGGCCCGCGGACAGTCAAGGAATCAGTGTTTTTGCATGAGTAGAAAGTGTCCTTTTATTTAAAATGCATGTCTGGGTTATTTGTGGGGCATAGGAATTCGTTCATTTTTCTCCTCCAAAATATAGTCTGGCCCCCCACAAGGTCTGAGGGACAGTGGACTGGTCCCCTGCTGAAAAAGTTTGCTGACCCCTGGTCTAGGTGGTGTTGTACTCCAACTCCCATCAGCCCCGCTCAGAGCTGCCAAGGATGATGGGAGACGTAGTCCGTCAATCCCTGAAAAGCCACAGGTTGCCCATCCTTGAGCCACAGATTGAAGAAAACAAAATGTCCTGGGTGACTTCATGGGAACAGATACCTGGCTGTATCTGTACCAAAGTAAGATGAATTCAACAGCTTGTATAAATGATGCAAATGCTTCCCCCCCCTGCATAATTTTAATCTACTCATGCTCCCAAGTCAGCCCCCAAATCTTGCCTGCTAGAAATTCCAGATCCTCCAAGTGCCCCTATTTTCCAGGGCCAGCATTCACCCGGTGCTATACCAGCTGCACTGGCTCCCGGTGGAGTACAGGATCAGGTTTAAGGTGCTGGTTTTAACCTTTAAAGCCCTTCACAGCCTAGGACCCTCGTACCTACGGGACCGCCTCTCCTGGTACGCCCCACAGAGGACCTTACGGTCTTCAAACAAAAACATCTTGGAGGTCCTGGGCCACAGAGAGGTTAGGCTGGCCTCAACCAGAGCCAGGGCTTTTTCGGCTGTGGCTCCGATCTGGTGGAACGCTCTGTCACAAGAGACTAGGGCCCTGCGGGACTTGACATTTTCCCGCAGGGCCTGCAAGACAGAGCTGTTCCACAGCCTGACCCCCTCCTTTGGCAATCCTCACAGAACTCTAGCCCAATGGTTGCCATTAATCTGATTTGAACTGATTTTATAATGAAATGATTTTAGAATGTTTTGCCAATTTACTGTTGTTAGCCGCTCTGAGCCCGGCTTCGGCTGGGGAGGGCGGGATATAAATAAATTATTATTATTATTATTATTATTATTATTATTACTTACAGAAGCCATCCTGGTTTCTGATTTGATCCCATAATATCCCGCTTTTCCTTAGGACGTCCCTATTGTCATAGGAGGGTATGGAGTTACGTGACCCCTGAGCCAAGGGGATAAGAAACTATACAACCTTTAGAAGACATCTGAAGGCATGCCACCCAGTAGAGGGAAGCTTTTTAAAACGTTTAATGTTTTATTATCTTTTTATATATGGTGGAAGCCACCCAGAGTGGCTGGGGAAACCCGGCCCTATGGGCGGGGTAACAACAACAACAACAACAACAGAATAGGATGTCCCTGTTTTCATCAGAGAAATGTTGGAAGGTGTGCAATTCAGAATCTGATTAGACCACTCCAGCTTTGAGATTACACCTAGTAACCCAGATTGCTTTAAAGCACAGACTGACTCCCTCCTTTGGCAATCTTCACAGAACTCTAGCCCAATGGTTGCCATCAATTTGATTTGAATTAATTTTATAATTAAATGATTTTAGAATGTTGTATTATTTTATTGCTGTTAGCCGCCCTGAGCCCAGCTTTGGCTGGGGAGGGCGGGATATAAATAAAAATTTATTATTATTATTATTCTCCGCTGTCAAGAGGACTAGAACCTTGGAACTTAAACAGATGTATTTTCAGCAGAGAACCTCACTGTATTCAGTGACCACTTCCACTTCCCGTGCTCCCTTGATGTGACGGAGGAGCACAGAAAGCTCCTGACGGGTGGAAAAGATTCCATGCGGTGCCCGTTATGTCTGTATGGGTCTCTGGACCGCAGGGGGTGTGCATTCTTGCCCCTCCCACACTGCTTCCGAAATGCCACCTTCCTTGGTAATTATGTCACCCCAAGAAACCAGGAGGGGGAAATGAGGCAACAGCTGGGACCAGTTCCCCCAACTGAGGCAGAAGGACTGGCACAAAAAGGGTCGGATTCTGAGAGTTGGCGTGAGGCGCGGGAATGCTGAGCCAATGCAGGAAGCCTGATGACGCAATCGGTTTACCAGACAGGCCGTTTCCATCCCCAGCTGATGGGCTGCTTGGATTTTTCCACAGGCCGAGAGCCTCAGAAATCCTCTTGGCCGAGAGGGGCGGCCGGCGTGACTCACTGGCATTAAGGAGCCATAAGCCACTCGGGGTCAGCAGTGTTAGCAGAGGGGCAGCAGGGTGGCCAACAGGCACCCGACCAGCCAAACCCCAGGCCTGCTGGATGCTGGCAAAGCACCACCCTGCAAGGCTGGGGGGGGGGAGGGAAACAGGGGACGGCTGGCTCTGCTGGAGGTTACACAAAGCAGCAGCAAACTGAAACGAAAACAACCCCACAGCTGCTGGAGATTCCAGCATCTGTGAAACCGCTTGCAGATCGAGGGCTGCAGAAGTCATCCCGGAAATGGGAGGAAGACAGAGAGATGCCTCTTTCCCCAGGCGGAAGGGAACAGGAGGGGAGGCCAGCTTAAAAGGAGGGGGCCCCAGCAGGCACCCCCCAAAAAACAAACGCCCCATTCACGTGTCCTGGAGTCAGTGCTGGGCCATCGGCTTCGCCCCTTCCCAAATGATATTCCCAAGGATGGTGAACATATGTATTAATCAACACACATGAGCAGATCATTTAGAATCATAGAATCTTAAGAGTTGGGAGGGACCCAAGGGTCATCTAGTCCAACCCCCTGCAATGCAGGAATCTCAGCAGATGGCCATCCAACCGCTCCTTAGAAACCTCCACGGAAGGAGAGTCCACAACCTTCTGAATGAGTCTGCCATTAGCTAAAGTGGTCCCTCAGGTTAAGAACAGTTTCGGGTCAAGAACGGACCTCCGGAACGAATTAAGTATAGTGGTACCTCGGGTTACATATGCTTCAGGTTACAGACTCCACTAATCCAGAAATAGTGCTTCAGGTTAAGAACTTTGCTTCAGGATGAGAACAGAAACTGTGCTCCGGCGACGCGGCAGCAGCAGGAGGCCGCATTAGCTAAAGTGGTGCTTCAGGTTAAGAACAGTTTCAGGTTAAGAACGGATCTCCGGAACGAATTAAGTACTTAACCTGAGGTACCACTACAATAATAATCATCATCATCACCACCACTATTCATCATTAATAGCAGCAACAATACCACCTTCCAGGTACTGGGCAAGTTAGTTGGCGGTGCTGGGTGGGGGGAGGTGGGGAGAGGAGGAGGACAATCGGATTTCCTTGTTGCCGTGGAAGGGGATGTGGCCGAGACTCCCAAAATATCTCTGCTCTTTCGACTATTCGGGGGTGGGGGCAGGGAATCCGCTTCTGCTTTCCATCTATGTCATGCTGTTTTTGTTCCCAGTTTTGCAGCCTTCTGAGGTTTGTGGGTTGGTGAGTCACGGCCCCTTTTGTAATCCGGAGTCAAATGCAGCAGCAGCAGCAGCAGCAGCTGGGAAGGGGCTCCGAATGGTCAGCTCGCTTTTGTCAGGAAGGTGAGGTAGGCATCGCTAAACAGCACTGCCTATTATAATATACAGTGGTGCCTCGCAAGACGAAATTAATCCGTTCAAGACGGAATGTCTCCGTCTAGACGAAGGGTTTTCCGTTTTGCGAGCAACCTATTGCAGCGGCTAATGGTTACGCTATTAGCTGGCTTCAGCGGCTATTAAATGGCTTATCGGTCTTAGCGGATTTATGCTGCTAACCGGCTATCTAAAGCCGCTTAGCGGCTTAGATAAAGCCTGATAGCAGACAAAATCCGCTAAGACTTGTAAGCCATTTAATAGCCTTGCTAACCCGCTAATAGCGCTAATCCGTTAAGCCCCTAATAGGGCTGCTTCAAAGACGAAGAAACCCTTCGCTAGACGAGGACATTCCGTCTTGCGAATGGATTATTTTCGTCTTGCGGGGCACCACTGTATGCCATTTAACATCTACAGGAAACCGCTGCGTGGGGGCATTCGGAGCTCTGTAGTACGTTGTCAGCGATATGCCGACGACACTCAGCTCTGCTTCTCGTTTTCATCTGCAGGTGAGGCAGTGGAAGTGCTGGACCTCGGTAGTGGACTGGATGAAAGCCAACAAACTGAAGCTCAATCCAGATAAGACAGAGGCACTTTTAGTGGGCGGTTTCCTAGACTGGATGGATGGGAACTTTCCCTGCTCTTGATGGGGTCACACACCCTCTGAAGGAGCAGGTACGTAATTTGGGGGTACTCCTGGATCCTTTGCTGTCGCTCAAGAAAGCTCATACCAAGAACAAACTTAGTTGGTCTCTAAGGTGCTACTGGACAATTTTTAAATTTTTTTATAGTGTCATACCTCGGGTAGAAGTAGCTTCAGGTTAAGCATTTTCGGATTGCGCTCCACGGCAACCCGGAAGTAACGGGGCGTGTTACTTCCGGGTTTCGTCACTCGCGCATGCGCAGACGCTCAAAATGACGTCACGTGCATGCGCAGAAGCAGCAAATCGCGACCCGCACAGCCATGCGGATGTGGGTTGCATTCGCTTCAGGATGCGAATGGGGCTCCGGAACGGATCCTGTTCGCATCCAGAGGTACCACTGTATATATTTCTACTGTTCTCAAGGCTCTAATAACCACTAGGCTGGATTACTGCAACACATTATAGACAGGGCTGCCTCTGAAGACAGTTCAGAAACTTGCAACGGGTACAGAATACGGTAGCTAGGTTGGTAATCAGGCCATACAGTTTGAGCATATGGCACCGCTCCTGGCCCAACTGCACTGACTGTCAAATAGCTTCCAGGCCCAATTCAAAGTGCTGGTTTTGACCTATAAAGCCTTAAATGGGTCAGGACTGCAATACCTTAAGGACCGCGTCTCCTCATGTAAACTATCCCAGACTCTCCATTCATCATCTGAGGCCCTTCTTCGTGTACCTCCTCCATGAGAGGTCCAGAGGGCAGGAACATGAGAACGGGCCTTCTCTGTGGTGGCTCCCCGTCTGTGGAATGCTCTCTTTAGGGAGATTCGTCTGGCGCTTTCATTATAGATCTTCAGGCGCTAGGCAGATACAATCGTCTTCAGCCAGGCCTTTGGCTGATTAATATTCTACAGCCTTTAAAATGTGTTTTTGTGTGTGTGTGTTACTGTTTTGTTGCTTTCTGTGTTGACTATTTACTTGTGCTTCAATAATGATAATTAATAAATAATAATAATAATAATAATTTATTATTTATACCCTGCCCATCTGGCTGGGTTTCCCCAGCAACTCTGGGCAGCTTCCAACAAAATATTAAAATACAATAACCTTTTTAAACATTAAAAGTTTCCCTAAACAGGGCTGCCTATCTTATGTTTTTAATCTTGTGGACCACCCTGAGATCTTTTGATGAAGGGCAGTATATGAATCAAATCAAATCAAATCAATAATCAAATCAATAAATTCCACCACTTCCCCTGACGCATGTGGAAAGCAGCACCACCATCCAGCCCCTCTCTGGGACCAGCCAGATGGCCTTTTTCTTTGCCATGCCCAATAAAAATGACACCTGGGGTGACATGCTGTCCCCATGACACCCCAGGCGCACAGTGTGATGTCACTGCGTCACCTCAAGCATCGTCTGCATCAGACATTGGCCACATTCGGACCATACATTTAAAGCTCTACAATACAAAATTCACAGCTTCCCCCAAAGCATTCTGGGAGCTGTAGTTTGTTAAGGGGGCTGAGAGGAGGCCCCTTATTCCCCTCACAGAATAGTAATTCTGAGAGTGGTATAACAACCAATCCCTCTTCCCAGGGAACTCTTTAGAAACCCATATTTTAGTGCAGTAGCCCCCACACTTTGGAACTCTCTGCCTATTGAAACAAGGCAGACACCTGCTAAAATAATTTTGAGTGGACAGGCTGCCTGGATATGTAGAATGCTGACACGCATCTAATCTGTTTTTAGTTTATCGTTGCATTTAATCATGACAGCAAATGTTTTATGTAGATGCTCGTAACTGTCTTCCCTGATAATTTTATTGTTTTATTCTTTTCGTAAATTGCTTTGATGTTTTGTTTCGTACTGAAATTCTAGGACATAAGTAGATAATAGAAACTGTCCCACCTACAGTTTGTACGATTGCACGTGGGTCGTTTTGACGCCAACACATCACTACAAAAACAGAAAGAAACAAAAAACAAAACCTCTCCCCCCCCCACACAACATGCCCATCAGCTTCGCCCAAATTTGCTCTGCGGTTCCTCAGAATGCAAGACCAGGAACAGACAAAAGGCAGAGAAGCAGGGAGTGTTAGGAGACATTTGGTGGGGAGAGATAAAGAGGCAGGCAAGTCACCGGGCTCTGCAGCGAAATAGAACAGGGTGTCCTTTCAACACGTAAAACGCAAACACCACGCTCTTCGGAGGTCCCCCATCTCTGCAGGATCCAACCAGGTTTTTTTAAAAAAGATAATTCTCAGCTTGCAGATGCTGAAATGCATTTGCCATTGTGATAGGGATTTTCAGGTCTTCGATATATGGTAATGTTCATAACCGCACGTACATAGATCAGTACAGGAAGACCGATCTGAAGCCATTTTGATTCCTAAACTGAGCAAATGTTTTCTCTGCAAGGTCAAAGTGGAAAAGCCTCCCCATTGTCTTTTCCTTCACAAATCCTGTCTTAAGGGTAGGGGTCTCTGTTTGAATAGGGCGTGAGCCTGTGACCTGGCCCAGGAACTAAGTATTTATCATTACAAAAGACTGGCCAGGCTCCCCAGGCAATCCAATCAAGTAACCTGCCAGACAGGAGATAAACAAGGACAGGAGAAAAACAACATTCAAATTTCTGTTTAGACCGCCTTTTCTGTGATGTAGGTATGATGTATCTGAGGGGTGGTCTTAGGTTACACCCCTTCTGTGATGTATGTATGATGTTTCTGGGGGTGGTCTTGATCTACAGGGTGGCAATTTCAAAAGTCTTTATAAGGCCTTGCGCGCCATTGTTCTGGGTTCCTCCTCCTCTCCTGCATGTGGTGAGGGGAGCACCCTGTTGCAACAGATCAATAAAGATCAGGCTTACTAGCTGCTTTGCTTCTCAATATTCTCTGGTTGGCCTCTGTTATTCTCTCCTACCAATAGGGAACCTACATAAGGACTATATGGGCTCTTGGATACCCCATAAGGGAAAAGGGCAAATTTTTGTTTACAACACTATAGATAACTGATGGAAAAAATTCTCCCCCCCTCAACCCCTTGCAAAGACGGACTGTGGGGCGGCCGGGGGGCGGCAGCGGGAGAGATAAAAACAACAAGGAGAAAGAATTATAAATTCCAAAAGCACAGAGAGCAGTGAAGTACACAGAAGCTTCTGGGCAAATAAAAGTTATTAATTATACCCTGCCTGCTAATTTAGCTGGGTGGGAGTGGGGCAAATGGTGTCTATTCCAGCGGCGGACTTTGAAGTTAACAGTGTCTCCCAGATGACCCAGAGCAACTGCAGGAAGCCTGGATAATAGGAAACGTAATGAAATTTAACCTGCCAGACATCAGGGAAGGGCCTTTAGCTTCTGCGTTGCAAGCAGAAGATCCCAACAGCATCTCCTGGGAGGGCTGGGAGAGACTCGCTGCCTGGAATCATGGAGAGCCTCTGCCAGCCAGAGTAGGCAATATTGAGCTAGGTAATTGGGAGCATAAGGAACGCAGGTGGCACTGTGGGTTAAACCACAGAGCCTAGGACTTGCCAATCAGAAGGTCGGTGGTTCGAATCCCCGCGACGGGGTGAGCTCCCGTTGCTCGGTCCCTGCTCCTGCCAACCTAGCAGTTCAAAAGCACGTCAAAGTGCAAGTAGATAAATAGGTACCACTCTGGCGGGAAGGTAAACGGCGTTTCCGTGCGCTGGTCTGGTTCGCCAGAAGCGGCTTAGTCATGCTGGCCACATGACCCAGAAGCTGTACACCGGCTCCCTCGGCCAATAAAACAAGATGAGCGCCGCAACCCCAGAGTCGGCCATGACTGGTCCTAATGGTCAGGGGTCCCTTTACCTTTAATTGGGAGCATACAGCGCTGACCACTGGGCTGCTGTTGAGGCAAAGTGTACTTTAATGCCAGCAGCGCTCGATTACAGGGGGCCAGGCCCTTATCCAGCGTTTGTGTTTCCTGGGTTTTTGCCTAATCGCAGGAGAGGCAGAACACACCCTCTGTGGCATATTAAATGGCAGAGACGGGAGAGGGTTTCAGGTGGAGGGCTGGCTTGAGGAAGAGTGGACGCCATGGCCTGTGTCCTTTTATAAATCAGTCAGCTAAAGGTTTGGCTGACGGAGAAGTAAATTATTTCTTAGGGGTCCAAGTTGCTGATACAGTGGTACCTTGGGTTACATATGCTTCTGGTTACAGACTCCGCTAACCCAGAAATTGTGCTTCAGGTTAATAACTTTGCTTCAGGATGAGAACAGAAATCGTGCTCTGGCGGCGCGGCGGAAGCAGGAGGCCCCATTAGCTAAAGTGGTGCTTCAGGTTAAGAACAGTTTCAGGTTAAGTACAGACCTCCGGAACGAATTAAGTACTTAACCCAAGGTACCACTGTATTTCAGAAAGCTTTTCTGAGGTCTGTATGTTACTTTCCTTCTGAGAGCGAGTGTCAACACGTAAAACTGCAAATCCGACCTTCGTTTCCGTTTTGAGCTTTTTGGTAAGGAAAGCAAACCTTATTTATACTGAAACTCAATTAGCAAGCAATTCATGTAGTAAGTGTACATGATTCATGCACTAGAAATTCTCCCAGTTGGTTAGGAGCCCTAAAAATAAGGAAACCTGCCAGATCAGAGGTTGGAGCAGAGGACGGATCCTCAAGAGGCCGGAATCGAGTGCAGAAAGCGGAGTTGGTTCCACTATTTATGACCAAAAAAAAGGGTACAAAACCCCAAGCAGACACTTCCACAAAACCCCACCAGCTTCCACGGCACAAAACTTTCATTTCCTCTGCCCCACAAGAGAAGTGGGTCAGTGAGGCTGAAGCGTTACTCAAAAGAGGATTCCCTTTGAGGCAGGGCCCATTCTGCTGCCTCTGGGACGCTGGCACCCTCTTCCTTCATCCGAAGGGTATCCCCCTCCCCAGCCAAGTAATCTCCAGTGGGTGGAGCTCAAGAGTCTTTAAAAAATGCTGCTTTAACTCAAGTCAGGATTAAATGGGTGGCACTGTGATCTCATTGCAAGGCTATATGTGCACATGCTGCCATTTGCACAGCAAATTCTGAGAATTCTGCCCTCGTTTGTTGCATTGTTAAAATAAAACTGTTAAAAGTTCAATGCATTCCAGAGATAAAACGTTATAGCATAAAAGAAGAGTAGAGCGATAGAAACATGCAGACAACTCTTTGTATTAACAGCAAGGTTGCTAGATTCATAGCTGGGGCAATCAGAATAAGGGCCACTACCTGGACTGCTGATTCAAGGACTTTAAATTGTGCTCTTATATCAAATTTCTTTTTCTTCATATACAGTGGTACCTCGGGTTAAGAACTTAATTCGTTCTGGAGGTCTGTTCTTAACCTGAAACTGTGCTTAACCTGAAGCACCACTTTAGCTAATGGGGACTCCTGCTGCCGTTGCGCCGCCGGAGCACGATTTCTGTTCTCATCCTGAAGCAAAGTTCTTAACCTGAGGAAATATTTCTGGGTTAGCGGAGTCTGTAACCTGAAGCGTATGTAACCCGAGGTACCACTGTACTGTAATGTTTTACTGTTGCTATGGCCATTGGCTAATGTGAATAAAGTTTTATCTTATCAGCTAAGTATGCATCCACCACACCTTTCCTTCAAGGAAAGAAGAGCAAGGGTTCTTCCATTTATATCCTAACAACAAGGTAGGTTAGGCTGGCCCAAGATTACCCGGTAAGCTTCTATGGCCAAGTGGGCAACTTGGGTCACCCCAATCCTAGCCTAACACTCTAAATACTGATGGCTCTTCTGGGGCTCCTGAGTACCGTTCACAACTCTGTTTCTTCATCTAGGGCAGACCCAAAATTCTACACCCCACTCTTCTCCTCCGCCTGCTGCTGGGAACTAGGACTGGGTTGCGTTAAGAATAGCTGCTGTGGTTAAGAAGAGCACAGCTGTTTCAGTTGCCTGTACGGATTGCTCAGAGGAAGGCCTGTTTAGCAGTTCGTGCCTTGCACGAAGAAGGGTCCCAGAAGCCCAAGCAGGCAAGCAGGAGACCTCTTCAGGCATGGGACCCTATGGTGATTTGAACCACAGACCCTGCAGAGGGCTTGTGGGAGTCGTTGGGTGCAGGGATACCAAAGGCGTCAGAACGGCCAGTTCTAATGCTTTATTCTTGCAGCAAATCAGGCTGCCAGGCCTAGCCTTCTCTTGCAGAGATGCAATACGGACACCGCAGCAAGGAAGCAAAATTGCACATATTCTTTATACATGCGTCACACTGCCCAGGACCTCCCATCGCTCCACCTGCCCAAAGGAGGGCATAGGTGGCAAATACCCAGTTATTACAGATAGCTCCCCTTTCTGGGCTTAGAGGCCAGCATCCTGAGCCCACAGATAAGGACAACATCAAAGCAAGCCAGTTAGCTTATATCCAAGCAACTGAATGTAAGCAGGCCTGAGCTCATTGCAGCTACAACAACTACCAATTTGTTGTAAGGTTATCTTCGCTGCCAAGATGGCGTGAGCGGAATTTCTGGGACAGTTCACCTTTGGTTCAACACACACGGAGCCCAGCTGGGGACATAGAAGAACCTGCTATAGGCCTAAGGCAGCCTGATGTTCTAGTCTTGCCCATACCCCCAACAAACTGCCCCCCACCAACCATCACATCTCAAACCCTGCCCCAAACCCATATTTCCCTCCTTTGCCTCCGAGACTTTTCTGGAACAAAGGCAGAACCTCCTTCCTCTGTCAGCGGCTCTCAAGGGTCTCTTGCAGAAACAGAGGCCTTTCTCAATACAGTGGTACCTCGGGTTACATAGGCTTCAGGTTACACACTCCGCTAACCCAGAAATAGTGCTTCAGGTTAAGAACTTTGCTTCAGGATGAGAACAGAAATCGTGCCTCCAGCAGGAGGCCCCATTAGCTAAAGTGGTGCTTCAGGTTAAGTACAGTTTCAGGTTAAGAACGAACCTCCGGAACGAATTAAGTACTTAACCCGAGGTACCACTGTAAGCCAGAGCATGAGCATGAATGGGTTTTGGAGCATGACGGCTGGTCTGCCAAGGGCCAAGTGTAGGCTGCAACAGAAATCGTGCTCCGGCGGCGCAGCAGCAGCAGCAGCAGCAGGAGGCCCCATTGGCTAAAGTGGTGCTTCAGGTTAAGAACAGTTTCAGGTTAAGAACGGACCTCCAGAACGAATTAAGTGCTTAACCCGAGGTACCACTGTACCTGCTAACTGGAGATAACAACAACAACAGCAGCAACAACAACATATCCTGCCCATCTGACTGGGTTGTCCCAGTCACTCTGGGCAGCTTCCAACATAATATAAAAACACAGCAAAACATCAAACATTAAAAAGTTCCCGATACAGGGCTGCCTTCAGATGTTCTACCCATGAGCATTTATCAGTCCTTCTCATCTCAGGAGGAAGCAGACCTCGTGGCCAGGAACGACAAAAAGAAACTCTTTATCAGGCACCTCTTAGAAGTCTCACGCGGAAGAGTCTGCGTGAAAGCAACCCTGAGAGGACACTGGGAATGATATGCCAGCAGCCAGCAAGGAAATCTAGAAGGAAACATGAATATGACTGAGCTCGGGACCTTTTGCATGCAAAGGCCTTGCCAGAAATGGCTTCCGCTAAAGTTTACAGGGTGACCATAATATGGTATACTGGTTTAAACATCTATGTGAAAATCCAATGACATTAAAAACAAAAAATTGGGGGTAGAATCATAGAATCATAGAGTTGGAAGAGACCACAAGGGCCATCGAGTCCAACCCCCTGCCAAGCAGGAAACACCATCAGAGCACTCCTGACATATGGTTGTCAAGCCTCTGCTTAAAGACCTCCAAAGAAGGAGACTCCACCACACTCCTTGGCAGCAAATTCCACTGTCGAACAGCTCTTACTGTTCAGGAAGTTCTTCCTAATGTTTAGGTGGAATCTTCTTTCTTGTAGTTTGGATCCATTGCTCCGTGTCCGCTTCTCTGGAGCAGCAGAGAGGTCCCTCTGGAGCAGCAGAGAGGTCCCTCTCTGCACCTCTCTGGGTCCAGAGAGGGAGACAGAATCATGGCCATGTGAATCCCAAAGCATGTCCCCACCCACTAGGGAGCATCGCCCTTCCATCTCAGAAGCCACTGTTCCGCCACGTGCTCTCTGGGGAGCACAGAAAAGGAAGAAGTTCTAAGAAGCAGCAATTCAGAGAAAAAGCAACCTCAGAGCTGCCTAGAACTGAGAACACAGAGGGGTGGGGGAGGAGGGGGGGGAGAGACCAGGGCATAAATTAAGAGAAAGAAAGAAAATGAAGAAACTAAAAGAGGAAGTGATACATTCCTGCGATAAGGAGGCCAGCAAAGTCCGGTCTTCGAAGAAGTCTCCACCAGCCACTGCAAAAGGCATGCAAGGGACAGTATGCAGAGGATGGGTGAGATTTGGAGCCACAGCAAGAAAGGGACATTTCCAAATACAGTGCTACCTCGGGTTAAGTACTTAATTCGTTCCGGAGGTCCGTTCTTAACCTGAAACTGTTCTTAACCTGAAGCACCACTTTAGCTAATGGAGCCTCCCGCCGCCGCTGCACGATTTCTGTTCTCATCCTGAAGCAAAGTTCTTAACCTGAGGTAATATTTCTGGGTTAGCGGAGTCTGTAACCTGAAGCGTATGTAACCTGAAGCGTATGTAACCCGAGGTACCACTGTAATGTGCCCCCACTCAAGGACTTTTCAGGAAGATGAAAGAGGCTGATATGTCCAAGCCTCAAAAATCCAGGAGTGGCACAAACTGCCCTCACGTGCCAGTCTCCAAGGCCGTTCTTTCCAATTACAGTGGTACCTCGGGTTACAAACACTTCGGGTTACAGACTCCGCTAACCCGGAAGTAGTAACTCGGGTTAAGAACTTTACCTCAGGATGAGAACAGAAAATCGTGCGGCGGCAGTTAGCTAAAGTGGTACCTCAGGTTAAGAACGGTTTCAGGTTAGGAACGGACCTCCGGAACAAATTAAGTACTTAACCCGAGGTACCACTGTACAGACAAAACATCGAAAGAAACAAACTGGTATGAAACGGTAAAAACATCCCTAAGATCACGTTGAGTGGCGGGGAATATATAAGTGAATTATGCATCCTTCATTACACACTTTGGAAAGTATGTACAGTACCTATAAATGCCAAACATAATGGGATGGCTACAACAACAGCAGGCCTGCGAAGTTAGCAACAACCTTGGAGTCAGTGGCATAATATCTAAATAAAGAAGATCAGAATACCCAGTGCCGGATTTGTGTATAAGCTAAACAAGCTATAGCTTAGGGCCCCACTCTCCTAACCCCCCCCCCCAAATTTCACTGTTAATATACTTCTTCTTAATTGTATTTCAGTTAACAATTACTTTGATAAAATACATATTTTGTTGTGTGCAAATGGCTTTAGATACCTATTAGGTCCATAAATTGGGACGCGGGTGGTGCTGTGGGTTAAACCACAGAGCCTAGGACTTGCTGATCAGAAGGTTGCGTTCACTTCGGGATGCGAACGGGGCTCCGGAACGGATCCCGTTCGCATCCAGACGTACCACTGAACAAGAGAGCAGGTCCCTGCCCCAAAGAGCTTACGGTGGCGCTGTGGTCTAAACCACAGCCTCTTGGGCTTGTCGATCGGAAGGTTGGTGGTTCGAATCCCCGCGACGGGGTGAGCTCCCGTTCCTCGGTCCCAGCTCCTGCCAGCCTAGCAGTTCGAAAGCACCTCAAAGTGCAAGTAGATAAATAGGTACCGCTCCGGCGGGAAGGTAAAACAGCGTTTCCGTGCGCTGGTCTGGTTCGCCAGAAGCGGCTTAGTCATGCTGGCCACATGACCCGGAAGCTGTACACCGGCTCCCTCGGCCTATAAAGCGAGATGAGCGCCGCAACCCCAGAGTCGGTCACGACTGGACCTAATGCTCAGGGGTCCCTTTACCTTTTTAGGTCCATAAATGACCATATAGCATATATTCAACACAAAAAAACAGTGACATTTTGTTGCTGACAAAGGACAGCTGGACATATAAAGGGCCCCATTACCTTCAGTGGCTTAGGGCCTCATCAAACCTAAATCTGGCCCTGGGAATATCGATAAAAAGTTCAGGATAGCACACCTCTCGAAAAAGAAAAGTGGGCAGAAAGTAGTCTAGGCTCTTCTGGTGATGAACTAATGAAAGAAATGAAGGGAGACCAGTTCAGTTACCATAAAATTCACTGTGATAATGTCGCCTCTAACTACTCTGGAAGTGCTTCTAAGATATAGCACGCTACACAATTAAGCTGCGCCAAGCTTTTAGTCCTCTTCATCTGTGGCTTAATTCGCCCTGGAACATCACAACCAAGATGACCAGCGTTTTTAGAGTGTGCCAGGAGAGGTTGACTGGAATGTAAGGGGGATCCATGTACATTATCTTGAGATTCTTGGAGGAAAAGGTGAGATTTAAATGTTTTAAATAAATAAAATGGGTTTGATACTAGTACAGCTACTGTGGATTGCTCCAGGAGAAGTTTGCTCAACCTGACGTATTTATATAAGAAGAAGAAAAAGATTACCATGAAATGTTTTCAGTTTAGGGAAGACTTGGACAGCTCAAAGGTCATTTGCAAGCGAAGAGATATTACTATCTGCTTCTTGCCATTACATTTCTAACTCACCTTTCCTCCCAAGGAGCTAAAGGTGGTTCTCTACACTTTCGATCTCATCCTGACAACAACCCTGTGAGGTGAGTTAGGGCTGAGAGGCTGTGACCGGTGAAGGGTCACTCAACGGACATCATGGCTGAGTGGTGATTACTGGAGAGTTAATGATCTAACAATGCTCCCACAGTTTTTTCAAACCATGGAGGCTGAGAGCATAGCCCTTGTGGCTAGAAGCCATCAATTGGCCTCTCCTCCATGAATTTGTGAATATGCTGTGACCAATTGCCCAATGTGAAAAAGAGGGTTGTCCGGAGGCCTCCCTCCCCCCATTCCATGATTATGATTAAATATTATTATTTAAATTTATTACCTGCCTCTCGCCTTAAGGTTCCAGGGTAGGTCAGAGCAATTAAATGTTACAAACAGTGAAAAACAACTTACATGGTACACTATTGCAATATTTGGCAAAAGGGTGGCTTAAAAGCATTTCAGAATATTAAATAAATGTGGGTTCAGAGGCAGCACAGAATAGGTGGATGATGTGGGATCCAGCTTCCTCAGCACCTCGTTTTGAACCAAAGAAAGATCCCAGTCCTCATGGATGCAGTCTTGTACCCGGCAAGCAGTAGATGGTAGTCAAAGCTAAGAAACAGTGAGAGACTTTGACTACCGCATCTTCCCCTGCCCTTCCCCTCAGCTGGCACAGAGTATGTTCTGTGTATTCATTGCGAATGAATCACGCGAGTTTCTGCTCAGCATGATTTCGTACACATCTCAGAATTCAGTTCATCCTACTACAGAATACTATTCATTTACAGTGGTACCTTGGTACTCGAACGGCTTGGCTCCTGAACAAATCGGCTCCTGAACGCCGCAAACCCAGAAGTGAGTGTTTTGGTTTGCGAACATTTTTCGGAAGCTGAACATCCAGCGCGGCTTCCTATTGGCTGCAGGAAGCTCCTGCAGCCAATCGGAAGCCGCGCCTTGGTTTTCGAACCGTTTCGGGAGTCTAATGGACTCCTGGAATGGATTAAGTTCGAGAATCAAGTTACCACTGTATTTAAGTACAGATTTTTTTTTAAAATAAAAAACAAGAACACAGCACTTCTTTTTGTGCTTTGAATATCTGTCACAAGGATTTCTCAGGGGGGTGGGAAGCATATGATAGCAGGTTTGGCTGACATTACTCTTATTATTATGGTTATTAAATAGGGATCCATTCTGGTCAGGATCAAGGGGAAGCTACAGGTCTCAATAGAAAAAAACCCCCAGCAACTACTGCCTCCCAAAACCACACATATCCCAAGAGAGCTAGCAAAGTCAGGCTTTGACCAAGTGGCAGATCTACACTTGCAACGGGAAGCGAGACTGCAAAGTCACATTAAAGCAGACACTCCAAGTGTCCTTATTTCCCAAGGACAGTCCCGGATTGACAGAAACCGTCCCAGTTTCTGATTTGATCCCGGATTGTCCCACTTTCCCTCACGACGCCCCAATTTTCATCGGAGGAATGTTGGAGGGTATGCGGTCACAGCTGGAAGCGAGATTGCAAGGCCGCAGGAAAGTCACAGCGGCCATCTTTTCCTCTCAAAAGCTTGGAATCGCTATTGCGGACTACAACTCCCATCAGCCTCAGCCAGCACGACCATACGGAGCTGGGGCTGATAAGACCGTAAGAACAGCCTTCCGGATCAGGCCAGTGGCCCACCTAGTGCGGCATCCTGTTCTCAACAATGCCCAACCAGATACCCATGAGAAACCCACAAGGAGGAAGCGAGGACAAGAGCCCTCACCCTTTTTGTGGTTTACAGGAACTGATATTCAGAAGCACGGCTGCCTGTAGCCGTGAAGGCAGAGTAGAGGCATCATAGCCAGTAGCCACTGATAAGCTTCTTGTTGCCCCCTGCTAACCCCCCACCCAAAAAACACAACCCTCTAGTAGCCTTGAGCTCTTTGGAGAAAAGATGGGATAGGCAGAATGGTTCCCAAGGAACTCTGGGGCTACCATAAATATAATAAATAAATAAATTTTATTTGTATCCCGCTCTCCCCAGCCAAAGCCGGGCTCAGAGCGGCTAACATCATATAAATAAGACAATATGCATAATACAATATACAATATGCAAATAAAATAACATTCAACATTCATTAAAATATAGAATAATATTAAATATCAGCATTTCAAAATTAAACAGAAATCCACAGTAATTTCTAAACTCCAATCAATAAAACAACAGCAAACCACAGTGCACAACATAATACAATACAAAATGAGAAGCAGAGACTGGACTCTCTCAGCTCCCTTCCTCCGAAACCTGAAATGTGAGCAGTGCTGGTTTTGAGGGGCACCTGGACAAGGTGCCTTCTTGTGGGTCCTGTCCTTGCTGCTGAGTCCAGCAGCCAGCATTTTAGATATTGCACAATGCCACAATTGTCACTCCCAATTTAAATGGCAGATCCCAGACTCTTTTCAAATCACAGAGGCAGGCTCCATTAGAGTGTAGAGGGGTTGGGAATTGCACTGACTTCAGGCTTCAATAATAATAATAATAATAATAATAATAATAATAATAATCTCTTTTAAGTTAAGCTATTGTTGTTATTCTTATCTATATAACAAACATGAAGTGCATAGCTGTCAATGTTCCCCTTTTTTTAAGGGAAATTTCCTTATTCCGAATAGGATTCCTCGCAAGAAAAGGGAAAGGTTGACAGCTATGATGAAGTGCTTCGAACACAATGATCTGCTACGTTTTTCCTTTTTAGTTTTGAAGAAAACATTTACAGGTTAGACTTTTCACATGCTTAAATGGAACTATGTTTGCTGGGTTAATTTTAAAATGCGCAAAACGACAACAAACCTCTGGTTACGTGAAGCATATTACATCTTGTGTGTTTATTGAATGGGTTAATTTTAAAAGGCAATGAAAAATGAAGGGTCCCCTCATTTATCAGGCTGATCTGCAAACTGTTGTGTGAACTGACCTAGTAACCACTAGGCAAGCTGTCTACCTTCCTCCACCGCCCCTCCACCCCCTCAAAAAAATTGCAAGGGGGACTTCTTGACACAGTTTTGAGATGCTTTTTTTGCGCTGGAAGGAAACAAAATCCCCAGGAAGACCCAAATGCTGACAGGAAATCTGTGTGCAGGCAGGAAGGGGGTCTCTTGGATCGTGGCCACGGGCTTTCCCTCAGTGGATAAAAAACACTGGCCTCAGATGAGGCTCCATCCAGTCACAAAAGCTTCCTTGTTGAAATAGCAAACAGCTGTTTAGCAACAAAATAGAGTAAGAAGTAATTTTTGGTGGGGAGGCAGCCTCCCTCCCCTGCCCCCCCCCAGGGCCACTAAACATGCATTTCTTATGAAGACGAACACATTGAAGGAAAGATGCCGATTGGAGGCATTAAAAATATGTTGGCAAAAGCCAGGGAGAAGATGAGAAACCCCCATCATTGCTCTGATAAGAAAACAGAACAAATAACTTAAAGGACGTGTAGGGTGTGCATGGGGGGAAGGGGGGGGGTTGTTCCTGCTTTCAAGCTGGATTGAACGACAAGCAAAGTATTTCGTTACTAAAAAGCCTTGAATGAAAAGAAGAAGAAGGTGCCTAACCACACATTTTCATTTTGATTGAGGACCGAGGGGCTGGTCCCTGTCAGGCGGAATCTGGTGCCGCGATTCACTCTCGGTTCCTTCAAAACAAAACTGGTTTTGGGGAGAAGATTTGACAGAAAGAGACAAAATCCGCCCCGAGAGTTAACCTCAAGGGCAGGAATTAAAGAAATAACTCATTGTGTGTGAGGGTAGAAGGGGAAGGGGTGGGGGAAGCAACCACAATATTGACAGGGTTTGTTGTTGTTTACAGTCGAAGAAGCCCACTTTTAGGAGTCGGCAGCCGGCGGCCTTAGGGCCATACCCAGCCCAAAAAGGCTTCCCTATTTGTGTGCTCCCAAAGCAGAGCCCTTAGTCCCAAAGGCCCCTTCCACACACAGCCACAATATCATGCGGAGATATGAGACTTGATGCTGGATCTGACCAAAGGGGGCCCATCTACCCCAAAACCCATTGGCCACCAGCCTTTGGGATGTCTGCAAGCAGGATGTAAACATCCTGTCTGTCCGCATTTGTGATTCCCAGCAAATGGTATTCAAAGTGTCTTTGAAACTGGAGGCAGGACACACACCCCTTGGCTGAAAGCAAAGGGCTCTTTAACCCCCCTCATCCCTGGTGCAAAGGGCAAGCAAGGCTCTGCAAGGTTCTCCTAGCTGTTAAAGGTAAAGGGACCCCTGACCATTCGGTCCAGTCGTGACCGACTCTGAGGTTGCGGTGCTCATCTCGCTTTATTGGCCAAGGGAGCCGGCGTACAGCTTCTGAGTCATGTGGCCAGCATGACTAAGCCGCTTCTGGCGAACCAGAGCAGCGCATGGAAACGCTGTTTACCTTCTGGCCGGAGTGGTACCTATTTATCTACTTGCACTTTGACTGCTTTTGAACTGCTAGGTTGGCAGGAGCAGGGACTGAGCAACAGGAGCTCACCCCATCACGGGGATTCGAACCGCCAACCTTCTGATCGGCAAGTCCTAGGCTCTGTGGTTTAACCCACAGCGCCACCCGCGTCCTAGCTGTTACTTGGGTTCTTTGCATGAGCCAAAAGTCATATTGGCACAGGCACATGGGTGTGCAAGTAGAGAACCCCAAGACCGAAGGCTTCAAGAGGTGTTTTGCCTATGTGTTGGGCTCAGGCGCAGGAGGACTGCCTCAGCCCCAAAGCTGTAAATGTGGTTAGAAATGCTGTTTGCAGGCATGTTGTGGTGTTGCAATAAAAGCCCTTTACAGGGAGCTGTTTTTTATTTAGTGCAAGGGACGCACACAGCCCTTTGAGCGCCAGGCACAAACGCCACATGCTCCTCACAGAAGTTGCGCTGCTTGTCAACATCCCGTTGCTAACTTAAGGGCACAAGTGATTAGGAATCCTACCAGTATATTGTACAAGGAAATAAAAAAAAAAAAAGGAAATTTGGATTACATAACGTATTAGCTCATCAAATAGAGCTTAAACTCACTTGTGTAAGACAGAGATACTGGGAGAATGGTGAAAGACCAGGAAAGATTTTGACTAATCGTCTAAAGAAAGACAAGTCAGCAATCCCACTTACTAGAGGAGATAGAGGTGATGTTTACAAAACTTCAAAAATCATTTTTTAAAAATTCTACTTGGAATTATATATTAACCCAGAAGAAGTTCCCTATGAAGACGTAGAGGCCTTCTTTAATAAAAATAAAATTACCATATTTAGATGATTCACAAAAGCAAAATTTATTAGCATTCCATTGCTGAGCTTTCCCCACTTTCATAGTTCCAATGCCTGGCGGTACCATCCTAAGCACAGGCCACAGGGTTGAGATGCATGCAAAAAGCAGATACTTTGCAGGAGTGTGTGTGTGTGTTTGTGTGTGTGTGACGTTCAAACTGTAAATAACCAATTGCCTATTTATTTATTTATTTTCGTAACATTTATCTACTGCTTAATTACCAAAAAAAATCCCTCGAAGCATTTTACAAAACTAATAAAACAATAAAAGTTTCAGTAAAAACAGCTATTTAAATATTCAAACAGACTTTTTAAAATAACCAATAAGCTAAATACGTATCAACATTCTACACACTCGGGTAGGCTTGTCTAAAGAAACATGTTTTTAGCAGGCACTGAAAACAGTACATCAAAGGCCTGGTGTCAATAGGCAGGGAGTTCCAAAGTACCGTATTTTTTGCTCTATAAGACTCACTTTTTCCCTCCTAAAAAGTAAGGGGAAATGTGTGTGCGTCTTATGGAGCGAATGCAGGCTGCGCAGCCATCCCAGAAGCCAGAACAGCAAGAGGGATTGCTGCTTTCACTGCGCAGTGATCCCTCTTGCTGTTCTGGCTTCTGAGATTCAGAATGTTTTTTTTCTTGTTTTCCTCCTCCAAAAACTAGGTGCGTCTTATAGAGCAAAAAATACGGTAGTTGCTGCAACAATAAAATATCTGTTTCTTAACAAATGTGCAACAGGGCTAGATTCACAGGTCGAAGCAGTCAAGTGGACAAACATAGGGTCAAGCTATCTTGCAAGTTAACTGGTCCCAAGGTTTTAAGGCCTTTTCATATACCTTGAACTTGGCCTGGTACCAAACGGGAAACCATAGCACATCTCTGAGCACAGGTGTTCTATGTGCACCTGTCAGCAATCGTGCTGCAGCGTTCTGCAACTTCTGAAGCCCCACACAGAGCGCAAACTTTGCCTCCAGGTGACCAGATCTGCCCCCACAAAAGAGAGGCGCAACATGAGCAATACTAACCATTATGGGCTTGATAGGATTTATTGTGAGTGCAGATTTTATTTGTTAGCAGGGACCTCCCTGGGCACGGACCCCCGCCCCACTCCCTTCCTGTCCTCCTTCCCCCCACACCTCACTTCCCCTTGACGTCCTTGCCAAATGCGCGGCTGGCACCGAGCACGAGAAGGCAGGAAACAGACGGGAGCACATTCATGCGCTCTCCGGCCCAAACGAACAAAGACATGCAAGCCCTGCAGGAAGTCAAAGAGGAAGATCTCAAGAGAGCTCGTTCCCCAAATTAGACTGCGTTAGCAGCCCATCGCGCAAGCGGAAGAGAAACTCTCTGCATTAGCCAGATGAGAAAACCTGCTGAGGCGGCAAAAAAACCCAATAACTCCAAAAAAGGGGGGGGGGGGTGGAGAGAGAGAGAGAGAGAGAGAGAGAGAGAAATTTAGAGGGAGACAGGGGATTTGAAACTTCCTTCTGCTAATAGGTTCAGGTTTTTGCAGACTGGAGAAACAGGTCTCTCTAATCTATTCTTCACCAATGTGAGCAGCCACATAAGATTGGGTGCAGTCCCCATTCCCTCCCTTCACTGGCAGGTCCAGGGGGGGGACATGTGACAGCAACTCAAAATTCAGAATTAAAAACACTTAAAGCATATGACATTCACAGGAACGGGGATGGGCCCTGAAAACTCACATCTCAGATGGAAAAAGGCCTGCATTCACTGAAAGCTGTACAGCGAAGACCACCAACGCACCTGAGTTCCACAGCTTAGGGGCTGCCACAGACAAGGCCCTGCAGGCAATAATCAAGGTATAGGGCTTTTCTCTGGTGTGAGAGAGGGCGAGGGAGGTGGCCTCTTCTAAAGCGATCCAAAACAAAACACAGGTCTGCCTTTTCCCTTTAGACCATTTGTTGCTTTCCCATGTGCAGATATGCATGCAATTAATTGACTAAGATTTTTCTCTTTATATAGCAGGCCTGCTAAATGGTCACTAACAGACCTTTGTTCTGCTTTCAGATTTCTTCTGAAACCCTTCATTCACAGTCATGCGGACTAGAATCTTACTTTACTGGCGGGTTCCGGGCCCAAGCGAGATTCAGGTTGCGGAGGGGGGGGTGTCCCCCATTTTGTAGCTCAGCTCCTTTGCTGTTTATAACCAGAGTCCAAATACGTTTTCCCAAGTCTTAAATTGTGGGAGAGTGTAAACACCCTCAGGAAGTAACTGCAGCTCCTCCGAATGAGCTGATTCAGGACTTTCATTCTACCTCAGCAGAGACAACCTGATGCAATTTTTGGTGCCTGATGCAAACCACAAAACAGTGCCTCCACTTCCCACCAGGGAAGAAAGGGTGAGTGAGGATGTACATCTCGAAAGGGGGAGGGGATAAAGATCTACATTGAGATCTGCTGCCCCTGTGGATCCTGCCACCTGAGGCGGTTGCCTCACCTTGCCTCATGGGTAGGGCCGGCCCTGTAGCTCAGTATACCCAAAAGAATCATAGAATCATAGAGTGGAAGAGACCACAAGGGCCATCGAGTCCAACCCCCTGCCAAGCAGGAAACACCATCAGAGCACTCCTGACATATGGTTGTCAAGCCTCTGCTTAAAGACCTCCAAAGAAGGAGACTCCACCACACTCCTTGGCAGCAAATTCCACTGTTGAACAGCTCTTACTGTCAGGAAGTTCTTCCTAATGTTTAGGTGGAATCTTCTTTCTTGTAGTTTGGATCCATTGCTCCGTGTCCGCTTCTCTGGAGCAGCAGAAAACAACCTTTCTCCCTCCTCTATGTGACATCCTTTTATATATTTGAACATGGCTATCATATCACCCCTTAACCTCCTCTTCTCCAGGCTAAACATGCCCAGCTCCCTTAGCCGTTCCTCATAAGGCATCGTTTCCAGGCCTTTGCCCATTTTGGTTGCCCTCCTCTGGACACGTTCCAGTTTGTCAGTGTCCTTCTTGAACTGTGGTGCCCAGAACTGGACACAGTACTCCAGGTGAGGTCTGACCAGAGACAAGCCGGGAGGTGGGGGTCAATCCAGAGCAAGGCCTTCTGCATCGTAGTCCTTCCTGGGTGGAGAACAGTCCCCCGAAGAGAGGGAAAATTCCCCCCTCTACACACAACCGCACACACAGGCGGAGAATATGGTTCATTAAAATAGGCCCTTTTGGAATCACAAATACGATACGATACAATACGATAATCTTTATTGTCATTGTCCCATACAGAACAACGAAATTGAAAAAATCTACATCAGGCATTCAAAAACCCACAAGCCTGCTATCCCAGCTATGCAGCCTGGTTAGCCCCTAAAAACTCTGATACCCCATAATTGAATACAATATAAGACTACCTTACGCTGTGTTTAAAACCAAAATCGCATTTGGATAGAAACTGTTTCTCAGGCGGCTAGTCCTAGTCTTTATAACCCTGTACCTTCTTCCAGAAGGCAGAAGCTGAAAGAGATCATTTCTGGGGTGTGCACTATCCTGCGCTATCTCTGCAGTCTTCTTATGGCACCTGGCAGCATAGATTTGATCCAAGGTGGGAAGAGCGCACCCAATTATTCTCTCCGCAGTCTTTACAACCCTGGACAGCAATGTTTTTTCCCTGACATTGCAGCTCCCAAACCACACACACAGACTATAAGTTAATACACTCTCCACAGTACAATGGTAAAATGCCATCAACAAGTCCTTTGAGAGATTATTTTTCCAGAGGATTCTCAGAAAATATAACCTTTGCTGTGCTCTCTTCATTAGGTCTTTGCCGTTTTCTCCCCAGGTTAGGTCATCTCTCAACTCCATTCCCAGAAATCAAAACACCGAGACCTGTCCCACACACTTCCCCTCAATAATAAGTGGCTGAATATTCAATTTACATTTCCTAAAGTCCACAATAATCTCTTTTGTTTTATTTAACTTCAGGAGTAAGTCGCAACTGGTTCTATTTGATTTTGTTGTTTGGAGGCTACATACCGTTGACTTTTTAACATAAGCATCCCCATGTGTTGTTTTTTTGTGAAACGGGTGATGAATAATAACAATAAATTCATAGCAATAACAACTTATTTATTCCAGGAAACCTTGCTACCAACAGACAGCCCTCCCTGCTCTCTGGCAAGGCTAAACAAAAGGAGTCAGGGAGTTCGTTCTCTTTCCTTTCTTTCTGTATTGCATCTTATCTAAAAATAGGACTAGATGTCCTCTGGTAGAAATTGCTGCAGAACAAGAGATGTTTGTGAAACAGATTTGTCTTTGTGAGCAAGTGTACAAGGCTGCAATCCCATGTGCTGGTTGTTGTTCCCCAACAGCGCCAGCTCCAATCTGGATCGGGCCCTCACAGCTGATTTCTTCCCTGGGATCAGCCCACCTGAGAAGTGTTGTAACTGCTGACAACCCCCCCCCCCAAACCCCTGGGTCTCCCCTAATGAACGAACAGCGCAGTGATTTGCAATTGACTCCTACCTGCATTTACCTTTACCTAAGTCTTCCAGCCCCTTCATGGATCACTGCCTTGCCATGGCGAAGGGGCTTGAATAACTCAGAGAAGCTATGAGCTATGCCTTGCAGGGCCACCCAAGATGGACAGGTCATAGTGGAGAGTTTTGACCAAACGTGATCCACCTGGAGCAGGAACCAGCAAGCCACTCCAGTATCCCTGCCAAGGAAACTCCATGGACAAAGCCAATCAGATCCTGAAGCTGAGGCTCCAATACCCATAGACGGCAAGAAGATCAAACCTCTCCATTCTGAAGGAAATCAGCCCTGAGTGCTCACTGGAAGGACAGATCCTGAAGCTGAGGCTCCAATACTTTGGCCACCTCATGAGAAGAGAAGACTCCCTGGAAAAGACCCTGATGTTGTAAAAGATGGAGGGCACAAGGAGAAGGGGACGACAGAGGACGAGATGGTGGGACAGTGTTCTCGAAGTCAGCAGCATGAGTTTGACCAAACTGTGGGAGGCAGTGGAAGACAGGAAGGCCTGGCGTGCTCTGGTCCATGGGGTCACGAAGAGTCGGACATGACTAAACAACAACAACAAGTCTTCCAATTCAATCAGGAATTGAAAGGTTTGGAATAATTTCCAACCTTGAAGGCTACTGATGATGCCCAGCGCTCATAGATTGTTCCTGTTCAGAAGCGGCCTTGCGAGCAAAACATAAGCCTGTCAGCTGCTGCTACCTTGCGCTGTTGACATCATCTTCTCCCCGGCAGCACCCTTTGTTGTGTTAGGCCACAAGTCCAGTGCAACAGCAGAACATTCTTCCTGGCATGCTGCCCTCTGAGCAAGCTGGCACCAGGCCTTCCTGCCTGCCATTTTGGAAACATGCTAAGAAAAAAACCGAGCCCATACTGAAAACAAGAACTTTCCATAACTTCATGTTATTAAACTAACTGTCAATAGATTACACAACCTTTTAATGCTCATTTGCGCACCAGGGTGGGATGTTCAAAAAATAAGATCGCCACACCAACACGCAGCGCTAGCAGCTTTTTATATAACTTGGAAATCTGTATTTTAATAAGGAAGGGGAGGGGGTGCTCCTTGCACTGTGGTCTTCTCTTCAAAGAGCCCATCTCCTTTTGCACACCCTGACTGTCCCAGCAACAGAGTTTTCAAAATGAGAAACACTTCATGCTTTAGTGATTAATGCCAAAACGCGTAGCTGAGCTGCTCTGAAGTCTTAGCCGGAAATGACCAATGATGGAAAAAAGCTGTGGTTTAATAAATGACAAACAAAGATTTTGACACATCTTGTCTCCTCTTGCAAAACTTGGAGAGGAAAATGCTCCTCAGCGGGGGGCGGGGGGGGGGGCGGGGAGAGAGAAACCAGCACGAAACCCCAACACTTGCTTGCTAGACAGCCTTCGAAGAAAAATTTAAAAAACCTCAGAGTTTCCGAATTTAAAGAGCGGGGAGGGAGGCTTAATCAGGGCTGTGACTCAACTGGGGCTTAGCCCAGAAAACCTCAGTGTTGGTACTCAAGAGCAGTTTCACACATTTCACACAAATTAAAGAGGAATAAAATATTGGGGTGGGAGGCCAGGTAAACTCCACCCCCACATAATCGATCGCAAGATGTGGTACATGCACACTATTTGAATGGCAATGCCCAAATATTTTGGGGGGGGGGAGAGCGGAGGGACGTCAGCCCCTAGAAGTTAGCTCCTAAGACACAAAAACAGTAAGAAAAGCCCAGTTTTGCAGAGAAGCGCCTATCTGGCAACAAGCAGGCTTGCCAACACACATCTTTTTAGATAACTTGACACTCAATGAAATAAATTCCGGGGGGTCGGGAATTAAAAAATTCTGAAAAGTACTCTTAGAAATACAATGCGCTAAGAAGCCCTGGCTTTAGTGTATTAATACAGTGTGCCCAGTCTATTATTAACATAGCTGTCAAGTGTCCCTTATTTGAAGGGACAGTCCCTTATTCCAGAGCCATGTCCCGCTGCTGTCCCTTATTGATGGATGTCCCTTAAATGTCCCTTAAATGATGTCCCTTAAATTTCAAAGGAAGCAGCTCCTCTCCCTCCCTCCCTGCCGGCCAGGGCGGAGGGAGGCTCCACCTGTGTTGCTTGGCTGTGTTGCTCACCCAATAAGAAGTCTAAGAACGACTGGGGGGTGGAGCTTGCATGCCTTGTGTGTGGCTAGTTAATGCAAGCTGAGAGGGTTTTTGAATGCTGGACACCATTTTGTTGCACGTGCTGCTGCAAACTTTGCAGTGCAAAGCCAGGCCGGGGAGCCATCTTAAGTTGAGGCTGCATAGGCCTTGTGGTGCATGTGATTCAGATTCTATTCAGTTGAACCTCTGGTTACAAAGTTGGGTGGACAGTGTTCTCGAAGCTACCAGCGTGAGTTTGACCAGACTGCAGGAGGACAGGAAGACTGGAGTGCCTGGAACAGGTGAGGCTGCAGGTCCCTTACTTTGGCTGCTGGTCCCTTATTTTCAAGGCTGCTGGTCCCTTATTTTCAAATCTGTAAGTTGGCAGCTATGATTATTAACTATTAGCATTTATTTATTCATTTTATTCTTAATCTCTAGTTATTACACTGACACCCAACCTTTCCGTAAGGAGCTTGGCAGCCCCTTTTAACCCTCGCTCACAGCAACCCTGTGGGGTAGCTGGGGGTGCAGAGTACGACCAGGTCACACAATGAGCTCCTTGTCTGAATGAGGATATGAACCAGGATCTCCCAAGCTTTGGCCCAATGCTCATCTACACCACCCCTTCTATGCCAAGTGCTCTATGCCAACCTCTTCTTACAGAGAAAATGTTTAATTTGAAATCTGTTTACAGATTCAAAGGCAAGGCAAAGACTTTCAAAGGCGTACCGCAGAACCAGGGATGCTCTGGAGCGTGATAAGAGTGCTTTTCTATTGCTTCAACCTGCCTCCTTCTATACACCAAGCTTTCTATGCAATACATTTTGGATTCAGCCCCTGCCTCAGAGACAAAGACTGAACCGACAAGACTTTTTTCTCTTGTGCTTTTGAGCATAGCTGGGGAGTCTGAGGCCTCCAGAAGCTGTTTGATGGATAGGCATACCTGTCAATTTCAGTCTCTTTCAATCTCTCGTTTCTTGCTTGCTCTCAAAGGCACATTGAGTACAAAGCAACTTTCCCCAACACTCTCCTTTTTATATGTTATTTTCACTAATATATGCCTCTTATGCCCACTGCACTTTGTGTGCCTTATTTGTTTGGAGAAACCACAAAATCTGGAGAGGTGCAAATTTCGAGCGACAGCAGAGTTTCAGTTTACGGACTCTTTCGGAAAGTGCAAATCAGGCAGGTTCGCATTAGAATCTCAACCGCGCCTGGTTTTTCCCCTCCTCTCCATCCCTGTTGGACTCCAACTCCCATCAGTCCCAGTCAACACAACCCCTGGTCAGGGACGATGGGAAAAGGAGTCCAACTGCAGCTGCAAGGGACAGCTTGGCCGCCAAAAGGCAAGCAAGATATAAACATTTTAATAAACAGAAGTCAGAAAGGAATAAATAGAGAAATGCGGGTGAGTATTTGCACAAGAGCTGTTTCAGAGCATAGCTGTCAACGTTTTCCCTTTTTTAAGGGAAATTCCCTTATTCCGAATAGGATTCCTCGCAAGAAAAGGGAAAAGTTGACAGCTATGTTTCGAATCCCCGCGACGGGGTGAGCTCCCGTTGCTCGGTCCCTGCTCCTGCCAACCTAGCAGTTCAAAAGCACGTCAAAGTGCAAGTAGATCAATAGGTACCACTCCAGCGGGATGGAAAACGGCGTTTCCGTGCGCTGCTCTGGTTTGCCAGAAGCGGCTTAGTCATGCTGGCCACATGACCTGGAAGCTGTACGCCGGCTCCCTCAGCCAATAAAGCGAGATGAGCACCACAACCCCAGAGTCGGTCACGACTGGACCTAATGGTCAGGGGTCCCTTTACCTTTATGTTTCAGAGGCTCGTCAAAAAGCCAAGTTGGGCATCTCCGCTTCAACCAACTCCCCAGCCTACTCCCACCCACCCCCATATCAAAACAGTTTCGGTGCCGTAACCGAAAAGGAGCTCAGGGCTGCTGCCTCTTCCAAAGAGGAAGCTGTGCGGCAAAGCAGCTCTTTGCAAGCAGGGGCCCCCGCCCTCCCTATGAATGAAAGGCTGCTTTGCAAAAGACTTCTGCTCCATTCACAAAGGCACCAGCCAGCCCAGGGACTTCCGAGCTGGGCCTGCGGTTAGGCCTGCCGTGGCTCAGGGCTGCAAGGTTCTCCTGCCGTGCCTCCAGAGAAATCAAGCACAAGAGACAGAAACCGAAGAGCAGAGCAGATGTATCTGGAACGAGTGGGCTGGGGGTCCCCACACTCGCCCACCCCCATCCACCCCACGGGTTTTGCAAGTATGGAAAGGAGAGGCAAAAAGACATTGCTGTGCTAAGTCTTCAGGTTTCAGAGTGGGAAATGGAACAAGCGGCTGCGTCACAGCCGGATGGTGGTTTCAAAACGTTTTGCTGGCAGGAAACCCTCTGCAGGTTGAGTCCTTTGCTCTGGGGATTCCTGCACCTTGCAAAGGATTGTGGGTCGTATTTTGCAAGGTGTACGCTTCGTAGTTTCTGGAGGAGGCCCAGGCCTCACCGTCTCCACCATGCAAACCAAGGAGCCCCAGTGAACAGCCACTTCAAAGTGAGGATACCTGGAACACACAACTTGGGCCAACAAATCATTCCATCCTTTCCAATGTGGTGTAGTGGTTAAGAGTGGTGGGCTCGTAATCTGGTGAACTGGGTTCGCTTCCCTGCTCCTCCACATGCAGCTGCTGGGTGACCTTGGGCTAGTCACACTTCTCTGAAGTCTCTCAGCCCCACTCACCTCAGAGTGTTTGTTGTGGGGGAGGAAGGGAAAGGAGATTGTTAGCCTCTTTGAGACTCCTTAAATGTAAAGGTAAAGGGACCCCTGACCATTAGGTCCAGTCGTGGCCGACTCTGGGGTTACGGTGCTCATCTTGCTTTATTGGCCGAAGGAGCCGGCATACAGCTTCCGGGTCATGTGGCCAGCATGACTAAGCGGCTTCTAGCGAACCAGAGCAGCGCACGGAAACGCCGTTTACCTTCCCGCCTGAGTGGTACCTATTGATCTACTTGCACTTTGACGTGCTTTCGAACTGCTAGGTTGGCAGGAGCAGGGACCCAGCAACGGGAGCTCACCCCATCACGGGGATTCGAACCGCTGACCTTCTGATCGGCAAGCCCTAGGCTCAGTGGTTTAACCCACAGTGCCACCCGTGTCCCTTTGAGACTCCTTAGGGTAGTGATAAAGCAGGATATCAAATCCAAACTCGTCTTCTTCTCCTCCCCTGGCTGGCCAGTTTACCTAGCACAAACCATAGTTTCGCACATCTGCACGCCCCCACCCCAGTTCAGCTTTGGCCCAGAAGAAAAGAACACAAGAAAGATCGGGGCACCACCTCTTGAACTGAGCACTCATTCTGGTTCGTTTGCAGGGAGATTAGACAACGCTGGCTATTTAATAAACACTGACTCTGATTTGTTTGTAGGGAGGTTAGATGACGTTACAACAAAACAAGTGTCATCCCACACTTTCTTTCTCCCAATCAGCAAACTTTAGACTGGAAGCTCCAAGGGGCAGAGGCCTGACTAATCTTTGCCCATGACAATTAATAGAAACCAAATAAAATAGCAGCATATTCTGTTAAGTTATCGACATTCCAAATTGGTCCCAAATTAGTCCCAAATTACTGGGACCAAGCAAAGGGCCTCAGAGGGAAGCAAGCAAGTGTGATGAAGTGAGGGGAGTCACTGGAGAAATTTATGGGAACCGAGAGAGCCACAAGGACAACGGAGCCTTGGAAATTGCAACAAAAATGACGTCTTTACTCCAGGGAATTATTTATATATCAATTTTTTATCCATTCCATCCTTATACCAGACTAGCGTGGGGGGAGAAATTGGCAGTCCTCAACCAAATTTCACAAGGCCCCCCAAAAATGGGGTACCAGTATGCAGCCCCTGCCAACAGATCAACCCCAGGAAAATATAGCCCTCAACAGGGGAAAAGGGCAAGGGGGGGAATTGCAGGTTCCAATCTAGCTCAAATTACTCATATATACTGAACACTGGCACAAGCCTTCTCTATAAATGTCCAAGTGTTTGTGCGATGGATTGTAGTGTTGTTGTTGTTTCAATTTATATACTGCCCTTTATCAAAAGATCTCAGGGTGGTGTACAGCAATAGAAACACATTACGAAACTTCCATGATAAAAAACTTAATTAAAAACATACTGGCAGACAGCCTAATGGTAAAATAATCACCACCATAACTCTTTTCCTGCACACTTTCACAGGCCATAGATTATTTAATAGCCATAGGCTTGGGTAAAGAGGAATGTTTTCCCTGGCGTCTAAAGATGTGTAATGACGGTGCCAGGCGAGCCTTTCTGGGGAGAGCATTCCACAGTTGGGGAGCCACCACCGAAAAGGCGTGTTCTCTTGTTGCCACCCTGCGAACCTCTCTAGGAGTGGGGACATAGAGAAAGGCCTCAGATGACAAGTGCAGGGTCCGGGTCGGTTCATACGGGGAGAGGTGGCCCTTAAGATATTGAGGTATTGTTGACATGTACATAGACTGCATGTTTGCTGCATGTAACATGCAAACACCCCTATTACCTTCTGTGACTACTCTTCCAGGATCTCAGGTAGAGAAAGGCTTCCTGGGCTGGAGTCCAGCCTGGACATCTCTGGGCCACACCTGCTCAAGCAAGATGCTTTATTGCCATTCAGCTGACAGAGTCAAGTAGCAGCAAGGACTGGGGAGAGTCCTGAGGGCCGGAGAGTGTTGCCTCAAGGGCCACATATTAACCCAAGTTGCCAGGAGCTCCCCATCCCTGCAATAGCTATAGTGATTGGGGGGGTAAGGAAGTTCCTTCCTGACCCCCACACAGCACATGGTGCTAAACACAGCACAAAGAGCACATCCTCTCTTCCCGAAGCCTTCTCCTGCCGTAACATCTGGTTGAAATAAAATGACTACAGATGCTTCCGTTGGAAGTACCAATTTTCATGGGATTTTTCAGCTTGGCTGTAAATACTGTATTGCTCTGGGCTGGAACCTGGCAGAATAGTCGAGTCAGCTCTCAAAGGGGAAAACAGCCCCCACCCACCCCGAAAAATGCTTTCCTGGAATTATTGATTCCCGTATCCTTTCAGCTGTCCATCCATCACCTGTGGCCGGGGGTGCCCAAGGGAGAAGCTCGATGGCACAGAATCTGCCAATTCTTCTCCTTCCGAGGCACCCAATTTTTAGGCCAAATCCCCCTCCTGTGTTGAAATCTGGGCTTTAGTCTCTCTATTTCTGGATTCTCCCCCAATACCATGTCCAAAACCATTTCATGAGCATCGTGTTCCAAGAGCTGGATTTGCTAGATGAAAGCAAACATTGCTTTGCATGGCACGTTAAATTAAGAGGGGAAAGGAAAAAGAAAAAGTTTGCCGAACCTCAACTGTGAGACAAACTGAGTGCTAAAAGTTCTGCCAAGAGTCAGAGTATTTGCTCCTTGAGCTCAACACACACACACTGCAAACAGGAAAGCACACCATACAAACATTGTCATGCGTGCCATTCTTGACACTTGCTCCTTCGCCCAGTGGCCAGCTGGCACCTCAAATGCCCTGAAGGACCTGGCAGGAGATACAAAGTGTGAAAATCTCCAAGTGACGCTGCGGAAATGGATAAAACCATCAGAAAGAATAAATCAACACATCCTTTTACCGGTAAGAAACATGTTGCAATCTGGAATACAGTATTTGTGTGTGTACACAAGAAGTATTGAACCAACAGCAGGATGGCAGCCAATAAGGTGACGCTCGATCCTAGCAAGACAGAAGCTCAGTGGGTGGATCACCTCCTGGCTCTGTTTAATACTCTGCTCTGGAGAGATCCACATTCCCCCAGTCTGGGGTTGAAGTGCCTTTCACCAGCTGCAAAGTCTCTGGGACATTGCTATCTTGGCCACAGTGATCTGACCTCTGGTTCTCTTTTGGCAATGCATTCTATGCTGAGCTTCCCTTGAAGACAATTTGGAAACTATTAGAATCCTAGAACTGCAGAGCTGGAAGGGACCACAAAGGTCATCCAACCCCCAAAATGCAGGAATCTTTTGCTCAGTGCGGGGCTCAAACCCACAACCCTGAGATTAAGAGTAAGGGATAGCTCTACTGACTGAGCTATCCCCCTCTGCTACATCTAGTAGAGACTGCAGGTGCAAGGTTTCTGGGCACTAAAAGTACTTACCGTATTTTTTGTTCTATAAGACGCATTTTTTTCTTCCTAAAAAGTAAGGGGAAATGTCTGTGCGTCTTATGAAGCGAATGTGTGGTCCCTGGAGCCGAATTGCCCAGGGGCGAAAAGTAGATCATGCTTTTTTTTTTATTAAAGAGGGAAGTGGGTGTTGAAACAAAGCCACTGATCGGCAAGCGATCGGGAAGGAGATAAGGGACGCTAGCAATAAAGGAGGCTGCCTGGGAGGGAGGAGGTAAAGACAGCGAACTTGCAAGGAGAGGAGACAGGAATACGAAAGCAACGAGGAGAGAAATTAGAAGAAAAGGAGGAGCAAAAAACTGCTCCAGCTAAGGGAAAGACACTAAGGCAGACAAGAGGGAAGGGGGTGTTGAAAGGAAGCAGCTGATCGGTAAGCGATCAGGAGGGAGATAAGGGACGCTAGCAATAAAGGAGGCTGCCTGGGAGGGGGGAGGTAAAGACAGCGAACTTGCAAGGAGAGGAGACAGGAAGACGAAAGCAATGAGGAGAGAAATTAGAAGAAAAAGAGGAGCAAAAAACTGCTCCAGCTAAGGGAAAGACACTAAGGCAGACAAGAGGGAAGGGGGTGTTGAAAGGAAGCAGCTGATCGGTAAGCGATCAGGAGGGAGATAAGGGACGCTAGCAATAAAGAAGGCTGAATGGGAGGGGGGAGGTAAAAGCCCATGGATCCTCAGGATTTTTGCATTAGGTCACCCCAAATTCACCATCAGATCACACAGCATGTCCACGGCTACAGCCTGCACCTATGTGGCATTGTCCCAGGTACCTAATGGAACACCTGCCGAGATTCAGAGGTCATCTGATGATGCCATTCATCAGGTCCTTTCACTAGCAGCGATGGTGCATTTTCAGCTGGGATTCCCTCCCCAAAGAGGACTGCCCAGAGTCCATTCTGCCGTCCTTTCATGACCAGGCAAAATTGTTCTCATTCTCTCAGGCCTCTTAAGGGATTCTAGATCTATCTGAAGTTTTAACTGGGGTTTTCTTCTAATTCCTTTTCACATTAATTGCCTTTTGCTTTTTAAACGTGACATTTCTTTGTGAACCGCCCTGGGATCTTTGTTGCTGCTGCTGCTGCTGCTGCTGCTGCTGAGTGAACAGTGGTATATAAATCTCCTAAACGAAATAAAAATAAAGAAAGGTGGAATCTACATACATATTTTAAAAAGTTCTGAAAATGCTTCTTTTTTTAAAAAAAAGTTTTTAAGAATACAGTGGTATACCTTGGTTTACAACCATAATCCGCTCCGGAGGTCTGTTTGTAAACCAAGACAGGTTGTAACCCAAGGCACGCTTTCGCCAATGGGGCCTCCCAAAAAAAATTGTTCATAATCCAAAAAAAAAGAGGGTTGTAATCCAAAAAAAAAAGGCTGCAAAGCAGGGCATGCACTTCCGGGTTTGACATGTGTGTAATCCAAAACATATGCAAACCAAGACATATGCAAACCAAGGTACCACTGTACCTTGAATTTTCCATAAGGCTCACCATCGCTATCTAGGGTCCCATTGTATATTGTACTTGAAACACGCTTAAAACATTTTATTTGCAGCTCAGTCCAAAGACAGGTCTTGATGTGACCGAGAGACAGAACCCAGGGAAAACATCTAGATCAGAGCCCGTTTAGGAATAGCAAAACTAGCATCACTTGCAGGCTTGAGTCTTTGAGATCGTGCTAGATAATAGGAGCTGCAGATGCAACAGTTTTCTCTAACACCCCTGCCCGCTTTATAATTTCTGTGGGGCAAAGTTAACATGCACAGTTGGGAGTCGGGGTGGCGGAAGGAAGAATCTGCCCCCATTCCCTGCACTAACTAGTCTGAAATATACTTCTGCTCCATCCAGAGACCAGGCTTGCTCTTAAAGATTACCAAAGGATGAAAGTGGATTGATTTGTTTTTTTTTGGGGGGGGAAGAACCTTGGCATGTTATCAAGTCACCTATACTCCTTGCTGCAATCCAAGCCACACAATCCAAGGTGTAGGTGGATTTCCTTCAAAAGCAGGCTCCTCCGTTCTTCCTTGGAAGAGACGGGGCCTTCTCAGTGGTGGCTCCACCCCTTTGGAATTCCCTCCCCAGTGAGAAACATGGAAGGTCCTTGTCACGGCCTGATTTTAGGAGAACTCTTAAAGCCTTTAAAAATAAAATCCCAGTCCTATGTTAAAGGGAGGAAAAAAAGGTTTTGCTGCTGATCTGTTTGTGGTTTTTGAAAATGGCAAATTTGCTGTATTTAACTTGGGATCTTCTGATGCTTCTAAGCTTCTTTTTAAAAACATTTCCCCCCCCCTGGAAAGTGCCTGGGCATGGGCAATGTACCCTGAGGGGAGAGCACAGAAATCCGTTTAACAAATAAACGTATACTAAAAGCTCTTAATTAATAAATAGTAGCTCTTGTTTAGTAAGAATTAAATAATTAATGTTAATTACGAGCCGGTGCCGTGCAGTGCCAGACTAGGGACCTGGGAGACCAGGGTTCAAATCCTACCAATCCTACAGGGCTCTCTGGGTGACCTTGGGGCCTCTTACAGCATCTTCGCCTAGCCTACCTCAAAGGGTTGTTGTGGGAATTAAACGAAGAGGTTTAAAACGTGCTTGTCGCCTTCAGCTCCTTGGAGGAAAAGGTGGGATATAAATGCAATAATGAACGAATGAATTCGATGCAGACAAAGCAGCGTTTATGCACTGGGGGTTCGATAGGAATCTCTTGAAGTGCAACGGAGCTCCCTAGCACAAGAAATCACTGGATTTGTGGCAAATCTAAGAAGTAACCCCTGTGCCCTCTTTTTTAAAAACAGCAACAGCACTTAATACTTATTCCCTCGCACATTTGTAACTTAAGGGCAAACGCAGACTGCCTTCCCCTTTCTTGCAGGGGCTGGGGGGGAGCTGCGGTGTGCAGAAAATATTCTCTCATTAAAGGAAGGCCAAAAGCTGCATGAGGAGAATGTTATGTTGTTGAGTCCTCCGGAAGACACTCGCATCCGACACGGCCCCACGGAGCTATATTTAGTTCCTGAAGGGCTGGGGGGTTGGGGAGAGAGGAGAGCAAACGCCAAACACCAAATCCTTTGGCGAGCCTACGTGAGTTTAAATTCAATCCCCGTCCTCGGCTCTCTATTAATTGTCGGCCTCTGTGCGCGCTGGATGAATAGATTCCTGTTTTAACATGGGGTGGGGGGGCGCTTTGAAGGCATGGAAGAGAGGAGGAGGAGGAGGAGGAAAGCAAATTTCTCCTCTGCAAAAAAGAAGAAGACAATTCTTATTACTGACGGCCTTTCCTACCTTCATGGTGACCTGCGCTTACAAAACCTTCCAGTGCTAAAGGCGAAAAGGCTTTCTCCATTCACAAACCTTCCTTTGGGGCAGCAGCCAGGATCGAGTGCGCAAACATGCGTGCGCACACACACATCCCAAAAGAGATGGAAAGAGCATTTACTCTCAGCCGGCTCATCCACGGACGCTGGCTTCCAGCCCTCAGCTCCCATGAGATATGCAGGGGCCAAATTTTTGCAGACATGTAAAAGCAGCTTTGCTTGCCAAAGGAGGGGAGCTTCTATCTATTGATTCCATCCCAACAAGGCAACCAAACTGTCAGAGGGCTGCCCCCCCCCACCGCAACTTGCCCCCATCTCTATTGTATTTTAATATTCTGTTGAAAGCCGCCCAGAGTGGCTAGGGAAACCCAGCCAGATGGGCGGGGTATAAATGATAAATTATTATTATTACAGTGGTACCTCGGGTTAAAGCTATGGTTTTCCCAGTAGTGATGTATGGAAGTGAGATCTGGACCAAAAGATCACCGAAGAATTGATGCTTTTGAATTATGGTGCTGGAGGAGACTCTGAGAGTCCCATGGGCTGCAAGAAGATCAAACGTATCCATTCTTAAGGAAATCAGCCCTGAGTGCTCACTGGAAGGACAGATCGTGAAACTGAGGCTCCAATACTTTGGCCACTTCATGAGAAGAGAAGACTCCCTAGAAAAGACCCTGATGTTGGGAAAGATGGAGGGCACAAGGAGAAGGGGACAACAGAGGACGAGATGGTTGGACAGTGTTCTCGAAGCTACGAACATGAGTTTGACCAAACTGCAGGAGGCAGTGGAAGACAGGAGTACCTGGTGTGTTCTGGTCCATGGGGTCACGAAGAGTTGGACACGACTAAACGACTAAACAACAGCACCTCGGGTTAAGTACTTAATTCGTTCTGTAGGTCCGTTTCTTAATCTGAAACTGTTCTTAACCTGAAGCACCACTTTAGCCGCCACCATGCGATTTCTTTTCTCATCCTGAAGCAAAGTTCTTAACCTGAAGCACTATTTCTGGGTTAGCGGAGTCTGTAACCTGAAACGTATGTAACCTGAAGCGTATGTAACCCGAGGTACCACTGTATCATCATCATCATCATCATCATCTCTGGGTTAAATCAAGAAATCTCTCAAAGGGAAAAGGGATGGAAGGGCCTGTCAGTTTCAGGTTATCTTAGTTTCTCATTTCCCCCAGTTTTAAAGAATTGTAGAGTTGGAAGGGACATTCCAGGGTCATCTAGTCCAACCCCCTACAATGCAGGAATCTCAGCTAAAGCATCCACGACAGACGGCCGTCCAACCTCTGTTTAAAAACCTCCAAGGAAGGGGAGTCCACAGCCTCCCAACTGAGTCCGTTCCACTGTCCAACAGCTCTTATATCCAGTTCTTCACATTTCTGTGGCAAATCTGCAATTTGTTTATCTTAGATCATCCTGAAAATCAGTACGCATTTTAGTGAGCAGCACATGGAAACACCGTTTACCTTCCCGCCAGAGTGGTACCTATTTATCTACTTGCACTTTGATGTGCTTTCGAACTGCTAGGTGGGCAGGAGCTGGGACCAAACGACGGGAGCTCACCCCGTCGCGGGGATTCAAACCGCTGACCTTCTGATTGGCAAGTCCTAGGCTCTGTGGTTTAACCCACAGCACCACCCGCGTCCCTTTGAGACTCTTTAGGGTAGTGATAAAGAGGAATATCAAATCCAAACTCTTCTTCTTCTTCCTTCTCAAAGCCCAACACCTCATTTACCTGGCTTTGGGAAGGCAGGACAAGGGCTGGGGGGGCATCGTATGTTGCAGAGGGCCATGCATTGGACCACCCTTGTCTAAAGTCTTTAATGAAATACGGCCAACCTACATGTGTGCCCATCTCTCTATCCCTTGCGCTGGTGCTGCTAGGGGCACAGGGAAATCCTGGCCAGAGATTCGCCAATAAAGGCCAGCTGCACCTTCTGCTACCAGCAGCCCGGCTGGAAGTTGTGAGGTGCTAGGGATTTGGCAAATACTGAATCCTGGTATACAGTCGTACCCTGGAAGTCGAACGAAATCCATTCCGGAAGTCCGTTTGACTTCCAAAACGTTCAGAAACCAAAGCGCGGCTTCTGATTGGCTGCAAAAAGCTCCTGCAGCCAATCAGAAGCCGCGGAAGTCCTGTCGGACGTTCAGCTTCCAAAAATAGTTCACTAACCAGAACAGTCACTTCCGGGTTTGCGGCATTCGGGAGCCAAAATGTTCGAGAACTAAGCAGTTTGAAAACGAAGGTACAACTGTACTCGATTCTGTATGGCAGCATTGGCAGAAAAACTGACATATGAGCAGCACAGTGAAAATCTGATTGTTTTTCACTCTGTAGCTCCTGGTAGCCGTTCACAGGCTATAAGAGACGAAGATCATGGAAGAAAACCACCAAACACACATGGAAGGATGTGGGAGACCTTTTGGAATAAGCTGATGGACTCTGATTCTAGCATGCATTGCCCGGATTGTATGTTTGCCAAGCCAAATATTACATTATGTTGATCTTTATGCTTTTTTGCAATTTTGAAAATAAATAAAAACATTTATAAAGAACAAAACTGTGGGCTGTGTAAATAACAAATTCCTTTTATCTGGCTCCTCCAACATTTGCCATCACCGGATGTCAACAAATTCCTGTGTTACGACAGGATGAAACCTCTCCTCAGCCAATTTTCTCCATAAACCTCTATAATGGCAGCTCTTATTTTCCTTTTCTCGAAACTAAAACCTCTCCAAGTCTGCAACCTTTCTTTATAGGGGAGTCACACCACCCCCTTGCTCATTTTTGGTTTGGCGAGACACATGCCAATTAAAATCAAAGCACCCCCAAACTTTCTTGCACCGAAAGTGGGATTGCATTTTGCAGCCTCAAAACCACCATGAATGCACAACTGAGAAAGGGCCTGGTGGGGGAGGCGATGTCTGCCTCACATCTAAGCTTAGACCTAGAGACAAAGCATCTCCCCAGCGCAGTTTCACTTTCAGTAAACCCACCTCCCTTGGGAAAATGATGATCACTACTTTCACTAGGGCAAGCACCGTTTAACCAGGTCCTTCTCACCAGTCAAGAAAACGTAAACAACAACACCACCATTCTAGTAGAAGATTCACATACAAAAAATGGGTCTCCTTTTCCCTCTTCCGGGGGCTGGCTCCAAGGACCTCCTGGGGGAAAAGCTGCACCAACTCCTCCTCAGGCAGTCCAGGCAAAGTGCCAACACGACAACAAACCATTTGGACAGATACCTCACCATGCCAAGCCTTGACAATGGTCCTGCTCTTGATTAGCTGCTCCTTCCCTGTGAATTTCTCTAAGCACATAGTCATCCTAAGGCAGGCATAGGTAAACTCCGGCCCTCCAGATGTCTGGGACTACAAATCCCATCATCCCTAGCTAACAGGACCAGTGGTCAGGGATGATGGGAATTGTAGTCCCAAACATCTGGAGGGCTGGAGTTTGATGATGCCTGATCTAAAGCAACCCCTTGCCCTCTACTAGCAGTAGGACTCTGGAAATATAATTGTGTGCCGTAGGAAACAGACAAAGCCTCTGGGCAAAACGGCCCACCTCAGTGGTTCTTGCCACGAGGATGAATGAAAATGAAGGAAGAGACAAATTCTGCTTACTGGAAACAAGGCACAGTTGTGCTTCAGAAGAGCAAGCAGCTTCCCCAAGGCAACCAAAACCACAACAAGCCATTGAGACACAGAGACAGGCCTCCGGGAGCGGCTCCCTTCACTCACCTTGGGGGGATCAAACACCTCCAGGATGTAATCGTCGTTGTCCAAAGCCCCCGCTCTCCGCAAAACCAGCCGGCACCTCTGCCAGCAAGCCCCGCTGTCCATCGTAGCCTCGGTCACCATCCAGTATTTCAGACTGCCCTCTTTCTGAATCTGAGAAGAGGGGTCTTGCGAAAGGGCCCATGGGAAGACCTTCCGGGCAAGGCCAGGCTTTGAAACGGAGTCCAATATCTCCCCTCCTCCGGGGGCTGGCTCCAAGGACCTCCTGCGGAAAAAGCTGCGCCAACTCCTCCTCAGGCGGTCCAGGGAAAAGGGTCTCCTCACGGCCAAGGGGGAAGCCGTTCCTGCAAGGTCCTCCGAGCTCCAGGCCTTGGTCAGGCCTCGGGGGTGGGTCTCGGGGGCCCTGGCGGCTTGGTCAGCCAGCTCCACTTCGGCTTTGGCCACGACCCCCCCGAGGGAGCCCCCCGGCTGCTTCCGGCCGGTCTCCCGGTAATCCCGCACCCTGCTGAAGGGGAGAATGCGGAACCGGTTCATGGCGAAGCCGTCCTTCACCTCGTTGCGGAAGTACTGCTGGAAAAGGTCGGCGAACTGGAGGGAGAAGTTCTCGGCCGCCAGGACTTCGTGCTGGGGGTTCTCGCTGACAAAGAGGAGGTACTTGCGGGCCAGCTCTCTGGCGGTGGAGATGGCATGGTGCTCGCAAAACTCATTCCAGCCGCCGGGGTGCGCGGGGTCGCCTGGCGGGGCAGGGAGCCCGTTCATCACAGGGGCCGGAAACATTTGGGGGCACTGCGGAAAAACGAGAACACAACCGCAACAGGAATGAATTGCAAAAGTAGTAATAAGAGTAATGGACTTGAATTCATAGACACTGCCGGTTCTGACTACAGTGGTACCTCGGGTTACGTACTTAGTTCGTTCCGGAGGTCCGTTCATAACCTGAAACTGTTCTTAACCTGAGACACCACTTTAGCTAATGGGGCCTCCCGCCGCCGCCGCGCGATTTCTGTTCTCATACTGAAGCAAAGTTCTTAACCCGAGGTACTATTTCTGGGTTAGCGGAGTCTGAAACCTGAAGCGTCTGGAACCTGAAGCATATGTAACCCGAGGTACCACTGTATACGGGTCAATTTCAAGAGAGTTCCCCTCAGGAGAGTTTCCATTTATTTTATTTATTTCGTAAGATTTACACACTGTCTGATTGCAAAAAGAAGAAGAAAGGAAACTCAAAGTGGTTTACAAAAGCGAGCTGGTTGGTTTCTTGCATCCCCTAAGAACAAGAACATCCCTGCATTGTCTTTCAATGACATTTTAAACCCTAAACCTCTTATTTAGCTAGTGAAACTGAGTGGAAAGGGTGTCTGGTTAGGATTTGGAGAGATCCGGGTTCCAAGGTCAGCTCAAGGGCAACCGCCCCGACCTGGCCACAGTGAACCATGCGACGGTCATCTCCAGGCTTGACTACTGTAATTCGCTCTACGCGGGGCTGCCCTTGAAGCTGTCCCAGAAACTCCAGCGGATGCAGAATGCTGCGGCGAGGCTCCTCACGGGGTCTCTGCCATGGGAGCATATTCACCCAGTGCTTTTCAAGCTGCACTGGCTCCCGGTGGAGTACAGGGTCAGATTGAAGGTGCTGCTTTTGACCTTTAAAGCCCTTCACGGCCTTGGACCCTCGTACCTATGGGACCGCCTCTCCCAGTATGTCCCATGGAGAGCCTCAAGGTCTATAAATAGCAACACTCTAGAGGTCCCGGGCCCTAAGGAAGTTAGATTGGCTTCAACCAGAGCCAGGGCCTTTTCAACACTGGCTCCGGCCTGGTGGAACGCTCTGCCTCATGAGACCAGGGCCCTGCGGGATCCGATTTCTTTCCGCAAGGCCTGTAAGACAGAGTTGTTCCGCCTGGCCTTTGGCTTAGAATCAGTTTGATTCCCTCCCTCTATTTCTTTTTTCCTTTCCTTCTCCTCCTGCGATGAGGCTACATTTTAATATTTTAATGTTTCAATATTTTAATGTTGTATTTTAATTCTGTTTTTAAGTTGTAATCATTCATCTTGTTTTTATGATTGCTTGTAAGCCGCTCTGAGCCCGGCCTTGGCTGGGGAGGGCGGGGTATAAATAAAAAAATATTATTATTATTATGGCTCAGTGGACCTACCTCGCAGGGTTGTTCTGAAGAGAGGGTTAGGGAAGAGACAACACAGCAATATTAAAATGCAATAAATCCATGTGGTTGTAAATGTATAGCCTTAAAAACTGCAATATAGAACTCCTGATCTATAGGAGAAGGTTGTTCTTGCCTATCAGACTCCACATCTATCCCCCACAGCAGCCCCCTGACCACCCCCACCCCCCGGTTTTGCACACAGACCAGGTTCTTCCAAGGAACAGGAATGGACATGCTATGTTTCCAAGTATCTGCTCCACCACCCATATGGGTGGCCCTGCAAGCCTCTGGATCTGACCCTCAGGGCTTCTCCCCAGGCAAGACACTCTCCCAAGCAACACAAGCTTGTAGTCCTGGTTTGCATTCTCCTTGAGGGCTTGTATCCGGCTGGGATGCGTCCCTGAACTCTGAAACTGGAACTGTGACTGAGGGATTTATGATCAGTTTCAACCAATTCCTCTTTCTATTAAACAATGTTGTTCTAGTGCTCTGAATGAATGCTGTGAGCGTGGTCTTAGTTCCACGCTTTGCAACGGGATGATATCCTGCACTGCAGTGCACTTGAGGGTACCAGGCTAGCTTAGTGGGGGGCAGGCATGCTGTGAGGCATATAAGCACCCCTCTGTCCCTCCAGCACCTTATTTGAAGCCTCTAAGCACCTGCTGCCTGAGGCAGGCAACCTCATCTCTACCTAATGGTAGGGCCGGCCCTGGCCCAAGCCTCTCAGGTTTGTGCAAGGAAGTCCAGCGCTCTCTCAAAGGCCTGTCTCTACACAAAGGCATGGGATTTCGCAGCCCGCTTGGCCCTAGAGCGTGACGCCCTCCCAGCAAGCCCCTCTCCTCATCCTGCAAAAGTGTTTTTATCGTTGCAGCGCACGCCACTCCAAGCAGGAAGTGCGTTCGTTGCCAGCCCCAGTCAGCAGCACATGGGCAGCTTCTCTCTGCAGGCAGGCTCGCGACTTCCTCGAGAAAACCCATGCTTGCAATTTAAAGGCAAACTGACGGGAACGCCTCTCGAGGAAAGTTTGCTGGCAGAGAGAGGGTCCTTTAAATAATAACGATCACAATCCAAGTCTTATAAACGGCAGCGTTCTGCCCACTGCAGAAGTAGCTATGCCAACTTCTGAATCTAGCTCCATCAACCACTGCCAGACAGGGCCCCCCTGGCACCCCCACTTTCCCCAGGAGGCTGAAAAAGGTTCCCCGCTTCTGATTCACAGCTCGCCCAGATTGCAAGCTTTCTTTAACAATCACACACTCCCAATGGGCAGCGCACTGAGCACCCAGCGGCTGCATCGGTTGCGATTTCAGATCGGCCGGGAACGTTCCATGGTTTCCGAGGGGGAAAGGGTCAGTCACAAAACGCTGAGCCGTGCGACATTTTGGGAGCTCGCCCGGGAAGAGGAAAGCGGCCGGGGTCTGGCATGTGTCAAGAGCAGACCTGAGTGGCAAGACATCCCAGGCGTCAGAGTGGGGGACAGGAAGACATAGCAGGCAGCGATCTGAGAAGCAGGGGTCTCGATAATGGGCAAAGCGAGGAGAGAGTTAGCTGCAGCAGGCCGGGAGCTGGAGCAAAGGAGATAGCAGGACGAGGAGGATCCTTTCTTACGCTGCTGGTGGTGCAGAAACTTCACATGCCCTTGGTCAGAGCGAACGCAAGGAAGAAGCAGGGGCACCACGTGGCTGGGAGGACCCCCACAGATACCAGGCCACCACGATTCTGGGCGGCCGAACCCCAGGTGGGGCGAGCCACCCGGCCCACAAGAGCCGGCAGAACTTGGAAGCCAACGCCAGAAGCCTCCAATCCGCTCCGGATCCGGAACCCAGAAAGGCACGCAAACGTGCTCCGCTGCTGGTCGGGCGCCTGAGCTCTTTGCCCCCCAGCCGGGCCCCCGCCTGCTGGGTCTATCAGCGAGACCAGCCTGTGGATGACTCAGCAACTGCTCTCGCTTCCACACGCCAGGCCTCGTGCTTCACCTCAAGCCTTCCAGTGGTCACCGGGAAACGGGTGGGGGTAGGGGAGAGAGCGTGGGTAGGTGGGATCCAGCGATCGTAGTTAAACAGGAGGAACCCCCAAGCACCACAATACCCCTTGCCCTGCAAAACAACAACAACAACAACAACAACTGGTCCTCCCTCTTCCAAAGGAGAGGTGCCATATTTGGGTTTTCCTTCCCATCGGACAACTACGTATCAGCGCACCTAGATATGGCAGCTTTGTGGAAACTCCTATTTTAAAGCCAGGATTGTCGTAACAACACACTCGTGCACACTGAAAATAGCCCACCCGGCGGTGGAAACCCCACCCCCCTTAGTGACACAGCCAAAAGCTGCAAAACAGAAAGCGCACTTTCGGGAAGGGGCTTCCCCCGCACTCCAGCGCAGCAGAGAAAGTAAAGGAAGGACCCCGCCCCAAATCGACACAAGATGTGCACCGTTACCTTGCAGGTGGCAGACTGGCACCTGTGGACTTGCTGGCCGGAGGGGGAGGCCCACCCATTTGGGAAGGAAAGCTCCTGGTGCAAAAGTGGAGCCCCCCCCCTTGTGTGCGCAGAGTTCCCAGTCACGCACTAGGAAGGGCAGCGTTGACGTGCGGCAACGGCAGCCGTGCGACACCGAAATAGAAGCGCTTGGAAGATTCCCCCTTCTGCCAGCCGAATAAAATAAAAAAACACACAATGGCTTTTTCTAGCGAGCACTATAGGAGGAAGTCCACTCCCAACTTCTCCTCTTTTTAGACTGGGGAAGTTGACGCGTTGCTCAGATGGAGGCAGGGGGAAGCATATTTCATGCTCCTGAAGAGCAGGGAGGTCTGAAGTTCTGGGGCAGTTGGGTTCTCAATGAGAACCCCTCCCTTGGCACAGGGGCAACACCAGAGTGCATGAAGCAGCAAACATATATACAAAAGACACACACACTGTACAGCTGTAGGGCTGCCTGTTCCCCTCCCCAACTACCCTTCTATTCCCCCCCCATTAAGCTCCCCTAGAGCCTCCCCTTCTTGCCCCATGCAATTAGAAATCCTTTGATGGGGGCTGTGTGATGACAGCATTACATTTTAATGTATATAGGAAGATATTCAATAGCTCACTAGTCTTCAGTGGGAGATGTTCAAGCCGCAATAGGATCGTGAGGTCTGACCTAGAATGGGTTGCATCTGCAGCACCGCAACAATCTTTGGGAGAGGAAAAGATTTTGAAAGAGCAATGGCAAAAGATGAGAGGGAAAAGGAGGAGGACGAGCAGAACCAGAAAAGAGAACCAAACAGAAGAGGAGTGTACAGAAGGATGGCTGCCTGCCTGTACTAACCCCTTGTTTCCACGCTGAGGGAACCCTTTCCACAGAGACAGGCCTGCCACAGAGCATCTTGGCATTGTGGATGGTGATGGGAAGCCACAAAGTGCACACTGGCCAGGCCTGCTATGTGTTGCCATCGCTCTGTGTGCGCCAGCTCCCCAACCCAACCTCTGGCTGAGCACGAAACTTGAAACACAAGATGCCCACCGTTCCTGATCTACTCGGAGAACCACCAACCAACTTCTGAGAAACACCAACCCGTCCCCAGAATGCAGCCAATCTGGGCACTGCAAACAACCACATCCAGGAGTCTGTCCCTCACACACTTAGCTGGCTTTCAGCCAACAGATTGGAAAAATAAATGCTGACCTTGCAAGGAAAAGTAGGGAAAGGTGTATTGTGGAAGTTCACGACAGGACACTGAAAGTTTTCTCCAAAGTGCAAAATGTGCGTATGTTCATGCACACACACATTTTCATAAAAGGCCCCTCACTACTAACAAAAAGAATCACTACAGTCGTACCTTGGTTTTCAAACAGCTTAGTTCTCGAACGTTTTGGCTCCCGAATGCCGCAAACCCGGAAGTAACTGTTCTGGTTTGCGAACTATTTTTTTGAAGCCGAATTTCCGACGGGGCTTCTGATTGGCTGCAGGAGGATTCAGTTCGACTTCCAAGGTACGACTGTATTTGTACTGAATTTGGAGAACAGGCAATACCACTGTTGATCGGTGAAGTATGCCTGTTTCCAGTCTCCCAATCTGCAGGCATTCTTTAATATTTTTAACACTGGCCTGTTAATTTTGGTAGCACTAAGCAGCCTTCCAAACCCCTGCCCTTGCTGTTTCTTCCCAGCATTTGATAGTTAGAGGTACATTGCCTTGGGCTATGGAGGTTCCATTTAGCTGTCATGGTTAGCATATCGGATGTGGACACAGGAACCCTGGCTCTGGACTTCTTACAGTCCTCCGGAATTGCGAGCCACGGCCCTCTGTATCCATCAAGTCACAACAAGCGGCTCTGAAACTTCAAAAAGGCCGAGGCAAATCCCTCACAGATGATCCTCCTTGATGTTATCCAGATATGGCATCAGCTCCCAGGGGGATGGGCGGAGAAAAGGGAGACGATCTTTCATTTTAACCTGCAACCCACTGGGGACATTCCAGACAAATAAGCCTTTGAGAAACGCAGTCTGCTCTGCTCTCATATGACCAGAACGAGGGGGGAAAGTGTCTTGGGTGGAGGAAGGCACCAAAATCACAAACCCAACTGCAGAGATTATCCAAAGACCGCTCTTCTTACCCACAAACCTAGTCAATAATAATAAAAACATTTTTTTTTTTAAGTTTTAAAGTGTTGAGCCATAAATAAACTAGCAATGAGCACAAGGTAAATGAGTTCTAGCATTGTCCCACCCCACTTATAATTTTTTTTTTTGTATTTATGCACCACAATCCCCACCCATGTATGAAGTTTGAAACCAATTACCAATGATCTGGAATGCATAATCCCAGAGGGAGGCACACCCGGTCCCATCCTGACCTGCTCTGCCCACAGTGACTTTTCCAGCAGGCAGAGAGAACAGGAGGGTGAGACAATTCACTTGATATATTCCACAATTCACAGAGGGTAAGGCTGTCCGTAGCTATGAGTTGCGATGGTTGTTTCACACCTACCAACATTTCTGCTGTGCTGCGAGATGCAGTGGTAGCCCTTAGCTCAGAGGGCTTTACAAGGAAAGGAGGCTAATATGATGGGGGGGGTCTATTGACCACAGCTCCCATCAGCCCTAGGTAAAGGTAAAGGGACCCCTGATCATTAGGTCCAGTCGTGGCCGACTCTGGGGTTGCGGCGCTCATCTCACTTTATTGGCCGAGGGAGCCGGTGTACAGCTTCCAGGTCATGTGGCCAGCATGACTAAGCCGCTTCTGGCGAACCAGAGCAGCACACGGAAACGCCGTTTACCTTCCCGCCAGAGCAGTACCTATTTATCTTCTTGCACTTTGACGTCTTTCGAACTGCTAGGTGGGCAGGAGCTGGGACTGAACAACGGGAGCTCACTCCGTCACAGGGATTCGAACCGCCGACATCAGCCCTAGCTGGTAATAAATTGGCTAACTAATAATTTGCTGCCCTTTGGGAATACGCCAGATCAGCTACCCGAGGCAGCTGCCTCACTCGGCTTAATGGTAGGGGCCAGCTTAGCCCAAGAGACATCGTTGTTACGAGTGTGTACCTGGACTCCCAGGTACGCAGCCAGCACTCAGGTGTATATTCATATGCACACTGCTCAGAGATTTAGGATCTTTTGCTGGAGTTATGATGTGTGCTTGTTTATGGGTGTGTATGTCAACAATCTTATGCCCACAAGAAGCTCTCACACAAAGAAACAAAAAAGGCTTGGTTTAATACAAAAAATAGGAGGGACAGAATATATAAAAATGCTGCTTTAGGCAGCAAAGCTACAGTCTAAGCAGGTAGCATATAACAATATCTAACACACCTTGATTAAGGAGTGAAAGATTCCCTAGTCTAAAAGCCTACAGAAGAATGGACATGACAATTTTGCCATAAACCCACACTATGAGGAAGAGAAAAGAAAGTATACCTGTCTTTAAAGCAAAGCAAAGGAGCGTTGAATAAGTTCTGTCCTGTTGGAGCAAGGAGAGCCCAACTAAGCTTTGCATCTATTTTATTTTTTTAACACCCTTTTTGCCAAGGCATGCCAGTGGAGAGCGGAGCAGGTAGTGAAATTTCTATAATTTCCACAGATACTCCTGGAATTTTCTGCCCTGGTTCTCACCTTGCCCATCTTAGTGAAGAATGGCTGATAGTGAGTGATTACCTGAAACTAGGCATCTTTGTTTGACATCCTTTACATCACCTTACCATCGTGTGGATGGATGAGGAGCTGAGTACAGTCGTACCTTGGGAGTCGCACGGAATCCGTTCCAGAAGTCCGTTCGACTTCCAAAATGTTTGGAAACCAAAGCGTGGCTTCCGATTGGCTGCAGGAAGCTCCTGCAGCCAATCAGAAGACATGGAAGCCCCATTGGACATTTGGATTCCAAAGAACGTTCGCAAACCGGAACACTCACTTCCGGGTTTGTGGCGTTCAGGAGCCAAAACGTCCGAGCAGGGCCAGATTTAGGTTTGATGAGGCCCTAAGCTACGGAAGGTAATAGGGCCCTTTATATGTCCAGCTGTCCTTTGTCAACAACAAATTGTTGCTGTTTTTTGTGTTGAATATATGCTATATGGTAATTTATGGACCTAATAGGTATCTAAAGCCATTTGCCACTGTTGCTGTATGTAGGGTTTATTTTATTTGTTTTTTATCATATATTTTGGAAATATACATTCAGTTTTTTCCCCCTTTAAATTTTTTGGGGGCGCCAAGAGAGTGAGGCCCTAAGCTATAGCTTGTTTAGTTTATACAGTGGTACCTCGGGTTAAGTACTTAATTTGTTCCAGAGGTCCATTCTTAACCTGAAACTGTTCTTAACCTGAAGCACCAATTTAGCTAATGGGGCCTCCTGCTGCTGCCGCGCCACCGCCACGTGATTTCTGTTCTCATCCTGAAGCAAATTTCTTAGCCTGAAGCACTATTTCTGGGTTAGTGGAGTCTATAACCTGAAGCGTATGTAACCCGAGGTACCACTGTACAGTCACACCTCGGGTTGAAGTTGCTTCAGGTTGAGAGCTTTCGGGTTGCGCTCCGTGGCGACCCAGAAGTAACGGGACGCATTACTTCCGGGTTTCGCCACTCGCGCATGCGCAGACGGTCAAAATGACGTCACGCGCATGTGCAGAAGTGGCAAATCGCAACTCGGGCACGCGCAAACACACAGTTGTGGGTTGCGTTCGCTTCAGGATGCAAACGGGGCTCCGGAACGGATCCCGTTCGCATCCTGAGGTACCATTGTATGTAAATCCAGCATGTGTTAATCCTTAAATCAGATGTGTGTGGTTATTCCTGAATGCCTTTCAGCAAGGGGCTGGAATCTGGCTGGTTCCATAGTCACCAAAGCTCATCCTTGGAGGGTCTCATGTCGTATTTAGAGTTATGTCAATCTTATGCCATGACCTACAGAGATAAACCATATCATAAATTCAGATTCACGCACAGCTCCTTACACTGTGGCTTCTTGCTCTATAATGAGATACTGCTTTCTGGGACCAGGCCAGGGGACAGTTGGTTTGGACAACTGCTCCCATCAGTCCCAGCCAGGATAGCATGTCAGACTGCTTCAAATCATTTCTCTTTTCTCCCTTCCTGCACCCTTGCACTTCCCTCCCTCCGTAGGAGCATTCAAGGCCTCTTCTCCAGTTTCCTTGACAGCTAATCCTGGCCTCAGGTTGCTGCAATCCCTTGGCACCTGTAGAGTCCAGTCACCTGTACAGGTGGTGTCATCTTAATATGAATATTGTGGGGTGAGGGGTAGGATAAATGCTCCAACATGGGGCAGAAATCCTAACTTCAGTGGTCTAATGAAGCTTCAGCTCCACTTTTTGCGTATTCAGAAGTGTATTTTCTCACAAAGCATGGCCAAAGCTGGTGTTAAGTGGTTAGGGTGTTGGTCTAGGACCACAAGGGTCCGGGATCAAATCCCTACTCCCCACTCAGCCACAATGCCCCAGAAAATTGCCTTCCAGCCCTAACCCGCCTCACAGGGTTCTTGATAGGGTGGGTGCGTGGGGTGGAAACGAACAACACTCCCTGGCAGAAATGACTGGCAGAATCCGAGACCAGGAGGAAGAGTCGGTGGAAGAAGATTGGAAGAAATTTAAAGACTATTTACAGAAATATTGTAAAATTAATGAATGATAGAATGATGTTGGATAGTAATTAAGCGGTTTCTAGCTGTAATGCTTTAAGAGAATATGAAAAAAGGGTTATAAATGGGTTAAAATCTAATGGTAAGGATTTGCTGAACCAATAAATTGAAGTGGAATACTAAAAAGGGAGGTACGAGGAGGTCCGGGAAACAAGCTAAAGGAAAATAAGTAATTGAAAATATATGTGTTTTTAACTGTTTTTATTTTGTATTTTTCTCTTTTCTTTTTCATTTTTACTGTAATATTTCAAAAAACCTTAATAAATATCTTATTAAAAAAAAAAAAAGGAAACGAACAACACTCCCTATATCTTGGGCCCTAAATTAATTGCCAATTAAAAGAAAAAGTCCCTGCCCTCCAGGCGCTTCCAAATATCAATGGCAGGAACAGAGTGAGATGAGTCAATGCGGCCAAAGATCTGAGAATGAAGAGGTTAAATGAACAGTTTTGTGACTGATACTACTACCACAGATTCATGGACCACCAAGAGTATGGTTCCACGTTCTGATTTAATTCTTCTCTTTCTTCACACTAGGATTGTCCTAAGGAGCTACAGATTCTAGCAAGTGATCCGGAAAACAAAAAAACTAGCTAAACTTGGGGGTGGGTGGGTGTTTACATACCTGCGGAAGATACATCATTTCAGCAAAATAACCACCAAACCCTTAATCTTAATTAATCTGGTTTCTGACAGACACCTAAATATATATAATGATGGGGCTCATCGGCTCTCAACTAGCAGACTATTCTCCAAAGCAGAATGCATCCTCTGCCCCCTAAACGGGCCTTGCATATCCTTGCCTCTTAGATCTAAACCATGGGTAGACAAACTAAGGCCCGGGGGCCGGATCCGGCCCAATCGCCTACTCAATCTGGCCTGCGGACGGTCCGGAAATCAGCGTGTTTTTATATGAGTAGAATGTGTGCTTTTATTGAAAATGCATCTCTGGGTTATTTGTGAGGCCTGCCTGGTGTTTTTACATGAGTAGAATGTGTGCGTTTATTGAAAATGCATCTCTGAGTTATTTGTGGGGTATAGGATTTCTTTCATTTTTTTCTTCAAAATATAGTCCGGCCCCCCACATGGTCTGAGGAACGGTGGACCAGCCCACGGCTGAAAAAGTTTGCTGACCCCTGTATAATACAGTTAAAGCACATTGTGTTTGTTGGGTTGGAGAGGGTTATAAGGTGACTTAAAAGAGCCTTAGCAAGAGTAGCATTGGGTGTAAGAGGAAAAGTGATAATGGGGGAGGAATTTGGATCACCCTGAACCAGAAAACACAGCCATCCTTCAAAATCTGCACTTCTCAGAATTTTGTGGTGCAGTTCCCCGGCCAAATTTATATATACTAAGGGGAAGATTGCCTAACACCATCCATAGCAATGAAATAACATTATGCTAGGCGGGGCGAAATTACATTTTAAAATGTTGGTTATTAGGAACGATTCACAATAAACGGCTGGTGAATTTTCATGACAACTTCTAAAGAGAAAAATCGCAGCAACAACAACAACAAAAGAACTGTTGGAAATCAAAAATGACAGATTTGCCCACCTGTGGCTGGAGAATTTCAGTACATGCAGCTTATTGGGGGGGGTGTAGAGAGAAAAATTCATTCTCTGTCCTGCAGCCCTGAAAGGCATAGCAAGGCCACTGGCAATCTTTTGCACCAGGGCAGCCTAGCAAAGGCCAAAGGATCACACCAACCAATTCTTCTTTTTCCCACATACACTCAGAACACAGACTTTCAAGAATCTCTCAGTGGATTGAAGGGGAGACACAGGAAATGACTGACAACTAAAGCCCTTTTTTGTTTCTGTTTTTCAGAGATGGGTCAAATGCAAACTAATGGCTGGACTAATTCCACAAAAGCACATACATTAGCATTGCACATAGAAAAAGAGAAGCCTGACATTCTCAGCTTTAATTTACGTAGTTTGTGGGTTTTTTGGTTTTTTTTCAAGTTTCTAGTCATTGAAGAGGAAGGGTTGCTGCAACCTTATTTGGCAGTGGGGCAGGGAAGATTTGAGGGGGAGTGTGTTCATGATTATGTCTAGGACCAAAGGGCCCCAGTGCGGAGGGGGGATTACATGAAGGAACTGGGAACACCCATTTGAGAGGCTGAAATTTTGCTGTCATTGGATGTGTAATGTATTGGTTGTATTTATTTATTCTGCCCATTTATACAGCCTGACTTTTAAAAGTCATTCCCCACCACCACATCTCGCATCTCAGTTCTTCACAACTATCAACACCTGTAAGATTTCTCCTGCCACACATGCGGTTAAGAGTTGCCAACTTTTCACCTTTTATACAGGCAGAAATCTAGCAGAAAAAAGGTTTTCCAGGCATGGAGAGAAAAAGTTAAGAGAGGAAAAGTGTCTCTGTGTTTTGTGTTCTATTTTAGCTGCCCAATCAAAAAGGCAGAGGTTCCCTGACCCAAACTGGCAACCCTCAAAGCAGCAGCACATTTTGCATCGAGGTGCATGGAGGTCACCCCATGCCAGGCAGCAAGGAGAGAGGACCCCCCCCCCCAACTTAGGGGTGGCAGGTTCAAATACCGACCAGCTTGTTAAATCAAATTACCTGGTCAGGGGGAGGTGAGTCTTCAATATTTCACTTTTGGATTTTCAATTAAAACCCTTCCCTGGAAAGGCTAATGTCTGAATGACAACTGGTCTGGGAAAAGTATTGGACGGATGCCCTGATCGGATTTTATCTGGACTGAACAGACTGGGCATCTATATGCAGTGGGAAGATTTTTGGATTTGGCAGAAACATCAGTCTGTGAAGCGATGCTGCGAACCTACGGACTTAAAAATCACACAGAAACATACTGTTTTGAGCTATCTCGCTTGCCGGAACAACTTAGAGGCTGCGGAAAATACAGTGGTACCTTGGGTTAAGTACTTAATTCGTTCCAGAAGTCCGTTCTTAACCTGAAACTGTTCTTAACCTGAAGCACCACTTTAGCTAATGGGGCCTCCTGCTGCTGCTGCGCCGCCGGAGCACGATTTCTCTTCTCATCCTGAAGCAAAGTTCCTAACCTGAGGTAATATTTCTGGGTTAGCGGAGTCTGTAACCTGAAGCGTATGTAACCCGAGGTACCATTGTAATGAGGATTAGCATCAGAATGGCTTATGGGAACTATCGGGAATGATTATGAAAAGCAGTAGACGTATGAGGTGATCAGATCCCGCCCCGCCCCCTGACCTCAGAACATGGGGAAGTCCCCCCGAAAATTTTTATAATTTGGCATAATATTTGGTCTGTTGGGTTATTGAATAATATGCATAATTTGGAATATATGATGTGGTTTGACTGGATTGTTAAAATGGAAAATTAATAAGTATTATTTTAAAAAATAATAATAGGGGTGGCAGGTTCATATATTTAAAAGGGGTGTGGGTCTGGGGAAGGTCTCCCACACACAAGATCGTACATTCAATTGGTCCAAAATGCAGCGACTGAGTTGCTTACACATTTCATAGAACTCTCCTTGTAAAATAGCTGCACTGATTGCCGGTTTGTTTGCTGGCCTAATTCAAGGTGCTCACATCGGTGTTTAAAGCCCTCAATGTCTCAGGCCCCAAACACCTAAAAGACCACCTACGGACTAAGGTTACCAGACGTCCCCGTTTCCCGGGGACAGTCCCCAGATTTACAAACCAGTCCCCATACAAAATCCATTGAAGTTGAAAAGTGTCCCCATATTCATTGAAAAAAATCTGGTAAGCTTGCTGCAGACCCTCTCCGGTACCAAGATAAACCACCCTTTTGGGTAGTTCTATCACGCTCAGAATTTCAGGGTTGCTGGGTGGCCCAGGGGGAGAGGGCATTCCCCGTGGCAGCCCCTAAAGTGTGGGGCTACCTCCCCACAGAGATGCGCCTGTCTGGCACCTTCATTGTACAGCATTCATTTCGGGGAATGCTGAAGATTCACTTCTCGACCCTGGCTTTTGGCCACCCACCTTATTTCTGGGCTTTTAAGTTCCTTCAAATGGTTATGCCTTGCGACTTGCAGTTATTCTTACAGATCATGGTTTCATAATTATTAAGAGTGAATTTCTGTTTATCATTTGCTGATGTTTTTCGAGAGTTAATTTTATTGTGCGCTATTATATTCCAATAGATTATTGACTATTACAGTGGTACCTCGGGTTAAGTACTTAATTCGTTCCGGAGGTCCGTTCTTAACCTGAAACTGTTCTTAACCTGAGGCACTACTTTAGTTAATGGGGCCTCCTGCTGCCGCCACACCGCGGGAGCATGATTTCTGTTCTTATCCTGAAGCAATGTTCTTAACCTGAAGCACTATTTCTGGGTTAGCGGAGTGTGTAACCTGAAGCGTATGTAACCCAGGGTACCACTGTATTCCATTTAATATAAGTTGTCCCACTTTAAAGTTACGTTTTATTACGACTTTTATTCTAAGGTGTGTGTTCTTTGTTGTATATTTTCTTGCTTGTGCATAGCAATACAGAAAGGCGGTATACAAATTAAAAGTGAAATGAAATGTTCTAATTGCTGTAACCACCCCAAAATCTTGGGGTGAATGGGGGGGTAAAAAATGCCCATAAACTAATGATAACAATAATAAGCATTGAGGGAGGCAAGATGGCAGATCACAGCCATTTCCCAATGTATTCAGGAGAGCAGGGAAAAGTAGTTGCAAAAATCCTGCCCGCTTCACATCTAAACCCAGCTGTCAGAAATCCAACAGGGGCAGCTTCCCATCAGGACTAATTTCCGTGCTGCCTGCTGGCTAAAACGGCACCTCAGCTCAGCCTGCCCACCCCTTAATATCCTGAGCTAACAGCTCCTCAGGGCTAAGGAATAGGCACTCTGTCCATGCTCAGGGGCACTCTTTTTCTGTACTACAGCACAGGGGGAAACCCCATGTTTTTTTGGGGGGGCGGGCTCGTGTTTTGCCCCCGAGCAATTAACTTTGAACAAAATACACAAAGATGCCCTTTTTATGGGGCGGAGGGATAGTCCTCAAGCAAACCCAAACTCGAAGTATTTCCCGGAGCAGAGGCGCGCTAGGTGAGCGGTCCGCTCCGAGGGAAGAAAAAAGGGGGAGCGGCAGAAAGTTGGGGGTCCCCTTACCTGTAGGAGAAGCCGGCGCTCGTCCCGTGGCCCATGGTGCGCCTTGCCCGGCGCCCGTCCGCCCACAGCCCTCGCCGGGGCGGCAGCAGCAGCGAGGAGAGTCCGCCTCGTCGAGAGAGAGAGATCCAAGGCGGCGGCGAAGGGACCGCGCTCGCCTCGCCCCCTCCAGGCGCCCGGGCGGCGGTGGCGACGCCTTTTTCGGGCGGTTATGTAAAAGGCAGCCCGGGTCCGGGAAGGAAGGAGGAGCCGCCCCTCGGGGGCCGCGGGAGAGCCGGGCGGGCCGCGCGCTCTGGCGGCGAAAGGCTCCTCGGGGCGCGTCGTCGGAGGGAGAAGTTGGCGCTCTGGCGCGCTCCGAGAAGCGCCCGGGCGCGCAGGGAAACTTCCTAGCGCCCAGTTTCGGTCCTCGAGAGCGGAAGGCGGCCGGGGTTGTGTAAGCGGGAGGGCCGCCGAGCCGCCGCCGCTCCGCCGCCCCGCATCTTTCCCACCCTCGGAGGCGGCTCTTCGCCTCGCCAGGAAACGGCGCGCAGGGGCGGAGGAGAAAGCGCGGAGAGGCGGCCGAGAGCGCACAGGAGTTGGAGAGGTCGCAGGGCTCCCCATGCGCCCCTGCTCGCCAGCGCCGTAGGGGGAAAGGGCTGCTCTCTGCCTACACAAGGCTCCGGGCTCAAGTGTCTGCCGGCCCGTGTCGGTAATACTAGTCTGGATGGGCTCTGTATGAGGCAGCGCCTTGTTGGAGGAAGGGCGCAGTGGCAGAGCAGCAGCAGAAGGCTCGGGTTCCCTCGTCAGCATCTGAAAACCCGAAGTGCTGCTGCCCATCCGTGTCGGCAATGCCAGTCTGGGTGGACTTCGTATAAAGCAGCTTCTTGTTAGGGAAAGGGCCGAGCAGCTGCTTTGCTTGCAGAAACCTGGGATCCAGTCCCCCCAAAGTACTGCTGCCAGCCCGTGTTGACAAAACTGCCCTGTATGGGCTCTGTATGAGGCAGCTTGTTGTTAGGGGAAGGGCTGTGTAGCGCAGTGGCAGGGCAGCAGCTTTGCTTGCAGAAGGCTCTGGGTTCAATCCTTGGCACCTGAAATCCTGGAGAATGCTGCCAGTCAGTGTCAGCAATACTAGTCTGGGCAGACCAGCAGCTTGAAGCAGGATAAGGCAGCTGCTTTTTTTCCATTCAGAATATTTTAACTGAAATTTTAACAGACATAAAAGAGATGTGCAACATACAACGTGAATAAAAACCTTTTGTCACATCAACAAAGGGAAGAGTTATTTGCAAGCACCTTTACTTTTTCTGGCTGGGAATCCAGGAGAGAGTGAGAGGGTAAAATAAGGAGATAGAGAAGGGAAATTCATCCTTTCCAGAATGAAGCATCACCTCTAGGACAGCACAAGCTTTGCTGTTTGTTTATAAAGTTGATGAAAAGTTGCCAGATCACTAAAAACTGGCCTTTTTTGGTTGTGCCTCACATCAGCCGAGCTAGCCGTGCCAGTTTTTCGTACAGGGTGGCGTGCCAAACTCTATGAAGCCACTTGTCAGAAGTCACCCAGAGTGGCTGGGGCAACCTAGTCAGATGGGCAGGATAAAAATATTATTATTATTATTCATTTATTGTTACTTGTGGTATGACAATGTGGTTTGCATCTTTCCAATGAGTTGCTAATTCTGATCTAGCAGCTGCCCACAGCAACACCGACTGAGTTTTTGTGTTAACATTTGCCAATAATGTAAGGTCACCAGATTGTTTTCCAATGAATCTGGGGACACTTTTCAACTTCAATGGATTTTGTATGGGGACTGATTTGTAAATCCGGGGACTGTCCCTGGGAAACGGGGATGTCTGGCAACCTTACAATAATGCTATCATGGGACCTGAAATCATCACCCATCATCATCACTTTTAATTTGTATACCGCCTTTCTATCTTACGATACTCAAGGCAGTTTACAAGCTGAAGAAACGAAGAATGTACACCTTATAACAATCTAATGCAATACCAAAATGTGGTAATAAAACAGCTTTAAAATAAGCAATCTACATCAAATAAAGTAACATTCAACAATCATTAGAATAGTATAGAATAATAATAATAATAATAATATTGTTGTTTAGTCGTTTAGTCGTGTCCAACTCTTTGTGACCCCCTGGACCAGAGCACGCCAGGCACTCCTGTCTTCCACTGCATCCCACAGCTTGGTCAAACTCATGCTGGTAGCTTCAAGAACACTGTCCAACCATCTCATCCTCTGTCGTCCCCTTCTCCTTGTGCCCTCCATCTTTCCCAACATCAGAGTCTTTTCCAGGGAGTCTTCTCTTCTCATGAGGTGGCCAAAGTACTGGAGCCTCAGCTTCAGGATCTGTCCTTCCAGTGAGCACTCAGGGCTGATTTCCTTCAGAATGGAGAGGTTTGATCTTCTTGCAGTCCATGGGACTCTCAAGAGTCTCCTCCAGCACCATATTTCAAAAGCATCCATTCTTCGGCGATCAGCCTTCTTTATGGTCCTGCTCTCACTTCCATACATACTGGGAAAACCATAGCTTTAACTATACAGACCTTTGTTGGCAAGGTGATGTCTCTGCTTTTAGACAATCCTAAGATAGATGGAACAACAGCAGCCTAACTCCAGGTAAGGCGGTTTCCTAGGTTCCTAACCAGATGTACCGTCCCGCAACTTGGGACCTGCTAACAGAGATAATAATAATAAACCTTTATTTATATCCTGCCCTCCCCGGCCAAAGTTGGGCTCAGGGCGGCTAATATCAGATATATAACATTAGTATAAAAATCAAACAATAATTAAATTACCTCCTAAAAACAGGTCAAATCAAATTAAAGTCTAATTCAGGGGTCAGCAAACCTTTTCAGCAGGGGGCCGGTCCACTGTCCCTCAGACCTTGTGGGAGGCCGGACTATATTTTTGGGGGGGGGGGGAATGAATGAATTCCTATGACCCACAAATAACCGAGAGATGCATTTTCAATAAAAGCACACATTCTATTCATGTAAAAACACCAGGCAGGCCCCACAAATAACCCAGATATGCATTTTAAATAAAAGGGCACATTCTACTCATGTAAAAACGTTGATTCCCGGACCATCTGCGGGCCGGATTGAGAAGGCGATTGGGCTGGATCTGGCCCCCGGGCCTTAGTTTGCCTACCCCTGGTCTAATTAGATGTCTTTCCACAGGGTTATGGTTGGGAACAGTAAGTGCTCATCGGCCCAACTGTTTACGCTGATCTTATATGGATGGGCCTATGAGAATGCTGTGAGGCCTCTTTCATATTAGTTCTTATACAAAAAGAAAAGGGGAGTCAGGCTGAGCCCTGATCAAAGGCCTGGCAGAACAACTCCACCTTGCAGGCCCTGCGGAAAGAGGTCAAATCCTGCAGGGCCCTGATCTCTTGTGGCAGAGCGTTCCACCAAGCCGGGGCCAAGGCTGAAAAGGCCCTGGCCCTGGCCGAGGCCAGCCTAATCTCTCTGAGGCCCGGGATCTCCAAGGTGTTATTATTTGCAGACCGTAAGGTCCTCCGTGGGGCGTACCAGGAGAGGCGGTCCCGTAGGTACGAGGGTCCTAGGCCGTATAGGGGTTTAAAGGTTAAAACCAGCACCTTGAACCCGATCCTGTACTCCACCGGGAGCCAGTGCAGCTGGAAAAGCACTGGGTGAATGATATCATTTTTCTGTTCCAAAGCAAGAGATGTGCAGGAGAGAAATGGTGTTTATGTGTGTGTGTGCATGGCTGGAATTGTAGATAAATGGAATTAGGCAGAGCTTTTTTTCTTTTAAAAGTGTTTAGGGGTACTCTCATTTTGACTAGAGAAATCCACCATTTTATAGTTCAAATCAGGGAAAGTAAATAGACAAAAGTACAAAGATTCCCAAAATATTTAGGGGGTATGCGTACCCCCAGAAAAAAAGAAGTGGAATTAGGATTATTTTCCCTAGCCTGACAAAAACCCGGCGCAATGGCTTATTGTGCAGCTAGCGCCCCCTGCAGGTCAAAAACCCAAAATCTTCCCCATGGAATCAGAATTGTATAATTGCTAGGGGAGGGGACGGTGCTCCTTCTGGGATAGTCTGTCCTCCTTTGGCCCCCACCCTGCAGTCAGCTCTCACCTGTGGCTCCTGGAAGCTGTCAGCATGCAACAAACAGTGGCCACACCTGGAGAACAGCTTCGGCAGGCCAGATAAACCAGGTGAGGGGAGCGGATGGGTTTCAAATCCTCGGTGAGTTAGGAACTTCCCTTGCCATTGAAGAATGAGGGGCTGTGGGGATCATCAACCTGGGAAGGGAGCCCGTCTAGGAGAAGGAAACTCTGAAAACCTCTGAAATGAATAAATTAAGGTCTTATGTATATAATAAAGGTAAAGGTAAAGGGACCCCTGAGCATCAGGTCCAGTCGTGGCCGACTCTGGGGTTACGGAGCTCATCTCGCTTTATTGGCCGAGGGAGCCGGCGTACAGCTTCCGGGTCATGTGGCCAGCATGACTAAGCCGCTTCTGGCGAACCAGAGCAGCGCATGGAAACGCCGTTTACCCTCCCGCCGGAGCGGTACCTATTTATCTACTTGCACTTTGATGTGCTTTCGAACTGCTAGGTTGGCAGGAGTATGTATATAATAAAGGTTCATAAATGTACCAAGCAAACACGTACATAGATATATAGGCCACATGTCTGAAGCTGCACAGGAGAGCAGCTATGGAGCCATTTTGACTCCCAGGCTGACCAGGTGTTTTCTCTGCAAGGTCAAATGGAGGAGCCTCCCCATTGTCTTTTCCTTCACAAATCCTGTCTTAAGTGTATGTCTGTGTATGAATAGGGTGAGCCTGTGACCTGGCTCAGGAACTAAGTACTTATCATTACAAAAGACTGGCCAGGCTCCCCAGGGTATCCAATCAAGTAAGCATTAACAGGTAACCCGCCAGACAGGAGGTAAACAACGCACTCAGATTTCTGCTGTAGACAGCCCTTTCTGTAGGTATGATGTACCTGGGGGGTGGGCTTGGGCTACACCCCTTCTGTGATGTAGATATGATGTTTCTGGGGGTGGTCTTGGACTCCAAGGTGGGCAATTTAAAATATCTATATAAGGGCAGACACAGCTTGGTTCTGGGGCTTCCTCCTTTTCTGCGTGTGAGGGGAGCACCCTGTTGCAACAGTTCAATAAAGATCAGGCTTACAAGCTGCTTTGCTTCTCAATATTCTTTGGCTGGCCTCTGTTTTTTTCCCCTCCGAACGATGGAGAACCTACAAAGGACTCTATGAGGGCTCTTGTGTCCCCCATAAGGGAATAAGGGCAGATTTTCGTTTATTACACCTCCATTGCCTTGCAGATGTTGTAAACAAAAATCTGCCCTTTTTTCCCTTATGGGGTATCCAAGAGCCCATATAGAGTCCTTACGTAGGTTCCATGTTGGTAGGAGAGAATAACAGAGGCCAACCAGAGAATATTGAGAAGCAAAGCAGCTAGTAAGCTTGATCTTTATTGAACTGTTGCAACAGGGTGCTCCCCTCACATACAGGAAAGCAGGAGGAACCCAGAACCAAAGGTGTGTCCACCCTTATATAGACATTTTAAATTGCCCGCCTTGGAGTCCAAGACCAGCCCCCAGATACATTATACCTACATCACAGAAATGGCGGTCTACAGCAGAAATCTGAGTGCATTGTTTACCTCCTGACTGCCAAGTTATCTGTTAATGCTTACTTGATTGGATACCCTGGCCAGTCTTTTGTAATGATAAATACTTAGTTCCTGAGCCAGGTCACAGGCTCATACCCTATTCATATCTTAAATGTGCCCTTAAGACAGGATTTGTGAGGAAAGAGACAATGGGGAGGTTTCCCACTTTGACCTTGCAGAGAAATATTTGAGGTCAATTTGTTCAGGACTTTTTTTCTGTGGGGTTTCAGACATGTGGTTTATATATTTATGTATGTGTTTGCTTGGTACATTTATGAACATTTATTACATATCTAAGACCTTAAAATTCTTATAACACAGATATACTCATTCATGAGAAAGGCTTCAGGAGCAAACCCCCAGGAAAAATCTGTACCTGCTGCCTTGTGGACATCTTTGGGAGAAGAAAGAGAAAAACATTTCTCTATCTGCTTTCTCCAGGCCAGGGAGCATCGTTATCCCCCTCGATCTCGACACCTGGAAGAGATTATCCACACTTACCTTTCCAGGGACATGGCCACCTTGTAAAGGCCTGTGTCCGAATCAGAGAATTGTAGAGTTGGAAGGGACCACAAGGGTCATCTAGTCCAACCCCCTGCAGTGCAAACACTGAGTGGTGGGTGTGGTTTTTTGGTCCAGAGCTTTCACCACCAAAACTCACTCTTTAGCGTTCAACCAGGCAGAGGGCCTTCTCGGTAGTGGCGCCCGCCCTGGAACGGCCTCCCGTCAGATGTCAAGGAAATAAACAACCACCTGACTTTTAGAAGACGTCTGAAGGCAGCCATGTATTGAGAAATTTCTAATGTTTGATGCTTTATAATTCTTTATGTGTGCTGTAAGCTGCCCAGAGCGGCTGGGGAAATCCAGCCAAATCGGTGGGGTATAATAATAATAATAATAATAATAATAATAATACAATCATAGGTAAAGGTAAAGGGACCCCTGACCATTAGGTCCAGTCGTGGCCAACTCTGGGGTTGCGGTGCTCATCTCGCTTTATTGGCCGAGGGAGCCTGCGTACAGCTTCCGGGTCATGTGGCCAGCATGACTAAGCCGCTTCCGGCGAAGCAGAGCAGCGCACGGAAACACCGTTTACCTTCCCGCCAGAGTGGTACCTATTTATCTACTTGCACTTGACGTGCTTTCAAACTGCTAGATAGGCAGGAGCAGGGACCGAGCAATGGGAGCTCACCCCGTCGCGGGGAGTCGAACCACCAACCTTATGGCAAGTCCTAGGCTATGTGGTTTAACCCACAGCGCCACCCGCATCCCTAATACAGTCATACCTTGGGTTAAATGTGCTTCGGGTTGAGCGTTTTCAGGTTACGCTCCGTGGCAACCCGGAAGTAACGGAATGCGTTACTTCCTTTTTTCACCGCTCGCGCATGCGCAGACGCTCAAAATGACATCACAGGCATGCGCAGAAGCGGTGCATTCTACTCAGGATGCGAACAGGGCTCCAGAACGGATCCTGTTCACATCCAGAGGCACCACTGTAATTATCATCATCATCAGAGCAAACATCAATTCAGGTTTTTCACTTGCATTTGTTCCAATTCAGCTTTAAACAGCGGGTTTTTGCAGGGAAAACTGTGGGCTAAAAAAAAGGGGGGTTAGACATGGAGCTTTAACGTGCAGAGTGTACCTGGAAAGACTGGGAGAAAATACAAGCCCTTGCTCTCTTTTTCTCGAAACTGAAAAGTCCCAAACAATGCAGCCTGGCTTTCTTTCGCCATGGGGAGTCGCTCCACCCCTTGATCATTTTGGTTACTCAGCAAGGGACGGTCAGGGGGCCCTTTCCTCCCCCTCAGCCCAGTGGGAAGAGCAGGGGCGAGAGTCTGCAGCAACATTGCAGCCAGCAGGAAGAGCAAACCTCAGGCCTTCTCCATGCGTTAGGCACAACCTAAAAATAACCCAAAATTCCAAGGAAAACAGCTGCCATTCCAACTCCTGTGTTTCAAGAACAAGAGGCCACCGTGACCCCCCAGAGAAAGTGGAGCTGTGCAAAAAAGGTTGTTTTCATCCTGTGCTGCTGTTTTTTTGGTTTTTTGGCACTTCGCCTCTCCTTTTTAAATCTCACCCACTCCTCTCTTAAGAAGTGAGAATTTGCAAGGGCAGGTTTACAGTTTGCAGTGTTCGTATGTTGTCTTTAGAGCGACGCGAACGTAAAGCATTTGCGTACAAGTAAATAATAATTTACGCAGGTGGCGCTGTGGGTTAAACCACAGAGCCTAGGGCTTGCCGATCAGAAGGTTGGCGGTTCGAATCCCCGCGACAGGGTGAGCACCCGTTTTTCAGTCCCTGCTCCTGCCCACTTAGCAGTTCGAAAACACATAAAAGTTCAAGTAGATAAATAGGTACCACTCCGGCGGGAAGGTAAACGGCGTTTCCGTGTGCTGCTCTGGTTCGCCAGAAGCGGCTCAGTCCTGCTGGCCACATGACCCGGAAGCTATGCCGGCTCCCTCGGCCAATAAAGCAAGATGAGCACCGCAACCCCAGAGTTGGCCACGACTGGACCTAACGGTCAGGGGTTCCTTTACCTTTAAATAATAATGACTAAAATAAGAAGTTACGCCAGAAACCCTACCAACCACCAACTACATACAGAGTTTGTAAATAAACAAAGCTCAAGCGCCACCTGGTGGCCGCCACCATGATTGCTCTGAGCCAACGGAAACCATCAGAAAATGTACCACAAATACAGCGGGCCCGTAATTTACGTTCACAACTTTATGCAGGTGGGGAATAAATAAGTAAACAGAGAACGGGGCAAACATTAGAATACAAACGCATTTGCAGAAAAACATATGCAATTCGTTTCAATAATGCACAATTATGCCTTACTTATTGTTTATAGTTTTAGCTTAATCAAATTATAAAATCCAATAAAAATATTAAAAATAAATCGATCAATGCACAAAGCAATCCCCAACAGCAGCAGTAGAAATACCATGCAGAAAAAGTCAGCCCGGATAGCACAGTTGGTTAAGAGTGTGTTAAGAGTTAAGAGACCAAAAGTTCATCCAAGATTGGGGAAAATTTTCAGATTATTTGAAATGTATATGTGATGAGCAAACAACGCTAGTGGGATTTCAAGAAGCTCTGTGAATGATTGAGGAATATTGTGTTGAAGGAAAATAAGAGGGTGAAGGTATGTAAATTGCAATAGAAAAATTAGGAAATGTGTAACTGAAAAATTGAATAATGGATGATTGTTAGAGAGGCTGAAGGAAGTTCAAAAGAGAAAATATGTGATAAATTTAGATTGGATATTATAAATGTATGTTGGAAAATTAATAAAAATTATTTATACAAATTGGGAAAAAGAAGAAGAAATATCATGCAGAAAAAGTCAGCCCAGATAGCACAGTTGGTTAAGAGTGTGGTGCTGACAATGGCAAGGTTGCAGGTTTGAACCCCATCTGGGACAGCTGAATATTCCTGCATTGCAGGGGGCTGGACCAGAGCCTTAGGGTCCCTTCCAACTCTATGATTCTATGAAGTCACATTCATAGATCATCACTGTAGTTCATCAACAGCCTGGGAGCAAAAGGTGTCTTTTTCCCGGAACCAAAATGAGGGGACCTTACTTATGTTTAGCGTTGATCCAAAAGTTTATGCAACTGCCACCATATCACTCCTAATACCATTACTAGGGGCTGTGCCCCTGCTCATTTTGCCCACCAACCCCACTGCCATCCCCCCCACATTAACCCCCTTCTCACCTCATGCAACTACTAAGCTTGCTTTTCACCTTTCCAACCCCATTCCTTCACAGAAATCCAGGACTGTGATGTAGCACTACCAAACATCCAATGGGGGCTGAGCGACGGCAACCTTACATTTTTATGTATATAGGAAGATAGAGATGCAGCCAAGGGCAGTTCAAGACATTTTGCTTCCACATACAGAAGCTAACCTGACAGGACAGCTGAATCTTCAAATCTGATGATATTGCACCAAATCCAAAAGTAGCAGACTATCTCAGTGGGGCTGAAGGAGGCAGCTCTGTCTCCAAATAAACTCAGCGTTGCTTCCCACCCATCTGCCATCTGAGGTTGCCATTTTGCCTAATAGCTGGGATGGGCCTGCCTGCAGCTGCAAAGGCTGATCATGTTGGCGCCCACATTTGTTTGCTTTAAAAAACAAAACAAAATAAGAAATAAGACGGCAAATAACAAACTAAATATCGATGTATGTAATTTTTATTTCTTAATTATATTTAGTGGTAGTATGGCTGTATTGTTTTTTGTAACATAAAACCATTCAATAAAAAATATTTTTAAAACAAAACAAAACAAAACCAGTCACCTGCAAAAGTTTAAGCCCCCCCCCTTTTTTTTTACCTCTCTGTTGAAAAAAGGCTCTCAGGAACTCCCTGTTCTCAGGCTAACAATCTAGACATGACACAGGAAGAAAAGGGATTAGGAGGCTGGAGGAAAAATATAAGCACAAGCACTGTTTTTTAGTTACGGATGTTATGTAATGGCCAGCTGGAATGGAAAGAGTTTGAGCCCGAAGTTGCTGCACGTTCAGCAGCACTGACCAAGATAGCCTGCAAATGTTTTTCTCTCTCTCTGCTTTCTATAGTTATGAAATGTGTCTGTAGATTCCTGCCGGTTGCATGCAAAGGGCTTCAACAGGCTGTGTCCGATTGTGAGTTGCTGGAGGAGCTGGTGGTATCCATCAGTTGTATCTCCCTTAGTAGTGTCGCAGGAAAACCTGCCCCCCCCAATCATTCAGTTTGTACAAACTCGACACCCACCCACACCCACCCACACCATATGCTACACTTCTGTTATAAATTCATAGAAAATCAACCACACATCGGATCTGCACCGTTCCACTTTTATTTTACTCCATGAAGGAAGGACTACAAAATGGGGAAGGTTTGATACAGGGCAGCCATAATCCCTTCAGCATACCAGCACCTCCACAGGAGCCCTGCCCAGTTGCTATACCAACCCTGATGGTCCTAGACAGAAGACCACCAAGGTCACAAAGAACTTGCATATGGGAGTGGATTCAGCACGGACTGGAACAAAGGACAATGATCAGCTCTTCCCTCTGGGGGCAGGAAACTGCAAACTCCCCTTTGTCACCTGGAAAATACTCATGGGGAGGGGGAAAGGAGGAACCAGCCAGGTGATAGGACACTCAGGTTACCACCACAACTCCTCCCTCAACCCCTCCTTTTTGTGATGTATCAATGATGTAGTTTTAGGGGTGTAGTTGGGGGGATTAGTAACTAATAAAAGTTGGGGGTCTTCTTTTGTTCTGGGCTTCCATTTTGTTTCACCTGGTGGCAGGTGGAAGTCCTGTCGCGACAGTCTTCAATAAAGACCAAGCCTACTGGCTGCTGGTTTGCTCTGGTATTCCTGGCTGGCGTCCTTGTTTTTTTGTCCAATGGAGCCCTCGGATTTCTCCATTAACAGTAGTCTCTCGGCCTCCACAAATATCTCACCTGACTCGCTGCTAGTGTCAGCCTCTGACACCAGCTCTGTCCTGTCCTCAAGTGAGACCTGCAACGAAATGCTACAATACAACCTCACTCCCTATTGTGAGGCCAGGATAATGCTATGATGAGCTGTATGGGGCTCAAACAAGCCAATTCCCTCCACTCGCATTTTCCGATTTCCTTTTCCAAATGGTATTCAATATCCTGTGATTCCTGGTGATTACTGACTCATTTCCCACACGCTGCCCTTTTCCACCTGGCCTGACAAGCTACCCTTCTCCTTGCTTCCCCAACAACTTTGTTTATTTTAAAAAAGCATTTCTGCACAGCCGTAGCACAAGCTGTTAGGACTGTGTGCAATGCTGAAAGCACAAAACTAAAACAGTACAGTTAATCATTATACTGGCTGGCAACACCTGCAAAGACTGCTGACATTAAAAAAAATAAAAGGTCTCCCACAGCCTGGAACCAGCAACACAAAATGCCCAACTTCTTGCAGTCCATGGGACTCTCAAGAGTCTCCTCCAGCACCAGAATTCAAAAGCATCAATTCTTCGGTGATCAGCCTCCTTTATGGTCCAGCTCTCACTTCCATACATCACAATATATCCTCTCCTGCCTCCCTGAACATTCCCACGTGGACAAATTCATGACGAGGCTGTGGATGGCTGCTAGTCCTGATGCTGTGCTTTGCCTTCATGGCTGAAGACAATAAAGGCTTCTGCATCCTAGTTGCTGGAAGCCGCAGGAGGAAAGAGTGCACCTCTCGCACCCAGGTCCTGCTTGTGGTTTTTTTTTCATGGGCCATCTGGTTGGCCACCGTGGGAAGAAGATGCTGGACTGGGTGTGCCCCCTTGGGCATGATCCAGCCTCAGGACTCTTCTTATGTTCTTCACTACTGGGAAAACCAGGGCTTTAACTAGCACCAAAGTGACCCCCCTCCCACAACCCAGGACACAAACCTGGGCGGTGTGTCTGGAGGTCCTGGGCTGACCAGACCACAAGCCTCGCTGATGTGGTCCAAAGGAATGCAGAGCAATATATTTGGCACCAGCTCAGCTGCAGGAGGCATACGCAAAGTGCCATCCAAACGGCTTAGGGACTCTATTCTGGATTTCTGTAGGGTTTACTCCTTATCCTTTTCTTCTCCCAGAGATGTCCTACAAGGCAGTGGATACATGTGCCTTGTTTACATCTGTGCCATAGTGGCTGTCGCTGATCTAAAACAGGGGTCAGCAAACTTTTTCAGCAGGGGGCCGGTCCACTGTCCCTCAGACCTTGTGGGGGACCGGACTATATTTTGAAGGGGAAAAAAAGAACGAATTCTTATGCCCCACAAATAACCCAGCGATGCATTTTAAATAAAAGCACACATTCTACTCATGTAAAAACACACTGATTCCTGGACCGTCCGCGGGCCAGATTTAGAAGGCGACTGGGCCGGATCCGGCCCCCGGGGCCTTAGTTTGCTTACCCATGGTTTACTCCATAGCCTTTTCTTCTCCCAGAGATGTCCTACAAGGCAGTGGATACATGTGCCTTGCTTACATCTGTGCCGTAGTGGCTGTCGCTGATCTAATACAGGGGTCAGCAAACTTTTTTAGCAGGGGGCCGGTCCACTGTTCCTCAGACCTTGTGGGGGGTCGGACTATATATTTTGGGGGGGGGGGAATGAACGAATTCCTATGCCCCACAAATAACCCAGAGATGCATTTTCAATAAAAGGACACATTCTACTCATGTAAAAACACGCTGATTCCCGGACCGTCCACGGGCCGGATCCGGCCCCCGGGCCTCAGTTTGCCTACCCACGATCTAAAACATAGGAATGGCATTAGAAAGAGAGAGAGCAGCAAGCGACGCCCCCCACCCACCACCTCCACTGCGCGCCCCTCCCCACTGCTGAGCGCAGCTGGCCAAGCGCCCCCGGCGGCAAGCGGAAGGCGAGGGGCGGCCGGAGCGCGGCGTCGTCGGCGGCGTCGGGGCTCTTTGCCAGCCCGGAGAAGGCGGAGGCGGAGGCGGAGCCGCAGGCGGCCGGGCCAGGGCGCAGCGCCCAGCCCCGCCGGACAAAAGGAGCTGCCCGGCTGGCGAGCGGAGAGCCTGCGCCCGGCAAGGAGAGGGGCCCGGCGAGAAGCCACCGGGGCGCGCACTCGGCACATGGCCAAGGGGGGCGCGCCTCTCCTTCCCCGCCTCCCCGGGAGGGCGAGCGAGGTGCGGGGGCCAAGCTTCGCGACTGGGGCGGGGGGGGGTCCCCTTGGCTCCCCTTCCCTCCCGCGACACGCCCCCTGGAGAGGGGAAGGGGGCAGGGAAACTTGGGGCAGGGGGCACGTGGGCATGGGCCGGCTCTGGGTGCCTTGCGTGTACACCTATATGCGATTGCCAGCTGTTGGAAACTGTTTTGAATAATGTGTTTCAGTGCTGCAGCCGGCCCTGTGGCCTTAGGGTGAAGGGTGGACAATAGAATTATTATTATTATTATTATTATTATTATTATTATTATTACAGTGGTACCTCGGGTTACATACGCTTCAGGTTACATACGCTTCAGGTTACAGACTCTGCTAACCCAGAAATAGTACCTTGGGTTAAGAACTTTGCTTCAGGATGAGAACAGAAATTGCGCGGTGGTGGCGGGAGGCCCCATAGGCTAAAGTGGTGCCTCAGGTTAAGAACAGTTTCAGGTTAAGTACGGACCTCCAGATTGAATTAAGTACTTAACCCGAGGTACCACTGTATTATTATTAGGTAAAGGGTAAAGGGACCCCTGGCCATTAGGTCCAGTCGTGGCCAATTCTGGGGTTGCGGCGCTCATCTCGCTTTATTGGCCAAGGGAGCCGGCGTACAGCTTCCGGGTCATGTGGCCAGCACGACTAAGCCGCTTCTGGCGAACCAGAGCAGCGCACGGAAACCGTTTCCCTTCCCACTGGAGCGGTACCTATTTATCTACTTGCACTTTGACGTGCTTTCAAACTGCTAGGTTGGCAGGAGCAGGGACCGAGCAACGGGAGCTCACCCCATCATTGTGGGGATTCGAACCGCCGACCTTCTGATCGGCAAGTCCTAGGCTCTGTGGTTTAACCCGCAGCGCCACCCGCGTCCCTATTATTATTATTATTAGTGTTGATATTAATATATAATATTTGTACATTTTTAGTAGATACACAGATCAGGCCAGTGTGGTGGAGGGGTCTTAACCGCCAAACTCAAAGGGTGATCATGGAATATTATCATTCCAGAACTAGGGGCCAGAGAGCAGGGGGAAAGCACTTGGAGGAAAAATTTGTGGATAAGAGGGCAATCTGTCTCCGTGGTCCGAGGGAGAAATGATTCTCAATGCCAGAGGCTGGAAACCACAGGAGGGGAGAGTTCTGCTGGGATTCTGCTTGCTGGCTTTCCACAGGCACCTGATTGGTGGCTTTGAGAACAGGATGCTAGACTCGATAGGCTAGGGGCCTGATTCACGCAGGGCGTTTATTGCGTTCTCAAAGGACCGGAGTCTCCCAGTCCTAACTGGACTGGCAACTGGGTCCCGCTTCAACATTGCTGTGGAGACCAGCAGGCTAGCTTGGAGGTCATGACATGGTTAGGCGGTGGGATCCTGGTGGTACTTGACAGTATAGCTTCATCTCTGCATGGAGAGATTTCGGTCTCACCTGCGAGTACAATGGGGGGTGCGTTGGTTAAGGGGTGCTAAGGAGTAACTAGTCCATATTAAGTACCCATGCGAGGAAAGGTTAATTAGGAGAGCCACCTGGTGAAAAGAAAACTGAGTTGATCAATTGCACAAGTTTTCACAGATTGAAAACTAAGTTTGCATGTGAGTAAAATGACAGTGTTGAAGGGGTGAGATGATCGGGCAGGGCAACCGTTGCAGCAGGTAGCATCTTGAAGGACCTCTTTCCTGGGTGAGAGTGTCTCTTCTCATAATAAATTTATTATGGAATTTTAATTTTTTTAAAAGAGAGAATGCCTCTTCTCAGAGGACCACCAGTGCCATCTTAGATAAGAGGACTTCCCTTCCACGGTGGGAGAAGATTCCTCTCCTGAAGTTGTGTCTGCTGCTGCTGTGTGACAGACACCATCATGCAGCCCAGCAAGTACCGTATTTTTTGCTCTATAAGGCTCACTTTTTCCCTCCTAAAAAGTAAGGGGAAATGTGTGTGCATCTTATGGAGCGAATGCAGGCTGCGCAGCTATCCCAGAAGCCAGAACAGCAAGAGGGATTGCTGCTTTCACTGTGCAGCGATCCCTCTTGCTGTTCTGGCTTCTGAGATTCAGAATATTTCTTTTCTTGTTTTCCTCCTCCAAAAACTAGGTGCATCTTGTGGTCTGGTGCGTCTTATAGAGCGAAAAATACGGTACACAGGAAGTTGCCTTTGGCAGACTCAGATCGTTGGTCCATATAATTCAGAGTAGTCCACACTGACAGGTAGGATTTCAGGCAGGATATCTTACCTGGAGATGCCATTGGGAGTTGAATCTGGGACTATGGAATCTGGTGTGCAAGTCGGAGACAGATATCTCTTCCAAGGTGATTCCTAAGAAAGACAACAGCTGTCCTAAGATTGCTTAACGTTTGGTAGACATACCCAAATATGTGCAGCTTTGGCGATGGATTCATGCCTGGTGCCCATTGCTTAACCATTTGACACACCGATGACTGCATATCCTCATGCCTGGTGCTTTTACATCCTGGGTTGTCCAGATGGAGATGAAACATTGCCTTTCCATTGTGAAAACTGAAAATTTCTATTATTGCCTTCTCAGAGCCAAGTTTAAAGTGAGGTGCCTGTGACCAGCAAGAAAATCCAGATTTCCCCCCCGTTTCAACAAAGTTCCTTCCCATTTTGGGTTTAGAACTGCAGCCTCCCAGCCTTGATGACAGATATTTACGTGTAAGTAAACCCCTCTCAGTTCAATGGGACTCTTACAAAGAGGGAATGTTATTACCTGTGGCTTTTGTTAAGTACTTGGATAAAATAAATAAATACCTTCTTTTCACATCTAAAATAACATCTGCCCCGGTTAAATCAGCAATTCCTTTTTATGTTGAAGGTAGTGAGTATGGATGGAGATGGACTTAACTATGGGAGAAAGAAGAAAAGGGAGGAATTGAGTCAACGATTTACGGCGGTGGGGTTGGGGGAGGTTGTATGTATTTTTATAAAAGTGATAAATTGATAAAATAGCTTCTTAATGATGTCATAATCCAATTGGTTAATATTACCATAAAAGGTAAAGGGACCCCTGACCATTAGGTCCAGTCGTGGCCGACTCTGGGGTTGTGGCGCTCATCTCGCTTTATTGGCTGAGGGAGCCGGCGTACAGCTTCCGCATGTGGCCAGCATGACTAAGCTGCTTCTAGTGAACCAGAGCAGCGCACGGAAATGCTGTCTACCTTCCCGCCAGAGTGGTACCTATTTATCTACTTGCACTTTGATGTGCTTTTGAACTGCTAGGTGGGCAGGAGCTGGGACAAAGCAATGGGAGCTCACCCTGTTGCAGGGATTTGAACCGCCGACCTTCTGATTGGCAAGTCCTAGGCTCTGTGGTTTAACCCACAGCGCCACCTGTGTCCCTGAATATTACCATAGGAACCAGTAAAACTGCAATTGCACTTTCTTGGGAGTAGGCCCTCTTGAATTCAGTAGGACTTACCTCTGAGTAGGAATGGTTAGGATTGTGCTGTAACTGCAGAAAAGCGTATATACGGTAGTTTTTGCTTCGACTGCATCCATTTTCAGGCTTTGGTCCTTGGACTGAGCAAGATTAGTCCCAAGCATGGCAGGGATTTGTTCTGGGGTGGGGTGAACATCCAGATGTGGCCCTCCAGATGTTGGTGGACTACAAGCCCCATCACTCCTAACCATCGGTTATTTGCATCATTAGCCAAAAGGCTGATTCGAGGGCACCTTCTGGTTTCCTGCACTTCTTAGCTTCAGGTGATTCTTCCTACATCCACCTTGCTTGTCAGGAACACTCACTGACTGTGATGGATTCTGGGCGGTGCGCTTGAGCCCAGCAGGGTCCTCCTTTAGAAGCACGACCCTCTTGCCACCCCTGATTGTCTGTGCCAGGCAGGTAGGTGGCAGGGGCAGAGCGGTGCCCTCTGATCACCACCGCATAGAGCCATGGAAAACGACAGCTTTCAGTTCAGCTTTGGATCATAGAACTGCAAAGTTGGAAAGGCCTGATCTAACCCACCGCAATGCAGGAATCCCTGACACATGGCCATCCAACCTCATGTTGTGTTGTGTTCTGTTGTGTTGTGCTATTTATATCCCACCTTTCCCCCAGTTTGGGACTCGAGACTGCTTACGCAGTTAAAATAAAACAAGCTGAAAACATAGAAGAGGCATGGACTGTGGGATGTGATACGTAAGAAGCAGTCAAGTACAACATTCCTTGTTTTCCTAGAGTGGACATGCGGGGGAATGTTTGGTCCAGCCAGTCGAAAACTTCCAGTTTCCTCCTGCCTGGGACACCCTTCCTTTGCATGTGACTCAATGTGGGCGTGACCTCACCTGTCCAGGTAACAAAAGGACAAGACACGCAACACATTCTCTCTCTCTCTGACTTCCTCTGTCGTTGGAGCAGCTTTTTAGCTTTGGCTTTCAGCCAACAGAGGACACTGGGATTATCCCCATATGGGATAGATACATAGCTATCAACTTTTCCCTTTTCTTGAGAGGAATCCTATTCGGAATAAGGGAATTTCCCTTAAAAAAAGGGAAATGTTGACAGCTATGGATAGATCCGCAGGTATATATCTTTAACTAAGCCTGCCTTCAGGGATCCCACTGTGAACTGGTATGAGTAAACTTCTTTTATATACTTTAAACAAGATTGTGGCATATTTATTCTTTTAAGAGGGATGTAAGGGAACTTACCAGGAACCTAGTAGTGAGAGGCTTAAACAAGCCTGCAACCAGCTATCCACTGTGCGTTTAAAAGGGGAATGTAAAACTCGGCTAAGTAAAAGAACTTGCTAGCGCAAGTTAGGAAGGATATTAATAAACAATATATCCTCTCCTGCCTCCCTGAACATTCATGGACAAATTCATGACGAGGCTGCGGGTGGCTGCTAGTCCTGATGGCTGTGTTTTGCCTTCATGGCTGGAGATAATAAAGGCTTCTGCATCCTAGTTGCTGGAAGCCACAGGAGGAAAGAGTGCTGCTCTCGCACCCGGGTCCTGCTTGCGGGTTTTTTCATGGGGCATCTGGTTGGCCACCATGGGAAGAAGATGCTGGACTAGGTGGGCCCCCTTGGGCCTGATCCAGCCTCAAGACTCTTTTTATGTTCTCCAAGGTTCTGTGAACAAGGAAGGGCCTCTTTGAAACAATGGAGTGGGTAAACAGATCCCATTAGAACCCCCCTTTTGTTGTTGTTTAGTTGTTTAGTCGTGTCCGACTCTTCGTGACCCCATGGACCAGAGCACGCCAGGCACTCCTGTCTTCCACTGCCTCCTGCAGTTTGGTCAAACTCATGCTGGTAGCTTCGAGAACACTGTTCAACCATCTCGTCCTCTGTCTTCCCCTTCTCCCAGTGCCCTCCATCTTTCCCAACATCAGGGTCTTTTCCAGGGAGTCTTCTCTTCTCATGAAGTGGCCAAAGTATTGAAGCCTCTGCTTCAGGATCTGTCCTTCCAGTGAGCACTCAGGGCTGATTTCCTTCAGAATGGATCGGTTTGATCTTCTTGCAGTCCATGGGACTCTCAAGAGTCTCCTCCAGCACCAGAATTCAAAAGCATCCATTCTTCGGCGATCAGCCTTCTTTATGGTCCAGCTCTCACTTCCATACATCGGTACTGGGAAAACCAGAGCTTTAACTATACGGACCTTTGTTGGCAAGGTGGTGTCTCTGCTTTTTAAGATGCTGTCTAGGTTTGTCATTGCTTTTCTCCCAAGAAGGAGGCGTCTTTTAATTTTATGACTGATGTCACCAAACAGCAACCCCCCCTCCTTAAAAGCAAATGACCTCAGAAGATGCAGTGGCAAGATGGGGAAGGAGATGGCTGGAAGGGAGCACATCCTCGGGAGAGTTACTCAGCACCAAGAGGGCAGGATGAGTTGTTTGACCCGATTAGCAACTTTCTCAGTAGTCCAAACCTTTTCCTGCTTCTTTCTTTCCTTCTGTTTTTTTATGTGTTAGCAAAAACTGCTAAGATTAGAATAGAGGAAGTGAATTGGCATTGAAGAGCTTCCTCCTTCTTTGTTTTTTCGATCCTGGAAACAGCTGTCAGTCACATCCACATTCCCTCCCCTCTGGGTCACCAAGTTGCCATATGCACATTTGCCCAGCAGACAATGCGGAGATGCTGGTGGTGTTTAGAGGAAGCGTGCAGATTTTGGAGGCGTCACACCCTGGCCTTGTGAGGGGCTGAGTGCTGCAGGGAAAGTGCTCATCATTGTTCTACTCACCTCACCTCAAAATCTTCACCTGCATTTTTTCAGCTAATGTGATCTGAAAGCAAAAGCATTTAAGTTGCTGTTCACTGCCAGGATTTGTGTGTGTGAGCACCAAATTAAAAAGTTGTTCTACTCCATTTTTTAAAAAAAGTTTTAATTTATGCATCTCCTGTTTAACTTAGGGACACGGGTGGCGCTGTGGGTTAAACCACAGAGCCTAGGGCTTGCCGATCAGAAGGTCGGCGTTTCGAATCCCGGCGACGGGGTGAGCTCCCGTTGCTCGGTCCCTGCTCCTGCCAACCTAGCAGTTCGAAAGCACGTCAAAGTACAAGTAGATAAATAGGTAACGCTCCGGCGGGAAGGGAAACGGCGTTTCCATGCGCTGCTCTGGTTCGCCAGAAGCGGCTTAGTCATGCTGGCCACATGACCCGGAAGCTGTACACCGGCTCCCTCGGCCAATAAAGCGAGAAGAGCGTTGCAACCCCAGAGTCATCCGCGACTGGACCTAATGGTCCCTTTACCTTTTACCTGTTTAACTTGCTGACAAAGGAGCTAATGTCTTGCAATTAAGAACAGGTGTAATAAGAAGCCAAGAGGGGGGAAATAATAATTAAAGAGTGGGGAACATTTGTGGACTATCTGAAAAATTATGGTATGCAAGTAAGTGTATTAGTAGGGTTAACTTAAGCAGTTAAAATTATTTTCAAGGTAAATTGCAGAATAACTTAAAAATGGAGTAAAGTGGGAAATGCAGTGTTAAAAATTTAAATAAGACAAGAAACCACAAAGGGGGGGGGAGAGTCTAATATGCATTTGTATTGGAGGTATGTGATTGTAAGGTGTTCGTCTGTGAACTTTTGAAAACTGAAAATAAAATTTAAAACAATAATAAATTCTTGCAATTAAGAAACTCTGCTACACTTGAGCAGTGAGATAACTCGATCTAATCTCTTGCAAGACCTTAGATCTCAGCTGTGTGAGCAGCCCAGGGTTAGGGAAGCTACCTAAATGACCAGCTGCAACTCTTGGCAGCGAGTTGAGATGTGGAGATGGCCTGATATACTGATTTCCTTTGAACTTGCATGCTCACCTTAACTCCAGAGGTTATTGCCTTATTTGGCAATAAATTGATTAGGAAGAATCCTGGGGGGAAAGCTGAGCCGGGGGACGACGTTAGTGAGATTCAGCCTGAAATTTGGGCACCGGCAGGGCAGAAGTTTTGGAGGGCATGAATGATCACCAGAAGAGCACAGTGTCTGGATCAGGCCAAAGGGGACCTATGTAGCCCAGCATCCTGTTCCCACAGTGGGCAACTGGGTGCCCCAGTGGGAATCCTGCAAGCAAGGACCGGAGATCAATAGCTTTCTCCTGAATTGTGATGCTTGCAAGGGGAATTTAGTTAGTTCCCCAGTGCTGGAGTAGCGCATAGTCATTACAACCAGTAGTGTTAAGTAAAGAGGAGGATTGTTTTGAGAAGATACTGAATTATTTGAGTAGGTTTGAACAATTTGGGGCAATTAAAATGTTAAAAGTTAAATAAACCTTGTGGAAGGAGGAGTGTTAAGGTATATGGAAGTGTACATATGGTTAAATTGAATATGTTATTATTGAATATGTATATTATTGAATATTGTATACCCAAAGTATCCAACGCCTGGGGGGTTTCACTGTTTGTGTTTTGGTGGTTGGTAAAAAATAAAATAGAAAAAAAAGTTAGGAAAAAAAAGTTCCACGAATTTGCCCGCACGCCTTTCAAAGCCACCCCAGTCGTGACCGTTGCTATATACTGTGGGAGCAAAATTTCATAGTTCCAACTAAGCGCTGTGTGAAAAAGTCCTTCCTCTTGCCTCTCCTGAATCTCTTCAGCTACGTGGGGCGGAGGCTGCGGCCATTTTGTGCTTCCAGAAGAGGACTCAAAATAGCTGACATCTCCTGGGTTCCAGGCCTGATAGATCTCCTGGTTCCTGCCAGGGGTTGGTTATGGCCTTGAGGAACCTCAGCCTTTCTTTCCCTCTTATTTTCTTCCTCGTTTCCAGGCCTGAGGGAACATGAAGCTGAACGAGCGAAGCTTGGCCTTCTACGCCACCTGCGACGCCCCGGCGGACAACGCCGGCTTCCTCTACAAGAAGGGCGAGAGGAACACGGCCTACCACCGCCGCTGGTTTGTGCTGAGGGGAAACATGCTCTTCTACTTTGAGGACCGGGACAGCCGGGAGCCGGTGGGGGTCGTCATCCTGGAGGGCTGCACCGTGGAGCTGTGCGAGTCCACGGAAGAGTTCGCCTTCGCCATCCGCTTTGACTGCGCCAAGTCCCGTACCTACGTCCTGGCGGCGGAGAGCCAGGCCGCCATGGAGAGCTGGGTCAAGGCCCTCTCTCGCGCCAGCTTTGGCTACCTGCGACTGCTGGTGAGGGAGCTGGAGAAACAGCTGGAGGAAATGCAGAAGGCCTCTTCCGGCTGCCACCGGGTCCAGCGGAGGGCGCCGCTTTACCGGAAGAACAAAATGGCGCTGAACTCACAGGACTTGCTCCCGGAGAAGCCGTCCGTCCCAATTTGCATCCCGGCAAAAGAAAATGGCTGCGCCCTCTGGTACAACTCCGAAGGCCCAAGCAGCCTGCCGGCGGGGTATCCCCAAGCCAACTCCTGGAGCACCAGGACCTGTGGGGAGGACAGCTTCGATGCGGGTCTGAAGCCCCCACCGCTGCCTCCTCGAAGGAGGGCTCTCTCGGGCAATTCCTGTAGTTCAGAGGGCCCTGGCAGCCCAAGCTGCTTTTCCAGACTCCATGACACGTATGGAAGGGAAGTCCTGGAGCTGAGAAGGGCATGGCTGGAGGGACAAAAGGATGGAGGGCTGTGAGGGACTCCTTGGCAGCGGGGGCACCTTGGGAGAGGCCAATAAATGGAGACCTTGGCTGCTGTAGATAACACTCAGCTCCTGGAAACTCTGCGCTCTGCCTGCCGTTGCGCCAGCTCAAATCTTCCCATTGCCTTTAAAACCCGGGCCAGTTGCTTTTCCGCTCCTGTTCCTCCTCTCCGTGCAGTTCCTGGAAAAGACTTGCCATCCTTTTGCACCTAGAAAGCCTCAGCTTGTTAATGATAAAAAGGGATCAGACTTTAATACCAGCTGTCACCACCACCCAGGCCAGACTTGAACCACCGTCAGAGGTGTTGACATTTCTTACCGTGGTCCTCCTCTCCTTCCTGGCAGGGGCTTCTGCCGTTGAGACGGATGTCTGCTGTTACCAAACACTGGGTTGGGCACAGTTTGGGGCAGTGGGACCAGGTTAAGCAGTGGGATCAGATGGTTTGGGCCAGCTCTCCACCAAAGGGAAGGCAGAGACATCTACACGGACCATCCCGGTTCTGACATCATGGCGGGGCTGGTTTGGAAAAGGTCGCCATCGTTTTACTTGCTGTCTCCTGGGATTCTTCCATCTTGCATCAAGCACTGTCAGGTGTTGGGTGTTCCTGGTTTGTCGTTGGTTAAAGTAGAGGCACCTGAGCATACAGGTGTGAGAGAGGCCTTCGGGGACCCTTCATTCTGCATGCTCCTCATAACTCAGTTTCACCTTTGAATGGCACTGGCTTAGGTGGGGTTAAGACTACGGTTACACTACAATTGTAAATGGGTTTAATACTCAACCTCCCCCCTCCCAAATATGACCTTGGGGAAATGTCCACTAAGAGTCTGAAATAAAGGGCAGCTGTCAACATTTTTTCCTGGTGCTCTGACAATCAAAACCGAAGATGCATGGTTAATGAGTCAGACACGGCTGCAATATGCAAGGAGCAGGCTGTGTTTATTTGCGGAAGAACAAAGTCTGTGTCCTGCCATAGAAAAATACTGGGCTGCAGCCATTGCTAGTCCTGCTCAGGGGAGACATTTTGGAATGGATGGACATGACTTAACTTGGGGCCATTAATTTCAAGGGGTCTACCCCGAGTAGCACTTAGGCTGCATTCACCCAGCCGTTAGTTCCAATTTTCCTAATATTTCCATTACTGTTAGTTTCTATATTTTTTCCCAGCTTTTGCATGACATAAAAGGCACTTCTGAAATATAGTGGAATATGGAGCCAGTTTAGTGCTCATCTCTCTGGTATCTGTGATACAGAAAAATTAATTTGCTTGCAGGAAAAAATCCTTGTGCAGATAACATGGAAATGTGTGCTATATTTGTTCCATATTATGCTATGTTTCCGGAAGTAGCTTTTACGTTGAGTGAAAGCTCAAATGTAATGCAGAACCCAGCAGTTAAGGAAATGTCATGGAAATTGAATAAACAGCAGTGTGGATGGATGCAGCCTTTGTTGGCTCCAACCTGTTGTCTGCACTGCTTCTGTTAACTTACGAAGTTTCCCCTTTCTTTTGTAAAATATTTCCTCGGCCTTGACCATCACCCCATTTGCCATTTTATAAAGCCCATTTGAAGGGCAAAGAATCTTTCTTGAACTAGAGCCATCATGACAACGCTGAGAGGGAATCTTTGCAATCTCATTTTACAGAAATGGAGTTGAGTGAGTTGACCCAAAATGTACATGTTTTGTGTGTGTGCACAGGGGACGCTTAGCTGGCTCTCGTGATGAGGAAACGAGGGGCAGCTTCGTGTATGTTCATTTCTCCTTTACTCTTCATTGCTAAAGAGGGAGAGGCAGCATAGCATAGTGGTTAGAGTGTCAGGGTTTCAGACAAAGGACATTCCTGCCCTTGCCTGGAGATATTGGGGGTTGAACCAGGGACCTGTCCAGCTCTGCCAATGGACTACAGCTCTTCCCCTCAAAATGAAGTAAGTTCCTAGACCTCATGGCTGTTGATAAGGAGCTGAGTGAAATAGGAGCAAAGGAAGCTGTCTTGCTCCAAACCACATCACTGGTTCATCTCGTTCCATGTTGTCCAAACTGGAGTGGCTGCCAAGCATTTCAGCCAGAGGCTCCCTGGGCCTTAACAGGAAATGCTACAGACTGAACCTTGGACCTTCTCCAGAGATCACCTCCCTGCTTTTCATATTTACAAATGGCAGTGCAATGCGGCGTGGGAAATTGCATTGGTAAAAGTGACTGGAAGAGGAAAGAAACGCCATCTTGGGTGGGGAATCAGGCAGTCATTTTCAAACTTCAGCCAAAAAGAGGAGGCGTCGTAATGACATCCCCTGAGCTATTTTCCCAGTCTGGCCTTTTCTTCTACAGCTGTTCCTCGAGTCAGGTTTGTGTGAAGTGGGGTTCCTGCGAAACCAGCTTTGTTTATGTGTTCCCGTGGGTATATATAATCTATCACTTCTCTGTTCCTGCTTCCTTCTGATGAACTCGGCTACCACAGACTGTAAAAATAGAACGGAATACGTGAATCCCTCTTGTCAGCCTCCAATATTGCATTATGGGATAGGGGAAGGAGGCGTTCTTCATTTCTGGTTGGTAATGTCCAAAAAAATGCATTTAGGCAAACGAAAATAGGATGCAGCTTACGAGCTAATACTGATCCTGTCTAGTTCAGCATTACCTACACGGACTTGCAGCTGCGCTCTGGGGGTTTCAAGCAGGGGTCTGTTTGCAGACCTACCTGTGCTTAGGGATTGAACCCGCCGGTGGGTTCCTGAAAAGCTCCACAGCTAAGGTCTTGGCCGGGGTTTCTTCTCAAAAGGAAAACGGGAGACAAGGACTGGCTTCCTTGCAACAACCAAGCTTGCCCACAACTACTGGCTTGCAGCTGTGGGAGGCTGGGTGCCCAGTGCTTGGAGGCAGGTTTGGGGATGCCTTGTGTCAAAAGTGCAGGCAGCTCTTTAAGGACAGAGGGCATATTTTTCCACTGAAAGAGGAGAATGCAATTTTGCCACTCGGTGTCTACAGCCAAGGGGGATGCGGGTGGTGCTGTGGGTTAAACCACAGAGCCTAGGACTTGCCGATCAGAAGGTCGGTGGTTCGAATCCCCACAACGGGGTGAGCTCCCGTTGCTCGGTCCCTGCTCCTGCCAACCTAGCAGTTCGAAAGCACGTCAAAGTGCAAGTAGATAAATAGGTACCACTCTGGCAGGAAGGTAAACGGCGTTTCCGTGCGCTGCTCTGGTTCGCCAGAAGCGGCTTAGTCATGCTGGCCACATGCCCCGGAAGCTGTACGCCGGCTCCCTCGGCCAATAAAGCAAGATGCGCGCCGCAACCCCAGAGTCGGCCACGACTGGACCTAATGGTCAGGGGTCCCTTTACCTTTACCTATCGCCAGCCACAAGAGTCAGCAGGAAGCAATTGGTGCATTGTGCCAGCTTTCGTCAACCTGGTACCCTCCAGATGTTTTGGGCTACAACAGCATGCCGGCTGGGGGCTTTAGTCTGAAACATCTGAGGGTTCCAGGTTTGCAAAGGCTGGCATTATGGCAAAAGGTGAAGTCTTCTGCCCCCCCTCCTTTGCGATCATTTATGCTTGAGCATGCTCCAGTGGGCACAACCTTCCACACTAGATCTTGCTGCCTTGCTTTCAGTGATTCCAGATTCATTGCCGTGTCCAAACAGTGTGCTAGTTGCAGGTTGGATGTGACAATTCATTTCCCTCAAGTCCCCTTGAGCCGCCCGGCAGTTGTGCCAGTCACATTCCCGGACAAGTCATGCAGTGAGAATTTGCACAACAAGGCAAAACCAGTTTGGAACTTGATTTCACTGCTGTGGCCTTCCGCTCCCTCAACGAGGGCCTTGAGGAATCTTTGGATAAGTGTTGGGGATGGCAGGAAAATTAGGTTTGGTTTGCATTTTAATGGAGACCCAGCTAATTCATGCTTCCTGCAACCACCTGGGACACAAAGTGCAGCTGTTTTTTTTGAAATGGCGCATTTCTTAATTTGGGGTTGCAGTTCTCGAACCGAAAGATGTGTACAAAAATAACTTAAGGGAAAAGTGTGCTAAAGAAAATGCATGCATTGGTAAAAGCAACATACAAAAATGTGTATTAGGGGATATCACATGAAAAATATGTATTCTGGGAGGAATGTGCACTAAAATGCCGCTGAACTTTTGTGAGCCTTTAAAAAAAAAAGCTGATGCAAAGATGTGAACTGAATTTGAGATTGTTCATCATCGTCTCTTGCTTCTCCTTTGAAACCTGTTTAAATTTGGTACTGTTTGTGAATGGCTTCCTCAGAAAGATGGATGCTACCCAGAGGAACCCTCTGCACTCCCCTAGAGCTGTAATTTGGCACCTCATTTTCACAGGTGATATGTGTGCTTTGGGGCTGTCATGGCAATCACCTAGTGTTGTATCATACTTCTGATTAAGAAATAGAATTAAAGATTTACACTGAACAATTGAGGTGCAAAACCCAACGTGTTGTGCCTGTGTTTTCCTCTTTCACAATCCAAGGACTCTCTCCAAGCACAGTTGAGGGTGTCCAATTCACGCCCGAGCTGCCTGTGCGCTTTGCTCGAAACCCTTTTCCGTTCCAGATAAAAACCACAAGTGTAAACATTTTGCAGCCGGTCAGAAATTGCTTCCGAGTTCCCAGAGCAAAGCAAAACAAGGCGAGAGGCTGGGTGAGCTGGCGAGGCACAACGAGTTGCAATCTTGCTGCACCACACCTTCTCCAGGCTGTATTTGTTGATGGTGACCCAATTCAGCAGAAGGTGGGGCAGCTCCCGGTGGAAGGAAGGTAGCAACGAGGAAAACAGTGATTGAGCAACAGAGACAGACAAAGCAGTTGGGCCACACTGACCTATTTCTCCACGTGTTTTGCTGAATTGTCAGTGTACTTCCACAACAGAAAGCTGTTGTCAGAGCCTGCTGTGAGCAGTAGAGAAGCTTGGGTACCACCTGCAAATGAAGACCATCTTTGCTGCCCGTGGAGGAAAGGCAGGATATAGACATCATAGAATTACTCTTGCTTGAGTTCCTTTGGCCTTTCTTCCCATCACCTAGTGCAGCAAGGCACAGGGCACAGACTTCATTAATCTAGCAGGGCAGCAGTGGACGTAAAAAGGAGATCAACACAATAAACTGAGACGCCAAGCCAAGATGTTATACAATTTCATTATTATTATTATTTTTAGTGGCTCTTTTACAGAACTTGTGGTCCTTTTTTTTTCTTTAAAATGTTTAACAAAGTTCAATCAATCTTGTAGAAACTTTTTAAAGTACAGTACATGAAGCTAAGAAAACGTGACCTGACGCTGCCCACCAGCTTTCAGTGCAACAGGATTTCTCTCCGGGTTTGAAAGACTCTCTCTTAAGTGCTTAGTTCAAAAATCCTGTTCCACTAAAGCCAGGGGGGAGAAGTCAATGGATCCAACTCCACTTTCTGTTTCCTGCTGACGTGCAAACGGTTAGAAAAGTTAACGGTACATGAAAATTGCATTTGCTCAGATGGTTCCTGCATGGGGGCCATTTTCAAGGCCTGTCAGAAGGCCAGATCAAGGGAAGTCGTGAACTGCCAATACAGTGGCACTTTGGGTTACATACGCTTCAGGTTACAGACTCCGCTAACCCAGAAATAGTACCTCGGGTTAAGAACTTTGCTTCAGTATGAGAACAGAAATCGTGCGTCGGCGGCGCGGTGGCAGCAGGAGGCCCCATTAGCTAAAGTGGTGCTTCAGGTTAAGAACTGTTTCAGGTTAAGAACGGACCCCCGGAATGAATTAAGTACGTAACCAGAGGTACCACTATACATAAAAATGCCTTCCATTCTGATGAAAACAGAGGGGGTGGGGGGAAGCACACCCCCTACTCAATGCATAGCCTTTGCAGCAGGCTACTCATTGCTTCCCCATTTTCAAAAGCAGCTCGTTGTTTCAAAAGCGTTTCAAGCCCAAGTTAAGGAATGAATAACTGGATTAACCAGTGTTAATTGAGAACGAGGCGGGGTGGGAGGAAAGCAGCTCTCAAATCCAAACTTATTAAGGCAGTCATTCTGAACAGCTGTACTCTCTCCTGGTCCGGTTCTGAGCACCATTTGAGTAGCCTTCAAAACTGTATGTGGCGTGGGGTCAGGGAAGCTCAAAGACTCGCCTCGTCCTGCACAAACCTACGCAGGTTTTAAGGTTAAGTCATTGGCAGTTGTGCAGCTAGGTTATTTCAAGAATTTTGGACTTAATGGTCTTGCAGTCAAACAATTCCTCCACCCCCACTGTATTGCCTCACTTCAAAATGTGGGAAAGCCGACCCAGCCACTTCTGGGCGCCTTCCTGTTCACTCTACTGAATGGGGCCTTGACAGACTGACCTAAAAACCTGCCCTGATGCCACCAGAGGTTATGGTGGCTCCTCTGCAGAACTCTCAAGGTGGGATGGGGAGCCCTGTGTTGTGGTTCTAGCTGGCTTTTTTAAATGTTCTCCGTTGCCGCCAACCATAAAAATGCTTTAGCTGCTGCTTTCTTATTACTGTGAGCTGTTTTTGAGAGGTTGACTCTGCTGGGGTGGGAAACATGCAGGCGTCCCGAGAAATAATTTAATGAAAGCAGGAAATAGTTGAAGGAAAAGCTCCTCACATCACATGAGCTCAAAGGAGCCAAATGAAAGGTGCGTAGGCCTGCTTAGTCTGTCTCCCAGCCAGCCTTCACCAGGTGATTCTGCAGCCTTCTTGCATCATTTGTTTGGATCATTCTGTTACTGCCGATGCAGAGATGAAGCAGAAAACCTGCCCTTGGAGAAGGTGGCCATGGAACAGCTGACCAGGCTTTCCTGAAAGCCACAGATGCAGCCAACATTTGGATAGCTCTCGCCCTACAGCTCCAATGGCTTTTTGTGTGTGTTTTTGAACACCTGTCAGAAGCAGCACAGTCAACCCTAAATGTCTCACCCAGAGGTGTAAAGTCTGTAAAGGTAAAGGGACCCCTGACCATTAGGTCCAGTCGTGACCGACTCTAGGGTTGCGACACTCATCTCGCTTTATTGGCCAAGGGAGCCGGCGTACAGCTTCCAGGCCATGTGGCCAGCATGACTAAGCCGCTTCTGGCGAACCAGAGCAGCGCACGGAAACGCCGTTTTACCTTCCCGCTGGAGCGGTACCTATTTATCTACTTGCACTTTGACATGCTTTTGAACTACTAGGTTGGCAGGAGCAGGGACCGAGCAATGGGAGCTCACCCCGTCGCAGGGATTCGAACCGCCGACCTTCTGATTGGCAAGTCCTAGGCTCTGTGGTTTAACCCACAGCGCCACCCGCGTCCCTAAAGTCTGACCTCTCCTTAAATACTAAGGCTAACTTACTTAAGCTTTCTCTTTTTCTATTCCTGTTGATGCAACTTTCCATGATCAATTTAGGATAGACTGTGCATCCTTAAGTCCTCATTTGACTGGGTTTTCATTTTTTGGGGGGGGGAGAGTTGCCCACTTCTGGGGAGATACATATACTCACTGACCAAGTGTCCCACCTAGACACATAGGGGGGAAAATTGGTCAGTGATCCTCTAAGTGCTCCCTGGCCAGATTCCACCTAGGAAGCTGCATTATACAGAGTGAGACCCTTGGTCCACACAGCTTTCTACACTGACTGGCAGTGACTCTCCAGGATCTGAGAGAGGGGGGGCATTCCCAGCCCTACCTGAGGATGCCAGGGATTGAACCCGAAAACTTCCTCATGCAATGCATGTGCACTCCTCCGCTGAGCTATGGCCCTACTTCTCTTAGCATGAGTTCTATGCCAGATCTAGTGTCAATGAAAGCTACATTGCAGCTCCCAACCGATTTATGGGAGACCGGGCCCTGCTTCCCTGCCAATTCTGCACCAAAGAAAAATGAATTTGACGGTCAGAATAAAAACATGCACATTTGCAGAAACTTACTTTGCATAATACGTCCCACCCCCTCTAATGACTAATACCATACATCACACAAGCATATTATGCGCTATGGAATTAGATAGTATGCAAAATAAGTGTGTGCAAATTTGCATAAAGCTTTCAAAGGGCGTTTTCTTGGTCAGTGCAGGCAAAATAGGAAGAAGGAAGGATGGAGAACTGTTGTGGTTGGTGATGGAGGATGTCAGCTGTGGGAAACGAGGTCAGGGTCCAAAGCGCCATCTTCTTAACGCACTGGAAGTTGTGCTCAGCACACGTATAATCTACTCCAGCTTCTGAGTTTTCAGTACGCACTGCCAATATACTTTCAAGCTTCTCTTCACAGCAATGAGGACCAGAAACTTAAAAAAATAAAATAAATGAAAATGGAAGTGTTCCATTTTAGGAAGCTGAATCCCACATCTGACAGGAGATTCTTGACTTGATTGGGATTCCAGTGGGGTCTGTTAGAAACACAAAGAGTCCTGGGCACAAGCCCCAAAGTCCTTTGATGTGCCCCAGACCTTCTCCTCTAAGCCTTCAGTACCGTCTCCCTTGAAATGAATATGGGCACATGGGGAACTCATGACTGGGTTGACAATTGGGGGTGGGTTGGGGTGGAAAACAAATTGAGCATGAACCAACATTTCCTCTATATTTCCATACTCTTGTAGGCAAGAACCTCAGCTGGTTGCTCCCTTCCAGAAACGAAACACTGAGCTAAGCAAAAAGGCAGTGATTTTCATTCACCCCAAAAATGTGAACCCTTGTATGGGGTGTCCCAGTTATTGATGTCTGTCCTTGCCAAAAACCAAACGCACAACAATATTTTTCAAGCTGCCAAACACACCTTTCTGAAACAAAAGATGCTACTTTCTAAAATAGTGGGCAGGAGGAAGAGCATGGCTGCTGTTTGTTTGTTTGTTTGCTGCTGCTGCTGTTGCTTCGTTAATGATGTTTCTGGCTGTGTTCCTTGGTTTTGGTTTCTGGCAGGTCACTTGCTAGAGGAAAGCACCCCAAAGCTAAGGATTCAGTTCTCAAACCATGCTACATCTTGTTCAGGAAGGCTATTGCAAACATATCTCTACAACATATACAACGGCACGCAACACTTCCCGCCCCCATGTTACAAAAAAAAAAAAGGAAAAGGAAAACAACCGAACAGGTTCCAAAACATACCACCAGAACTAAGTAACAGACTCAGGATGGCATTGTGGATTCCAAATTTAGAGTCTTCGTGGACTATAAGACAAGTCCCTGGAAAATGTCGCACTAACGCTGTGTCTTACAGACAGGTGGGGGGAGGAAAAAGAACCCACTCCCCCCCTCGGTGATCAAGCTTAGCAAAATTTTGGTCAGTCTCATAGTGCTTCTTGATGGCTTTGATCAATGAGTCTGGGTTATATCTTTAAATTTTTAAATTATTTTTAATCTCATCCAGTGGCAAACTACACGACTTTTCAGTGGACATTTAATGACACAACTGATACAGTTTATAGCTATCTTTTAATATCAAAGCAGCTTGAGCTGTTAATAAATTCCAAAGTT